GAGTAATCAGGGAAGTAGTTGCTCAGGGGCGATCGGGGTAGCTTCAGACGGAACAGATCGACCTTGTTCAGGAAGAGAATGATACTTGTTCGCATGAACCATCGAGAATTTACCACGGAGTCGAAGAGCACTAAACTTTCCATCATTCGGTTCTAACATGGTCAGTTCCGGGTTGGTATCATCGGTAGTTGATGGGTTCGCATACCTGATTGCTCTCTTCAAGGAGAACTTGATCATATTCACTCAATGCGACACAAAAGATGATAGATGTGACATTTTCGAAGCAGTGAATCCATTTCTTGCGCTCACTGCGCTGGCCACCGACATCGAACATGCTGTGACTGGTTAGAATGACCCAACTCGCAAGTCTTGCGGTCCACGTACTGTATGCTCAATTGCCCCATTGTGAATCTTGTCTCGTAGATACCGGTGGTTTTCGTTCGTGCGCGGAGAACGTCTGAGACATTCGGAAGATAGTCGGCGGCAGTTATTCGTTTCGCTTCGTCGAAGAAACTGATCGCGTGTCAGCGTTTTGTCCCTGAGGCTTGGTGTGACGCGGTATGGCACTTACTATGGCGCTGAGTCCATCAGGTAGAACTCATTCTGATGTTCCAAGACCGTTGATGTGCAAGGGTCATTCCAGAGGTATGTAATGGCTTCGCCAATTTTCGAATCGAGCGTGGTGTTGGGATCCGGGTCCACGTTGTACTCTTCGAGGAATCCGATGTAATCCTTGACCTTCTGGCTGGAGGGTTCGAGCTGGAGATAGTGGTAGGCTCCGATGAGCGCTTTGGCGCAATCCAGGAGATTTTTGTAGACGGTTAAGCGATACAGCGCCAGTTCTTCGACGGTGTAGCCATTCTGGTGGATAATCTTCATCTGCTTCACGATTGTGGACTTGCCGCTCTCTCCGGAACCTGCGGTTCCTTCGTCAGCCTACGGCCCACGTCCACTCTGTGATCAGGACTTACCTAAAAGGAGAATTTTGCATTCTCGCCGTAATCGCCTGGAGTCCTCTTCTAGCTTGCGATCGATCATCTGACTTCGTTTCTTCTGATCGGCATCCCCGCCGGACTCTGAACTGAAACACGACCCCATGGCGAGCGCCTTAGAGTGCCAGGCCAGCAGGCACGGGGCTCATCAATCGCGCGCAGGAGCGGTGTCTGCCGGTTCAGGCGGCCGGAGCCTTAGGAGAAGACAGAGATCACGGGACGAATCGCAGCGACCGATCTCAAGATTTGCAACGGGTGGCAATTTGAGGAAGATTGCACAAGGGGGGGTATTTAATCCGAGGTAGCGGCAGTACGCGAGAGGTGAGAGGTTGGTAAGGTTGGAAAGGTGTAAGGTCAGACTTGCGACCAGATCGGAAGGAGGTACGGGAGTATAGCTGGGGCGGGAGAGGGGGCGAATGGCTGCGGAGATGCTGACTCAGGTCTATATAGCCCTTTAGCCTTCTATTTTCTAGGACTGGAAAATAACGTTATGGGACCAAGAGATACAGGAGGATGATCCAGCAGAGTAGCAGATCCAGGGTGAACCGTCTATCGAAAATAGCTAGGGGGTTGGGAAACGGCCAAACCCGGGGGACAGGCACGTTCTCTGTCAGATTTAACCCTGACAGTCGACTTTAAGCGATTCGGCTGAACGGGGTTAAACCGCGCACCCTAGTCTACAGTAGGAGGAAACGTTGTCGAGAGTGACGCAAATTCGGGGTCTTTTGTCTTAGACTTGAACCCGCTTCCACCAGGCGGGGGAGTTTGGTGAACACTCCACATTTATAGACGCTGTTCACTGTATTGGAGGGGTGAATCGTGGTACGCTAAGTTATCCCGTGACTAGAGAGAGATATAAGTTATAACTTATAACCTATCACTTACCACTCTCTCCGGACACACATGAAACCACAAAGGGCATGTCTAGAGTTTAAAAGCAAGTGCAGCATTGTCCAGTCAGAGTGGTCGTCAAAAGGGCTTTGTTACATGCCTGCAGTAGCGTGGCAGATGATGTTTCACAGGTCGCAAGATCCGTGACAATGATCGAGATAGCCACGAAACACCTGGATCTGGCAGGGAGTAGAGTTGGCTAAATCCACACGAGACTCTGCTATACCACAGGAGCCCAAGGCCCTATACAAAGGGGCAGAAGATAGCGGTGATGACTTGGTCAAACCGTCCAAGCCCCACCACGTCACACATCACCGAAGGGGCCTAGTGTAGATGTACGGTGCATCTGATATGCTGAGAGATGCACATGGTCTAGACCGGATATCATTCCCTGGAGGGGCAGGAAGCTTCGATTAAGTAAAGGTATATCTTGACTCTATTGAGATGAGGGGTCAGATCGGGGCCCAAGTACCCTCCGAGCTAAGCGCAAATTAATGATAAGTCTGAATTGAAGAAGTTGCTATTTCTCAATGGGTGGAAAACGAGGCCGGAATCTGGTCCGGTCTAGGCCACGTAGGTGGAGCGATGGTGTGTGTGTGCGTGTGTGAGAGAGAGAGAGTGAGGGAGGAGAGATCAGAGGGAGGGGTTCGAACCGAACTGAGCAAGAGCACAACCGAAAGAACCAAAGAAGACAATCGTAGAGATTGATCCCAGGCAATCGAGAACGCAGACAGCACGAAACAGCCCCAACCGCCCTGAAGGAGGGATATAAAAAGAAGACATCTTAGTCAGCCTCCAAAACTTGGTCCCGCGCGAACGTCATACCTTCCTTGTTTTCTGCGCTTTTCACTTCCCCACACACTCTGTCTCTTCACGCCCCTTTCTTCTGGGCTTCATCTCTTGGATTCTCACCATACCTTCGTCAAGTTTTTACGACTCTCATTCATCATGGCAGAATTCGTGCGTGCCCAGATCTTTGGTACCACCTTCGAGATCACCAGCCGGTACGCAAGCGCAGAGCCCCGCAGACCCCTCGCAGTGTGATGAGTGCTAATGCTTGATGTAGGTACACCGAGCTGCAACCGGTGGGAATGGGTGCCTTTGGACTGGTCTGGTACGTTGCATCCGGTGTCCTGTGTCGCCGGAGGGCGATATCTCGAGGCGATCGAGTGTGCTAACCGGGAGTTGAACGAGATAGTTCTGCGAAAGACCAATTGACTGCCCAGCCAGTCGCTGTCAAGAAGATTATGAAGCCCTTCAGCACTCCCGTGCTCTCTAAGCGTACATACCGGGAGCTGAAGCTGCTCAAGCATCTCCGCCACGAAAATGTTCGTACTAGCTCACATACTGCTAAAAAGCGGGAAAGCAAGGTACTGACGAGATGCAGATTATCAGCTTGAGTGATATTTTCATTTCGCCTCTGGAAGACATGTACGCACTCTTATCGGAAAGTGGGGGCGTCACGCTAATTTCCGCAGTTACTTCGTCACCGAACTCCTTGGAACCGACCTCCACCGACTCCTGACCTCGCGTCCTCTTGAAAAGCAATTCATCCAGTACTTCCTATACCAAATTCTTGTAAGAAACCCACGGGAACCAGCAGCAATCCGAATCTAACAATGTCTAGCGTGGCCTGAAATATGTCCACTCCGCGGGCGTTGTCCACCGTGACCTCAAACCCAGCAACATTCTGATTAATGAAAACTGTGATCTCAAAATTTGCGACTTCGGTCTGGCTCGTATCCAAGACCCTCAGATGACTGGCTATGTCTCAACACGATACTACCGTGCGCCCGAGATCATGCTTACTTGGCAGAAGTATGATGTTGAGGTCGATATTTGGAGTGCGGGCTGCATTTTCGCCGAGATGCTGGAGGGCAAGCCTCTCTTCCCCGGAAAGGACCATGTCAACCAGTTCTCTATCATTACTGAGCTGCTGGGCACTCCCCCTGATGACGTGATTCAAACCATCTGCAGCGAAAACGTGAGTGAATCTTCCAGTGCGAGACAAAAACTTGCTAACAGGACGCAGACCCTGCGATTCGTGAAGTCTCTACCACAGCGCGAGCGCCAGCCGCTTGCGAATAAGTTCAAGAACGCTGATGCCGATGGTATGCTCTACAATTAGAATGAATCGACCTGGAAAAGGCTAACATGTGTATCTAGCGGTTGACCTGCTCGAGAAGATGCTCGTGTTCAACCCGAAGCAGCGAATCCAAGCCCCTGATGCGTTAGCCCACGAGTACCTGACTCCCTACCACGACCCGACCGATGAGCCCGCTGCACAAGAAAAGTTCGATTGGTCGTTCAACGATGCCGATTTGCCCGTGGATACATGGAAGATTATGATGTATGTTTCGCTCGTTCTTTCCGTTCCCTTTGTCCTCTCCTTTACTAACATTGCACAGGTACTCCGAGATCCTCGACTTCCATAACATCGAACAAGGCAACGAGGCCGGTCAGGCTTTGATGCAAGGCGCAGTGCAGGGTAACGACAGCCAGACATTCGCATAGTTGCGCGTCCACCATAATACACCTTGCCCTGATATCAGACTCAATATCCCCAGCCGAAATCTTCAAAAGATGTGAAGTTGGCACTGTTTTATCTTTTTTTTTTTTCATTAATTTCTCTACCTTGTCTTTGTCTTTCTGGAATTTTTTGTCCATAGCTCATTCGGCGTCGTCAGAAATGGGTTGGTGATTCGGAGAAATGAAGGGATCTGATACGAGCGATGGGCAATCATGACCTTTGTTCGGCAGTTTTGATTTACAATACCATAAGAGTTCCAAAGAGCTAAATCACCCCCTAAGCACCCTAGTAACTCGATCAAATCAACACTTTGAAACCCTCGAAGAAGTATAAAATTGCAGTAAATGGAGGGTCTCGGCGGGGCTATTCACCGCCCACGCTTTTGGCCAGTCAGAACGAGCGCGATAACCATATCATTTCCCCTGTTTCGCGATCTGCGATCTTCATCTTCATGGGAAATATTGTGGCTTTGGAGGAAAAGAACCTCGGTATACCCTAGCATTGCTTTCGCTTTCCATAGCGAATCATTTACAAGCGCCTGAAGCCACCCCTGCCACCCACACTCCCTCTTCTTTGACCCCGGCACCATGGCTACCCATAAACAAGACCCGATTGTGTTGGTGATTGATTTCCACCATGCACGGTAAGCAATCAAAGACTGGATTTCCAGGAGTCGGTCCAAGTGAAACTTGTCATTTGAAACAAGCTCTGGCTGCTCCACAATGAGCTCTACTGACTGAGACATCTGCAGCGGCCCCGAGATCGAACACTGTATTTCCGATGACGGAACAGACCCGGCACTTGAAAATGACTGGTCTCTTTTACCGTTCATGGCCCTCTCAGACGGAGCGCATTTGTACGACTTATCTATACCTCACTCCTTGACCGAGACTTTTCCACAAACCATTGAGACACACCCTCTGCGCCAGATCGGCTAACACTTCGATTTACAGGTCGACGGAGGAATTCTCGTACTTCACACTCTGCCGAAAGGCATCGGATAAATTCCCTGCAACCTCGTTATTCGGTATCTCCTGTTCGAGGCAGCTTGACTCAAGCTTGCTTATCAATCGCCATCCTGATGTCACGCGGTCGACCGTACAGAAGGCTGTGGTTGTTGTGACGGATACGCCCCAGCGGGTAGGCCAATTCAGAGAGAAGCTTTCTGTTGTTACTTCTGCTTGGTTTGCGCAACGGTATGTGCCATGCTGTCCGCGGTTGCTTGAATCGAGCCTGTGAAATGAGTGGGAGGGTGACAGGGGCTAACTGTGTTTGACTCAGTGACTTTTCGGATATTGATATTTTGAAGGTATGCGTCAACTATAGCCATGCAGTGGGGACAATGAACTAATTTGGTTCAGAAATTCCGTGAAGGACTTGTGCTTAGCCTTTTGAATGATAATGGTCCCAAAGATCAAAATTTAGGTGAGAACACCCTCGGATTTGGGTATATGATCCTTTACTGATTCTGATAGGTCTTTCGCTCCGCGAGATGATCCATGAATTCAAATACCAGACATTAGTACTCTTCAAAGGATTGCTGTTGCAGCCCAAGGTTTGTGGCCCCTGTCAATTCCTTAAGAACTGTGCTGATAATTGTAGATGCTTTTCTTTGGAACGCGTTGTGAACGCCTGTGCATGATTCAGTTCTCTCTTATATCTTTAATACCCGGTCTTATAAATAGTCTTCAGGACTGTGCGGATCCGTCCTTCGATACCTATTCTCAGACTGTCGAGAAACCTTCGTCTCTCAAGACGAGCGACAGAAGTTCTTGTATGGTTCATTCCAAGGCATTGAATCGCGAATTGCCTGCTGACCCTTTAGTGTTGGCATACATGGGTTTGCCGTTACAAATTTTTGGAAAGGTAAGAGAAAGACTGCACGGTTTCTTTGGGCTTCTGCTAAATCTTCCCAGGGAAGCATGTTTGGACCTTATACCCCTCTCCAGTTGCTGGATCTGCTGGCGGATGATGGCACAAAATCCTATGTGGTGGGTTCAACCAACTCGCTTCTCTTGCAGCAAAAGGATCGCTACAGTGATATCTTAATCAACGTAAGTTGCCTTGATTTTCTACAGAATATCATATCTGACTATTCAACAGCTCGACGAAGACAGCATCGTCATCAACTCTCCTTCTCTACGCACTGCCCTTACCCTTTCTGCTGCCGACAGGCGCTGGATTGACCTGCTCACGCAAATCGTCAACGACACCTGGGATGAGGAGCACCCTTCAAGGCCCAAAACCCTTGGATTCATGGGCTCCGAGGAATTCATCCGACTCCAATTCGAAGAATATCTACTGGCCTTGTTATCATCGATGAAATACCACGAGGAGCTTTCCTCAAGCACAGCCGGGGAATCAAACCGCAGTGGAACTCAACTACAGAACTACAACATAGAAGGTGACCCTGCGACCGACTTCAACATGGAATTCCTAACTCAATGGCAAAAAACCTCAAATTACGCCTTGTTCTCCCGCCTCACCTCTGACGCTCTCCTCTTCTCAATCACGGAGCCCCGTCACCCAAGTGCAGGTGGCCTAACAATGGAGGATATCCAACGCCGCGTCTCTCAACAAGTCGCAGACCTCCATCTAGACGAACGCGTCCGCGAAGGCCGCGAAGCCCTCAACCGCCACTTCTCCACCGGCCAAAAGAAAGTAACAGCAGCATTCAACAGCTTCTGGTCGGATATCGAGACAATGCGCGAAGCCCAACGCAAACGCAACGAAGAAAAAGCCACCCAAGCACAAGCACAGGCATCGACTCAATCCCGACGCGCATCTCTAGACAAAGATTCCCCCATCTCTCCAACCCCTTCAATCTCCACATCAACTATCGACTCGGATGCCCGTCCCCGCGCTTCAGTCGACATGAGCCAAGCCCAAGCTTCGGTGAACGCAGCAAGCCAAAAAGCAGGCGCGTATTTCAGCTCGTGGGGTTCATGGGCTAGCGAGAAACGCCGTGAGTGGCAAGACAAGCGCAGCGCCTCCCCGAGCCCGAGTCTCAACGCAACCGCAACTTCAAATGCAGCTGCAGCTGCAGCCACCAGCCCGGGTGTCTCATCACCTTCCGCATCAGCATTATCCGTAGTAACGGAAATCGCTGAAGCAGATCGGGACCGCGGCCGTCGCCGCTCAGTTCAGCACAAAAGGGAAGGAAGTATCGATAGCACCACAGACGGTGGGTTAACGCGCAGCGTTAGCCGCAGGAAACGATGGAGTAGTATGCTTCTTCGGCGTGAGAGCGGTGAATTCAAGAGGGATGAGTCGTCGACATCTGACTCTGCTGATGTCCCGTTCCCTAAGTCTCCGCTTTCTCAGGGGTTCCCGGCTTATGGGGAAGGAGCCGAGGACAAGCGGGCCAAGAGAGAGGACCGAGGTAGTGAGCCTCAGATTCACACGCAGGGAAAGGTTGCACAGGAGGACGCGGAGACCTTTGACAAGGATGGGTTTTCGTCTGTGGCTCTGACGCCGAATCAGGGTCTCGGGTTGGAGTTGGACCAGACTCGGAATGGGGGTCTGAATGAACAGGAGAATATGCCCCCTTCTAGCCGGGGACATTCCCGTGATGAATCTTTGACTGCGCTTCCGGTCAAGGAGGATGTTTAATGAGATCAGAATACAGACGTGACTTCGGTACATATGCTCTTTTCTTTTGGATTGAGGAGCTGAGAATCTCTCGTTTATGGCATTGGCATCTTATCCTTGTTGATACGCTTTTGCATTTGGTATGCACAGCAACGAACTTTTACTCGATTACTTCTTCCTGTCATTATTTAGATAATCAAGTCCGCTCCTCGGCCTTTTTCTTCCAGATTCCAGCCGCCCTAAGATCTTGTCAAGGCAAGACTAGCATGGTCGCTCACATACCGCGGACAACTGGGACAGTTACGATGGTACTAGATGAGATGAACAGTAAGACTAGATGCAAAGATTAATATTTGTCTATTTTCTGTTTGACAAAAGACCAACAAGAAAGAGCAAGAGCAAGATAAAAAAACCAGGTCATCATTGAGGTGTCATCTCAGCGCTATGAAGATGGAAACATAAAACATAAATAGACACAGTGAGAAATTCTTATGCTCCTATCCGCCTTGGTGCACCTGTGAACTACCTACCCATGCCTACAGCTAATTCCCGTGCGAGATCTTTCTACTTCGCCGTTGATGAACGGTGAACGAGGAAAGATATGGAAGAGCAGGACCCCGCTGACCAGATGGGACGATAGGAAACAGTAGATCAAAAGAAAAAGAAAAGAGGCAAGACGGCGATGTAGTGGGTTAATTCGGGGTTGGGCGAGTTGAGGTTGTTTAGGCAATGTAGGAGATTTCGTCGCCGTCCATGCGCTCGATATAATCTTTCTCCATGAGGGCCTCGATGTTCTTCTTGATATCGGGGATCTTGGGTGGGAAACGCGACTTGACTTGTTGGATAACTTCCTGCACCAGCTGGACATGCTTCATCTTCTTTCGCGACTTCATGATACGGACGATAGCGGACTAAAGAATTGTCAGAACGGTTTAATGGGCGTAAGGGGTGCTCATCGGAACATACCTGAAGCAGGAGCTTTCGGTCCTCCTCTATGGTCTTGTGTGTATCCTCGGTTTCTACCTTCTGCTCAGACTTGATCTGAATGTTAAGGTTGACCTTGATCTTTTTGTTCTTGAAGTTGTAGTTCAACGTGAATGTGGTGGAGGGGTCGGGTTTGGCGCCTTCAGGACTAGCAGTGAGAACCTTGGCCTTCAACAAAATGCTGAGGTTGGGGTCAAGAATTTCGGGGGCCAGTGTGGTGGCCTTTTCAATATCGGTATAGGAAAGGGTATCGGACTCGTTGAAGAGTAAGAGAATACCCATTTGGTAGGTTGAAACCTGGAAGGTGTAGGGCACCTTGGCGTTCTTAATGTAATTGGCCTTGATTTCGCCCTTGCATAGCTGCCACAGCCAGCTTAGCCTGCGACCACTGTGCTTATCGAAGTAGAACTTTTGGAACCGCTCAGCAGTCTTGACAATCTCAGGCGGTGCAAGGAATGGAGTGGTTGGCGCGTTGAGTGGCCAGAACCCGTTTCCTAGGATCTGGAACGAGGCATCGGCCAGTCTCTTGCGATCATCATCGTCCAATACCTTGTCCTGCCAGTCCTTGTAGTTGTTGTTGAGATCCTTGGAGATCTGGATGTCCTGGAACATACGCTGCAGTTTGTTCGTGTATTCATAACCGCACGCCTCCTTCAGCTTGCTGATCATGCTGGTCTCTGCGTCATCAGAGACTGAGCTGGTGTGGACCAGACGCTTAGCCAAGGACTTTGTGTAGAACTTTTGGAAAACATCCTTGTCTTCAATGTACTTGAACACGGTCATTACCTGCAAGAGCATCTCCTCAAGCTCAGACTCCTCTGCAGACTTGGAGCCCTTCTTGAGTAGCGAATCCGTGTACTTGGAGAGTAGCTCGGGCGACCTGGAAGAGCTGGCCTTGCAGATATGGTTTCGGTTGACAAATTCACGGCAAGCATTGTCAAGAGAGCGCACAAACTCAGATTCACCGGCGAAGGCATCATCAACCAGATTTTGATAGCGTGTGTGGACCTGCAGCAACGCATCAACGTACAGCTTGGGTTCAAAGTTATCTCCATCGGAAGCAACCCGCTCGACAGCAGCAAGACCGGCCCGTCTAACATGGTTTTCAAAGGTGGTACGGAGAGGGTCCAAGCCCTCTTTGATCCGAGAAAGAAGGCGGTACATGCGAGCCAAATCCTCTTGGCGTTCGTTATCGAGCAAGATTTGGAATTCGTCGCGCAGCAGGGTCGAGTGAGCAGTGACAAGCACATCCAAGCATGTATCGGTAAGGCTCTTGGTAACATCAGGGTGCAAATACAAACCAACCCGAGACTTCTCTTCATCGAGACGAGCCTCAGCCTTCTTCATGTATTCCACCACGCTGTTCTCTGCAACAAACTGCCGTGACTCATTTTCGTAGTAGGTCTTAGTAGCGGCGATGAAAGGCTTCTGGAAGTATGTGCGATAGACGTCGAGAGTTGACTTGGAGCTGTCATTCTCATCGAGACCGAGGGATACAAATGAGTCGACGATAGACTTGATCTGGGACTGTTCAATGGTCTCTCCGTTTCGCTGCTTCTCGATCAGATTCAAAACAGCGTCCATCACCTTCTCGTGAACGTTCTCAAAGAAATCCTCTTTCCATTTGACCAAGTGCAGCGTGTACACATCAAAGACATTCTTCTTTCCCTCGTCGATCTCACGCTTGACCCAATGACGGTTCAGGTAACGGAAAAGGTGGTTGACATATTTAGCGGCGGTCGTGTATCGGTACCACTCGCGGATGTAGAAGCCAAGCAGGCCTTCCTCGGTGTGGCTCTGTGATTGCTTGTATACTTCGGCGAGATGGCGAGTAAGGTATTCCCCTAGTAGCTTGTAAAGTTCCTCACCCAACAGATGGGCTAAATATGAAGTCAGCGCTGGTCGCAAGCCGATGGCGTTGTAAAATATTGTGAAAATGTTGAAAGAAAAGATTGACGAACCCCCACGTTGAGCCTGCAGACCTTGGCCACTAGAAACAGCCTTTTGTGAGGTGCAGAAGTTATGAACAGCCCTATGAATAGATTGTAAGTATGGTTAGACGGCAGTCAGAGGATTCGAAACCTGGACACACGTGTAGAGACCCATGTACTAAGCGCGCAGAGTCAGTCAGCTTCCTGAACATACTGCAGAATTTGAGATATCGAGACGCTGGGGGTTCCACTCACAGTTTTCATATCGATACCTGCATCCAGGTTGAGCATTACGCTCTCGATCCCCGCTTCAAGGAACGACCACCTAGCGCACAGTTAGCCAACCCTGCACATCCATAATTCCAGCAGACTATCATTATCACAAACTCACGTCGATTCGAGGTCATCCTTATGGGGCACCGGAGGCATCGTGAGAGACATCGCGATTGCAAGGGGCGGGTTGGGTCGGCTTTGCAGGTAAGATGGGAAGTCGAGGTTGGAGATCTTCGGCACGTTGTTAGTAGAAAGGATGTGCAGTTTAGCGGACTGAGAGTAGCCCACCTTTTCGAATGACCTCAGAGTGGTTGCAGCGCCACAAGTCACGCCTCAAGATCTTGAGGGGATCAAATGACTTCGGCGCCTAAGAGGGAACGGCGCGCAGCGGGGGCGGGCACAAAGCGAACTCAAAGGATGGTAGAAACGGGCGGCCTAATCAGTCAATCTGAAGCCAGGTTTACCAGGGAAATCAAGTAGCTAAAGGGGAGCAAAGTGATGAGGCTCAGAAGGTCCAGCGTGGGGATGGCCTTTTGCCGCAGGCGGTGAGGTGGCGGAGCTTTCAAATCTACATCATCGCCTTGATCGGGCACATCTTTGTTGCATGACCGTGTAGTTCTTTTGCTTTGGATTTACAGGTGAGCCTTTGGCTATACTTGTTTCCTTGGATATAACCTCATCTCTATTTGTGTACCAAAAGTCCATGTTCTACCAAGTCAGTCCCTGTGGTATCACAATCGTATGATATATCATTTTTCCTTAGACTATTACCGCATTCGCAACCATGGCTCTGCCAGCAATTTATGATTTGTAAGACCAATGATTTTCAATTTTGAAATTTGAACATACATATGATGACCTGTTCTATCAATGTAGAATCTATGGTCTATTCAGCAGCTCTGTATGTAGCAGGGCCCCAGCTGAACCCCATCGCAGTCGAGCAATTCTGGAAATAGCGTATTCACAATAGCAAGGCTGAGAGTCTGCTGTGTTGTAGAGTATGCTATGGACACTGGTCTTGCATCTGGAGGTACTGGAAGTACAGCCCTTGGAGCAGGCAAACTACACAATAACATAGCAATCAGGAGGATGCGACGTGAGTGGTGAATATATATATATATATATATACGATGAGATACCGAGTTTACAGAGAATCTCACGCCATCCAACGTCGATCTGGATCTAAGTTAAAGATGGGCGAAGAAAGAGGATCGGAGTATCGAATCGCCGCAACCTTATATGGACCCACACACTGACGTCATCTTGAATATCAAAACACTCTATTTGCAAACTCCTGTTCTATGCAGTACTTCAACATGGCTATCACTCCACAGTCAGACATCCACGTAGCGATTCGCCAATTTCTAAATGGCGCTTCATCCCAAATACATCCATGCACTCCAAACCACTCATGATCTACCGTGGAGCCTTCAACGCGACAATGGCGGAACTCGAGACACACAGGGAAGAAGTTGCCGAGGTTATACCACAGTGGGTGAATACCATGTATAGCCAGACCCATTTCCATCGCACAACACACTCTTGGGGTCATGTCGGGGAGTGCGCGTCTTTGCTTCGATGGAGAGGATATTCCCGACCGATTCGAGCCGATTGGTCAGCGCGGCGAGATGATCATTGTTCTTGCAGGGGTTGGACATCTCCTCCGGAAGGACCTGCATGGGAACCAGGAGGATTTCCAAATGGTTGGCGCCTATCCTCCTGGCAAGCAGTGGGATATATGCTATGGGACACCAAACGAAAAAGCAAAGGCGCAGAGCATTAATGATGTGGCCTGGTTTCAACGTGACCCGTTGTATGGTGCTGATAGACCTGCCTTGCATGTGTAGCAAAAGGTAGTGAGGCAATGATCGCTAAGAGAGCAAGAAGTCAAATGTTATCTTTGAAAAATTAGGAACAACAACACAGATTTCACTGTGTCACCCTCTCCACGAGTCTGGTCAGGTGTCAAGTGTTAGCAGAAAAGTATGTCAATTGGGAAACGCGAGGCTTGTTTACCTAAGAACACTGATTGCGAATGTCATCAACCAAGCTAACAAGGCAATCAGCAGTACAGATGCAAGTGCTTTCTGTCGCACACAGATACCATCGTTGCGAGGATCAATCTCCTGGTTGACCTCTGCCTCGGTACAAGAGCCTGTCACTTCCGAGAGGGAGGCGAATGCCAAGCTGAGATTGGCAGAATCAAAGACAATGAAGAAGATGTCAAGAAGAATCAGCCGTGCTTTGGCCGACGGTGACCGCAAACCCAAAGGCTTCGATGTATACTCATCAAATGTGATATAGACCAGGTAAACCAAAGCGACTGCATCCACAATGATTGCCATCAAAGCCGATGGGCCTTGGGGGTGATGCCCACTGTTAGCCATGTGCTGAATGGAGCCACCCAGAGCCAGCGCAGACAGCGAGAAGCACCAGACTGTCAGCCGTAGCAACATCGGTACCATCGGACTTCGTAGGAGTGTGTTGTGAAAGCGCTTGAACCAAATCTCCCTTCGGCCTCCACTGTGTAGTGGATACTCCGGGCTGTCGCCCTCCAAGTGCTTGCCGCGCCATGGCTGAGAGTAGTCACCGTGATTCTCGTTCATCCAGTCTGATGTGACAGGTTGTTCCTCTCTGCCAGCTTCCCGAGGGTATTGGATAGTGCGCGAGAATGTAACCCAGCGGGATTCACGGTTGACTGGCAGAGAATCATCTTCGAATAGACCATTGGTAGTGGAGTCAGCGCGTTGAGTTTTGGATGACGCGTAAGGAGAGTGATTGTGTTGGGCGACAAATGCGTTCCCTGGCTGCGGTGGGAGTAAACGATCAGTTGCAGTAGTATCTTCTTCTTCGTCTTCTTCCGGATGGACCTCGACAGATCGGATCCAGGCTAGACAGTCCCACTGTTAGCTAATAATCATATCCAAGTAAGGAGTAGAAGCTTACAAGGCAGAGTTCGCACGGTGAAGCGCTGCAAGTGGGCGAGTTCCTCTGCTGCCTGGGTGTCTACACGCGCCGGTGTGGGTATGGGATCGACGCCATTGGGGACAGCAGCACCTGTATCGATACTCAGATGGCCCAGGGTAGGAACTGATGTCTCAGGGATCGCCGGGGGGATTTTCTCTGCCAGCCTCTCGCCGAAAATACGCCCTGTAGCGCTGTCGTTCTCCATGGTAGGTGAAGGGGAGAGAGTTGGGAGGAAAGGTCGGAAAGCGTCAATTAGCAGTTCGCATCACTACCCGTGCCGCGAGTCGAGCTCCAAGTGCCCCAAAAGGTGTCCGAGGTCAAAGTTGGGTGAGTCGAGAAAGGGTGCGGAAATGACGTCTCCAAACCTGCTTACACCTCCCGCATCCCTTTAACGTTAACCCACAAAAGTTTCAACCCCCCGATCTCTTTGACATTCTCATTGATAATCCCATTGACATTCTTTGGGCTGCTTTCTGCTTGCGTCTCTGGTCCTCATCTCATTCACACATCCACCTGCGATCGCGCAATTGTCACCAGATCTCGTCGCGATGCGCCTCTTCCTAATCCCGATCTCGACCAGTCGGGTTCTCATATACGCGCGGCCACTCCAAAAAGACATGGCAAGAGAGCTCTCAGTCCTTGACCGAGTCACTACAAAGGTAGCCGAGACCTGGGCTAAGTGGGAGGAAGCTGAAAAAGGGTGGAAGAAGCACCTGGTGACCTGGGGAAACCGAGTCCAGCAACGGATACCATACGAGGAGTGGGGTCTCAAGAGTATTCCCTCTTTCGAAACACAGAAGCGACTTGATAACACACATGGAGAAACCAAGATCGATGTCTTGTTCCCCAGGAACGCCATACGACAAGAAAAGATCAACACTCTGCTTCACACTATTGCGACGGAAAGACAGGAGCTTCACAAGAAGAAGATGATGTGGAGTTTGGTTCTAGCCCCCATTACCGCACCTTTCGGACTGGTGCCAGTGTATGTGAAGGCGGACAGAACACGGATCGAAGATACTGACATACAACAGGATCCCTAACATTCCCTTTTTCTATGTGGCCTACAGGGGCTGGTCCCACTGGCGCGGTTAGTTAAGATCCTCATTATGTTGGAGCTGTGACACTAACAAGATACAGCATTGAATGGTTCAAAACACCTTGAACATCTTGTTGAAAAGAACCTCCTCAATCCCATTTCATTGCCTGCACTAGAACAGTTGTACGCCAAACGCGCGTCCCGAGCGCTTGACAGCGCCAAGATCGATACGCCTCACTCCGAGGTCGTCGAGAAAATTGAACAGAGTGAAGAAGATCGCATCTTGCTCAAGATGTCAGATGCTAAGAAGCTAGCCACAATTTTAGACGCTCCCGAGCTCGCGTTGGAAGCCGAGCGAGCAATTATCCAAGTTAGCGAGCAGATCGAGGCTGCAAAGGCTAAAAAGAATGAGCCGGACAACGAGAAGAAGAGCTCATAATATGGAAAAATTAATCATGCTGTTCACTGATGGCCAACTGAGTGACATCTGGATGAGGATTTCCAGAGCATTCCCCTACTCAACTCTGTCATACCCGGGGATATCATGTATCATAATAGACGAAATACATCAATGTAGATTTTTGATGCGTTATGCTCCAAACCAAGACCGTCGGTATAGGTAAATTGTGTTGAACTAAGCCAAATGATTGAGCCCAGCGGAAGTTGGGAAAATTCGAAACTCATCGAGATGATGAATTGAAAACAATACCGACAACCATAATATGAATTGCCTTGGAAGCAAGTAACCTTAGCTGGACTGTTTTCCATGTTGATTTAGATTCATCTTAGGTTAGAGACGAAGACGGAAAGCAGAAAAGGGAAAAGAAAATACACTCAACTATTCAATCATTCCTACACATTTACCGTATCGTATCAAAACTGGCTGGATGCAAATCGCATGTTCAGGAATGATCAGATCGAAAGCCCAGAAGTTGTATAGTTCGGAGATGACCTCAGAGCCCCTGGCGGAAGTAGGTAAATCCGACTCTCCCCCATTCCCACCTCATCCTCCACAGCCCAGTCATCGGAGCTCCATTCATCATGTCTGCCAAAAAGATCGAGCAATGGGAGATTGAGCGCTACTGGGAGATTTTTGCGTCTCTCTCAAATGGCCAGAAACACCTCAACAGCTCACAGGCTGCCTCCGTGCTGAGGAACAGCCGGCTGCGCGATGACCAGCTCGAGAAGGTCTGGGATATTGCCGACGTCGATGGAGACGGAGAGCTAGACTTTGAAGAGTTCTGCGTGGCCATGCGCCTAGTTTTCGACCTGGTCAACGGGGTATGTCGTGCTTCCCCTATTGTCCATTGCTCCAATCAATCTGACGTGGCCATCTTATCGCCGAACAGGAACTACAAGAAGTGCCCAATGTCCTCCCAGATTGGCTCGTCCCAGAGTCCAAGTCGCATCTTGTCCACGCTACCCGCGCCCTTGGTGGCCATCAAGAACAGTTCGAGCGGATAGAGGACGAAGATGATTCCCTCGGCCTGAAGGACGGCTTCGACTGGTACATGAAGCCCAACGACCAGACAAAGTACACAGAGATATACGACGCCAACCGAAATGGCCGTGGCCAAGTAGAATGTGAGTCAACGCCCATAACCTCCCAGCGAACCCACCCCGCTAATTTATGAACACAGTCCAACAACTGCAATCGCTCTACGAATCCCTCGACGTCCCCGACACGGACGTCCGCTCTGCCTGGAACCTCGTCAACCCCTCCGCCTCACCCGCAATCAACAAAGACGCCACGCTTGCCTTCCTGCATATCCTCAACTACCGCCACGAAGGATTCCGCATCCCGCGCACCATCCCCGCATCATTGCGCGCCTCCTTCGAGCACAACCAGATCGATTACCAAGTCGATAAGGTTCGTCCCGCACAGCGATACGGTGCAGATGGCGAGACAGAGACCCGCACAGGCCGCAAAGCCAAATTCGGCGACACTTACCTCAGCCGGCTGGGCGTTGGTGGCAAGGGCTCTTACCAGCCCAAGGGCACGGATTTCAGCGAAACTATCCAAGACGAGGAGTGGGAGAAGGTTCGGCTGCGCAGGGAATTGGCGGAGCTGGAGAGTAAACTTACCTCTGCTAACAAGGCTTCTGAGTCGCGGCGTGATGGATCACGCAATGATGGTCGGCCTAATTGGGTCCTCATTAAGAAGGAGACTCTTCAATTATTGGAGTATAAAGAGCGCGAGCTGCGCGAGCTGCGTGAAGGTACTGGCCGTTCAAAGGATGGTCAAGACCTTGAGCGGTTGAGAGAGGATGTTAAGACTGTAGGGGAGCAGGTTGAGGGACTCAAGAGCCATATGTCTCAACGACATGATGTTCTCTCGGACTTGCGTAGCCAGATTGAAGATGAGAAAACTCGGCGTTGATTGACAGCTTACTTTGCGATGCTATTGGTCTATCATTGTTTCGTTCTTTCCTCACTGCATGTGGTAACCCCCCTGGGTGTGTCAACCACATGACCTGGATGGAACCACGTGATACGGCCTTGCCCTGCTTTCTTATTCCTCAACTCATGTACAGCCATTTCCTTGTTAGGGAGCTTAGGCGCTAAATGGATTTTCTCTTACATTATACAATACTACTGCAGTTTCAATATTGAAAAAAATGTGCATTTAAATAATCTAGACATTATATTGTGTAGAAACATTAACTTGCAACCATGTACTCTAAACATTCGCCCTTGGCATTGCACCAGCAAACGCCGTCCCACGAAGCCAGGTCAAAACCTCCGCCCATCGCGAACCATGATCTAAACAAACCCCAGCGACACCAGATGTTGTACATTGCCACGTTGACTGGCCATCCCCGAACATGTCACAGAATTACGAGATGATGCTCTTTCCAGCATCCCCTTTTGTCTCCACAGCAACAAATGCAGCACTCTTGCGATCAAGACCTTGTTCAGCACGAGCGTAAGCCTCTTCAGATCGGTCAGTAAGAATCTCCAGATCCTCATTGGAAAGAATTGACTCGGGATCAGTGCCCACTTCGAATCGTTCAAACTCATTCTCGCCGAGAGCGCGGCGCAGCTCATCCACATCTTGCGATGTAGCGGCGGGGTCCAGAAGCGAACGGAACTTGCCCTTTTGGATGATCAGTCGTTCCAGGCGACGCTTAGAGTCTGCCTTCTCAAGAAGAGTTTGTTCCACTGTACCCTTGGTGGCTAACCGGTAGACAATCACAGGCTTGGTTTGACCAATACGATGAGCACGGTCCTGTGCCTGCAGATCCTGCTGTGGATTCCAGTCGGAGTCGAAGAGGATGACCGTATCCGCGGCAGTGAGATTAATACCCTGTCCGCCCGCTCGAGTGCTCAGTAAGAAGATCTTGTGACTGTTCTTCTTGTTGAAATCATGGATTTGCGCCCGGCGATCTTCCTGCGGAATTGCACCATCTATACGGCAGCATTCCCAAGACCGCAGTTCAGTTACCCATTCTTCGATGATGTCTAGCTGGGTTTTGAATTGGGAGAAAATGAGGATCTTGTGACCCTTACTAAGGAGGCAGGGAACCAGGCGGTCGAGCAACAGCATCTTACCAGACGCTGATACAAGGGTCTCATCCACGGTCGAGGATTCACCCATCCACGGCCAGTAAAAATTGTGCGGGGAATTGCATGCAAGTCGAGCTTGCATGATTGGGTTTTGCATCTTCTTTTGGCCAATTTCTTGCCCTGTGAGTTGAGATCAGCAATCTAATAAGGTGACTCATGTTTGCTAACTAAGACTTACTGGCAAGCTTTAGGTTGCGAGCGAGCTCCTGCGCCTCAAGCTCAGTTTCACTCAGCTGAGTCTCTTCTTCGGGAACATCTTCAATACCCAGCTCCATCTTCCGCAGCTTTTCGTCAAACTCTCCGTCAGTGACCTCCTTGTACTCGTTGGTCACACCACGACGACGGGGTCGGCTAGAAATGGGACCATCAGCGGCAGGGGTGGATGTCTTGCTGGCTTTTGCGCTCTTCGCTGGTGAGCTTTGTCCACTGTCACTTCTCTTGCGCTTGAGGCTCGACGAGCGCGTGGTGCTGGCGCTCTTGCTGGTCAGGCGCTCCAAGGCCTTGTCTTCGAGATATTGGCGACCCGTTCCGGTGATGATCTCTCGGTAAAGGTCTTTCTGCTCGGAAGTGAGCGGGGCGTACAGGATATACTCTCGCTTTTTCGGCAGCGAGGTCTCCACATCAGCCTTGAGGCGCCGAAGTAAGAATGGCTTGAGAATGGCGTGCATACTGGAGACTAACTTGCTCTTTTTCCTCTCCAGAATACGATCGCTGTCGCCCTTCTGTTCCAAGACTGAAGAGAAGTCGAACCATTTCTCGAAAGAGCCCATCTCATTGAATACATCAGGTAAAAGGAAATGCAACAGGGACCACAATTCAGAAATATTGTTCTGCAGGGGAGTTCCTGTGATGAGGAGTCGGTTGGCAGATGGATAGGCCATGAGTGCCTTCATCAGTTTGCAATCCACGTTCTTCAAGCGGTGGCCCTCATCCTATAGATCGATTAGCATCTGCAAGGCGCGAGGAATCCTCTAAACATACAACAACTATGTACCTCCAATGGTACTGGGACAAGAACTTGCCGTCATTGATACAAATATCGTATGATGTGCAAACAACAGGGAAGTTCATCTGTGTCTGCTTCTTGATGTTCATCTGCTTTTGACGAATAGCAGCTCGCTCGTCTTTCGAGGCATGATAAAGGACTGTCTCAATCTCCGGAGTCCATCTCGCAAACTCATCAATCCAATTGCCCAGGGTGCTCATTGGCGCGACAATAAGGAAAGGTCCTGAGACCTTCTTCTCTTTCAAGAAAGCAATCATAGAAATTGCCTGAACGGTCTTTCCAAGGCCCATCTCATCAGCAAGAATGCCGCCCAGTCCGTTCATCCACAAAGACCTGAGCCACTCCAGCCCTTCCAATTGATATGTGCGCATTTTGCCCCCAGTCATCAGCCCAGGCTGCTGAGTAGCAACCAGCTCTTGTTCACCTAGTGCGGTAGGCTTTGCTTCATATTCATTGGCAGCTTGCTCAAGGACTTCCTGCACGGAAGGATTCTCCTCGTTTACTTTCACATCGGCCTTCTTGAAGTAGTTCGAGATCGAGCTGCCGTTAGCGGCAGATGCCCGCTTGGGCCGACCACGTTTCGCAGTCGTCTTGTGTTCATTGGCTTCGACATTCGCAGAGCTTTCTTCAATCTTATCTTCGGGGTTTGCATCCTGGTTCCCACGGGTGCGTGTCGCTCGTCGGAGTGGCTCGGGAGCAGCCTTGGTCTTCTTCTTATCTTCAGTAGAGGCAAGTTGCTCACGCTGCTTGATTGCAGCCAGTTGAGCCTCTTCTTTTTGCTTTTTCATCTTATCCGACATGATTGCGACAAAAACCTGCCAAAAAAGAACGCGAGGTTAGAATGACTAGGGTCTTTCACGTCCAACCCTGCGTTGACATACTGAACTGGACTTCAACAAGTGCATTAGGCCCTTCGCATCATTATTTAGGTCTTCGGCATCATCATCTATCGATTTCGCGCTTTGATCATGGCCATCGTCGGCAATGGGATTGATCGCGGAGTCCGTCGCACTTGTGGTTGGCGACGGAGGGACGGTCGAGTCTGGCTGCATCGTACCCGCACGAGAATCCGTGGGTGTCGTGGAGACACTCATCGCAAATGGTAAATAGTATATCCGAGAAGTACCGTGAAGTGCAACTGACGAAGGATGCGAACTGTTAGATGTCAAGATGTTTGTGAAGATACGTCATGGAGAGAGAGAGGGTGACGCGCAGGGGGAGGGTTTGCGATTCTTCTGGGTTGCGATGCGGAAAGCGATCCTAGCTCGAGATTGTGAGTCCACTCCGTCAAAAACGCATATACTTCAGGTGTCCCCAAACGCAAATGCACTCGCAATGGCAATGCTATGCAATGCGGTTCCCCCGACGCGACATTTACGTGTTTGGTGCACGGGCCAATTTTAGATTGATCATTATTTAGGTGAGAAGCCCTACTTTGCAGGCCATATTAGCCAGCGGGGTGAACTGGAGCAAGAACTGCTAAAAACGAAGTATAGACCCGTCCTTGAAAATATATAAGTCAACATTAGAAGCGTTGGTAGGTCGGTTTCTACAGTACTTACCAGGTATGCAGCACGTGACCTGGTCATTGACACCTCAGGCCCTCAACTCAGCATACTCATCGACCAACTTGCCTCAAGGTACAACTATGAACAACTTGTGAGTCGATATCTCATGCTTTGCAAAAGGAATGAAGAGATAAGAGATATTTATTTTTCATACACACCACTAATCTGACATAGGAACAGTATTGCGCGTATTCTTCAACTCATTTCGTATGTGATTTCACCTTTTACAGGTCAGGGGAACACAAATCAGTGGGTACCATCATCATTTCATCGCCAATTTCATCCGTGAGCGGGCTTGAGCTCAGTTCACTGGAGCTGGGCTGTTCCTTCTTTTCCTCCTCGGGCTGTTTCTCCTCCTGCTCATTCACCGACTCGTCTGGCATGATGATTGGATCACTGAAGACAAATTTGTCGATTGAGCCGGCTACATTCCCAGCTCTTTCGGCCCTCTGGTACTCATACCAGAATGCATCGTATTGACCTGTCTGTGGCACGGTCTGGGAAACCAGTCTTTGCGCATTGGCAATTGCCTGCACTGCTCGGGGCTGTGTTGGGCGGTATGGATTGCCTCCAGTGCTGACGCCGGAATGGCGGGGCTTGGGTTGGAAGTCATAGCGTTGGGCTTGGAAGCGTTCTTTATTTTCTACCATGTCGAGACGGGCCGATTGAAGGCGGTGATTAAATCGTGCTTGAATCTCTGCATTGCTGGGATCTCTGGAGATCCCGTTTCCACCGAGGGGTCCGTTGAAGGAACCATTGAAGGGGCTGTTCGATCGAAAAACAGGAGTTCTGTGTGAGAATGGGTTTGTTGGCAGAAGTGTGTGTCGAACGCGTTGTTTATGGGCCACAGGGCCCATGACATGGGGACCGAACCGGGGACCGGATTGGGGACTGAACTGGGGACCAGTGGGATTGTGACGCACTCTGGTTGGAGTCTCGAAAGCTGCGGACTGAGCGATGGACGATAGTCTTGGTCCATATGGATTACGGCTAGAGGTTCTTTCGTATTGTTCGATTTGTGCTGCCATCTGTTGACCAACTTTGAGTTTGACTAATCCTCGGTGTCCAGGGACTGTCTTGTTTGATTTTGTGCTCATTCCAGCTGAGTCGGGAGGGTCTGGATAAATGTGGCTGAAATACTTGCGCCAATCCTCAGTGGGATCCGGCTCAGCACTGTTTCGGTGCAGTGCCCTCGGGTTGATGAGCCCATTACCACCCATGCCAACACCGTCGATGAAACCTGCTCTTTCCTGCACGACTGGGCTAACACAGGGCTTGTTCGTGTTGAAAGGTTCAGTCACTGTAAGTTCCTCTTTCCATTGAAACGCATCCGGGTCCTGGGAGTCCTCGGGGGATTCTCGTAGCTCGACCATGCTATCACCCCAGTCACCAACCCAATTGCGAGGAAGTCCATGCTGATGCAAGTATTGTCTGGCTGCCAACACATCTCCGGACGTGCAAAGCATTAAATCTGTGTACATGGTCCGGTCCAACAACGCTTCTCGCGTGGCCTGTCGCATCATTCGTTGCAACACTAGCTGAGGCGGCGGAGCAAAAAGTTTGGCATCACTGTTGTCCATGTTGATCAGTGCTATGCGCTGTTTGTTTCGCATCACCTCCAAACGCTTGTTCTCTCGTTCAATTTGCTTGTTGCGGGATTCCATGCAATTAACAAGATTCTGACGATCCTCGGGCCCCAGCTCGAGCTTGTTGCAGACGTTATTCCAAGTCATACTCTTCATTGCCGTGTCCACAAGCTCTAACTGAAGTGCGTTGTTCAATTCGTTCCACTTTGGGTTTGGAATCTAACACCTCTGACGTTAGTTTCGGTCAATATCACTGCATGCAAAGCTCGGCTTACTTACCTTGTTGAGAAGCACTTGGGTAGGATCGATGCAGTCTTCATTGTCGCGCATCACATGTTCTTCCTCCTCATCACTGGTCTCCATATCGTCTTTCAAGGCTGCCTGCGCCATCATCGCCATATTGCGCACATAAACAGCATTTGAATCATTGTTGCTGACGACATGATTCTCAAGGTCATTGACTGGAATATAATCCAGCGTTGTTGGACCCCATGTCACTCTGCGGCTCTGTTGAGATACTTCTGCGACAACGGGAGCCACAGAAGATGGACCGGGAGTGGGGTCAGGAGGGAGTCGAGAACCACTGTTTGGCCCCCCGATGGGTGAGTTGAGGATAATCTGACGATTTTCTGGGGTTCGGGGCCTGTCAAGTGAAGGGAACGCAGCAGGAGGCAAATTTGGGTCAAAGGGCTTGGAGATTGGCTTGCGCCTCTTTACTGAACGTTGTCTGCCCGAATTATCCAGTTCAAGGTCATTTTCGAGTCCCACTCGCAAGGTGCTGTGAGGAAACGAGATTTCCGACTCCTCGCTGTCACCATAGCGAACTGGTGCGCGAATTCTCTCGCGCAGTTTCATTTCACTCATGGTGAAGTGAGCATGCGGTGATGTTTTGGATTTTGGTGAAGAACGTCCGGTGGACTTGGATCTGCCACTGTGCAAGCTCGAAGTATCAAGTTCTCACTCACAGAGACGTCAATCGCAAACGGTGAAAAGGGAAGATAGCACTCGCGTGCCTCGTTCCAGATTTGATGAACTGAGGGTAACAAAAGACGGCGGTGGGAGCGATCTGTGTTGGGAAAAGAAGAAGTTTGCGAGGAAGAGAGAATTGGCACGTCGCGTTGCGTGTGATGGGTTTGGCTCAAGAAATCAGAGGCAACGCAACGTTCCGTCCAAAAGAGGTAATATGGGATTGACGACGCTGGTCAGTCTCAGCTCAAGTCCAGATAACTACTTGAGCCAACAACAACGCCACTTATGCGAACTATAATACTGAATGACTTGAATAGTGGCCGCACCTTGCATTTTAGCTATCGGTCAAAACACATACTGATCTACAGGTGATATAGATATGAGGATTCAGAGCTCCGCGGCTGATGAACAGCATTTTAATGAAGATTTAAATAGCCTGGAAACAATAGAAAAGCAATGACCTCCTGCACCTGGGTATTTGCATGAAAGAGACATGGAGCAATGAAGCAAAAGGGAAAAGATGGCCGGACCATCTAAGCACTGCGGTTAATACACTCCTTAAGCGCCATTGTCTCCTCGATCCAGGAACAAAGCAATCAAACCTTCATTCATCACCAGCAAATTTTCCATTTTTTTCGAGAATGTGATGATACGAAGAAGACTCTCAACAGGAAACATTTCTCACACAACACGGTCTTGAAATGGAGCACTCGGTTTTCGCTCCATGAAAAAAGTCTCCTCCCCGTCAATTTCCATCTCCCCTTCATCAAAAGGAATGTCATCGTCTCGTTGTTCCTGGAAACTTCTCTTCTTCGTAAGAACCTGTGACTGAGATGGAGGCGCCAAAGTAGCAGCTGCACGCGGAGCAACGCTATGCTTAGACTTTTCAACATCACGCTTCGCAGATAAAATTGAATCAAACGCATCGAGGATTCGCCTCATCGGATCCTCGATTGAAGAACAAAAGCGACGCTGCTGGATCATATGAACAGCCTCATTGACATCAAAATTCAGCATGACCATAATGTAGGCAATAACAACACCAGCCGAACGTTCATTCCCAGATTCACAGAATACCAACACCTTCCTCTTGTGATGGTCATCTTGAGCAACAGAAGTAGGGTCTGTATCCATTCCCGCAAGGTGATCATTGATCCGACGAATAGCGCGAGGAAAAGCAGAGATCAATTCTTGATTATCCAGAACATCAATTGTATCCGCCATGATTCCCACCTCAGCAGCAGCTTTGTCACCAGAAACAAGGCGTGCCTGCGCCGAATGCTTATTTCGAATGGCCAGAAGTAACGTAAATCCCTCACGGCGGATGTAATCAAAATCCCTTAAGCATGCTGACGGGCCAAGCGACAAGAAAGGAAGCACTGACTGTGCCTGCCGGCGCATCTCGTAGCTCCATTGCAGGGCGTTAAAGCGGCGTGTGAACCCGCCTAGATTGACGCGGTTGAAGAAGTCCACGGGGACGAACTCGCCTTCGGCGAATTCGTGGGTTGATCGGTCTAGCTGTTTCGAGTCCACAATCACTGTGTCGGTTTCTTCCAAACCGCGCAGTCCATAGAAGCTGTCCAGCGCGGGAGAGCTGGTGTGCTGTGGATATCGCGGGGTAGATGTGTATTCTTGTGTTCGGACGTAGTGGGATTGGTCCATTTGAGACATTGGGACTTCCCTTTCTGCATTGAAGTTGTTGGTAGGCATATTGCCTTGGGAGATTCCAACCATGGAGGATGCCGTGGATGGCGCTGCGGCCTGGGGTGTGTGTGATGTGTAAATATTGATCCTTGTTTCACGTCTTGCCGTGCTGATGGTTCAGCAGATGATTGAATGTGCTCTGCTTTCACGAGATGGCTCAATACTCCAAGCACAGTTCCCTCGGCCTTCACTCAGGTTGTGGATTTCAAGGCGTGTTGCCTTGTGGTGATCGAGCTATGGGAAGTCTGGTTGGTTGCGAATGTTGAGTTGAGAATGACTGGCCATACCCGGAGTTGCAGTGTGTTGGATCTATCGCAGCATACAGTTCAAAAGATTTCAATTTCTGTCAGAGTCCACTAATCTCTGATCTCTTTGATTCAAGCTACAAGAATCGTCGTCAAAGCAAGCCCAAGGTTGGATCAACGTGATGATTATGTAATCCATCTTATCGGATGCGGCCTTTTCCAAGGTTGGCTGCACTGCCGCATACAGAACTATGAACTGTCGATGAGAATGGCATCTTCTCTTGGAATGATCAAGGACAACTGATAATTTCACGTGTCAAGATGCATGTCAACAACAAGCTGGTCATGTGATATTAAGTTGACGCGACTCCGGACCTCGAGCCAAGGAGTCCACGACATACACAATCATGAGTCACAGCCTAGCGCAACTAGCTTGACAAAAGAGTCATGCCAGACTAGGCTGAAGGGGCCCTGACTGAGGGTATGACTCTACGCGTGGTGCCTCATAAGCCGCCGGGGCCATCACTTCCGTGAACGACCGCCTAACAGCGGCCTTGTCTCCTAACGCCGGGCATCTAGATGGGGATTTGGGTATCAGTGGAGGTGCCAGCGGGGCTATATCTCACTCCGAGATGACCGTGCACACGTCAAAGACCCGCGTGAGAGCCTTGTGGGTATTCATGAGGTAAGGGGTTCGATGTGGTGGCTGGATGCTTGCCTGGAGATATAAGATGGGGGCCTGAGGAGTCGATTCCTGGTGCTACCTTATTGGTCGCCTTGTGCTACTGTGATCGGGCTGAGATTTAGTGCCTCAAAAGGTCGTAGATGTTCATGGGTTACATCGTATGACTTTGTGACCTGCAGTATATGGACATGCCTAAACGGCTGAGAAAGCCTGATTACAGGAATTTACGAGTCTATGGGAAACAAGAGGGTAGATAAGGTGATTATAGGAGGGTATGGGGTGAAACATAAGGGGAGAAGGATTCGAAAAACTAAAAGATACATTGAAACAAACACTAGGGTATATGAGGCGAGACAAAGCTGTAAACCGTCTCTCAAGACAACACCGCCTGGCCCATATGAACTCGTCACTCAAGCTTAAACGCCACAAGGATCGGACCCTTGAACATACTTCACACTGGGAAAGCCAGAAAAACCAAACCCAAATACCACACAAATCAGTTAAAAGAAAAGAGAAGATTATTTCGAAGCAGTAATGTTTGCTTCAGTAACGCCCACATGATGCAAATTGATCCGTAGACTGCCTGAGCCCCAAAAACCAGACTTAGACAGGAGGCGCAGTCTGGGGAGGGGGCTGCGCAAGAGGCTGCAAGTCGGACTCAGTCGGAGACTGCTGGGGAATGGCTTGTTGAAGACCGGCAACGATTCGCTCCAGTTCCTCCAGGCGGCGGTCCTTCTCTTCAACCTCACGGCGCAGGCGCTTCACTTCATGGTGGATATCGGTACCGTTCTCGTCCGTCTCGGGCAAATTATCGTCGTGATCGTCGTTTCGGCGCTTCATACCCGTTGTAGGGAGAGATGGGGCGCGCACCCCACCTACACCATCGACACCTTCCAACTCAGTTGCGCGGTCCCATGGCAGATCCACGACAAGCGGAGGGTTTTCGTCACCGTGCATGTGGCGACGGCGAAGGTGCTCGCGTAGGTTCTCCTGGCGTGTAAATCCATTGCCCGTGCTGCGGTTGCAGTCATTATACGGGCACATCAAGGCCTTCTTAGCATCGGTGTTTTTCTTGTGCACCTCGCGCTGGTGGCGTAGCAAACCACCGGAGTATGTGAATCCTTGGATTTTATCACAGTGAGGCTCATAACATTTGTAAGGGCGATCGTGTTTGTCCATGTGCTTGCTAAACTTGAGTCAGTATTTGACGCGCCAAGAGGCGAAAGAATGATTGTACTTACTTCCATTCACAAGGACGGCGGAAAGTCGGCGGGGCAGCTTGACAATCCAGATGGTCACAGAAAATCTGACCCTCATTGTTCTTGGGAGGATCGCGAGCGCGTCGGACAGAGACGCTTGCGCGCGTGGGGTTGAGATAGCCCATGCCCCCTTCGTTGTCTACTTTGGCAATTGCGTACTCGTTTGATCTGTGGTGGGTAGACATTGTGGGGTGGGGAGGTGATTGTTCAGAGGCAGAGGCAAGGATAGAGGCAGCAAGAGCTCCGTTGCGACCCTCACTTCTTGGACTAGGATAGTCAGAGCCGTCGCCCATATCGCGAAGTTGACCCCACACCGATGAGAGAGATACCGGGAAAGACGCGTCTTAATTCTCAACCACAAAATCAGAGAGACTGAAGGGATGAGATGTAATATGAGAGTTGATTATGAGAGATCGGAAATAAATTGGTGGATAGACGGGGTGGATGTATGGACGTATATCAGAGGATGGGAAGTTGCCAAAATTTTCAGGTAGCAAGGCATCCGTCAGGCTATTTATACGTCGGTTGCGTCAGGTGCTTTGGAACGCCACTGTGGCGCAGTCCCGATCTTGATATCTCTCGATGAGTTGTCTTCTAGCGGAGGGGCCGAACAGCTGAAGAAGATGAAGTCACTGGCTCCAGCTTCTATATATGCAGGGGATGCTACGTGGATAATCCCTTTCTTCCATCGTGTCGGAGTTATCTCCCGTCTCCTCCGTTACAGTGGCGCTTAGGAAGCAGTGACTCATAGCTAGTCCCAATCCTGCTGTCCAAATCAGCGGATCCGGTTTAGGTATCAAAGCTCCCCTATCAGGCAGCCATCTGGCCTTGAAGGGATCGCCACTGGCAAAGGCGATCTCGCAGGGCCTTGTCAGGTTGGTGGGATGTTCGAAGCAATCGTGGCGCGTGGCGGTGAGGGCACGTGATATGCATTATATAAGCCGTCTGCATCGGGCAGTGCGCTGCAAAATGTATGTTCGCCATGCCCGATGTTAGGCTACAACAATTCTCTAATTTTTACAGGATCAATAGGCTCAGTGGGAAGTTTTCATGGCTGTGGGTTCTATTAAAAGGAAGTTTGACTGCAACGTTTCGAGGAGTGATCCAGTGAGAGCCCGTACACAGGTTCACCCAGATGTATGCAGATCTTGATGACAATTGGACTAGAACATTCTGTGTTGTTCCGATGGCAAAAGGACAGACTCATTGCGTGGCAATCATGGCTATGTCAACCCAGTTGATCAAATCATCAACCTCTTGATTATGGCAGCCTCCGGAAACAATATAGACCACGTTATACAGTCCAGAACAAGATAGGAAGATCAGAAAAGAGACAATAAGAAGCCAATCAGAATAGGTAATCACTTCTACTGCCTACATGGGATCATCTAAAGCTGTCTATCACAGGCGCATGTAACTGATTGTCGAAAAAAAAAGCCCATCAAAGGTCTATACAGTAGTTTCTGGGGAATGGGAATTAGACTGCCTAAATCAACACTGCCTCTGGCTGGGCATCCAAATCTGCGCCATGACCAAGCCCTATATTCATGCTTATCTATTTTGAGAATCTCGAGGTTCAGACACCCTTAGACCCTCCTCCTTCCCAGAGTTACCCTGTACATTGCCCGACATGACGACGCAGAGAACTTAGTACTCTAGGCCAACATGAGACTGCAATTTTGATCAAAGAACCTTGCCAAGTGCATTAAATGCGTGAATTGTGCTGTTGGGTCAAATGCGATGTGAGTGTTTCCGCCCTCCGCGGGGAACCGCTTTTGTTCCCATTCTCCATTTTGTATGGTAACAGTTAATTCGAACACGGTAATTTACTTGTTACAGTGCCCTTGAACTACTAATATCAACTCTTTGACGTGAGAGACTTGGGCAAGGGATACCAGATATGAATATTTGAGCGCGGCATTTGTGCTACAGGCCCGGAAGCCAGCTCCTCCCACCTAGCGCGGCTCCATCCTGCCTCGACAAGAATTAGACAAAACATTGCGCTGTAACCTCACGAAGAAATTGCAAAGTTCTCCGAGCCATCCGAAACATGAAAACATGAATTCAGTGCGCTATTCCCTGTTCACCGTCCGCGGCACCAGGCTGTATCATGCCCCTGTACGCCCCTTCAGCAATATCGCCTCGATGCGAGGCTGTCATCAAGAGACCCCTTCAAATACAGCACTGGCAAGAAAAACCTGCAAGAGCCAGAAATTTATCGCAAAGACTCCCTCGATCCCTGGGTCAACACTTCGTCTCCCATTCTGGTCTTGCCAATCAACCTGGCGAAGAGCGGGAATCAACACTCTCCGCTGTCTAGTAGGCTGCACCGCTGGAGATTTCTCTGCACTGTGGATTCTTCAAACCTACTACCCAGAATTGGGCATGAGTAGTATCATGGCCATGTCGAGTGAGACCCCCCCCCCCCCCCTGTCTTCGGCTATCCCGTTCATGATCTGAACCCTGCTAACAACCTCAGTGGCGTCTGGTATCACAACTTCCATCATCCTCGAGACCGTCCTGCTCCGTCGTGGAGCTGACCAGCTTCCATGGGTAAGAGCTGCTCGTACAGCTATGGGTATGAGCATGGTTTCTATGCTGGCCATGGAAATCGCGGAGAATCTGGTCGATTATCATTTGACGGGTGGGCTAGTCGCGTTTGGGGATCCGAAGTTCTGGCTGGCAGCTGTTGTCTCGATGGGAGCTGGGTATTTGGCGCCTTTGCCTTATAACTATCTGCGTTTGAGGAAGTATGGCAAAGCTTGCCATTAGCCGCAGCGTGCTTGATCTCGCCAGTGGTTGCTCGGTCGATATTCTAAGATTGATGATACTATTTCAATCGCTCCTGCGTAGTAGGTCAATTCAGGTTATGTATGAACCTTATGTACCTAGGTAAATACGCTGATCCATCATTTCAAGTACAATACTCGGCTCTGTCGTGATCAACCAATTTGGTATCGCTGAGTAGTCGCGCAGACTGCTGAAATGCGGATCCTCGGCTTTAATCAGTGTGATGGCCGGAAAAATAGCGTTGCATTCTCTCTCGGTGTATGGGAAGAAGGCATTAAGGTCCTCGTTCTCACGTCGGGGAAAACCAGGAACCATGAGTATGTTCTCGAGCTCGATGCCTATCTTATACCAAGCTTGCATGCCGGTTTGAGATGATAGAGGCGTTTACATGATATTGACGGCGAAAGCCACTGCAAAAGGTGAAAGATAGAGAATATTTAGCAAAACGTTGGAATTATTCAGGCTTTTTTTTTTTTTGAAAACTACGATAGAACAAATGTTAGATTGGGATTATATCAAACATCTTGCTATACTTCAAGTTCTGTCGGTGTATCCTCGCCTCTAATACCACGCCACCACTCACTTTGCCGAACAAGCTCACCATCTTCTCCGCCGAGTAGATCCCAATACTTCTTCAAAAACCACAGCTTAGCTTCCCAGCTGCGGACATCCCATGGTGTACCAGTCGATGCAAACCCAGTGGACAGATCTCGATCTTTCTTCCCTACACCCGCACCTCCCCAACATACCAAACCCGCTAGAAGATCGAGAAAGAACTGATCCTCGTCAAATTCTTCCAGATGTTGTTGTCTGATAATGTTCTTCCTAAGTGTCGGGAACGGAAGAATATCAATATATGGGTGATGCTCCACGGTGATCTGCTCACTGCTCGGCCTCAGATCCGGCTTGAGCGCCTTGAAGATACTCTTCACACTGCCAATCGTATTTGCTTCGACTTGAGGATCGGACTTGACACCCGAACGGTAAAAGGGCGAGCGACAATTCTCAGCACATATCATCTCTTCGGTAATGCCGATGTGCATCCCTAGATTGAATAATGCTGCGATTGTGCACACCGTTTCGAGACGCAGGGTATTGACGTATGGATCTGCTAGACGTTGAGTTGGCGTGAAACTCAGAACTCGGAGACCCTTCAATGTAAATGGATCCGGGCCTTGAGTTCGTATTTGGATGTGTGGACTTGGACAACCACAATCTATATTCGTTGTCCAGCATGGATCTGAACCGTCATCTTGTTTCTCACACATCACATTAGAAGGGTCAACCTGGGCAATTGTGGTGGAGTTAGACGAGTCTGTTAAAGATTTGGTGTTGGATTGCCGTAAAAATAATGCGGTGGTGTCCCATAGGGTTAGTGATGGTGGTGTATCAGTTTCCGATTGTGAAGTAAGGTTTGTAGAATCCCATATGCTCGGCACTGATGAGGTCCCATCGGACTGTGAGATATCTGCCGTGGAGCCCCATGTGCTAAATGCAGACCAGGTATCTTCAAACTGTGGGACAATGTGATTAAAATCCTGGGTCCCGGAGGACTGACTGACACTATGTATATCCCAAGGCTCATTGATTGATAAATCTTCTGCAGCAACAAAAGACGGCGCAATTTGCGTGCCTTTGTTTATATTCAACAGAGGAGTAGCGGTTCTCACAGCTAGTGTTTCTTCGAAAGAGGCATGCTGTGTGGCTTCGAGTGCCTCGAGATGACTGAGGCGCTCACGGAGCTTTTCTCCTGAATAGATTATCAGTCTTTGTTTCAAAAATCATTTGGTAGAAGCCTACTATATCGCTTTTGGGCCTTGATATTCTGTTGTCGTCTCTTCTCCGGATCGCGGCGTACGGGCTTTCGTTTCTCCTTTGCCACACCTTCACTGTGCTGTATGCCCCCTCGAGTTTGGGATGACATCGTATTCAATAAGATATATTGAAACAAGAAACTGTCATAGAAAATTCCAGGTCAGGGTGAATGATGGAGGCGAGGCGAAGAAGAGAATTGAGGTGTGGTCAGAATAAGCTCCGAGGCTGTGAAATGGGTACGTCAGCGACAGCCAGATACGAGCAGACCGGACAGCAGCTGTGATAGACTTGGGCTTTGGATATTCCCCAATTGATTCAGCCGAGAACTCTACAATATTTGACTTTTGGCATATGTTTTCGAAACGTGAAGTCTGAAGTTGGTGGAAATCGACGCCCTAAGTCTGTGCTACTCGGGCGCATCAGATCTATGAAAAGACATCGTGCATGTTTGTATCCGATCATGCATGTCATAAGAAAGGGAGTTCAAAGCTTCTGAGTATCTTTATTCTGTGCCATTCTAAGCACCCACCTGATCTCCTCCGCGATAATCTCAGGTCGAATAAGATGAATATGGTGCCCACAGTCCGGCAAATATACAAAACGCGTCTTTGACGAAAGCTGCAACTGATCCTCAGCCATTTCTCGCGCAGCTGCATCCCACCCATCCAACGTTTTCCGAAACGCCATCTGCTGCTCCTGCGTTCCATTACCCGCTTCAATGCCCTTTTCATAGATCCGCTCATACTCGGTGATGCTCTTGCAAAGAACCACACTCAAAGGTTTGTCTCCTAAGGCCTGTCGTTCATATTGTCGCTTCTCGCGAAGAGCCTGGCAAACCTCCACAACAGAGGCCGGTTCTGTCGTTACACCACGAGCCATATCGATGGCTCTTTGTCGCCATTGGTCCCTCGTTAAGACTGTGGTTTCTCTCAAGCCGGTGACGTGCGAGAATTTCAGGTTCCCAAGTACGGCAGCAATATTCGGATCGGGAACTCGAAAGAAACTGTCGTGGGTTTCAGTTGCGGTGTCGCAAAGGACCATTCCACAGACTCTGTCGGGGTGGAGATGGAGGAATTCTCTTGCGACAAGACCACCATAGGAATGGGCGACGAGGATGATTGGACCATGTTGCTGGATGACTTCAAGAAGACGGTACAGTTCTGCTGCGGAGGTGGCTGCCGTGATGCGACATGGTCCGCTTTCGCTTCTCCCTAGACCGGAACGGTCGTAGAGGAGGATTTGGGTGAATGGAGATACTTGGGGTTCTAGAGCTACATAGCTGGAGACAACGTCGCCAGACCCTTGAATTATTACCACCAGGAGATCATCCGGGCCCCGTAAAGTTCCACTGATAGAGTAAGAGAGTCGATGGGTGCCGATTGAAACCATCGAGGTTTTCATCCTGATCGTGGGAATGACGATGGGAATGAGGAGGTTGAAGATACCAACGCGGGGCAACGGGTGAGCCATAGAATGATGACCAACTCACATGAACTTCAATCATAAGAATCATGACTATCTAGGGGTTTGACTTTTTGTCTACGTCGAAATACACGAAAGAAAAGTGAGATAATAGTTGACATTGAGGATTGAGCTAGATACCTGACAGTCTGAGCGATAGAGATACTGTTGCAAGCATGGATCAAGGTCAAAGGACAGGGGGTATTCGCAGAGTCGCCCGGTAATTACTACCGAGACTATCTGAACTAGGCATGAGGAATCGACGGGTGAGATGGTTAACTTTCTGGAACAGAAAGATACTGGACGATCATCATCGTACCCGGTTGAAAGTCACACTCTGAAGGAATCTGAGGTGGCGATGACGAGGAATCAGACCAAGGACTGTCCTTCGGCCGACGAAACGGTGCTGTTCTGGCAGTTAAGTGAAGCCAAAAATGAGCATCCGACAAGTCCTCGTTTCACCGACCCAAAGTTCTGATCGGCATGAAAGAAACTGGCGGGCAGACTCTGTTGGAACGAACCCTGGTGGCTATTGCGGACATTGCTTCTCCAATTCGTAGGAGAATAAATCTGCTCGAGATTGCCCTGAGACGTATAAAATACGAGGGCGCTCACTCAGTCGTAGTTACCGCCGACTTGGCTGGCGAAAGCAGTGGAGACACTACGAGCGTCATCGTCGTCGTGAATGTTCTGGCCGGGCGCACCGCGGGTCACGCGAATGCTGGCAGAGCTCCCTCCGAAGATGCTTCCATTATCGGGAACTCCAGCTCGGTAAGGCTCACGTCCACCAGACTCCACATAGCGCTTCAGACGATCAGATTGGCTCAAACTGGGCTGCTTGTTCATTTCGTTGATGCTGAGACCAGCGAGACTGACACCGCCTTGGTCGACGCTTCGACCGTCAACAATGCTGCTGGTAACATCGGACTCAGTGGCAGCAACAGACTCTCCAGCCACGCTGGGAGCTCCTTTGCCTCGGCCACCGTTGGCGCGGCGACCACCAGAGATAGCAGGCCAGCCATCACCGAAGTTCTGGAACATAGGCGGGTAGCCAGAGGGAAGGCCAACGCCACCAAGAGCGGATGAGTGAACCGAAGAGACATCGTCTGGGATGTAGCCGACCACAGATCCAGAGTCGTGATACTCATTTCGATGACCGTTGCGACCATTGACGGCGCTGTTCGGCGCGTTGGAAGCTTGGCTGAAAGACATTTGGAAGCGCTGGGGGCCTCTGTAGGCTTGCTTCGGACGGCTGAACTGAATCAAAGACTCCTGGAGGTTGGACAAAGGTCCTTCAACGAGACAATGACGTTCCTTGAAGTGCTGCAACAGGCAATTCCACAGGGGATGCTTAGAGAGAACCTTGGGGTTTCCGAGGACGACCAGACCGAAACGGGCACGAGTAAGGGCGACATTGAGACGACGAGGATCGCTCAGGAATCCAATACCCTGGTGGTCGTTGGAACGCACACAAGAAAGAATGATATAATCCTTCTCTCGGCCCTGGAAGGCATCAACCGATGCGACCTCGATCTCCTTGTAGTGCTCCTTCTTGAAAGTACCATTTGCCTGCATGGAGCTAACAATGTAACTACGTTGTCCCTCGTAAGGGGTAATGATACCAATGTCCTTTGGCTGCACACCTGCTTTGAAGAAACGGGTGACAATCTTCTCGACATTGGTTGCTTCGGTACGGTTGAGATAGGAGGTTCCCGAAGCCGAAATTTCTTCGTTGCCCAGGTTGGACCAGAACATCATAGGGTCATCAATGATGGGCCAGGGGAAGTCAATATCTCGGCGAATTCGATCAGCAATAGTGATACCGTTCTGGAGAGAACCCTCGTAGAACATATTCGAGGGGAATTCTGAAAGACACGGGTGCATACGGTACTGAACGTTCAGACGGATGGGAGAGCAGCCCAAGATAACGAGACGCTCGAACAGAGACTGGTTCAGACCCGCTTTGGCGGCCTTCTTGTTCATAATGACAGGACCAAGCTGCTGGTGATCACCTACCAGAACAACTTGCTTGCAACCAAGAACCAATGGGATCATGCACTCGGGCTCGGCTGATTGGGTAGACTCATCAATCAGAACAGTACGGAATTTACCCTTGGAGAGGCGAGGGTCGCCTGCACCCACACAAGTGCAGCAGATGACATCAGCATTGGTGAGGATTTCGCGTTCGGCCGATCGGGTAAGCTGCTTCAGACGCTTTTCATCCTGACTAGACAACTCGCCAAGTTCGGCCTTAAGCTGGTTGAGCTTCACCAGTTCGATGTTGCTGTCGTTCATGCGAACCTGTTCGTGCAGCGAAAGGAAACCAACAGCAGACTCAACATCCTCACGGGACTTGGCAGTAACACGGACTGTCTTGAGACCTGTACGGTGAATGCGTTCGCAGAGCTGGTCAACTGCAACGTTGGATGGAGCGCAGACCAATACTTGGCCACCATTGATCTTGGCAAGGTGATAAATGATGGTGGCCGAAGTGACAGTCTTACCAGTTCCAGGTGGACCCTGGATCAGACTGAGGGGGCGTTGCAAAACACTCTTTACTGCGTTAATCTGACTGCCGTTTAGATCAGGAAGGCCAGGAACGCTGAACTTCTTCGGGATCTGTGTCTTCATCGGAGCAGCCGCGACTTCGTGGCCAAGAAGGCGATGGAAGATGTAGCCAGAGACGCTCTGCTCATCCACGGCGAATGTCTTCATGGCGCATTGCATGCGATCGAAAGAAGTGGACTTCCAGACATAGTCTGCCATGAAATTGTGAGTGCACTCAGTCGGAACAGACTTGTGGTCACCCTTGGCGCGCAGTTCAATGGTTACCTCGTCAGATTGATTGTTAGGTATCTTGATAACGTAGCCGACTCCTTCCCATTTGGGACGCAATTCACCATTGTACTTGATGCGCATCTCATCGCCAACAGCCAGCTTCACGTCTCCCAGCTCGAGCTTAGGCAACACAAAGCTAGCGAGATGTTTGTTGTTGAGACCAAGATCCCAGCGCACAATCAAACCGTCTTGAGACTGAGATTCTTTCAACTTGCGGTCGTAATCAGCCTCGATCTTCACGAGTGGACCAAAGATGTTCTGGTACTGGAATGCATCATCGTAGCGAAGTAAAACTGGCGCAGGCTCGTCATCCACTGCAGTGGCTTTCTCTAGATCCTCAAGAGTCGCATTGCTATTTTCCTTCCACATTTCTTCCAATTTAGCAATAACCTGTGGGCTGAGGTGGCGAGCTCGGAGCTGCTCTTGATCAGTGGGCGCTCCCACGAGCCAGGGGAGGAAGGAGCGATCTTCAATAAGAGGCTGCCAGCGCGAAGTGTCCCAGTTCATGTCCTTTGAAGAAGGCATCGAGGCACATGGCTGACGGCATAGAAGCACAACCACGGTATCTGACTTGGCGGGAATGAAACCGAGCAGGAAGACGTTCTTGGTACCACAGTTGTAGCACTCAAGGATCGTATCGCCCAAGGAAGAGGCAGGGTGAAGCTGAACTTCTTTATGACGAGCGCGGACAAGGTGGTTGACAATATGAGACGAGGAGGTATTCCCCCGGGCACTGCAGAACCATTTGTTGCATGAAAGACACTTGACGACGCTGCTTGGGTTATGGATGCCACAGTACCTATCGGAATGTTAGTAAAAAGATAGTGAAAGGATACATAAAAAGACAGAGTTAAACTCACGCGCATGCATGAACAGGAAGCTCTATTTCTTCCTCGCCATGTCCTTGGTTCTTCTGGTTTCCATTCACTGGCGCACCCACTGTGCTTTCCATATCATCGTCTTCAAATGTGTCGGAGCCATCATCTTCGTCGTCGTGGAGCCTCGGTCTTGCGCGGCCTAGTGCGGTTTGGTCATGATCATCAATCTCCACCCCCGTTGAGGGATCTTCCGGCTGATAGCTCATTATGAATTCTGATCGAGGAAGTCGGCGGTGGTAGTAGCGGAGCGGAGCGGAATCCGCGCGGAAACAGAGCTTCAACTGAAAACAGAAAAGAAAGCGCAAGCGAAAACGAGAAAAAGATTCAAACGTAGTAGGCAATAAAAGAGTGTAGGGGACAATCCGGTGGGTGGTCCTTTGAGGGTTGAAGTCAGGACCGGAGGGGCAGAGGAGGGAGGGGGGGCGGAGAACTATAAATGCAGGCATTAGCGATATATCATCAGATTTGATAGGGTATTTCTTACATCGAGCTCTCTCGAACAGAAGAGAGGTGAGATTGTCTAGATGAGAAGCCCTCCGCAACCCAGATTCTTTATCGGTGCGATCCCACTCCGGAAACGCAGACGAGCCAAAGACGCAGCCCCGGAGTTAAGAAAAAAAAGTTAGCCGCTTCTCACTTCAACATTCCCCAACTCGACAAAATGCTGGTAAGTATTCATCGCTTGGAGACTCTGACATTATACTGATCGTATACAGCGTCGTCAAACCCGCGAGCGTCGCGATTACCTGTATCGGAGAGCGTTGCTGCTCCGCGATGCCTCCATTGCTGAGAAAAGAGCCCAGCTGAAAGCTTCATTGGCTTCTGGAAAGCCTTTGGATCCCACGATCGCAGACGATAAGACTCTGCGCGCAGATTTCAAATATGACGAATCAAAAGACGACGCTGAGATGGATATTGACGACGAATATATCTTAACGTCTGGTATTATCGATCCCCGTCCTCTTGTCACCACCTCTCGCTCGCCCTCCGCTCGTCTCGGTGCATTTGCGAAGGAAATCCGTCTTCTACTCCCCACCGCTATCCGTCTCAATCGTGGAACCCTTGTTCTGGGAGACATGGTCTCCAGCGCCACCTCCGCCGCCTTGACCGACATGCTTCTTCTCCACGAGCACCGTGGTACTCCCACCGCCCTCACTATTTCTCATCTGCCTCACGGTCCGACCGCTAGCTTCTCCCTTCACAACGTCGTTTTACGCGCAGATATCCCGAATGCCGCTCGTGGTACCGTGTCGGAGAGCTACCCGCACCTGGTCTTTGAGGGTTTCACCACCAAGCTGGGTGCTCGTGTCGTCCAGATCCTGAAGCATCTTTTCCCACCCCGCGAGACCGGCAAGGTCGGAAACCGCGTTGTCAGCTTTGTGAACAAGGATGATAACATTGAGGTGCGCCACCACGTCTTTGTCAAGACTGGATACCGGGATGTGGAGTTGGCCGAGGTTGGCCCGCGCATGACCATGCGCCTATTCGAGATCCGCGGAGGTACCTTGGAGAAGGGCTCCAGCGGTGATATTGAGTGGGCTCTTACTCAATACACGAGAACCAGCAAGAAGAAGGACTACCTGTGATCTTCTACATATTCGCATCATTGCATTGAACGTGACGTTGGTGGTCAAAAAAGACAGAACCTTATATCGTCACATTGATGATCGACTGGCGTATCTGGTGTTAAAAGGGCAACTAGACGGGGTTCTTTTCTTGTATTATTGTCTTTATACCCTGTTAAAATCATGGGGATCATATCTTTTGATCCCAAAAAGGAATGCAAAACATCAAATATACACCACATCTATCATTTGTAGCACGGCACTTAGACAGTCATACAGTGCACCTCTCAGTGGACTTATCTCTCAGTTAACCATTGATCAACTTCAAATGTCTACTGCCCTTCGATGTTGACGTGACTACTATTGGCCTCGAACACTCGACCAAAGTAACTCTTTCTTTGACAAATTTTGTGCCTGCGGCTTCTTGTTGGTCCCCAAAAATTGAGACAGCCACCGAAGCTGATATAGGTGAAGCGGACAGCATATACATATATATGAAGAAGACAATTTTGCAGGCATGATCTATGCAGTTTCCATCCGATGGCAGTTTGCTGATTTAATCACGCCAGCTGAGTTGGATTTCCAAGTTTAGTAGAGTGGTTGTTCGTTGGTCAATACATTGTATGGACATGTGGAATATGAAAAAGTTGCGTAGGGCTAATTGTCTAACCTCCAATATGACAATTGATCAACCATACCTAATGACAGTAGACTTGGTATTGTTTTGATGCAATCTGATGTTCAGAATGGCGATTTCATACCTCTCTATGTGGAATATGGTGTATTGATTACTTTGTGGAAATTAGAAGCGATCAAATGCATCGCCTTGTGCGAATGGTTTACCGATTCAACGCATGACTATTCCTTACATGCAAACTTCCTGTCTTCATGAACTGAAGTTGGTAACTTGATATCTTTCTTTGTGAGAGCTGTGTACTATCTCAAGAGTGGCACTCTACGGCCCCTCAAATGCTGGTTTGTGTTGAGACCTTATCCTCTTCATGATCAGCCTCCTGCTCAATGCGATACCTGGCCTCATGCTTCGTTTCCTCAGAGGGTTCACCACTGGCGTTCTTCAATGCCTATTCTTTGTTGCCTTTCTGCTCATCCTCATCACATCGAGACATCCTCCCCTCCCTGCTCAGGAGAGGTATTGCTGTTTCCACCCTCATCATTCGCTGCATGATTGTTGTTCTGCTCTCTCATCATGAAGCTGCCAAGGATAGTTCTTTGTTCCTCGGGATAAAACCAACCATCATAGAACGGCACAATATTCCCTTCAGCATCTTTCTTTGGTGGTGGGCTTTTTCCATCTCCCCGGTCTTCCCATTTCTTGCCACTGTGGATGTTGAAGTGAATTTTGAAGATTTCGATGGCGAACTGGACGCTAATTCCCGGTGGGGCCAGGAGCTCGACGGTGGATTTCCCAGTGCGGCTGAATTTGATGTATGTCGAGTACATGTGTGGCTCAGAGAGGGATTCGTAGACCTAGAGTTGGTGAGTAATCGTTTCTGAACGGGACTTGTTATAATAGAAATCACTTACTGTCAGTTGACACTTTTCTCTCGCCGTGGCTGGTGGCTTTGCTCTGCGGAACATGGTGGTGCTGTAGAGGGTCCCGGTGAAACTGTCAAAGTATTCTTGACGGGTTGCTGAATATTAAACGTTAGCTTTAGAATGGACACATTGGCGGAGCAGTTATCACCTTTCTTTTTGCCTTTCGTTTTGATGAATGGGTCAACTAAGATATATCAATATCAGTTCATTCGCCGACTCGGGGTTCAAAATGGGAGTAAAAGCAAACAATACCGGTACGGCGCTTTGGAGCCTTTGGCTTAGGCTGGGGCTTGATGATCTTGTTAAGTGCCTTGGGTGCCTTGGATGTCTTTGCCTTTTTGTCCGCTGCCTTGACAAGGTTCTTCAACAGGTAAGGTCCTTCGCCCTTGGGCCGACGAGTCAAAGATAGAAGCGAGTCATCAAGCCAGTCATAAGTGACAATTTTGATACCGATCTTGTTCGCATTGTCCACTAAGTTCAATTCTTAGCTCAATGTGACAAAGGGTTTGATGAGAGCATACCTGGTTCAACATTTTCCCTAAAGGCCTCTTCCGTCGTGATTAAATGAGTCACTCGAGGATTGATGTCCCGACTGAAGTCCCCCCCATTTGCTCGAATCCATTGGGGGATTTTCTCACCAATTTCCCCTTCAAACTTGCCTGTCATTGAGGCATGAACTTTGGCGAATGTCTTCCCCATGTTGGATATAGGGACAAAGGTTTGTTAGATGCTTTCGTGTGGTTTTCTGATCTGCACAGCTTGAATGTTTGGTGACGAAGGCGAAGAGAGCAAGAAAGTGAGATGCAGAAGGAGGTTATTGATCGATTCGGATAAAAGTAAGATTCAGAGGAGCCTCTCGGGACAAATATGAGATCAACGCATTTGAAAGTGAGCGAATTCAAAGAGAGAACGGACGACTTCAATATTCTCCCAGAATACGAAGTCGATATAATCTGTGCCCACATGATAAAGCAATCTCAATATGGACGGGAAAACCGAGACGAGCGTTGCCACTCGTTGCTGGTATGTCTGTGTTAAACTGATCGAGGTGTTGGAACAGCGGCGAAGAATTTATATCGAAGAACAGCATGAAGATCTAGTTTCAAGTAGTATGGAACGTTCTTGGCCCAAGAAAATATGAGAACCGGGGGTTCCCTGGTCTACGATCAAACCAGCGAAAGTGAGCGTAGACTGAAAAAATGGATACGTAGAAATACCGAAATGGCTAATGTTGTATTGATCTAAAGCATAGACTCATGATGCATTGATAATGAAATAATGAAGCGAGACCGGAAAAAATAACAAGAAATGAAAGTACGGTTCTCGCATCATTAACGAATGCTTTTAGCTGCCTTCACAAAGGCACGGATTTTCTCCAAATCTTGGACGCCGTTAGTCTCGACACCCGAGCTGACATCCAGGGCAACTACTTTCTGGCCAGACTGGCCAAGCTTCTTCACGGTGTCGATCACATTGTCCGGGTTTAAGCCACCAGCCAGGATGACGCGCAAGCCCTCGTCACTGTCGAGAGTCTTTTTAACACCGGATTCTTCCAGGAGCTCACCGGAGCCACCTGCGCCGGAATCCAACAATGGAAGAGTGTGGTATGCGCGGCGTGCGATGCCAATATCGCCAGGTGCGAATTTGCGGATGACTGGGACTGGGATCAAGCTGGCCCACTCCAGTGGCTCAGAGCCATGCAATTGTACGACATCGAGTCCCAACTCTTGTTGCTGAGAAAGAACATATGACAATGGCTGGTTCATGAAAACACCCACAAGAAGTGCACGGGAGGGATGACGCAAGACATTAGTAGAGTGATCGAACCACTCCAATGGCGTAGCCTTTACTGATTGTTGCGATGAAATAGCAGTTGGACGGGGTGTCGACTTGATAACCTGGGAGATGCGGAGGGCCACGTCATCTTGGACTAGACGTGAACGGCCTTGAACCATGATGATGCCAATAAGGTCTGCACCAGCTTCGATGGCGGCAACGGCTGCTTCTTCAGATCGAGTACCACAGATCTTGACCAACGGAGAGCTCGAGACACCCCCAAGATCTTTGTCGGTACCACCAAGAAGCTCCGCAACAAAAGCAGAGGTATTTTCGGCCCGCATCAAAGCTTCACCAACAAGAATCGCTTTAACACCTTCCTTTTTATATGATTCCACATCCTTGGGCCCGAGAATTCCACTGAGAGCACATACAATTGTGCTCTCAGGGACTTGATCCATCAAGCGACTTGTGGTTCCGAGGTCGACTTCGAAGCTTGTCAGATCTCTGTTGTTGACGCCAATCACCTGGGATCCAAGATCCACGGCAATCTTCATCTCCTCCGGGGTGTTCACTTCAACCAGAGGTTCCATGCCAAGACTACGAGAGTAGTGATACAGCCTAGTCAAGAGCTCGAGGTCGAGCATCTTCACAATAAGTAGAACAGTATCAGCACCGGCCAGACGTGCTTCCAGAATCTGGTATTCGTCGAAAACGAACTCCTTTCGAAGGACAGCCGGTCGGTTAGTAAGTCCCTCCAAGCTCTGGCGAACAGCCCGCAGATCATCAATCGTGCCTTTGAACCATTCCGGCTCGGTAAGGACGGAGATGACACTAGCTCCAGCCTTAGCATACTCCCTTGCCTGGGCAGGAGCGCACACATTGTCCGAGATAATACCCTTTGAAGGCGATGCACGTTTGATCTCCGCCATGAGGGAGAGGGGGTAGTCTGATTGCCTCAGTCGAGCAGGGAAAGAGATTTGAGGGGGCGCAATGTTTTGGTCGTATGCTGCCTGAAGAGCTTCTGGACGCGAGGCAGGGACCTTCTTTTGCTCAGCAACACAATTTCTGCGATGAGCATAGATCTTGTCCAAAATAGAGAGCTTCTTTTCCACCGGTGCAGCGAGGGTAGCGGTCTGGGTTTTGTCCCAAGTACCAGAAGTGAGAGTCAGGAAGTTTCTGAACATAGTGCGTCCATACTCAGTCAGAATACTCTCCGGGTGGAATTGAACACCCTCCACGGTAAGTTCCTTGTGCCTCACGCCCATGATAACGTTCTTGCCGCTGCCATCCTCCAATTCAGCCCACGAGGTGACTTCCATGCACTCGGGGACAGTGGAGTGGGTTCCAGCTAGAGAATGATACCGAGTGACGGAGAGTGAGGTTGGCAGTCCCTGGTAGACACCCTTAGCGTCATGCTTCAAAACCGAGGTCTTTCCGTGAAGAATTTCGCCGGTAACATCCACCTTGCCACCAAAGGAAGTGATCATGCACTGTTGACCCATGCAGACACCAAAAATAGGGATCTTCCCACTAAAGTATTGGATTGCAGCATTGCTGATTCCTGCGTCGGTCTCTGGGTGGCCGGGGCCGGGACTGATAACCAGTTGGGTAGGCTTCTTCGAAATCAAATCCTCGACGGTGACCTGGTCATTGCGGTAGACGGTAACAGTAGCACCTTCAAGTACCAAGTATTGATAGACATTCCAGGTGAATGAGTCGTAGTTATCGATCAGAATGACATTGGAAGCACTGGCCAATTTGGCGGCGCTGGTGGGTTGGTGGGGGGAGTGGTCAACGAGGTCCGCCATGGCCACGGATGGTGAGGAATCAGGAATGGAGAATAGGAATTGGTCACTATGATCTTCGGCAGAACCCTGGACTCCTTGCAAATTCAGATCAAACGAGTGTCGCCCGCAGGTGACTCAAAAAGAATATCGGGTTGGAGATCAATTCTCACCGCCTGGCAAAATGGTGACATGGGCGCCGACAAGTGGGGCCCTGAGCTACAGAGTATTTTTCAATAGCCTTGCAATTGACCTTGAGAACGAATGGTTAAAAATTGAATAAATTACAGGAAGTTCTGGTAGAACACTACAAAATCTGAACGTAATACCCAAAATCATAAATGAACATTATTTGTTCCGTATTGTCTTTATTGTCCAAGTGGCCACAATAGCCGGCTGTTCACCGCTGTCGGCACCTGATTGTTGACCCAGTCGCGGTGAATATTCTTTTGAAGCTCCCTCTCAAGTCAAGAGCTCCCCACGCTCCCCATCCACCCTTTTTTCTACCCTCTCGTACCCTTCAGTGGTGTCGCCTTGTCTTGCCCTTTCTTGTCATCCTATGATGATCTAATTGCCCCAAATGGCTCCCGTCCCGGAGGCCTATTTCCCGTCCCTGGACAAATGCTTCTCCGGGGACGTTCAGCTCTTGTATGTTTACTTGATTTTCGAATTGAATGCATCTGCTAATGAACTGCAGGTCTTGGAAAAGAGCTTTTCTTCACACCCTCGATCCTGAAGGTCATGCCGATGGAGGCGCGATCAACGCCTTCCTTTCACATCCCGACAGCATTCGCCTGCTTTCCGAGAGCCTGAAGCCGTTCCCTTCTCCTTCTGCAAAATCCAAAGCCGAATTCGATTCCAAAACCGCTGCTATTCATGTCGAGACCAATGGCCAGAGCTCCTTCAATCTTCAAGAAATCAAAGCCGACACTCTATGGTTGAGCGAAAAGGCCAAAATCGATGAGGTATCTGCTCTTCGGATTGCTGTGCTGGAATGGCAGGACCGCCCGGCGACGCGCCTCAACCTCGGCTTCTCTAGCGAAGAGGCGACGAGTCTACAAAGCGCGACTGGAACCGAGAACTTTCGAGGCTCTTTGGCCGGTCCCCACTTGGCCGCCATTCTGAGCCAGACAGGCCGAAACGAAAGTATTTCGTCATTTGATTCAGAAAAGAATAGACGCCTACGGTTGCGAGAGTTGTATCTTTCTGAGGCAACCCATGTATTGAAAACACTTCGCAAACTGCTCGCTCTGTCCCTGCATGATTCGGCATCTGAAAATGGCTCGAACAAATCTTCCATCTCAGAGCGCAAGCTCGCTTTGCAAAAATTGGGAGCCACAATTTTCCAGCCCAAATCGTTAGGTGCAAAATTTGACCAGTTTGTCCAGGACTGCATAACTTCAATACGCAGTCGTTTGACGGCTTTGGAAAGCAACGGGGGCTGGCTGAGCACCGCAGAGAGCAGCGAGGAGATTGAAGGGATCTGGAGAACAAGCACTGTGGAAGAAGTAGTTCACATATTGCAACTTGTGTTCCACCAGCTCTCGGCCTCGGCGGAAATCCCAACAGCTGAGCTTTTGCTGTCTTGGCTTGAGCTCATGACCGAATATGGCTTCTTACAAACAATACAAGTGGTAAGTGGAAACATCCTTGCGTCAGATATCACACATTAACATGCTCGTAGCCTTGTCAGCAACCAGAGGAACTGCTGCTGCCCCTACAGTCTTTCGCCTCACTTACCACATTAGCGTTCCTGAAAATTCCTGAAACCATTACCTCAATCTTGAGTCGCAAGCATTCCGGATACTCGTCGCAACCATACTTCTTGTCCAAACAGAAACTCCCCAAAATTAATGAAACCTTTCTCGGCGTATGTGGGGATGTGGTCCTTGCAAACCCGGCAGTTCTTGCATGGGGCTTGATTCTCAATACTCTCGGAGAATTGGCAAACAGCGACAAAGGGACAAGAGAACAACAGCAACTTGACTTGGCCGTCGATTCGTTCCAATCGAATACACAGCACGCAGGAACAACCCAAGAGTTAGAGCACACGCTTTGGGAAGACTTGCTCGACTGTGCCCGAACCCCGGTACACACTGCCGAGGAATCTATCTCAATCTTGACATCTGATCTCGTGAAAGAATCTGTTTTTTGTACTATTCCCATTCTCTCTTCAAAGATCGGGTGCATGTCAGCTGTCGACGATGGTTTGACAGCCCGGTGGATTCGCCTGTGTCTCCTTGACTGCATTAGAGTTGCAGTTATGTTTTTGGAATATACAGATGTTGTGGAGTCTGTGCTGTCAATTTTGGAATACGAGGACAGTGGCTTTTCGACTGATCGGGACACGTTAGGGCCCGCCAGTGACCCCAAGTGTGTATTTGCCAAAGACCGCTATCTGATGGACAGCATCTTCAATGTCGCTCGTTCACGCTTCCCGTATGAAACCTCGCCTTTTCTGCGCCTTTGCCGGGTTCTTGTCAGTGGGCACAATTTGAATGATGATGGCTTGCCAGAGATTCTCGATAAGCTTGAAAATATGCATTCATTCACGCAGATAATGGAGCCTCATTTCCAAGGCTATGCAACAATTCGAGAGGATGAGGACGCAAACTTTGTGGCTTTGCTTCAACCTCTCCCAATGTTCGAGATCGCATCTCACCATCATCATTTGGAAGAATCATCAAGCAATGCTTTGATCGTCAGCGGCTCTTCCCAACTCCCTTCGCAGACAATTGGTCAGGTAATCTCTGATTCAAAGCCAGCAGTCATCAAGTGGGCACATCAATACTCCTGTCTGAGTTTCTTGGGGAGCTGGCTTGAAGAGTGGAGCGAAAATGGTGGGCAATCACCCGGATGGTCTGATGACATCGGTACAGATATCATTGCACTCCTGACGGAACTAATTGCCAATTCCAAGACATCGTGTACCGAAGCGGCCAGCGGGAAGCGTATTCTGGAATTAGCTAGCGACGGGCTATCCAAGCAGGGTGACATTATATCTGTTGTCTTTGACATTTTCGAACGCAACCTGCAAAACACTGGCTCACGAGGAGACGCCGCCAAATCTTCAGGTGCAGCCATGGCATGCTTGGGTTTCATCAAAGCCCTTATCAAGGTTCTCCCCAGCCGTGTATGGCCATTCCTGGGCCGGAGCAGCTTTATCGGGTCCGACGGTAAAGGCGGCATGATGAGCGCAATCATCTCAGCTTTGGAGGTTCCTTCGGGCGACTATCCGTTCCTAGTCAGCTGCGTTGATCTTGTCGAAGCAGTGATCAATGATGCGGCGTCCCGAGCAGTGTTGCGGAAGAGCCCGGGCAGCGTGTCAAGCAAATCAACCATTGCTTCTGACTGGAGTGCGGGTGTTCCTTCCCACGTCATGAGGAACATTCTGTTGAATTTTACCCGGGTGATGGTCGAGATCTTCAACAGCAACGGCAGCTGGAGGTTTAACTTGCCTGAACAAAGGTTCAAGATCAACTCAATGCTCGCTGCCTCCTTTAAGCGTATTTTGTATTATGCTTACGGAATCAACGATGGTCCCAAGTTAGATTCAAAGGTCACCGGTGTCTTCTCTGCTTCCGCAGCTTATATCCTGGATGCCTTGCGACCTCAGTCTACCACAGACCTGACTTTCAACCCGATTCTTCGACTTATCACTGAAGGTCTTCAGGCTCCTCCCACACTCCACCTCCGATACCTCAAGCTAGTCGAAAACCAGGTCAATTCTACACTGCAGCTTTGTATCAAACTTGTACAAGCAGCCCAACTGGCCGAGAAACCTACTTCCCTTCTTGAGGAACAGTTGTTCAAGGCAAGCCCGGTTCTTGTCAAGCTTTATGCCCTGCATGATCCTTTCAAATTACCGGTTGTGTCGATGCTTGAGATCTTGATCTCCAGTGCTGCTTCGATTCCAGACAACGAGCCACCATCCCTTGTTGGTCACCTCGGGGCCGAATCATCCTGCCTGTTCCTCGATGTATTATCGCAGCTTGACAAGCCCTTGGGTGACACTTCCTTGCAGCTTGCAATCTGGCAACTTCTATCAACATTCGTCAGCAAACGTCAGCAGTGGCTTGCAGTCTTCATTTTGACAGGAGCATCTCCTCGCCAGACTCTGAAGAAAGAGGCGTCCTCCGATGGACTCAAAATGCGAAGTTCGCCTTTCCTGCAGATGGCGCTTGAAAAGTTGTCTCACATCGACCAACTGGAGCCGCAGGTGGCTTTGGCGTTGCTTCAATTTATTTCTCGTGCACAAGAAAATTGGCCTTGGGCAACTCCTCATATCGGCAAGCATCCTCAGTTCTTCGCTAGCATTATCAACTACGTGTCAAAGTTGAAGATTAGCAAATTGCCGGTCATGGACCAAATTCATAGCACGCGGATTGCGGCTGTCGTCGCTGATCTTTGCGCCGTCTACATGCATTCGGCCAAGGAAGTAAACGACCGCAGCTTTATCAAGACTATGATTCCACTAGTATCTTGGTTTTCTCATGGCGCAGTTGAGGTCTCTGCTTTCAACGCTTCGTTGCACGCCAACTTGAAGAAGAACTTCGAGAATCGATACTCGGGTTGTAAAATTGATGACTTCAAGAGAACCTTGCTCGAAATTCGTACCCCAGGGCCGGACTACTACTACGACTTGAGTATGGCAGAGAAGCTGCTATCCTACGACTTTGCCTGGGCTGGAACCCGGAACCGTGGATTTGCCGACGAGTTTCAACGTGCGAATATCAACTTGTCTCTTGTCGAGGCACAGGTGGTGAGTTGTTTCCCATAATCATCATATCGTTTGCCATGTCTAACTGAAAATAGGATCTTCTCCATAGCTGGAAGTTCTTCGCTATCGAGCATTGCACAGACTTCATGCCTGATCACGAAATCCGCAAGTCAATGGCAGTTGTCGCACAGAGTTGCCTAATCGCCAACACCGAAAGCGGTGCTTCCGAGGCCGTCTTTGAACGAGTTAAGCAAACACGGGTCGACTTCGCCCAAGCTCTCCTTCAACAGCTTGTTGAGGTTGGTGCGAGAGGTGCCGAGGTCTTCCAGCTACTTGAAATCGCCTGGAAAGCACTCCGAGCCCGGCACCCGACATATGAAGATGCTCTGATTCATAATGACACAGAGTATTTCCGGTCTCTTTTGAATGTTCTGTTCCTTGCTCTTCAGTTCCACTTGGATAGTCCCTCTCGCGCTGCTCCCGAGGTCATCAACAAGAAGGCTGAGATCTCGTCGGATTTGACGCTGATCGTCGAAATTGTCAAGACAGTTGTGGCACAAGGCTTCAGAACTCTCACCACATATCTGCACGAGGAGCCCGAAAATTGCACGACAAAGGATTTTGCCATCATCATTGCTATTCTCCAGACCATCTTGCAAGTGAAGAACGCCGATCGCCTGTATGAGCATATCGTGTATCACATTGAAGAGAATGAGACTGTTCGCCATGCAACAACGCTCTTTTCTTGGGCCGATCAACTAGCCGCCGCCGGTGACCCTGTTTACGCCCAGTACAGTGTCTCGATCCTCGTCAAGATGTCAACGCTACCGATGCTCGCGGAGCACCTGGCTGTCGAGGCAGTCTTGATGAAGCTTTCCACTTGCCGCCTTACCAACCTCCTCACCTCGACCAGTGGGTTCGGCCCCTTTGATCAAGTTCCTCGTCTGTTCAGTATCTGGACTGGAGGTTTCCTTCCCCTCTGCCTGAACCTCCTCTACAGTGTCATGCGCACCGCACCGGAGGTTGCCGCCTTCCTGAACCAGTTCGAAGGCCGTCTCACCCGTGCCTCGGACGCATTCTCCACTGCACATGCGGGCACTACTGTGGCCCCATCTGCCAGCTGGATTACGCTCAGCATGGCCTCCGAGGCCAATTCACTCGGTCTGATCTCCCACATCCTTGACCGATACCGAGAGGCCGGCGCCAGTGCCGGAATCGACACCCAGGCCATCCAGCCTCTCCAGTGGGACAAGGTGCAGGTCCAGGAGGATATTGAAGAACTTCTTGGTCGTCGCGCTGTTCTACGGACCCGCATTGTCGCAACTTGTGATAAGGAAATGGAGTGGGCCCGGAAGAAGCCTCTCAGCGCGAGCTCTGGGGCCGAGAACCGGTTGGAGGAAAAGGTCGTCAATCAGATGAAGGCGACACTTGCCTGCATCAAGGAGGATTCATGAACATGTCGTTAAAGCCTTTTGTTTTCTTTTTTTCTATCTATTTATTTTTTGTGGTTGTTGGACTGGATGGGGTGTAGCAAATGAATTATTTTATGCATGCCGGAGCTTAATCCAACCATTGACCTGTTCCAATTCCGAATTAATTCTCCGTGTAGGTGCCGATTTCCCGATGATATATCACTCGCGCCAGCATAGAGCATCGATCTCCGTGACCACTAGCGTCCCAGAGCATAAAAATCCACCGAGCGCATAACCAAAGTGTGCACGCCGAGGCTCACTAGTCGGGTTTCCCCGCAGAGTTTAACCGATTATATGCGGGGAGAACTATGAACTGTGGTGACGGCGATGGGAGAGTCTTAAATAGTTGCTGTCCCATTCGTGACTTCTTTATTTCTCCATTGCCCCTAGACTGCACATAAGATCTTTCATACGTGATACACCATGCCCTATAAATCTCGCTGGACAATCGACATTCCCGACACTCACTTAGCCTCTCTCCTCCTCAAATCCCCCACTGCGCCTCTGTCTAAAACCCACAAATGCTATCTAGAAGCAGCATGTCCAGATGCTCATTACCTGACAACCCATGATTTCCGCCTCTGGAGCCAACGGCTCGCAGCCGGCCTACGCAAAGCAGGCCTCAAACAGGGAGACCGCATCCTCCTCTTCTCCGGAAACGACCTCTTCTTCCCAGTAGTCTTCATGGGAACAATCATGGCCGGGGGCATCTTCACAGGTGCAAACCCAACCTTTGTAGCCCGAGAACTCGCCTACCAACTCCAAGACAGCGGTGCGAAATACCTCCTCTGCGCAACAGCCAGTCTAGCAACAGGCCTGGAAGCCGCTCAACTGGCCAACCTACCCATGACCAGCGTCTTCGCCTTTGACAACGGCGTCTACGATGGCCAAACATCCCCACCACCGAACTGCCCCTGTCCCTACTGGAGCGACCTTCTCGCATCTCCAGCCGAAGGCGCAGCCTTCACTTGGGACGACCTCAACACCCCATCTCTCTCGTCGCGCACCCTAGCCTTGAACTACTCAAGCGGGACAACCGGACGCCCCAAGGGCGTCGAGATCACGCACAAGAACTACGTCGCCAACATGCTGCAGTATTGCCACCTGCCCTCGCTGAATCCGGACTACGAGGGCCGTCTCGCTCGCGCCCGCTGGTTGTGCTTCTTACCCATGTACCATGCAATGGCTCAGAATATCTTTATTGCCGCCGCTTTGTACCGCTCCACGCCGGTTTATATCATGCCCAAGTTCGATTTCCTGCGTATGTTGGAGTATACGCAGCGTTTCCGGATTACCGATTTCATTCTTGTGCCGCCGGTGGTTGTGGCGCTTGCTAAGTTTCCAAAGGTGGCGGATTATGATCTTTCGAGTGTGGAGTCTGTTGGTAGTGGTGCTGCACCGCTTGGTAGGGAGGTTTGTGAGGTTGTTGAAGGGCTGTGGCCTGCTGGGAAGATTAATGTGAAGCAGGGCTGGGGGATGACTGAGTGAGTTTTCTTTTTGTTTTGTTTTTTATGGTTCGGTTCAGTTCTTGTGGCTCTCTGTTTATTCATCTACATATATATACCCGGGTTGATCATGGACTAATGGTTTGTTTAGGGCGACTTGTTCCGTGCTTGGATGGGATCCGACAGAGAAGAGTACGTCCGCCTCGGTCGGTGAGCCTAACCCTAACTGTGAGGCGAAAATCGTCACGCCAGAGGGTGCTGAGGTGTTGGATCGTAACCAGCGTGGCGAGCTGTGGGTGCGGGGACCCAATATCATGAAGGGTTACTGGCGCAACGAGAAAGCCACCAAGGAGACTCGGACCGACGATGGCTGGCTGCGAACGGGTGATATTGCCTATGTGGACGATCGTGGGAAATTCCACGTTGTGGACCGAATGAAGGTATCTTCGACCGGTCCATTGAACCAGAAAAAGAACCCCCCAAGCTGACAATACTGTGTATCTAGGAATTGATCAAAGTCAAGGGCAACCAAGTCGCGCCCGCCGAACTGGAGGCTCTGCTACTCGATCATCCCGCAGTGGCAGATGTCGCAGTGATTGGAGCTGTCATGTAAGTGGTCAATTTCCACATTCTGCAGTTTGCCTCCCCATCTATCATTTCTGACAAGAATAGCAATAATGACGAGCGTCCTCGGGCATATGTTGTCCTCAACCCGGGCCAGTCCGCTACCGCCAACGATATTACGCAGTTCATGGATGGCAAAGTCTCTGCGTTCAAGCGGATTACCGGCGGAGTTGTATTCCTCGATGAGATCCCGAAGAATCCATCGGGCAAGATCTTGCGTAACAAGTTGCGTGAGCAGGCGAAGGAGGAAATGAAGCTTACTGCGAAACTATAGTTGTGGGAACATATATGTTTCTTTTTACCCTTGTTATATTTTGCCCGTGGATACTGACTCTATGCTCGAGTGTTGACTATTTTCCTATTTCCCCCAATCTACCATTCCATAAACAAAAGATATCAGTTCGAGAGACCCACGCGGACTTGACAGTAGAGTAAAAGCCTGATGAGGGGCGAAAGAAAAAACGCCCAGACTTACTTTTGATTTTTAGTGTCGTTTTAGCTCCGTTTTTTAGTCGGGTTTCGTCCCTTTCAGCCACCAAGGGGGCGCCTATAATAGCCGAGCAAGGCCAATCCCACGATGATTCGACACGCGGGAAGGCTTAGCGGCCCCTAACTGCAGACTAACGAGCAGGCGCCAGCTGAACGTCGCGATCTACGATCTCGACACAATTTCTAATTTGTCATGATCGACAGGTATTTCTCCGCAAGCCTCTGGCACCTGTTCCTTGTTTTCGGGTTCCGAAGAGAGAGAGAGACAGCTGCCCTAGGGCCTACGGCATGGCTTACTGACTGTAGTCTAGCCCTAACCTCTAGGCTCCGGGGCTATCTTCGAGACTATCCCGAAGCCGAACGTGGCGTGTCAAATGGCAGCTGAGCATGAAGAGGGCTGGCTGGCCAATTTATCCACATACTTGGGCTGCTCGAGATACTTTTCCCACGGCTTCTGATGCATCACAGTGATCCTTACAGGAAATGTACGGCCCTGCACAGTCGGTATTTAAGTTTGGATTTCTGGAAGCAGGTTCAAGATTCCTTTGCAGTGCCAACTCTGCCATACTGCATCCTGTATCCTGTATGATGTATCCTGTAGCCGGTACCCTATAGAATGGTATACATCGCCCCATACTTCACGTCGATCATTGGCATCACACCTCTTCTTAGTGTGATTTTTAGCTTAGCCCCTAGTCTCATCGGCGGACTCGAGATCTTATATAGAACCTCATCCAGCCCCAATCCCTGTTTCTGACTCCCTCATTCGCCACGAATCGCCTCCCGCATCTCGGGCCCTGTCCGCGAATAGTCTCAATTTAAACAATAACTGTCCCTTTCGCTCGGTAAACTCTGTCCAGCATCCCTGGTCGCCTTGATTTGCCCCCGCGTCTCTTTTAAGTTGAGCTGTTCCCCCCGGTTTCTTACTGGGGTCAGTTCCACTTCTTCATCTGGGTACTCTCTGTATCCCACCCGATCTAGCCATGAGCCCGATCCCTGCTCTTGACTGTCTGTCTCTTCATCTTCCGCTGACCGCGTGGCTGGGACTGCCGCTGCTCGGCGCGATCAGCGTCTCGCTGTTGGGTCTTGCTTTTGTTCTTGTTCGGCTGTATATCGAGCTTCGACGCCAAAGACGACCTGTTCCTACTTCACTGGATTCAAATCCTTGGCACTATTCCAACATGGAAAAAAGTGATGGCCTTTTCTCGGATACGCTGCCGGCGACGGCGTGTGATATCCTCCGTCCGTTGTCGCAGTCTGGCCCTTTCCCGAGCAGTGGGATTCTTGCTGCACAAGCGCGAGAGCAACAGATTGTGAGCTCCAACTTTGAGATGGGTGGGTTCATCTCTCCCGAAACGACATCTGAGACTGTGGGACTGGCATCAAAGTGCAACGAGTCGGTCCAGCAGATGCGCGAGGAGGATGCAGAAGGTGTGCGATTTTGGAAGCGAGTGGTTGTCGAGTACAACTAGTCGACGGGGATGTGTATGGGGAGGATATTCTTATGATTGAGGGTGACTTTGCTTGCATTTGTTTTTGATTGATTTTTTTTTTCTTTTTCTCTTGTTTTCTGGTTTCTGTTCTGTTATGATGATATGACCCGTGCATGCAGTCTTTCCTTCATTTCGCGTGCGCTTTATTGGTTGGTGGCTTACACGTTCCGGTCGTGTCGTATGCACCGCGTCCCATGTTGAATATTGGGGTAGGAAAATGGGATCATAATGATTATTCCGTATACATAACGAGCGCTAGATATAAACAAAAATAACAAATGGGATATCATGTGGGAATATGAACCATAGTACGCCCAAACTCCCTCCAAATAGACCCGGGATGGAATGTAGCTGGTCTGGCAATACTATGTCACTGCCGGATCATCCAATGTGAGAACTGAGCCCTTGCGCTCTGGTTAGACTGGATACCTCGTAATCGGGATTGTCTGGGGGATATAGGTCGCTAGGATCATCGTGCAACGTTGAGCCTGATAGCACTGAGGATGAGGATGATACGGGGGATGCCGAGTCTCTATGAGATACCATAGGCAGATGGATACTCTGCATCAGACGAGAGAATGTGCCGTCGACATGAGATGTGCGACGGAGTAATTCGTCGAGTCTTTGAGCTTGACGCCTGCCGTCCTCTTCAATGCGATCGGCAGTTGACCTGGTATACTATTAGTCTCTCAGATACCCCATGGATCGAGTGTACCGGGAATCACCATATGCATGTGCTCAACATCAGGTTAATTGCAGCCGTATGGGTCTCAAGCTTGTGTCGATAGCGGGTCAACGACTCCTCTCTCAAGTCCCACATAAATCTTCGCCATTGGATTCTCACTTTGGCTCGATAGATGGAGCCGGGACTGGCACTGCTTGATATTTCGGTGGGGTCTTTTATAGTGTCGCGGTATTTGGCCGTCATTCGTTCGAGGTCTTCGAGGGTTTGACGGCACGATCGAACCATCAGCCCTAAGTGTTCTTGTATATCGCGGGCATTAGTCTCCTGGGTTGTGTTTCGAGATAGGATCCCAGTGCAGGTCTTTTGCAAATGAGCCAGTGAGAAACTCAGGGCTAAAAGCGTGTTGTTGAGTTCTGTCAGATCGCGCGGCGCATTCTTCCGACCAGAAGTTGCAGCGGTGATGAGACGGTAGGCTATTTGACTACAGAGAACAATGTCTCCGATGGATACACTGGCCATGATATATTGACAGGAATAAATTGATGAACAATAAAACCTTTTGAGAAGGGGGAGGGGGGGAAGCGCAGTTTTATAAGCTTATAAAGATGACCAAATCGATACCTGGGGTAGGGCCTAAGAATACAGTACATAGTGGGATTTAACCCAAGAGACCCCTGTGCGCCTTTTTACTGTAGTGTCTTGCCAACACATGTGACTTGGGCCCGAGGCTTTTGCATATGACTGGCGAGCCCATCTTCTTGCCCATCTCCTTGCATGGCCTTGAGTTTGGTCCGTGGGGGCAGTGCTACGGTAACTGGCACAGCGCATCGAGTCCACGGGTTTTGGGTCCTAAGCCCTGGAGGGTTGATGGCTGAGTCATCCTGTCCCAGGTGCATCTGGCCAACCTCCACAGCAGCTCACTGTTGTTACTACAACATCCCATCCCACTGCCCTCCAACCATGACCGTCACAGCATTTCCCACCGAGGGATCTCCAGACCTTGCCCTTCTCAATGTCGCCCGTCTATTCACCCGCCTGGAACACAACCTCCTCTCCCCAGGCGCAGACCGACGCTCCCTCCAACACTCCGAGTACCAGCGCATGCGCATAAACAAGGTCCGTCTTGCTCCTGACTATTCACCCTTGACATCAGCATCTAACCCAATCCCAGAACGTCGAATATGCCCGCACCCTCCTGACCCAACTAGAACGCAGCATCCCCCAACTCAAACCCCTCGACCGCAAACACGAAGCTCAAGCCGAGATCGCGCGTGATCGACAATTGCTCAAGCGGATTCAGTCAATTCTCGATGAAGAAGATGCCAAAGCACAAGTGAAGCAAAAACAGGCGGAGGCGGATGACGACAACGACAACGACGAAGACAACGATAATGATACCGAAGACGAATGGAAGGATCTCTTCTCCAAGCCGATATCTAGAGAGAAGGTCGTGGCCTCGGTGCCCCCGCCGAAGAGACAGCCTGCGCCAATTCGCACGGTGGAAGTGCAGTGGGATGAGATGGATGAAGGGCATTCGAAAGCGAGCCTGTCGTTGGACCCCTCCGGTCCAAGCTTTACGCTTACGGAGCCGACGCCGACGTCTGCGACTGCTCCATCTCCGTTTCCTACTTTGCGGAATCGGCATGTTTCTTCGCAAGATTCGGTGGCGTCGACATCGACATCTACGAGTGAGAGACCGACGGCTACTACGACGAGCAGTAGTACTGGCAGTACTAATATTAATGCACAATCGAAAGCGACGGCTGAGAAAGAATTGAGTTCCCATCGGATGGAACAGGAGGATTTGACCAGTTCGTTGTTGACGCTAGCCTCGCAATTGAAGTCCTCGTCGAAGACGTTCCAGTCTACGCTTGAAGGCGAGAAGTCCGCGCTCGACCGCGCTGTTTCGGGAATTGACCGGACGAGTACGACTATGGAGGCGGCAGGGAAGAGGATGGGGTTGTTGAGAAAGATGACGGAGGGGAAGGGGTGGTGGGGACGCATGATGCTCTATGCTTGGATTTTTGGGTTGTGGGTTGTTGCTATTTTGATTGTTTTTGTTGGACCTAAGTTGAGGTTTTAGTTCCAGATCTAGATCTAGTTCTAGTTCTAGTTCTAGTGTTTTTATGCAGAGATACCCAGTTGCGCACTGCTGTTTTACATACTAGTGTTGTGTAGGATACAGTCTTCGAAGATGTGAACAGACATGACGTAACAATTAAAGAGTCAGAACCCTAGTATCAATTCTTGAACTCTGAAAATAACCCAACGACCGACCTGGCATGACACATGAGAACAAGACATGAAAATCCGCGGATCCTGTCATTTCCCCGTGCCTAGTTTGCCCGGCTGTTCGCCCGCGGCTTCCAACAGACGCAAGAGACCAAGGGAAATGATGGGGGGAGACGGTATGGTTACATACAAGATAAACAAGAAGAAGGGGGCACCACAAGATGATAGGATATCCAGCATTCAAATCAGACAGGTTAAAAAAAAGAAAAAGTGGAAAAGAGGTAGGAAATTTGCAGGAAAGCATCAAACGAAAAGAAAGGATGGAGGAAAACAAGACCACGGGCGTTGAGGGCCAGCCCGTGGATTTCACGCACTCCTTGTTTTCTGTCGTGGATATCAGGAGTGACAAAGGAAAAGACAAAAACCGGCTAGAGATCGTGTCACGGACGAGACAATTAGAAGATGAGAAAAGGGGAAAAGGAGAATCAAGAAGAAAGAAAGGAAAAGCAAAGCAGAAGGAATTCAACGCCAGGATCTTGTAACGAGGCTTTTGACCGGTTTCGACCAGCCCCGGTTAATGAAAACATGCGATCTAGTTCGACACTCGTGGGAACAACTTCATTAGATCAAACCGCAGAGACGGAGGTTCTCTTGGATGATGATATCTATCATATGTCAGTATAATTCTTCTTATCAAGGTATAAAGATGTCTTACCGTTCACAGCAGCCATGACGAAGCGAATCTGGGTGGTGTCAGTGGCACAGGTGAAGTGAGTGTAGATCTGCTTTTGCTCGGCCTGGTTGAGAGACACGAAGCGGTTGAGGATGTAGTCGCAAGCCGCGGCGTAGTCGGCACCGCCCTCGTAGTCGGGGAAGTAGTTCTTCATCGGGCTGACGGGCAGCTTCTCCTTGAAACGATCGATCTTGTTGAGGAAGAGAATAATCGAGGTCTTGACGAACCAGCGGGAGTTGCAGATGGAGTCGAACAGGGTCAAAGCTTCTTGCATACGGTTGACGGTCTCGTCTTCGAAGAGCAGCTGGTCGTACTCGGAGATGGCGACCAGGAAGAGAATGGTGGTGACATTCTCGAAGCAGTGAATCCACTTCTTACGCTCGGAACGCTGACCACCCACGTCAAACATGCGGTATGTCAGATCGCCAATGATGAATGTGGTCTCGGTGATACCGGTGGTCTTGACACGGGAGCGGAGGACATCCTGGTCGGTGGGGAGGTAGTCGGGCTGAGCGATGCGCTCAATCGAATCGAAGTAGCTAAAATGGGTCAGTCCAGGCATCGCACCTCGCAGGGTTGACCACTCACTATTTGGCCGAATCGTTCAGCTGGTACTCGCGCGAGCGCTTGAAGCACTCCTGAACCCCGGTGTCGCGCCAGAGAGCGCCGATGGCGTTGCCGACTTCTGGGGGGATGCTATCACCCTCGATCTGAGCGGGCTGCATGAAGATGGTTTGCACGTGGTATTCGTTACGAGCGTCCTCCAGGGGCAGCTCCAGGGACTCCATCGCCTCGAGAATTACCCGCATCGACTGGACGGTGTTGCTGTAGATGATCTCCTTGAACGATTCGCGCTCATCACGGGAGTAGCCTCCCTCGTGGATGAGCTTCATCTGCTTGAGAATTGTCGACTTGCCCGACTCTCCGGCTCCTGTATCGTCGTCAGTCCCCCGGCCTCGAGGCGGGTCGAAAGGTATCACATACCGAGCAGTAGCATCTTGATCTCGTTTCTTTGCATCATCTTGTCGCGCTTGAGCTGGTTCTCAATCTCCTCGTTCCGCGCCTTCCCCTCCTTGTCTTCAGTGCTCATTCCGCAACCCATTTTGGCGGTCTGTAGTGGGCGCGATCAACGATGTGGAAAAGATCTCGAGAGGGAGTGATTCTGATCTATTACAGGGGGGGTCTGATCAATTGTCAGCTGAAAGAAATTCTTCCGATCTCAGGGTCGGTAGTACAAGCAACAGCAGAAGGCGTTTCAGAATGGGGGCCAGCGTATTGACGCAAGGAGATTCAAGAGGAAGAGCGCTCACCTTATGGGGACCAAACAACCAGGATTAAATGAAAGAATAGAAAGAGACGTTCAGAGAGAGAAGAAGGATGGAAGGTAAGGGGTTAGAGGGGGAAATTGGGAAGTTTCAGCAAAAGGGGATACACGGCCAATACACAGCCCATACTGTGCCAAGACCTCCAGGGCTCTTGTTTGAACGGGGTAGTGAGCTGAGTCAGCCCCATAGATTACCATTTGATACCGACCAGTACCCAGCCATACACGTCCATACCGGCCAGTACAGAGTGAATGGGCGACTCTGATTGGTGGCAGTGGAGACTGATGAGCAGCCCCTTTTGAGCTGTGTATTTGGTGTATTTTATTCGCAGTGGGAGTTCAGCTGAGAGTCTGCAGCTTCATTGCTATTTAGTTATAGTGATATATTATAGTACAGTAGACAGTAGCCAATACATGCAGTCAGCGCGGTTCTGATCTCAGCGTCTCAGACCGAAACATTCCTGTGCAAGGGGGGGGAGTTCTGGGTTTCTTCTTTGTTTCTTCTTTGATACTTCTTTGTGGCTTCTTTAGTGGATATGCGCGATACAATACCAAGTATACAGCATCTGCATCCCCCGTGGATCGCGGTGGAGTTCCACCTCTCCAAACATTGTAATCTATACAAGACTGGCCGGAGACTCTGAATTGTTTGGACGCGGATCCCGTATATCCCATATACAGGAGGTGTATTGCTGAAACCGCGATCTGCAGTAGCGTTACATAGGAGAAAAGGTGGGCAAATCTGGGATATCTCCTGAAGTTCTGCACTGGTTGACCCACCGGCTAGTGCTTCTAGTTGTTTTCTATACATGAGCATTGTACTGTGATACTCCACCCTGTACCGCGAGAGACGATTCCCTTGATTTCGAACCAGAGCCTTGGGAGTTCCACAGTGTGACTCTATTCCGTACTCCGAGGCGTTCGTGTGGATCAGGTACCTGGAACATGGAAGATCCGCAGGGTTTGATATGATCACTGATAGGGAGGGGGAGAGGGAAGAATAGTAGACATTGGAGCTCTGATGATCCCTAATCCCACTCGAAAATAGAGTCCAATGGAAGTGATATACACTCAAGCCAGTCTCTGTTGCCCAAGTAAGCAAATCCCGAACCTTGGAATCGCGCGAGATCGATCTGATTTTTCGGGTTCCCCACCGTAAAGCTTCCCCTTCCCTTATCACCTTCCCAAGCATCAGGGGCAACCATGTCTTACGAAATGTCCCACATGGGCCCGAGGGGTAAGTGATTCAGCATCGGACGACGAGCCAACACTAAGAGATCAGCCTTCAACCACGACAACAGCAGCGACGCCGAAGCCGAGTACGATCGGCTCCGCGATCTAGCGCGCCAGGAAGCCTCCAAGCGTGGACAATGTTTCTCTCGGGTAGGCAATTCCCAATTCCAGTCTGCGATGCGATGAGATACGGGTCCGCGACTGCGATCGACCAAGCGAATCGACTCAGAACCGAGTTGGGCTAATGTACTGTACCTCCACCCGCAGTCCAAGGAAGCATACTCGAGCGGTGATGGCGCGGGCGCGAAGCAGCTCTCCGAGGAGGGCAAGGCGCATGGTCGCAAGATGGAACAATACAACAAGCAGGCGTCCGAGTTCATTTTCCGCGAGAATAACTCGAACGGACGTGTTGCCGAGGATACGATTGATCTGCACGGTCAGTTCGTCGAGGAGGCTGAGGAGATTCTAGAGGAGCGGATCAAATATGCCAAGTCGCATGGACAAAATCATCTCCATGTGTATGTTCTCTTGCCCTTCCCCCTAATAGATCTTGGGAATCGTGAGATTGATACTGACTGAACCTCCAGCATCGTCGGCAAGGGTAACCACTCCGCCAACCACGTGCAAAAGATCAAGCCGCGTGTCGAGCAGGTCTGTCAGGAACTCGGTTTGCAATATGCCACCGAGGAAAACGCTGGTCGGATGTATATCAACCTGACCGGTGGAGAAGCTGTTATGCCGCCCTACGGTGGTCACCAGCAGGGACACCAGGGCTCGCACCAATACCCTGGTCAACAGGGTCACCAGAACCAGCAGCACCACCAGAACCAGAGCCACCACCAGAACCAGAATCAAAATCAGAACCAGAACCAGAACCAGAACCAGCCTGATGAGCTGGAGAAGTTGGCCAATGCTATTGTGCCAAAGGTTCTGCGCAAGCTGGAAAAGGCTTGCTGTGTTGTTATGTGAGGTTCCATACGTTTTTGGTGTGATCTATGATCTGGTTTGGATATACATGTAGATGCATGCATGGTAACTTAATTAGTCTAATGACTTGTTATGTTCTGTTTTTGTCTTTACTTTTGTTTTAGACGGTCAGGTGCATTATCTGGGTTCGGCCTGAACACGACTCAGGATGGAGTGCTATAATGTTATACCCATGAACGTGATGGATGTGAACAAGGGCACTGTTCTTGATACTCGATAGCCATTTACATTAATCATATACCGTCGAGTACATCCATTTCATCTCATACTCTTCTGCATCCACCCCGACGCCTTGAGAAAAATCGTTGCATAAAACATATCATCGTAAATTCATAGCTATACTCCCAACTCGCAAAGCATAGCGGGTATATCCAGCAAAGCCCCACCATAGTGCAAGATCTCAATGCGCACTGGGATCGGCCAAAGTGTACTCAACAATCTTATCCACAATCGCACGCACCAACTGTCCATCCCCAGCTCCATTGATCCGCGGGGTCTCATCAATAGCCTCAATCAGACCCAGCGCCTTATCTTTCAAATCCCCCACAACCTGACGCGTATGCTCAAAGCTACCAGTAGTCTGCATATACTGCACAGCATACCTTTTCACCTCATCATCCGTGGTCTTCTGCTTAAGGATATTGAGCAACTGATGATTGGACGGATTGGAGCGAATGCTGTGAATGATAGGATACGAGAACTTGCCCTCGGTCAAATCCTCACAGAGCCCCTTATTCTGCGTATACGTGGTACTCGAGAGATTGAGGTAATCGTCGCAGATCTGAAAGATCAGTCCCATGACATTCACCAGCGCCACGCAATCCTTGCCCGTCTGGCTTTCCGCTTGCATGAGTTTGACGGCGAGTCGGAAAAGACCGCCCGTTTTGTTGCCTACCATTTCCAGGTACTCGTCTTCCGTTGGGCACGTGAGTGTGTCACGCCAGAACAAGTCCATTCCTTGGCCCCGGTGCAGGTTCAGCATTTCTTTGATGTAGATATCCATTGCGAGTGGGTTGTTTAGTTTTTGTACTTCCTGGAGGGCTAGGAAGTAGACGTAGTTGGCGGAGTTGATGGTTTGGGCTGTGCCGAAGATGTTGTGTGCGACTGGAATGCCGCGGCGGAGGATGGAGTTGTCTTCGACGTCGTCAATCCTGATGGGCATTTGTTAGCATTCAATTCGTGGTGGTGGTGGTGGTGGTGGTGGTAAGATAAGATAAATGACCTACAAAAGAGACGCGGTGTGTAACATAGTCACAACCTGAGTGATAATCTCCAAGCTCTCTGGTGGGACCTGCAGCCAGGAATTGAAAGCTTGAATAAGTTGTCGTCGTACATCCTTTCCAGGATGCTCGTGCATATAGTCGTATGGGCCTATCAAAATCTTTTCATTTTTGGCTGACCACGTTCCATGCTTGTATTTGGTGCCGTCGACGCTGGACACATTGCGTCGGTGTTTCGATTCTCCTGATTTTTGTCGGCGTGATGGGCTTGCCCCATTTGTTGCGCCCATGGAGCTAGTGCGCAGGGGAGGACTTGGTGGTGATTTGGAATTCATGGTGAGGGGAGATGGAGGAGAGGGGTGGGGATGACGTTGGGGATAGCTGCTCGGCATTCCCCGTTTTAGTCCTTCTCCCTTGCCGCTTTTTGGTCGATTAAACTGCCCTGCGTCTGACATAAGCACTTCGGTTGGCACGTGGGGGCATGTGATCCATGGCACCGTCCAGATCCTCATCTCACGATCAACACCCCACTGCCCGATAGCCGACAATCTCTGCAGGATCACGAGAGTCTTCTTGGGCCATCGAGAGGCCTGTCAAAGTCCTAGGCTCCACACGGGTCTCCCACAGCACCTTGCTCAGTCCTGTTGGAATAGCTTCACGGTCCAACAAGTACACTGTCGTCTGCACCTGCACACTGAGCTTTGAGAGATATTTGGCGTGCTTATCTTCCTCTTCCTCAATATCGGCTAGAATAACCTTGTCGTGCTGTCCACTCGCATACTGAATAAAGTAACCAGACTGGCTTCCAGACCCTACAGAAGCCAAGGCTCATGTTGTGCTCTGTGGGGCTCTGGTGATGGCTGAGAATTATCGCTTCATCCTCGCTTATAGCCGGCGTGACGCCTAGCTGGGTTCCTTTGTAGTAAGGCTAGCAAGAGGGCAAGTTCCTTATTAGTCTCTTTCATCCTAACAGAGCGACAGCGGTAGCCATACGGTCAATGAGCGTTGAGGTTAGGTTGATAGAGGGTAGTTTAATAGTGTTGCCAGGGTCAGAAGTTGTTGAGTACCGGGCCAGTGCATGAGATACATCACTTGATACCCGGGGATAGTTGACATATCACATAGAATCAAACTCGAATTTCAGAAGCTCACACGCAAGGAAAAAGAAACAGGCAAGGGTAGCTGAATATATTCTTGTTCGCATAGCAACCGGGGTGGCCGCAGAGAACCTCAGCTCGGCGCTAGATTCCCTGCTGAATCTTTCCCAGTCAAGACTATAATTAAATTAAAGTCGATTGTCACTGACGCCATCAGTCGATCTGGGCGGCTAAGCAAACCCAAGTGTGATGGGTTCCTTGGTTATTAGGGGGTCGTCAGGGCAACGCAGCTTATTTACCTGCGAAGGGGCCCAATTGACCGCAATCGGGGGTCCACTGACACTTCTTGGATATAAGACCTTGATGGCTTGCTTTTTCTCTGGGGTTCACCATCTCTATCTATCACTTTGATCTATCTTCATGGAGACTTTACTGGCGCACTCGTTTGACTATCTCTCCTCGTACGAGCCCAGCAAGATCCGAAAGGGCCTGCGTCAGGTCGAAGGTCTACTCGCACAAATATGTCTATCCAAACCAAAGCCCGTGTCAGACCGGCGGAAATCACGTCTGGCCGATGCTCCTCAGCCGATGCCCAAGGCCCTCTCCGAGCTCCGCGATGACCCTGCGTTTCGCGAATTTTCCAAACTACAAGAAAGCTTCCAATGGAACAGTAAGTGCCCAACCCTCCCAGCCCGAACCATCCACTCACACCCTCAGTTGCGATGCGCCTAGTCTCCTGTCTCGAACACCTCCTGGGTAGAGGAAGCAACGGCACAAACGACATGCTCATCGTCTGCACGCTAGACCTGATCCAAGGCTCGCTCCTCCTACACCCAGGCTCACGCTCCCTCTTCGCCCGTGAGATCTACATGAACCTCCTCCTTGACCTTCTCGACCCTATCAACTGTCCCGCCGTCCAATCCGCAACCCTCCTCACCCTCGTCACCGCCCTCCTCGACTGTCCCGCCAATACGCGCACCTTTGAGGACCTGGACGGCCTCTTGACCGTGACATCGCTCTTCAAGCAGCGCGCCACCTCCCGCGAAGTCAAGCTCAAGCTCGTCGAGTTCCTCTACTTTTATCTCATGCCCGAGACGCCCACCCACGCGCCTCTTTCGCCTCCACCGGGGCTGCAGCGCAGCCCGAGTAAATTGTCCAATGCGCCTTTTGCGCGCAGTTCGCACACTGCTGCGCATGCTGCTAAGATGAGTCGTGACACGCGAACTACCGATGAGAAGCAGGCTCTTCTAGGGCGGTATTTGAATAATGTTGAGGATCTGGTGGAGGATTTGAAGGAGACAGCACCGTTTGGTGCCACCGTTTATTGACGACAGAATGGCGATTGATTTCCCGCGTCATGACCGAAAAGTATGCGCTCGCTGCGATTTTGGGTGATTTTTTCCCTTCTTCTTTCTTGTTTTTTTTTTTTTTTTCTTCTTCTTTTTGCTCCTTAGCCCTCTTTTTTTCGCTTCTTTTAGCAAGCCTTTGACTTTGGACCGTCCGGTACGGCTATTTGACGATTCGCTGGACTGTTGTTTTTCTCTCTTTTGGCTTGATCTTTTTGTCTCTCCAATTCTGGACTTGTGTCTATCTTTTTATTGGCTTTGGCTGTCCTTTCTTTATCTAATGGCGACATGATTGTGTACGATTTTCCTCTGTGACTATTTCCAAATATGCTTGACGATTGAGTTTTGGCAACCGTAAACTGTAGACTGGAGACTGGAGACTGTCGATCATGATCCGATCTCACCACTTTTAGCTTTGAAGCTTGGCCCATTTCCCCGGTAACAGAAGTACGGTGTGGACAAGATTTCTTCACCTCCATTTGCCTTTGATGGCATTATGTACGGCTTCTTAATGAGTCACTCCCTGACTCACCCGGGATTTAATGTATAGCCAAGTCCGATCGATAGGGTGGGGAAGCGACAAGCATCAGCGTCAGATCACTCTTTATATATGGACCTGCTTGTTTTGTTCAGAGGGGTTTTTAGAAGTCGTCTCGAAACCATTATCTAAGATGTCACCAACTATTCAGGAACTATTGTCGACTGGGCCCTCTGCCGATGGGCCGCCGACGAAGTATTTAGATACGGTTCAGGCTTATAACCAGTGGGCTGAGGTATGTAGAGACTATGTACTTCCACTTTGATTGAATATTCCTTGAATATTGACATATCAATTCGAGATAGGTTTATGATACAGATGGGAATTTCCTACAACGACTCGATACGATTGAAATGCGAGCTTTACTACCCCAGTTTCTTGATCGTGTCAATGCCCGCTTCCCAGGGCCGGCACCCGAACTTGAAGCATCTCGAATGGCCCTCGTAGATCTCGGTTGTGGAACTGGCAGAAACACACTTCAATTGGTAGATGCTCTCTCCTCAAATGTAGGGGTAGACCGATTCGAAATCGTCGGTCTGGATGCTTCACCCGGTATGTTGGATGTCGCTCGCACCACCATTGAAAAGCATCTCGAATTGGAAAACCCCAGAGCGGACGTGAAACTAGGAATATTTGATCTTCTGCAGCCCAATCTGCAACAATTACCGACTTCTTTGCGTACAGCGGGGGCAGCAGGTGTGATATCTACTCTGGTACTGGAACACATCCCGCTCCAGCAATACTTTACTGCCGCCTCGACCATCATGAAAGCTGGTGCATATCTCTTGCTAACTAATATGCATGCTGAGATGGGAATGCGCAGCCAGGCAGGCTTCACGGATCCCGCGACTGGGGCCAAGATTCGGCCTACGAGTTATTGTCACCAGATTGCGGATATTTTATCTGTGGCTGTGGAGGCGGGGTTCCAGCTGGAAGAAATTGTTGGTTGTAATGAGAATGGAGTATTGGTGAGAGGCGTTGATGAGGAATTGGGGGAGGTGCTGGGTGCAAGGGCTAAGAAATGGGTTGGGATTAGGGTTTGGTTTGGGATTTGTTTCAGCAAGAAGTAAAATGTCGTGGGGGCAAAGAGATAAGATGGAGGCCAAGCGATATTATTCGAATGAATCCGGTTCGATTTCACAAGTCGCTAGTAGTGGTACATTTAGAAAAATTTGAGTAGTCTGTCGCGGTGTTGTACAAGATTGGAATGCTCCCCGAGCAGCTGGGCCAGCCGATTGTTTTTCCAGCCTAGCGTATCGTCCAAGATCAGCTGCGTATAGGCGAAAACACTGGCATCGAAGAGTCCTGGGTTTGGCCGGCCGAAAAAGTGCTCATCCTCGCCGAGTAGTGTAGATAACGCCTCGAATGCGCTGCCTGCGTCACCCTCTAAATCCGCGGCGTCAATGTAGCGCGAGTTTTTGAGGAGCTCATCGCGGGCGGCTTGCTGGAGCTGGTGGCTTAGGGCGGCGCGCACCACAGTGTTGGTTGTTGCGGGTTCCACGTAGAGTCGGCGGGCGACGGCATCGAAGTTGTCGCTGTCTAGATAAAGCATGTATAACTGAATACGTTAGTCGGGCCCCAAAAGTGTGTTCAAATTGATCCTACCCAGGCATGGCGTATCCGGTGGTCCAACAGTGAGGCATACACCTCAAACCGGAGGTTCAGTTGCTGTTCCTCTTCGCAGTGAACTTGTTCAATGGCCCACTTCTGGAGCTTGTGTGATGGAATTGGGTTCAATGTATCTGTCGGAAGAGCAGGGAGGAGGAATGGGAGGGCGCCAGTGGGGGATGCGTGGTTGTTGGACGCGGTGATCTCGAAGTCGATTCCGACGAATTTCAGGTAGGCCTAGAGCGCTCATCAGTCTGCGTTCCAAGGATGCGCCCTTGCATCTGGGCCACGAACCTGCCATTTGAGACATTGAGGATTGAAGGAAGGTCGGCCATGTCGTGCTCCGCGCGCGTCAGTGAAGACGAATAGCTGGTTGGCAGGGTTCGGCTGAAGCCGTTGAGGGAGCTCGTTGGCGGGATAGGTGGTCAACGGGAACTTGTCGAAGAGGCGCTTGAGAGGTGCAGGGATTGTGAAGAAGGAATTGGAGTTGCTGTCGGTGCTAGCACTGCTAGCGCTGCTGTCAGCTTCCTGGCCTTTGGGCGGCATTGCGGTAGTTGACGAGACAAAGCTCCGAGGTCATCGAAACAGTTGAAGGATCCCGAATAGGAAGGATTACATAACCAGGCACCGAGTCTCCCCGCACCTTTTCTTCCTTTCTTCTCTTGCGATTTATACAGACTCACTGTTGGACTCGAATGAGACTCGAAGACTCGTTATTCCCGCCTCGGTCTTGTCGCTTACATCGCATGGTGCATGCCCGGTCTTTTCCGCAACGCTCACCCACTTCGTCAGTCCGCTCGACTCCACCTTTTCCTCATACGATCTTCCCTCGAGAACGACTTTGGCATCTTGAGATATATGGCTTGATTCCATCGCAAAGTGCGAGTATTACATAGTTCTGGTGGAAACGGAGATCGCATGCGCGGGGTATCGACTGCGCGCTAAGACTGCCTACTGCGTCCACAACGGTTGCGACATTACGAATCACTTCGCCTGACAACATTACTCAATACCCGGGTCCCCAAATCTGGTCGGAAATATGCCTCTCGACGAAGAAGGCGCCAAGTGGTCCTGGTAAGAATACATCCCGTCACGATTGTGAATAGAGCTAGGCTAAAGAGCCACCCCAGTGAGCCATGCATTCGAGGTCACCGATCGTCGAAATGCCAACACTTTGACCGACTCATGATGAAGGTCCCTAAAGCTGGGCGCCCTCTGGCAAAATGTCCTCATCCGAAAGGAACTTGCAGCTGCCAGAAAACATATGCCGTGATGGTCCGGATACCAAAAGGTAAACTTCAGTTGGTTGCCCTTTATTTCTCTATGTTAACCTTTCCAGGCTCATCCTGTCTATGCCGACCATTGTATAAAGTTCCTATGGAAGACAATGATTCAGCTCAGTCTCCACCTAACCTGGTTTCCTCATCTTCCCCGGCCCCTGGCAAGGTTCAAAAGTCTGGAAGAAGACAAAGTACTATGCAAGCAGCACCTGAAAATATAGCCAGGGCATTAGAGAACATGCCAAACAATCTCAAGATTGAGGATGGACCGCAAAATCTTGTATCCAGCTTTTCTCAAAATGGGCAAGATCCATATGCATCTGCTACACAAAGCCACAAGCCTATATCGCCCAAAGAGCTTTCCAGAGAAGCCTCACAGTCCCCTCCAGTATCTAGCTGTTGTTCGAAAAAGGAGAAACCGGCTACTTCAGCCCCAGTTCCATCCCCAGCTGCAGCTCCGGCTCAGAATGGAGGATCTTGCTGCGAGTCTCGCCCTTCCACATCCGAGCCTCAGCACCCCAAAGCGGAAAAGCAGCAATTCCAGCAACCTGCTAGTTGGGATAGTCGGAATCAAATGTACATGCCATACGGTGTATCCGATATGACTTCTTGGGGAAGCCAGCCGATATCTACTGAAGGGAACTACATTCCCGCCATGAGTACACCTTCCCAAGCACCAATCTTCCAAAATGGGTTCTCGCAGAATGCGATGCCTCCACCAAACCCTCAGCCATCAGCATCGAACGCATATTCTCTCAATATGGGCACGCAGCAGTCGATGGGTTACAACAACCCAATGAACGGTCTGGGAATCTCGCAACCCTCCATGGGTCCATACATGCTCAACCACTCCCATACACCCTATCCTATGCAAGCAGCGTCAAGCGATGACCCCTGTCACGAATGTCGCTGTGGGGAAGATTGCCAGTGTCTGGGCTGTGCTTCTCACCCGTTCAACACTACAACACGAAAGCATGTCCAAGAGATGGGCGCCATGATCACCTTCAACGGCGACGAGAAAAATCCAGAATCTATCAACCCTTATCAACCCTCACCCTTCCAGGGAGCTACACCTCCGGCTCCATTCAACTATTACATGCAAGGCACCCCGTCTCTAGACCAAGGATACCAGCAGAACCCCTTCGAAGGATATTCAGATCCCAATTCTGCCATGCCAAGTGGCTACTCCTCTCCTTTGACTGGCTCAGGTCTGAACCACCAATTGATGCACCCTTCGGAGTACTACACTCTGGAATACCCTGTCGGACTACCAAGTGCTTGCTCCGACGTGACAGGAAGCTGTCAATGTGGAAGTGATTGCAGCTGCGTGGGCTGTCTCACACATAGCGGCCACAACGGCTTCTCTTTGGATACGCCGATTCTCGAAGTTCCATTCCCGGAAACTACAGAACACCAACAAGGCCCTGCTCGTGCTCCGCATACAAGCTCTGCTACTCCGACTTCACGAATTCCCGTACTGGACAATATGTCTGTGCCATGCCTCAGTCCGCGCACCTTGGAAACTTCTATGATTTAGATGATGCACGATTTACGACATCTTCACTTCTTTCCTCCCCCCATTTCTGCTTGATGTTTGGCCTCGCATGATTTATGATCTTCCTTTGATACCCTGCCCACCCTATCTAGAATCTACTCTAGACGGCTACTGCTAGATTGCTTGTTTTAATGGACTTGTCGCGTCATTTCCCCACTCTGACAATATTCACCTGGTGTTTCCCATTCCAATCTTAACAGGCCCTTGCCTCAAGACCTCATACAGATTCCGTAGGCAATCGAATCTAGCCAGGCCCGAACGGTCTATTTTCCTCAATAGTATATATACTCCACCAACTTACGCTACATCCAACACAATCCAGTATGATCATCAATGCATTGGGGATATCATAATTCTTAAACAAAATATAGAATAGTGTACATGTACATAAAAGACAGTTTTTCCCAAACAAACAAATCAAGCCTTATTCCACTTGCCGAACTTGACATAGTCATCATAAAGGGACTTGAACACTGCCCGACCAGAGACATCTAACGCAGCATTGAGAGCGCGCATAGACTCGCGCGACATCACATCCAAAGCAGAATACAGTCCGGGCATAATGGCTGCCTTGACTTCCGGTGACAATGAGCCCCGCAACGAACACTGTGCATACTCCATGACTACGTACTGCAGGTACTGTCCAGCGATGCGCTTGGCTTTCTTGGTTTGATCCGTGAGGGCCTCGCGGGATTGGCCGGGTTGTGGGCGTAGCACGGATGACACAGTTGGGTCGCAGAGCGACGTGAGCAGACGTGTGTAGTAGCTGGCGTGTGAGGCTTCCAGTGGGGCGAGCCAGAAGGGCTGCGAGAGGGTGGTCTGGGAGCGGGCGGAGCGGCCGCGTTTGCGGGAGCGTGCGAATAGGCAGCCCAGGAGGCGTTGCATGGCGTTTACGACGAGATGGAAGCGGCCGCCGATCTTGAGGCGCTGGAGGTTTAAGACGACGCCCATCAGGCGGCAGAGGCGGGTGTAGATTGTTGGGGCGTATTCGGAGGAGATCTGGGGTCCGATCTTGGAGGAGGCGCTGGCGATTGCCGCGAGAATGGCGTCAATGTTGCACTGGGATAGGCTGCGGGTCTGGGTGCGGAGGAGAAGATCCAGACATTCCGATGCGAAGCAGAACTGGTCGATGCTCGTGCTCTGGGGAATGACTTCCGCGAGAGCAGTGCAGAGAAGGGATAGTTCTCGAGCTGTGGCGCCCTCTTTGTCCTCGATGGGAGGGAGGGAGGCAATGGCAAGGTAGATCACTAGGAGCCTGTATCCGGCGTTCTGGCCAATCAAGCCGAGCCCTCTAACTTCACAAATTGCCTGGGTAGTTTTCTCCACGGGCATGGAGCGGAACCGCTCGGTTGTGGTTCGGATGAACAGCTGCTGGTCCTCGTCGTAAAGAGACTGGAGGGTCAGAGCCTCGGCGCATTGAAGGACTGGTTGGACAATGTTTTTCTCAGGTCCCTTGCTGGCGAGAAGGCGGCGTCGGATCAGACGGGATGGCGCCGAGTCAATGGACATTTCCATATAGTTCTGAATCTTAGACAGGAACTTCTCGACCTCGATGTTCTTGAGGGCTAGGTCCTCGAAATCCTCCAGTGCATCGATGGTCTTGATAAGAGTGACAGTCTCTTCCATCTTCTGCTTTCTGCACTGATCTTTAACATATTTCATGTCAGCCAGCACCAGGTCGAACACACGTTGACGAAGGGCGGCCAGTTCTGTCTCGGAAAAGGCTGTTTGCAGCTTTTTGCGCTGAACCCAAAGCTCAGACAGAGAAAGACGCAAGAGGAAGCAAGCCATGGAATCACGATCGACTTGTCTCATCTTCGAGGTCTGCTTCGATACCCTGGAGAAGAGCTTCTTGAACAGCTTGTTGCGATCATTCTCGGACAGGACCAAGAGCTTAGTTAGGATAGCGCGGTACAGACTTCGGAACGCTTTCATGATCTGAAGATCAGTGTCTGTGCCCTTCAAAGAGACTGCACGAGCTGTGGTCCAGATTGGCTCCCAGTCGCTGGTCAATGTGGCATCACATTTGGGCATGGCTGCCAGTTTGGCCATCATCGTGAGAATGCCAACCACAACTTCGGGGGAGCTGTCCTGCTGAAGTACAACATCCTGCAGTTTGTTCAGAATTGTGGTCCGCAGTCCACGGGTGATCAATGGGGCAGGGATTCTCTGTAAACTCTCAACAAGGATTTGGCGGTTGGAGGAGTCTTGCTCGATACAATCATTCAAAAGAAGGGAAAGATCAGATACAATCAGAGGAGCGTTGAGCAGATATTCGTGGCAAACCACACTTGCCCATGCTTGGAGGAATCTGGCTTCTTCGGAAATGACCTCCAGAGGCAACGAAGAAGAATGGTACTGAGCAGCAGCCAGAGACAAGATGTGCCGGAACAAACGCGATCGCTCTTCAGAGGCGATATGGCTCCAGACTTCTGGCATTCTAACCAAAGCCAGGAAGTAAGCGAGACCAAGAGTGGTTTGGGACTCCACTGTATCAGTGTGGCCATTCCAAGGGGCTTTCATCGACTTTTTGGCATCACGAGGAGAGATGGAGACGATAAGGTCGATGATGTCCTTGGTGGCAGCAGTGAATGAGCTTCGCTGCTCTTCATTTGCGTGTGCTTTGATTGCATCTAGAACAAATCTGTAAGCTTCCCAAGACTCAAGCGAGGCAAGAGGCCTTTTGGCCAGGTCCTTGTGGTTGCGGTGAATGACCTTTGCAGCGACTTGTAGCAGTTCCATCACAGACTTTGCAAGAGCATCGTCGGCTGACTTCAAGCTGTTATCCAAAAGGTTCCGAACCAGCCGCCACAACCGCCATCGCCAGTGGAAAGATTGCTTGGAGGACAAAGTCGCTATCACAGTCTCAAGAAGCGACGCGAAGACCTTGTCTGATTCTGCGAATGGCGAAACACGACCCCGGAAGCTTGCTTCCACAATAACAAACTTCGCGTAGGAATGAGGGGTTTCCGCAATCTTTCCATTATCAGCCTTGGTCTCGCTAGCGGCAGTTCGCATCTGGGCAGCGATGTGAGACTCGGCGAGAGAGGTTCGCATAATCTCGGCGTAAGTGTCAGAGAGATCATCGTCTTCCCAGACTGAGAACAAACTCAGACTACTGTTGTCCTGGCGGGCCTCATCCACTGCAGCAAGTTGGTTGTGCCACACCTCCATAAAGGTTGGCAAATCTCTCGCCGCGGCGAAGCCTCGCAAAAGCGGAATTACAACATTGGTCTTGATCGTGTTGTAAACCCTGGAGTCCTCGGCGGCATTGTCACGCCATTGCAATTGAACCTTTGTGAGCAATGCATCGAGGAGTTTGCGAGAGTCGCGTAAACCAGAATTGGGCAGGAACACGTCCACGCCAAGGCTGATGAACAAAGCTGTCACATTCCACTGAACCTTTTCAAGGCCTTCCTCGTATAGACCGGTGTAGTTGGCATGTGCAAGGATGGTATGTAAGGACAGGCCGACGTTCCGATCAAGAGCCACTCGGAGGAGCTGCTCCAAAACCGCAACGAACTTCGAGTCAAATGTAGCAAAGTCCTCTTCCTTTGCGGTAGAGAAGGCCAATTCTGCAACAGCAACAAACAAAGTTTCCAGCCATGGGGCTTCGTGAGTCTGTCTGCGGAATACGTCTCGCGGGACAGCACGGACAGCATTGTCAAACAATTCAGGAAGAAGCTCAACCGATCTCCACGGGCTGCCACAGGGTTCGCCCGAGGAGTTGTCCTTGGCTACCGGAAACTCGCGGATTATTGGTTTGAAAGTATCAGTAACCGGCTTGACTGGGCTCCAATCGGGCTCATCCTTGGAATAGTCGATACCAGAGCCTCCGCTTTCAAAGAATGCCGCACGTGCTGGAAGCAAGACATGCAAAGCAATAATACGCTCGATAGAATGAAGAAGATGAGCACACTCATCAGTATCAAGCTTGGCGGACCGCAAGCAGATCTGAAGCCTGAGGGCGTGAGCAAAACAATGTCTCGCGAAGAACTCATTGCTGGATTTGTTGTCCGTGTCATCTTGACGATAAGATCGTGATTCCCACAGCTCGACTGCCGCAGGGAACACGTACAGCAAGTGCTGAAGATCAGTCGTCCTCCCCGCATGTGAAAACTGCCTAGCGGCGACAGCAGCCACTCGGAATGATCGACCCAGCAACATCGCGACTGCCTCTGGCTCGCCTCTCAGCACGAGCTTCAGATGCGAGTTTGCCACTCCATCAGTGCCGAGTGTGCGGTGTGTAAGTGTCACGATCCCATATAGACAATCCAAAGCGCGAATGAAGGTGCTGAAGCATGCTGCGGGGTTCTGTCGGTGTTCGTCTCCATCCACGTCCATTGCGTCTCCATTCTCAATGGTCATTCTCTTTCTCTTTTTACCTTGACTTCCCCGATGATCGTCATGGGGGGAATCAGGCGAAGTCTGACTGGACTCTGAGTCTGAGCTCCAGGCTGCAATCCCATTTCCTAGGCCGGCGAAAATATCGGCTTCCAGATCTGCAATCGTTTCGCATAGAATTGACAAAAGCTTCTGATCCTTCAAAATAGCAGCGAGGTTCTTTGGCGAGATCAGATCAATTAGTTGACGTAGTAGCAGAAAGGAAGCTGCGTCCATCCTGTAGTTCTTCCCACTTCTTAGTCTCTTCAACAACCATCGTAGAACCCATTCCTCCTTCGGGGTGGCGTTTGTTTGAATCCGAACATCGCGGTGAACTTCCGGGTGACTTTCACACAGCGTCAAGTCTAGTCCGAGAATCTGCGCCGCTTCGTGAAGCTGGGTCGTCGGAGAGGCAGTGCCTTTTTCGAGGCGGAGGAGCGCCTCTTGCGATGAGCGCGGACGCTGAACACAGCACATTAGACCAAAGATACAGACACAAAGTATCAAAGACTTACCTCCGCAAGCATCGGCATCGCGAAAATGCAGATAAATCGAGTGAGTGGTGGTTATTTGTCGAGGAAGGAAAAAAAAAAAGATCCCCAAAAGAAAAACGGCCGATTACTCCGACCGCCTTTGCCCGAGCGACTCGCGCCGCTCAAACTCCCAACTCCTTGCACTAACGTCTTTCTTCACCTCTTCAATCTTATATCATTGCAAGTGGTTTGTTGGTCTTCGTATATTTGGACAATTGAATTCCTGCTGACTCTCTTGCTAGATTTATCGCAATGGCCGATTCCAACCAGTCTGGCACCATCGCGCGGGCCACCAAGCCCGTCAGCGAGGCTCTGCTCAACGAGAAGGTATGAGCTAGCTTGGGGATCCGAGCGGGTGAATTCGTTCCAGATGGTAGCATACACACTATCTGCAACAATTGATCTGTTTGGGGGCACGAATCGGGCATTGGTAGCTAATCTTATTGAATGTTTAGTGGGACCGCGCCATCTCCTCCGTCATCATCAAGTCCTCCCTCGGTCTGTCTTTCGGTGTTGTCTTCTCTGTTCTCCTGTTCAAGCGCCGCGCCTGGCCCGCCTGGGTTGGTCTCGGTTTCGGAGCCGGTCGCGCTTGGGAAGAGGCTGATGGTATGTTTATATTGATGTTTCATGATCGCTAGGGAAGCTTTCAGTGGAAGCAGGTGCTATAACATGCTGTGAGACAGACTATCAAGAGCTTGAGAAGGCTCTAGTTGCTCTATCTCTGCAGTATGAGGGCTTGCAAGCTCTTCGCTGGCTATCCGCTTTTCCCCGAGCTTCCTTTAGTTCCCGTCACCACTTCGGCGTTGCGTACAATTGAGCTAACTGGTTCTTAGCCTCCTTCCGCCGTGGTGATTCTCCCATCAGAGATGCCCTGCGCCGTTAAAGATATGATCCCATTGTGTACGATATATTGTACAGAAGGCGCGAGACCATTGGCGGATGGTTGTCCAGCCTAGAGAAGACTGGTATCACGGCATTCACCAAGCGCGCCGTTGGTACCTGTGAGGTATTCGTTTGATTTGTTGTGCTCCTGAATTAGAGGTAACATGATCGGTTGAAATTGAGTCGTGTTCATCCTGGCAAAAGTCTTGACCTTCAATCTATTTCTTTGTGTAATTTCCACACGAACCCTCAAAGTATGGAGATATGTCAGGATATATCTCCCTTCCATGTGGGAGTCCGTATGAAAGTATCTTATAGATCACTGATACTACCTACCTAGGTAGGGTACGAGGTTAGATCATGCAAGCATCATAGGAATCCTAGTAGTATTTCAGGACCACTCCGCCTAAAGAATCAGTCTTAGTATACCACCATACAATCTCTCTCGGTAACTTGTTAGATCGTCTACACTCACCTTATCGATAGGCCTTACACCTATATCACAGTCAACAACAAAGTATACAACTCTTGCTTCGAAATGTGGCTCTGTCGTGCCACTGATGGCGAGTAGACGATGAAGAATCCATGTTCAAGTGGCATAGCAGGATGCCTTTAGATTTCTGCAGGCACAAGGCTCCCGCGGTCTGTTGTATCCTCTACCCTAGGTAAGGTTATAGATGACTCAGCTCTTTAGACTCACCTAAGTGGATATCTACACATGTGCACCTGGGCATGCATCATACCTTAGATAAAGACCCCCCGAGTAGATCTCCAGAGACATTCCACTCATCCCAAGTGTAGTGAGTTAGTTTACGAGAGCAATAGACAGAATGAGAAACATATCCACTGAATTCAATCCCAACGTCAACATACTAGAAGGTATGTTCACCTTATAGACCAAAGGCCTTGGCCTCACGTGCCCGGCAATTACTCGATCAGATCGAGTCAACCGGGTTATCTCCAGCTTTTCTCCACGTCCCAAAAGGGTTGAGATAGGGTCGAGATAGGGGTTCCCACCAATCACCATCCACACTCGGCAATATCAGCCCCACTCCCCGTGACCCCAAAGATAAGCCGTGACTCGAGCCGTTCGGTCAGCGCTCGATCCTCGCGACTGTTTTGCCTCTGGAGACCAGAGACCACATGGGATCATCCCATCCTGCTTATCATGGATTCACAGGGGTGCGACGTAATATGGGATTGGAATTCTCCATAAAGGTCTTCCTGTCCCCCCTTGTATCACTTATCCTCGTCAATTCTACACGACTAGATACTCCACCATGTCCAAGTTAAAATGGTTCCTCAGAAAGTTGGAGGTCGAGAATGAACCGGGACTGAGTAATGCTCAGTTGATGTTGACCAACAGTGATCTCGAGCCAGGTACATCCTCTATACTTCGAAACACCCCCCAAAGGCAGTGACTGACTCTTCCCAGTGGACCCGGAGCGCCGTCAATGGAGGTGGATTAACTATGTCGCCTTCTGGATTGCGGATTCATTGAACATTGTCAGTCCCGAAACCAACCCAGATTCGAACCATCACTAACCCAGAACTAGAACACATGGATGATTTCATCCTCAATGATCGTCGACGGTCTCTCATGGTGGCAATCTTGGCTCTGCGTCTGGATTGGATACCTGGTAGCAGCAGCCTTTGTCTGTCTAACAGGTCGCATCGGAGCCGTCTACCACATTTCCTTCCCAGTGACGGCCCGCGCTTCGTTCGGAATTTGGGGTTCTTTCTGGCCCGTCCTGAACAGAGTGGTTATGGCAATTATCTGGTACGGCGTGCAAAGTTATATCGGAGGTATGCATCCCCTCAACCCCGGAAATATATACACTTGAGTCTCCCATCTAACAAAGACGACCAGGCGAATGCGTCACTCTAATGATTGAAGCAATCTGGCCCAGCTACCGGAACCTACACAACGGGCTCTCAGCCAGCGCAGGCGTCGACACCAAGAACTTCCTCAGCTTCTTCCTCTTCTGGCTCCTCTCCCTCCCCGCCCTATGGTTCCCAGTCCACAAAGTGCGCCACCTCTTCACCGTGAAGGCCATCTACTCCCCCATCGCGGCCATCGCCTTTTTCGGCTGGGCGATCTCCCGCGCCAACGGCCTCGGCCCAATCATCCACCAGCCCAACACCGTCCACGGCTCCGACTTCCGCTGGGCCATGGTGAAAGGAATCATGTCGTGCATCGGCAACTTTGCCGCGCTGATCATGAATGACCCGGATTTCTCGCGTTTCGCCCGTACCCCCAAGGATGCGCTTTGGTCTCAGCTGTTCACGATTCCCATTGGATTCGGTGTGACCTCGTTCATTGGAATCATCGTCTCATCATCTTCATCGGTGATCTTCAACGATGGATATACTTGGAACCCACTGGATCTTCTCGGCAAATTCCTCGACGGGGCCAGCTCCGCGCAGCGATTCGGCATTTTCATTATCGCGACAGGCTTCGCTCTTGCGCAACTGGGAACCAATATCTCGGCTAATTCGGTGTCGGCCGGTACTGATTTGACGGCTCTCCTGCCACGTTACTTGAATATTCGTCGCGGAAGTTATATCTGTGCTGCTGTTGGTCTGGCTATGTGTCCAGTAAGTCCCCTCCTCGGTCTCTGCAGAGTACATTGTACATTGATCTAATGAACACAAAAGTGGAACTTGGTTTCAACCTCAAACAACTTCACAACCTACCTCTCGGCCTACTCCCTCTTCCTGTCCGCCATCGCAGGCGTCATGATTTGCGACTACTATATCGTCCGAAAAGGTTATCTCAACATCAAGGCTCTCTACAGCGCAAGCAAAACAGATGCCTACTATTACAGCTTCGGCTTCAGCTGGCGTGCGTATGCAGCATACCTCAGCGGCATTATGGTCAATATTGTCGGCTTTGCTGGTGCTGTTGGAAAGGACGTTCCTGTTGGTGCGCAGTACATCTATAACGTCAACTATTTCTCCGGAGTTATTATTTCTGGACTAGTGTACTTTGTGCTCACGTGGGCTTGGCCTGTTGCGGAGACTAGTGACCGCTGGAATGAAGTTGATATTGATGAAGTTCTTGGGCTTGATGTTGATTATGGACGGGATCCGGAGGATGTTGAGGGCATTGCGGGTGAGAGAGATGGGGATTTGAAGGGCGATCATAAGGTCAGGGCTTCTTATTTAAAAGACTGATCTCTTGAAAGTGTCTCGACTGGTGTGTTTATTTGAGCGGGATTTTCTTTCTATACTAATGAACCCTTTCCCCTCTGGATTGGGACATCTCTGGCATTGAGATATGATGAAATGACTATGAGACCTGGTGGTCTCTGTTACTTGATAGCAAAATCTTTTTTTTTTCTATTTGATCTTTGAGGTTCGGTTCTTGGAGGATCATAGATACAATACCATCACATGCGTTATTCTTTTGATCTACGAATATAAAAGTAGGACACCATAACCAAGGATAATACAGAAATTCATTTCCATCAAAGGAATCCGTATTCAGCACACTATCTAATAGAACAGGGGAATATATAGAGACACAAGAAAACACTAGAACACAAGACAAAGCCCATCTGAACCAAGTCCAAGTTCAGACGACGAAGCAACCGCCAGGGGAGCAACCAAAAGAACGAACAAGGGGAACAGTAGCCATAGTACACAAATACACAAAAACAGGAAAAGACCGGCTATGCAAACCCAACGAATCAGACGAACAAAATGAAGGTCATCCATCTCATCCTACCCAGTTTTACTCGGTGTGGATTGGACTTTAGTGATCCGGAGACCAAAACAGACACTAGCCGGGAGAGTATGGCATGCAACCGGGATTTGAATACTGATAAGATTCAATCAAATTGTAGAGCGCGCCTGGAATCACAAGCCCGGACCAGATTCCGAATCCGAATGGATTCGAATGCTATGGTGGTCTGATGAAAAGATGGTGGAAATGAGATGAGATGAGATTGAAAGAGAGGAATAGAGAGAAGGAAGCCAGGCAAAGTCAAGTCAACTGGACTGAATTGAACTGTTACTTCGGTGAACCAGTCACGCGCGTCTTCTCCATGGGATGTGATTTGACTCCGCAAATGCCATATGATGATGATGAGGCGGGATCGCCGAACCCGAAAAAAAAATAACCCCGATTAACCTCATGCGAGCTTGGTTTGAGTACACGTGGAACATGATAGAAACAGGACAACAGAAACAAAAGGAAGGAAGATGGAGTATACAATATGGTTATCCTTAGCCAAGGAGACATGAGATATCACAGGAAAAAGAACATCAGAACAAAAGCAAGTGAATCCAACAGAAAACATGAACGCCTCTCCCAGGTTCGAGACATGGGTTCGGTCACCAGGGCCGGTACGAGGGTGCAACATTGGCGATTCGCGGTATACATGAGTAAACAGATTGAAGTAACTTGAGGGGGTATCGCTGACGTGAAGCAATGGCAATGGTAATGGCGCAAGAAACAAGAATTTCCGAGCAATGTGAGGAGCAGGCTCACATTAGAGGAAGAGGATATGATGCAGAAAGAAAAACGCCGGAACACTGGGTTGATGCGAGGGGGGGAACACGGTTCCGCATTGGGGGTGGAGAGGAAGGTCATTGAGCAAATGATGAATTCGAGGTGGTGGATATTGTCGGGGTCAAACTCGGAGAACTTTCCTTGTCCTCCGGACTGACGGGATCACTGCGATCATGAGATTGATCCTTGTCGCGTTCGGTAGAAGATGAACGCTTGAAGACCGTCTGACCGATTTGGCGGAGAATGCCCATCCGTTCGGCGCGAAGCTCTTCAAGGTCTAGGCGCTGGACGGGAATCGGATCCTCCTTGGCGATCTTGCAGAAGAGAGTTGAGAAGAGGTATTGGTCGCCACTACCGTCGTAGAGGGGGAGATAGCGGTAGCCCTGAGACAGGCTCGTAAGCTTGGCTGTGAATGTGGCCAGCTGCACGCTGTTGTTGTTACCGGCGCTGCGGCCATCGGTCGAGCTCCAAACGGTCCATCGCACAAACACAAGATCGGGATACTTGGTCTCTAGCGAAAGCTTGAACTGATCGTTAAAGACCGGACTGTATCCATTGCTCTGTTCGATCTTAGTGCGGCGACGGTGCGGGTAGCCAATGCCCGACATGCCGTTGCGTGCGGAAGCATCCATGCCACCTTCGCCTAGGACAAAGCTCTGACCACGGTCATCCGCACTGAACATCTCAATCTCAACGTAGGGATTGATGTTGTCGTCGTGACCGATGGTACGTGGGCGAGGGAGCTGCTGGGCGGAGATGACATCGATCGAGAAGCGGATCATCTTGCGCTCGGTTTTGTGCTTCTTGGTACCATCTTCAACGACCGGGCGACGAAGGCTTTCGGGCTTAAGGATGTAGCCGGTGCGATCAGTGCCAGCAGCAAACATGGCCTGGTTCATTTGCATGCCAATGTCATATGTCTGCCAGTTAAGAGCGGCCATCTGCACACCGCGCCGCCAGAACTTGTTTGGATCAAAATTGGACGAACGGAGTCGGAAACCGGACGGGTACACTCGGGTGAGGTACTTGCGGTTGTGTGCTTCCAGCGCCACTTTGTTGTCGTGATTTTGGGTGATGCTCTCGAAGGGGCGTTCGGCAAACGAGTAGATGTGGTTGTAGCGTCTGCTCTCCGGAGAAGAGAAACTGTGCCACTTGTACCCGCGAGTGTACACACCCAAGTCTGAGAGAGGCTTGGTGATCTTGCTCTTCTGGCGACGACGCTTCTTCTTCTCGCTGCGAACAGACACAAGGGCCCCATCACTGTCTTCGGTTGCACTGCTCATACTGGTAGCAGTGAGAGAGCGCCTGTCCTGGGACATCAAGGGACCGATGCTATCGACGGGTCCCATAGTTGGGGGGCTGGAGAGGGAGGGAAGGGGAGTGTTGGAGGAGATGTCTGCGAGCATCGGGCGAACGAATGGTGTACTAGCACTGCGCTTGCGGCCATGGGTGTTGATGGAGCTGACGGTATCTTGACGGGGGTCGAACTCGGGTTCATCACAGGTCTTGACTTTGACCAGAATGCGACCCTTGAGATCCTCTGGCGACGGGAGAATGAAGCAGTTTGTCATTAAAGGTTCGAGCACAAGCTGTTCTTTGAATGTGTCCTTCATTATCTTGACCATTGCCAGTTGCTGTTCCGGATTGCAGTGCACCTCGAGAGAAAGTATCAGAGGGAAGTCGCAGCTAATGAAGGCATATCGGTTGATGACAGTGATGCAATCAGCGAACAAAACACTCGTTGTCAGGGTTCGGCCGTGCGACACAATCGGGCGTCCATCCGCGCCATCCCAGCAGTCAATCTCAACACACCGACATCCCTGCTGAAGGGCACTGACATACGCCTCAGTGCTCGAGGCACCAGCCACCTGACGACCAAGGAGATAAGTGTTGTGAGAGCTGGAAATGAAGTACTCGTTCAATGGCCGGTCGAACCTGGATTGAGGAGCACGTGACGCGTAGACACCATTGCTGGACGAAGCTAAGTAGGCCGAGAACGACTCCAAGTTCATACGCGAGACAGGAGGAATCAATTCCGAATCTTCCGAGGAAGGAGTGCGGGACTTGGAGGACCGTCGAACAGTCTTGTCGAAAAGTGCCGTCCAATACGAACGGTCGGCATCAATATCTTCGTTTTGCACATCGCGCAGGAAAGTGAGGAACTCATCCTGAGTCATACCCTCCTTTGAATTTTCTGTGTTAGATTTGAAAATCTCTTTGACATCCTTCCGCTCTTTCAGACGCGTAAGGAAGTCCCTGAACTGAGAGAAGTTGAGCTTGCCACTGCTCGCAGCATCCGCCTTGTTGAACTGCGCCCGGAGCATGTTCTTGGAACAGTTGATATGCAAGCTGCGGCAGACCTTCTCAACAGCAGCCAAATCGAGACTCTCTTCCTCGCCAGCACGAGGTCCCTGCGGGAAGAGTCTAGACATTTCGCGTTGCCAATGGGCCTGAAGAACAGCCTCGCTCTGGCCAGACCCAGCCAGACCGGCCATTAGACCAATTCTGTACCGAGAAATATGCTCGAGTGTGGTAATCCACAGCTCAAGGATCCGGTCACTGGGAGCGATAAGATGCAAAGTCTTGACTGCTCGACCCTTGGAGCGGTCAGAGTCCGCAATCACAATAGTGAACCACCGGCGTTCCAGATCTTCCGGGACCTGGTGTTCTTCACGGTAATTACGGGCGTCGGCGCCAACCCGGATCTCCTTGATATCGTCGATATAGAAGCGCTTTTGCGGATTGGACACATCCCAGAAAACCTTGGCGGCATCCAGGTCCAGGAAGAAGCGGACTTGCTTTCTGCGTTTCTTGGTAACCTTGGTCAAAACAGTACCTCGCTGAACGGCGGAGTCCACCTTGGGGGCGACGGCCACAGCAGCGGCAGGTCCAACCTCGCGAGCCATACTCATGCGGCTCTCACTACGTAGGCTGGATGCTTCGGAGCCGCCCCATGCGCCAAGGTTGTCCAAAGCCTCACCCTCGTCCTCATTGCTCGAGTCAAGGGCGTTGTCTCGGACAGGTTGGGGGCCGGTTTTGCTGTCGCTGCGTCGACGCATGATAACAGGACCAGAGCTTCGGTCCCGTTTCTCATTCTGTGTTGTAGATTGTCTTCTACGGGTAAGCTTGTTGGCGGCGCCTCGGGAAATCCGTCGCATAAGACCCGGGGCCTTGGAAGTAGTAGATGAGTCATTGAAGCTGGATGGGTTGCCGGGAACGGCCATGATAGATTCGCCAAGTTCAAGAGGTCCTGGCGTCGGTAATGATAGACCAGTTACTCGACCACGCAATCCTTCGCTAGCAGGTTGTAACGGAGTACTAGCAGGTGTGAAAGCATTCGGAGTGTCGGGGGCAGGGAAGGAGGTCGCAATAGAGATTGGCGATGAGGTGAAAGGAGAAGCAGAGGTGAAGCTAGGACCAGGAAAAGAGGAGGCAACATGTTGTAAGGAAGTCGGCTGAGGGAGAGATGTTGCAAGTTTTAAGCTTGGTTGAGAGTCGGCATCCAGGGCCGGAGGTGTAGGAGTCGTAGCATATGCCATGGCGGCTATCTATCAGACTGACAGCTCAGCTGTCGATAGGTGTGAGCCAAGCCTGTCGTGAACCGTGCCAAAGTCCGAGTCACCTGGACTCAGTAATGAGCGAATCGATAACAGCGTAGGATACCAGCCTGCTGTCAAGGTTCGCAAAGGCTGCCGCCTGTCAGGGTGTAATGCGATCCGAGCCAAACTAGAAGGTGAGATAGTCTGACACAGTAAGAAAGCGTTTAGCCACGTCCTCAGCAGAAAATCAGTGTTCTTGAACTCTGCATCTTGGCCTGACTGGGATGCAATGTGGAGAGCCCTGCCGGAGAGCACCTCACGGGAATGTACCGAGACAAAGAAAAAAAAAAGCTGAGGGATAAAAAAACGAGTCCCTGGTAACGATTGCAAAGGGCACTGGCCCTGTGCAATGGCCAATCTCCCACAAGGGATCTTCAAAGACCGAAAGTAGCCACTTGGGGTATTAGACGTCACAAACGAAATCAACCGGGGAGGAGATGATTTCCAGCCTCAGACAGACAGAAGCGTCTTTCTTCTTTCGGAACCTGGCTGCTTCGCAGTTGTCTCCTTCCAATGGTACCAATGCAACCCCTCTTCTGCTTGTCGATCTTCCACTTGCGTGGGGAAAGCTGCTGTGTACTAGGGACAAGTCGCGATATGGACCAATTGATCGTGCAATTACCGAATGAGGGACGAGGGCGCGCGGGACCTGGTCGGAATGGGGAGAGCGTGCGCCGAAGAGCAGGTGAAAGGCCGAATGCAATGCGCATGCAGGTCTTCCAGAGCAAAAGAGCCCCAAGAAGCGAGGAGCGGGAATGGGCAGCGGCAAAAAAAAAATATATATATTATCAGGAATTGTCTGCGTCTCGACGACTGCGTGCGATTGGATGCGATTGGAGGCTAGCGGTGCGGCAGGCGAAGGGAGTACCCGGTAGGAGGGTTTTTTTTTCTCCCCAGGCGCGACAGGTAGGGGACTGCGATGCAAATTGCAAGTTGCGACAAGTTGCCAACGCAGTAGCTGCAGGCGGTCGAAAGAGGTAAGGCGAGCTATCGGCGACTGGACTGAGTCGCTGATGTTGGATTCTGTCTTAGTGCCGAATGTGAGCTGATCAGGCAGGTGAAGCAAGTCAAACAAAAAAGGTCGGGATACCACAACTTTGGGAGGGAATGGCAGTCGTTAAGTGGGAAAAGGAAAGAGGCCAGCAATATCCTGCGTCAAGGAAAGATGAAGGGGGAAGGGGGAAAATAATTAAATCAATGAAATGCCATGAAGCTGCAGTGGAGACTTACGATAGACGTACCGTATGGTAATGTGTATTGGTATTGTATTACACGTGGCTTGGTTTGCCCTACGGTCACTTTCGAGTATATCGAGTGTCTCCGTACTTCGTCGACTGCACCAGGATTGATCAGGGGTAACAAAGATCGGAAGGGAAGGATCACTTATTAAATACTCATGCCAGCAGGACTACTCATGCCTACCGTACTACAGTACCTACAGTACCTATCACAGTGATGTGGAATTGCTGCCAGATGGCACCCGTCAAATCTCATTGGGCCTCTAGGATTCCTGGGGAATGTTATCGGGGATGATCTATGTTTCAGGTGCGTTGGACAGGAGCCCTATGAATAATTACTGGAGGCCACTACTTTCAACTCGTATTACATGGAAATGCCCCGACAGACCGACAGAGGGGAAGATAGTCCGCGTTTTGATCTCATGTTTACTTTTTCACTTTTCCCCCTCCCCTTATCTCTCTCTCTACTGTACTGTATATTGCGGTGTACTCCATATTCTATGATTTGATATTGTACAAAGAATTAGGGCTGAATCCCTGAACCGGTGTGGCTGTGAAACGGTGGACCCCATTTGCGCGAACACCTGAAAAATGAGTTGAACGTGATCATCTCTGCCCTAGGCCCGCTCTAACTTCTAGTTTCTCTAGCAACTGTACCTAGAGAACGACGTTCCGTAAGTGAACTCTGGTACAGCTACATTCGTACATCTCTACAGTACTCCCTCCCTTACCAGCCGCATCTGCAACATCTGCGGGGTTGACAGGCCACCCCCGCAGCCGTTTATGAGTTGGCGATGCCGTGCTTTTCCCATTTCCTTGATTTCTGCCTGCTCATCCGCTACAGCCGTGTCCCCCTCATACACCATTCCTGCACCTGCACGTCACCCGAGAAGGAATGGAAGAGATAGATACCTCACAGCCGCACAAGGATCTTGTTCAGACCTCACACGTTACCCGTTAAACACGTAGTTCCTGTCGTTCCCCCTGTATTCACCTGAGTGGACCGACTATCCCGAAACGGCAACAGACGTCACCTAGTCTCTCTTTTCTTTTTGTTCTTTTTTTTGGATTATCATTTTTTCTTCTTTCTCACTGTAGTGTACTTTCTTTTTCCCCCCCCCCTCACATTTACTGCTGACTCCGGGGTATCCGTGCGCTATGATATGGGCGGTTGTGGCGGGTTGGTTAGAGTCGGGATGTGAGATTCGATAAGATATCGAGATGCAAGTTAGAAAATATCCTGAAGAACCCGAACCAGCGAGTTTTATCTTTTTCATCTCACGTCACATAAGCGGTGGCTGAGGATCGGCCGAACAGCCACTCTTCATGTTCGATACACCGCTACTGGCTCTAGTGATCTCCACTGGGATCCAACGATGATCGCGGGATAAGAGGGGTGTATTGAACATTCAATCCCGTGCGCGTCGCGGATATTAGTTTCCTGACGTGATGCGTAGGTCCAAGAGTGCCCAGGAGTATCTTTGACCCAATCCGATTTCGCATCCTGGCGGTGACTGTCCAGGGATGTTCGGAAGCTACGGCAGAGTCATTCGAAGATTCTTGGGGTCTTCCATTGGCTTTGGTGGAGTTAACGTCGACCCACTTGACGTTGTAACGATACCGTCCCTAGAGTTGAGTGGCTGAGATATAGTTGGATAGTTGGCAGGAAATAGATTGAATGATCCTTTCACTTGCCTGCTTGTGTTGTTCTGTATTTTTTGTTCTTTTTTTTTTCTTTGTGGCTCTTGGACACCCCTGCTCTCGCATGTAATACTAATCTCGTAGCCGCTCCTAAAGATCCCTCGATGACGACTCCCCGCTTTTTTGCTGTGTTAGTAGTGTCAAGAGTGGACCTCAAGACGGGATCTCCTGGATTCAATTCTCCGGGTTACAATAAGTTATGGGGGTTACGAGGTCACATGAGTTACGAGTTTTAAGGAATGTAAGGAAAGTATGGAAAATAACCCTCTCTACTGGCCGGGATGGAAGCGGAACTGGTGACATCATGACGACCACCGTATTACCGATACCGTATGGCACCATACACACGATCTGACCACATTCAGGGGGGGGGGGGGGGAAGTATGGAGATGAAGTATGGAGAAGTTTATACTCATTCTTGAGGGATCTTCAGGAGGATAAATCTTCGCTATTCCACTGTAATCTCCTTGTCTCCGAGTTCCAGCGCGTTGGGTCTCGTGACCCAGGGGCATGGAAACCATTGTGCTTCACGAAAAGATGGAACTATTGACTGACTTCCACTTACTATGACCTGATCAGGAAAGCTGCCCCTTGAATGCACGTCCCCTCCGGTCGCAGCGAATAATTGATGCTATTGAATGCCACCAGAAAGAGAGCCCTGACACATCTCACCTCTTTCCAATCCTTCGATGCATCTTCGATGCTAACCATGCAAGGCTCAGCCTGTCTCATATTCTCTCTTTCTTTCTCTCTCCACCGCTAAAGTGTCAACCTACTGTCTCAAAAGACATGCGCTAAGGTCATCCCGTCATCCTCGGACGTCTCAATGCGACTTCCCGACTCTGCTGGCTTCCCCATGCCCTCCAATACCGACATGTGGCGGGATGGTGATCCCCTTAGCCGCCGCATTTCAATTCCGCCTGCAGCTTGAAAGAAAGCTGCTTCTTTCGGGGTTAGCTGGGGAGGTTGCCATGTGACTCACCTTCTTTCTCTGCTCTCTCCGAAGTGAGGTGTTGGTGCAACCTTGACACCCCTTATAGGGCCATCTTGACTTCGCACGTTACTGTGTAACTGCAGTCATTGCACTCTGTCTTGGCCCCCTTTGGAATGACGTGCTGTTTCAAAGGTGTCCCGGTGCCGGCATGAGACCGTTTTCTCTGACGATTCCGCTCTGATGGTTATATGTCCACTATGGGCGGTGATGCCTGTTTTTTTTTTTTTTGGATGCCGGTTCCGGATTGTATTTCTTATTCGTATTATGTGTTGTCATATGACTGAGACCTGGATTGTTACTAATGCATCACGTTATGTACAGGTACATGCACATGTCCAAGGTATTGGATCTCAAAACTTGAATACGGGACTGTATATTGAACGGCCAAGGTGTTTGGCGAGACGGAAAGCCCCCACTAGTCCAGTTACCGGTTTCCACTTGGACTTCGTCTCATGACCCGTTAGATCTCTGTTGGTGGTCGGGCGTGGCTGGGGCCTAAGATGAGAGACATCCTCCTTAGTGTGCGCGCTCAGCCCGCCACGATTCCAATTTTCAACCTCAGCGGGGCAAGAGGGGGCCAGAGGGGGGCAAGGCATAGGAGGCATAGGCATTCCAAGAAACTGCTCCCGGGAGTCGCAGGCTAAGTGCAAGCCATTCCCGGGGCGGTACTATACTAACGTGTCCACGCGTTTCGTCCGCGTCGCCTTGCCGTGTTTTATCTGAAGCAGGCCCCCCAGGAATCAGCTAGGAATCAGCTACCGTACAGCTATGTTCCGGGGCCAAAACAGGACTCCACGTCTTGTCGCAGATCGGGTCTAAAAATACCGCGGCTTAACCCCACTGGTCAACGTGGCTTCCAGAATTTTCCGAAACGCCCACTTCGGCATTGAATGATTCAGGTTGCAGACGAGAGAAGAGAGGGTTTTCTCCATTCTCAGGAGTCTCCATCTCTCAGGGTGGCAAATAATGTTAATCCTAACCTCAAACAAAGAAAACCCTGGACCCCCCTTTCGCGGTGCCAATTCAACAAAGCTGTCTTGGCGTTTCGCCCGTTGAGTCCGTGTCGGCGTATCAGTCTCTGGTGGATCTTGAACTGATACAGGTATTGTATTGACTGGGATTCGGGTTCTGGGATCTCATTCCTGGTGGGTTATGTATGCATTGCATGCATTCAGCCTCTTATCCACAGGTTCGCCGATCGCTCCAAGTATGCAATTCGTACGATCAACTTCAGGAACAACGTTATAGGGGAACCTTGATCTGAAATAGACATCGAAATACCAAACCGAGCTGACCAACACCAAGGAGAAGACCGTTGAAATCAAAAATTAGACGTCCACCGAGTAAAATCTCTTTGGTCCACTTTTCATCAATGCGCCCGAATCCCGTATATGCAATTTATGCGAAACGGATTGGCTCGGATCCCACCGGTAGATTCGCGGAAAGGTAACGTGTTTTGTTTCTAGGGTTAAGTTACCTCTTGTTATCTAGTTAGCGTGACCTGTTACAGATGAATACAAGCCTGTTGAGACAAGAAAAATAGCAAGACAATAAGCAAGATGAGGTGAGATGAGAAAAGCCCTAACGTGTTAGTTAATTTAGTTACCTTAACTTGAGGAACCTTGGAAGGCTGTTGGGGATGACTCATCCTCTTTGGAGATGTTGACGCGGGATCTACACTTCACATGATAGCCTTAACAGCCATGACAGCCATGACGGTCACAGACACCTTCAAGTCAGTCGACGAATCTTTTGTAAAAGCATTGCCCAAGATCGAGGTAGGCTCCGTTCTTATCTAGCTAATCTCTCAAGTAACACAGTCTAGCTTCACGCTCATCTCAGTGGCAGTATCAGTCGTCAATGTCTGCACGAGCTATGGAAGCAAAAGAAAGCAGAGGACCTTGATTTCGATGTCGAAGACCCACTGGTTCTTATGCCGCTGGGAAAGGTGGATTATGACCTGAAGACGTGCGTTGGAAGAGTACGACAACGAGGCCATCTGCAATGCTAACCCCATCCAGCTTCTTCTCAACCTTCTCCAGATTAACCTACCAAATCTGCAATGATCTCAAGAGCCTCGCCTACGCCACCAACTCAGTACTCCAGGACTTTTTAGACGATGGAGTCGTGTACCTAGAGCTACGCACCATCCCACGAGCATCGCCGGGTATCACCCGAAACGAATACATCAACACGGTGCTAACGACCATCGAAAAGTTCCAAACCCAAAGCACGCAGATGACCGTATCTCTAATCCTAGCAATCGACCGAGGCAGCATGAATGCAACCGAAGCAGACGAAATCGTTGATCTGGCCATCGCAAACAGGCCGCGCGGGGTTGTCGGTGTTGACCTCTGCGGCAACCCAACCAAAGGCGACGTCAGCATTTACAGGGATGCTTTTGCGCGGGCGAAATCCAGCGGGTTGGGCATCACGCTGCACTTTGCCGAGACAGTCGCCTCAGCCTCGCAGTTGGAGTTGGCCACGCTGCTTTCGTTTATGCCTGATCGGCTCGGGCATGTAATTCACGTGTCGGACGAGTTCAAGAGGGAGATTTCTCGGCGAAAACTCGGGCTTGAGTTGTGCATTTCCTGCAATGTTCATGCGAAGATGATTAATGGAGGGTTTCTGGATCATCACTTTGGGTATTGGCGGCATGAGGAGTGTCCGATCGCATTGTGTGTAAGTTGTTCTTCGCGTCCCCTGATAGTCCCATTTAGCTGATGGTTCTGACTTGTTGTCTACAGACCGATGATGTGGGCTTCTTCTGTAGTCCTGTCTCCAATGAATACCTCCTCGCTTCGCAGCATTTTGGCTTGGATGGTGACGACCTCTTACGGGTCTGCCACAAGGCCATCGAGGCCATTTTTGCCAGTGAAGCTGAGAAGGAAAGAATTACTCGGCTGCTGGAGGTGTTTCAAGCCAACTTGAGTATACCATAGCGGGAAGAGATGCAATAGACCTCGGTCTCTTTAGCTATGTTTATGAACCTAATGATATCTCTCGTCATCAATACTTGCGCTATTACGTTCCAGTCATTGAGTCCACCAGACTCACTCGTATGCCCCCCAAATGCCTCAATTGTGCCTCTCATCCTGATATCCAAGTTGCTCGATCGAGTGCCCGCAGTTGACGTTAGACCCGATTTGGATCCCGAGGTGGAGCATAAATTGGTCGATCAGTGGAATCGGTTGCCCGACTTCGAACTTCTCTTCTGACCTCAACTTGCGACAATTTCTCTGGTTTGAGTCACGACTGGGCGATTTTGCCTCGCAGTTGCGGTATTTAATAGAGCTCCCCTCTCGCCCTTTCCACCTCGATTCTCCATTTCCTCTCACCACAACTACCGACTCCAACTCCAACTTCCACTTCAACTTCAATTTCGTCTCTCATCTTCACTGAAACAGAACTCACCTCTACCACTTCTCACTTGATCTTGTCAATTATCAAATCATGGCTTCCAGTGGTGCCCTCCCACAAACTTTGAAGGCCATCACGGCCACGAAAATCAACGAACTCTCTAAGCAGCGCGCGATCTTTGATCAACACAAGGAGAAGATCCTCGTCACTGCAAATGCTGCCACAGACCTCCGCTCTCGCGCTCTTGTTTTACTAGATGGACTTGCACGTCTGAAAGGTCTCCCCAAAGATTCGCTCGACAAGAATGATAGCGACTTGGACGCCGATTCAGATTCGGGCGATGATCACACCCCTGAACACACTCTACGTCGGGAATCCGACAGTCTATCTGACCACTCTAATATTCGCCGCTTCCTTCTTCAAGGTCCGTACGACAGTTCAATTTCTCAGTCATCTCTGCAGGACTGGATTGGCCAGCTTGAAAAGGAACTCTCGTTCCTGGAGGCCAAGCATGAACATGGCGCCTTCTTCAGCAAACTTGTCACTGAGTGGCTGTCCGAGCTAGATCCCACCGACGATCCCAAGCCTGCCGAGTCCGATGCCAAATTTGAGCAGGTTGGACGAGCTGAGATGCACGATCAACGTGCCCAATGGGAAACCCTGGTCTTCACTCCTGCTACCCATGTCAGGGAACAGGTCATCAAGGACTACCTTGACAATCTGTTCAAGCAGACTGAGCTTTCTCGTGAGGCTATCAAGAATCTCAAAGCCAGAATCACATCCTTTGCGAACAACTTGTCATCGAAGGGGAAATGGATCGATGTGCCTACTCTCAAATGGGTATCTAAGGCCCTTTTGAAGACTGATCTTCTTAGTAATGAGAAGGCTTCAGTTTTGAAGGAATTCATGCGGAACAAAGAGGTCGCTCAGGAAGTTGCGGACGTGCTGAACATGCGAATTGCCTCGCTTGACAGCTGGGCGTGGGATAGAAACGGAATCCCCGTCGAGATGCGTCGTCAACTGAACGGTAAATACCGAGTCTTCATGGACGAAGACCTCCTTGATGCTCTTCTTCTGCAATATCTGGGAACCACCTGGTCTGTGGAGTTTCGAGAGGTATTCGAAATATTCTTGCATTCTCATGCCTGGAAGCCTCTCCGGGAAGAAATTCCTGAAGAATACAAGGAGCGACGCAGATATTTCTTGGGGACAGACCCCAACAAAACTCAGAATAAAGTCAATGAGACCCGAAAGAAGACTTATGAAAATGAGTACTTCATGAGTCAGCTACCTACTTCGGTTGACGACAGCGCTCGCGACTATGATGAAGACAATGAAGGGCCTCCACAAGAGGAAACAAAGTCGAAGAACGCTTTGGACACAAAGCACTCTCTTCTTCACCTCTTAATCACAGAGTCTATTATCCACAAACACCAGCGTGGAGAGTTTACTGCAGTGCGGTCTGACTTTGAATGGTTCGGTCCTTCAATGCCCCACGCCACTTTACTCACGGTACTCGAATACTTCGGGGTTCCAGAGAAGTGGCTCAACTTCTTCAAGATCTTCCTGCAGGCTCCTCTCAAATTCTTCCAGGATGGATCCAATGCTACAATCCAAACCCGCCAGCGTGGACTCCCAATGAGCCACACACTTGCTGATTGCTTTGGAGAAGCTGTCCTCTTCTGCATGGATTATGCAGTTAATCAAAGCACAGATGGCTCTTATTTGTACAGACTCCATGACGATTTCTGGTTCTGGGGAGCTGAAAAGACCTGCATCAAGGCATGGGAGGCGATGTCTGACTTCTCTGAGGTGATGGGTCTCAAGTTCAACACGGACAAGACTGGAACAGTAATGATGGGCAAGTCTCGTGAACTGGACAACAAGGAAGAGTGCCCCAAGTCCATTCTCCCCGAGGGGGACATACGCTGGGGATTCCTAGTACTCGATGCAGAGAAAGGCAAATTCACTATCGACCAAGCTCAGGTTGACGAACACATTGAAGAGCTCTCGCGTCAGCTAACGTCCTGCAAGAGCGTCTTTGCCTGGGTTCAAGCTTGGAACGCCTACTTTGGCCGCTTCTTCGCGAACAATTTTGCAAAGCCGGCTGTCTGCTTTGGACGAGACCATATCGACATGGCCATCTCCACTCTCGGTCGTATTGAGCGTACACTGTTTGAAAATGGCGTGGGTGAGATCGACGCTCGGGGCAAAACGACTGGTGTCACAGATTACCTCCGCCAAGTGATTTCCGACCGATTCGGTGTCAAGAGTCTCCCTGATGGTTTCTTCTATTATCCTCCAGAGCTTGGTGGACTGGGTCTTCTCAATCCGTCCATCAAACTCCTCGCCATGCGCGAGAACATCAAAGAAACCCCGCGCAAGATCCTGCACAAAGCAGAGGTACAACATGAGAAAACTTACCAATTCCACAAGACCTGCTTCGAGGAAATCGGGCCGGACTCCAAAGCCCCATCGCTCGTTGATACAGACGGGAAGTCCTTACCGTTTATGTCTCTTGAAGAATACAACAAATATCCGGACACCTACAGCGCTGGTCTCTTGTGCGCGTACAATCTTCTATGTCGTGTCCCTGAGGAGGAAGGCGTGGCTCTGACTCCTAGCTTTGAAGCACATCAGGGAGCCCTGGAACCGAAATCGCCCATCTCTAATAACTGGCGTTCCATGACTCCCTACTGGCGCTGGGTTGCGCAATTGTATCATGACGAAATGATTCGCACTTACGGCAGTCTTGCTGCAGCAAAGCGGGAGTTTATGCCTCTCGGCGTAGTGAAGACTCTGCGCGAGGGTCGGTTCAGATGGCAAGGTTGAGGTGGTCTTTATTATGTTGATTGAATCTCTTCATTTACTTAGGCTATACTTTATCTTAACTCAAAATATAACAAGAAATGTCAAATCTACTTAATTTCTATTGTTGGTACATACGCTCTTAGACACCATTCTGCCCTGTCTTGCATTTCGTAGTCCTACAAAATCAGTTACCCTCCAAGCTCAACGGAAAGTAAGAGCTAGCTTGAGTGGTCAGAATGTATATATACATTCAGGTATAACCTAATATCACCCAATATTAACGACCTTCAGCTGAAGAAGTTCTTCCGCGCCTTGTTTGTCTCCGCTGTAACTTCAATTCGACCCCATGTAGATACAAATACATTTATACATTTAGTAGACGGGCTGCTTGTAAGCAGGCAAGTCCCACAACATGGCGTTGACCGAAGATTGATTCTCTTGGCAAACCAGCTGTCCATTTTTGTAATAAGGACGAGATGGCCAGGTGCACACATTCTGGACTTCACCCTCCTTGGCTCCTGATTGCACTGTGGCATTGATGGTAGCTGGTGTGATTCCATCCTCCACCCACTTGATCATATGGGCGAAGTTGTCGCGAGGGAACCCAGCGTTCGGCTGCTGATCGTTGGTGGCGCAGTGGGCGGCGCCAGGAATGAGATAGAGACGGTACCACTCGTTGAGTTTCTCATTTCCTTTCTCGAAATCAAGGTCGGGGTACATGATCTTGCGAACGGACTCGTGATAGTGAACAGAGCCGGTGGTAGGGATACTGGAGTCGGCCTCGCCATGGAAGTGAAGTAGACGACCACCGCGGTTCAGGAATGGACTGAGGTCGGGGAGGGTGGTTTGGAGGGAGTCCATGTATTTGTTCATGCCCTCGATCATCCACAACTTCAAGTCGTCATTGGTCACATTGGTCATGACCAGTGAGCTGACATTTTGCCAGTTCAAGAACTTGGTGACCCATTCACCATTTGAGTTGGGCGAAGTGATGGTCCAGGAATCGGTATCCGAGTCATAGACGGTGGTATCACCAAAGCCTGCGCCAGGCTGGAACGGCAGGTAGACTCTGTCACCATTGGAATCTTTCTGTAATTCTGTGTCAGTCTCAGATAAAGTAGGTGGTTTACACTGTAGAACTTACCAGACCGGTCAACAGATCTTGGATAACCTCAACATCCTTTGCCGAGATGGTACCGTTCTGTGCAGGGGTGGTTGAGCTGTCTCTTTTACGCTTTCCGTAGCCAAGACCCAGGCTGCTTTCGGAGCTTGCTGCACAGCTGTAGGTCTTGCCGACCATGGAAGAAACGTTGAATTTTTCGAAGCAAAGGTCAGTACGGGAGATGACCCCATCGGCTTTGCCATCAAGCTGGTCGCAGGCATTGATGGTGGCATTGATTACAGTATCAAACACACAGGAAGGGGGGTAGTGTCCAATAGTCTGAATCTGAATCGGAGGAGCAATGTGGTTGACCTGTTGCTGTCCATAGCGCATAGCGGGAGCACCAGCAATGATGCCGTCGTAGAGTTCGGGGGCCTTTTGAGCCTGACTCATGCCTTCACGTCCACCCTCGGAACAACCTATATAGTAGGTGTATAGGTTGTCAGTGGTCGCCTTGCTGGTGCTGTCTGTGAGTCCGAAATAGTTCTTGGTAAAGGCCTTTCCAATCTCAGTCATCTCGGCAATAGCCTGGTAGGCGAAGTTGTAGATAGCCGGCCAGTTCGCAGTACCATTGCCCAGAAGGACAACATCGTCAAAGTCGGTGCTTCCCCAGTAAGGAAGACCACCGTCAGTCAAGCCAGTGGCAGCCCCATAAGCAACACCGCCCGACATATCGGCACCACCAGATCCATTGCTGATCTGGTATGCGGCACCTCCCGTGGCAAGGAATCGGTTTTGGAAGTTTTCGACAAGTGGCATCCAGTACTCGACCACAATCCGGTCGTCCTGACTGTCATGAGAGTAGGCGAAGCTGACTTCACAGAAATCGATGTTCACATTTTGCCAGAAGGTCGCATCTGTGACTGAGTAGTTCAGATATGTGTTTGCAGTCACGGAACTCTCATCGATCGTAATTCCCAGGGGAATAGCATCGTTGGACGTCGGCAGATTGGACTTGATAAACTCCTTGGTGCAAGCTGTGCTCAATGAGGTTGCAGAAGCAACCCCAATGCACAGGGGGAGCAGAAAGCCGATCATGGGGGACTTGAAATGGCTGACTTGCAGAGAAAGTGGACTGAGAGATGATCATCCCAGTCTCGAGCTTCTTCTTTTAAGAAAGACCTTTAAGGAGACGCGTAGGATCGACGTCACTTGCCTTCTTTGGTTAGTTCGGAGTTAAGTCTCATGTCTCGGGTTAGGGCTAATGTCAGGGGAAAGCTCGGAGATATCAGATCCTCGGTCGAGACTACTCCAAGGGGGTGAGGATCGACAACTTTATATTCTAACTATTCCATGCCGTTGTTCCTTGACGGTAGAGGCTGACGTGGTATTGAAACGTCAGTCTCATGTTATTAGAAACGATGCCAATGATCGACCAGGAGATGTGGAACTCAGTACCTACTATGTTGGAATTGGGGATACAAAAACCGGCCGATCGTCTTCAATGTTTTCTTGTCACGCCACACTTTCGTTCAAATGTTGACTTTGCTTCAACTTATCCTCGCCATCCCAGCCTTGGCTGCGGCCAGCTTTCCCGTCATTGAGACAAACAGCGGTCCAGTTCAGGGTGCCAGCTCTCCCTTCCGCAACAATGTAACGGTTTATAAAGGTAAGTTCTACTTTTCGCTGCCTTTCACGTTAGCCTATATTAACTTCAAAATCAGGCATTCCATATGCAGCAAGTCCCGCTGGATCGAAGCGTTGGACTCCCCCTACGAAGCCCAAGTCCTGGACTAAAACACTCCATGCGACCGAATTTAGCCCTCAGTGCGCGCAGCCTTATTCCGACGCAGGCATCTTCTCGTCTGGAAAGAACACTACCAGTGAGGACTGCCTGACAGTCAACGTCTGGACTCCTACCTACGATTCCACTGATGCAAGTGATATCGAGTCCAAGAATCTCCCCGTTTACGTGTGGATTTTCGGTGGCCGATTCGAAGGTGGCTCTGGCGATGTCATTACCTATGATGGAACCGGCCTTGCATCTAAAGATATTATCGTGGTGACGCTGAACTACCGTCTCGGTGCCTTCGGGTTCCTTGCTCACCCTGAGCTTTCGCGTGAGTCTGGACACAACAGCTCTGGAAACTACGGTATCATGGACCAGCAATTTGCTCTTCGCTGGGTTCATGACAATATTGCCAAATTTGGTGGAAACTCTAGTCAAGTCACCGTCGGCGGCCAGTCTGCCGGCTCGGCCAGCGCCTTGGATATGATGTGGAGTCCTCTCAGCAAAGGCTTGGTTCATGGTGTCATTGCTGAGAGTGGTGCCCGTGGACCTCATGATCCTGCTACTGGAAGTGTTGCCACCTCTTACAACACCAAGGACGTTGCTGAGAACTTCGGTGTGGAGTTCCTCAAGACAATGAATGTCTCTTCAATTGCTGAGCTCCGCAATGCGTCGATTGCTTCTCTCATTGGAGAAGGCCAGCTGATGGAATCAGACTACTATGACGGTACTGTCTTTGCTAATCTCTGGTCTGGCCCTCCTCGCTGGCGTCCAGTAATCGACGGTTACGTGCTCCCCTACGGATATGGAGAGGCTTTGAGACTGGGCGCTCATGCTGACGTTCCCATAATGACCGGTAATAACCTGAATGAAAACGATGGCGGTGCGTCGAGCGTATCTGAGTACAAGACCCTCTGGACCGAGGTCTTTCAAAATTACTCATCAGAGTTCTTTTCCTTGTACCCTGCTCAGAGCGCAGCCCAAGCCAAGACGAATTCCGATGCCGTTCTTTTGGATATGGCTCAAATCGGTACATGGGACTGGGCGAGAATGTGGCGGAAGGGAGGCGCAAGCTCCAATGTCTTCCGCTATTTCTTTGATACAGCACCTGCAGAGGATGAGTCGGGTGGAGCTTACCACGGTGCCGAGCTCTGGTTTGTTGTAAGTACCTATCACTCCTGGTGGTGTCCTCAATGCATGTTCGAACCCTGAATTGCAGCTAACAAGACGCCAGATGAATAACATTCCTTACTCGGACTACTCGACCGTCACCTGGAATGCGTCCGATTACAAGATTGAGTCTGTTATGTCCAGTTACTGGGCTAACTTCATTAAGACTGGCAACCCTAATGGCAACGGTCTGACCTACTGGAGCCCATCCTCGGACAACAAGACAGCTATGCATCTGGGCCAAGGCTTTGGTTCTGTGCCAATTGCCAAATCCGCTGAGCGTATCAGCTTTGTCCGTCGCTGGATGTCTCATTTGCACGAGTACTAGATTTGGCGGGAGGGGGGGACTGATTTTATTGTGCGATATATCCTGTCTGTACATATGCGCATATCGAAGGTATGACTCATTGGCATGCGCTCGTAGCTAGATATAGAGACTAGAAAGATGGCCCGCATCTGAACCCCAAATTGAGTCAATATATTCGATTAGCTATGTAGTCATATCTGAATACTATCTGGAAATGTTGATAGATCTAAAAACGGTGGTCTGAAACCTGCTGGTTCTGGGGTGAATGTTTGATAGAGCCGTTTTGGCAGCATGTGTATCTTCAGAGCCGGACATCAGTATCTGTCGTAGAGGTGCAGAAGAGCGTTCTCCAGGTCTGATATAATGTTCTATCAAGTAGTGGGCCCATATGCATCAGCTGCTAGACGTGGATCGTGAGTTTCGTAGTGCCGAGGTGGCTACCTCCCGCAGAACCTCTGCCTGTGGCGTTAGCCTTGTCTTCTTACAGTCTACTGCTTCATAGAATGATGTAGCCTCGTTCATATCGTCGCATAGCACCCAGAGTGTCTGATTGACAGCAGATATTGACTCAAATCAGTCGAAAATGATGTCCAAGAGGCCATCTCAACGGGCTTCTATACGCCGGTTTGGGCCAGAAAAAGCTGCAAGCATGAGCTATACGCAATTTTATATCGATTAAGCTTAGAAATAATATCTCTTTCTCCTTCTCTTCAAGCAACGATGGGCGAAATCAGTCTCCGGTCACATAAAATGAGCCCCTTACGCACTTTCTCGGAATCGCGTTTCCAACTACAAAACAATCTTGCTACGATTGGCACTCCTTGGACAGTAAGTTGCTTTTACTCTAGACTCATTTGAAGCTCATTTACAGTCTGGTTTCCCCGCATGTTCCTCCTTCTTCTCCCCAGTTCCTCCTCGCTCTCACCCTCCTCGGTCATGATGATGTATATAGCTCCCATGAATCGGAGTCTCACCATGGCGCACGCTGCTGATCACTGAGCTCTGCCCATGGTCCGATGGGGCTAAATCCGCTTCCCCGCGATGGTTTCAACCTGATTCCGAACTATATTAGTGCTTTTTATAGTGTCTTGTGCTGTTACTACCTTCTCATCCATCGTTTGTCCCTAGAAATCCTCGTTTCGCCTCCTTTAGTTCCAAGAAACTGGTCCTTGTATCTATGGACCCCAGAGCGTCTGTTTGTAAGATGAACTGGACTGAGTCACCCAGTCTATATAGTATCCTCTCAGCTTTCTTTCTCTTCTTTCTTCCTCAACTAATCCTCACTTTCATCTTCGGTCTTCTGTCACTCTTACACCATACCTCATTGATCATTCAAAGTATAAGTTATACTTATAATTTGACCCATCTTACACAAGAGTATACCATACCTAGGTATACTCTTACTGCATACTCTCATACCAACAAGAGTATACAACCTCCCTTACCTCTTTGACCTTCCACAACAAAGGTCATACATACAAGGATGATGTCCATCCAGTGTCAGACCCGAAGTGACATTCAGCCCACCCGGCTCACTTCCAGCACGGTGAACATCGACACAATGTAAGTCATCTCTATCATGGTGATTTGATCATACATTAACATGGTCACAGGACCACCGAGGTCTACGATGTCACCCTCTCTTACTCCTCTTCTTCCTCTTCCTCCTCTTCCTCCTTCTCATCGTCGGTGTACTCCACCACATCATCCACACCGACTCTAGTTTGGGACCTTCTCACCCCCAAACAACGGGCAAACATCACCCAATGGATTGATAGCACCCCCTACTACGATTCCATGGAAGAAGAGGAAGAGAAGAGCAGCTGCAACAGCAGTAACGAGACCTTGGTCCTCGAAGACCTCGGTCCAATCCAACTGGAGGCCGTTCCTCCTTTCCCACGACCCAACCTCACCGGGTCATCTCTATACCAGCTGCACAATCAACTGCGGCATCCACACACGAGCAGATTCACCGAACTGATGGATGAGGACTTGATCGACCCTCGTCTAGTCCCAGTGGCGGCTGATTCTGACTCCGATATCAACGGGAGCATGCTCCCGTTCTTATACAAACCGACTCCGATTCCATCCCAGAGTGCGACGCCCGAGCCCGAATTCGCCATTGTGCTCATTGCACAATTTGTGTCGAAGAAGGCTCGCAGTGTCGTGGGTCATGCCTGTCGTGGGCTACGGAAAAAGTTGGCTCGCGACAAAGGGCTGGATAAATAGGGGTGGGCTATTTCTCATTCCCTGGGGCTCTAGGCTCTATGGTGATGTCGCTCATCTGTTCAAGCGACATTGCTGAGGCGCTCTTTCCATCCAGATGGTTTCCCAGCGGGTTTTGCTCTGGATGGTTTTACCGAGGCCTCGTATATATATCATCTTCTTTCCTGTTGACAGCACATTTGTATTTTCAGAACCATCTTATGTGGATTACAGTCGTCTTTACCTGTATCCATCGAATTGAACAGTTTTCTACATCAAGTCAAGACCCAAATGTAGACGAAGAAGCAAATGTAGAAATAGACGTCGATCGTATAGTTCCAAGGCGGTCGGCCCACCTGCCCCGTGTTATCTCGGCAGAATTACCTCTCCACCATGAAGACACCGTGAACACTTGCAACGTCAACACTTCATTCCCACATAACAATCACCATGGATCCCTTTTCTGCAGAGGGCGGTACGTACAACAGACCTCAACTCTCCCTCAATTCCTTCTATCCCTTCTTCGGCGACAACAACTAACCCAACACAGAGCTCCTCAACATCCACAGCGCCTTCCACTCCGGCCAGTACCAGAACGTAGTTGAATTTGACACAACAGCCCTCTCCCCCGAGAACCAACTCCCGGCCCAGGTTCTCAAGCTCCGCGCCCAAATTGCGCTCGGCGAAACTGACGCTGCTCTCGCCGAACCTGCCATCGAAGAGGATACCCCCGACCTGTCGGCTGTCAAGGCCCTTGCTCTGCAGTCCGCTGGCAAGACTGACGCCGCGCTCCAGCTCGCCCAGGAGCTTGCGGAGAACTACCCCGATAACAACACCGTGCAGGTCCTCGCCGGCACTGTGCTCCAGGCCCAGGGTCTTGGGGAAGAAGCACTTGCTTTGTTGGCTAAGCACCAGGGGAATCTTGAGGCGTGAGTCTACAATTGGAATTGGAGATTATGCAGTTGGACTAATCTGTTTCTCTACTTGCAGTGTCTCTCTCATCGTTCAGATCCACCTTCAACAGAACAGGACTGATCTCGCCCTGAAGGAGGTTCAGGCTGCTAAGCGCTGGGCCCAGGATTCGTTGCTCGTCAATGTCGCTGAGTCGTGGGTTGGCTTGAGAGTCGTATGTTCATCTTTTCCCGGATTTCTATCTCTACTTTGTTGCTAGGAGTGAGTTACTGACGTTGGCATCATCAGGGCGGTGAGAAGTACCAGTCTGCTTTCTACGTTTACGAGGAACTCGCTTCTGCGCCTAGCACTTCTGCGCCGCTGTCTATTGTCGGCCAGGCTGTTGCTGAGATTCACCTTGGTCGTTTGCCAGAGGCTGAGGCTGCTCTTAGTGCTGCGTTGGAGAAGTATCCTACTGATGTGGAGTTGATTGCTAACAGTATTGTGTTGAATGTTTTGGCTGGCAAGCCTTCCGAGGAATTGGAGTCGTGAGTGCCCTATCAGGTCAAACAAAGGGATCAATGCTAACTTCTCTTACAGCCAACTACAACAGATTGAGCCCTCTCACTCTCTTCTCACTGATATTCAGGAGAAGAGCGAGTTGTTCGATGCTGCGGCAGCAAAGTACTCTGCCAAGGTTTCCTCATAGAATGTTAATTAAGCCTGATATCTCCGTTATTTTTTTGTTAGTCCAAGTCCGGGGAGTTTGTCCTAGATTATGAAAAGACACGACCACTCAATCTTGCAGTCATTGACACTATGCATTGAATATTTGATCTGTAGCATACAGGACAAGGCCTTATTTGCATCGTATGTCCCCAACAGTGAATACATCACAGACGAGCAGCTAGCCACTGTCGAAGCTCCAAGCCAGTCTGTGTATCTTCCTTAGTAGACAAGAAAAACGGCGCATCATGCGTCTCATCAGCACCAACATAATAAACAGTCTCAGGGAAGACAGACTAAACCACCAAAAAGTCAGCCAACACCAACCCAAAAGCAAGACAAAACATACCTTGATATTCTTCGCAAAAGCTTCAATAGGCGATAACAAAATCTCCGACCCACCAACAAGAATCAAGATCTTCTCAGTCTTAGCCGCCTTCCAAGCCTCAAGGGGGGCAGTAGACGGCTCATTCCACTGATCAACAGGCTGATCCCCACGATACGCAGTAGACCAAGAAGTAAGCACATCTGCGGTAAGAATATCCCGCCACTTATTCTCTTCAAAGGAAGGCCAGTCAGTACTAAAGTTGACCCAAGGCGCGTAAGCAAAAACACCCGCCAGCGGCGCAGATACTTCCAACTCATCAATTTCGGGATGCGGATGCGAGAGGTGGAGCAGGGTTGCGGTGGCCAGATTTCCACCGGCTGAATCGCCGCCTACGATGACGTTGGAGGGGGATCGGTTTGTGTTCTCCAGGATGTAGCGGAGTGCCTCCACTGCTTGGCGCAGCTGGGTGGGATATTCGTCGTTGCCGGTTAGGGTATAGCTTAGGAAGAAGACTGCGAGGTCGTGGCCGCTCTCGTTGAGTGCGCGCAGCATTTCGAGCCAGAATTCAATGTGCGCCGGCACGGCGGGCATGGCGAAGCCGCCACCTGAAGGTGAGTGTTAGTTGGGTTTGGGTTTGGAGGGTGGTTGTACAGGGTAGAGTTGGTGCTTGTTACACCCGAGGGCGTTCGGGGATTTGGACGCACCGTGGTAGTAAACGATCACGTTTTTGGCGTTCTTGTTGCCTAACCAGTGGCCTTTGGCCCCATGGGGGAGGGTGACAGTCTCTGGTTGGAGACCGCGCTTCTTCATCACTGTTGTATAAGTGTCTGCCGTTGGGGCGTTCAGGTACCTATGGACCGAGGTTAGAATTCGATTTCCGAGCTTTGGGGTGTATCGCTTCAAAAAGAAACCACATATGCATACTGCTTCTGGCGATCGGTTGTACGGTCTACCAGCTTGCGGATCATGGCTGCCATGATGTGGTGATCGTAGCGCTTAGGGCTGGCCTTACCCCGGAAAACGCCCGTGATCGCATGGTATAGAGCACTGGCGACGACTGACAGGTGGGCGAAAGGCAGATCCGCCTTTTCCCAAAAGCCAAGCTGGGGAATGCGAGACATTATGCGATTATGATATTTCACCAGAAAGAAAAAGGCATGAAAAAGAGAAAGAAAGAAAAATAGCTGAAGCTGTCCCCTCTTCAGCTCATGTGGCGCATATGCGGAGTCGGGTGATTGGCTGTGCAGAAAGTGCCGAGGGCTACTTGGGCTGGCGCGAATGCGTTTAGTCTGCTTTTAGCGGAAGAAAAATACGGAATACTATTGTTCGGACTCAGCCAATGACTTCTTTTACGTCTATGCTGGGTTGGAGAATATTGCCGAGACGATGGATCCAAGGCCTCGAGTCAACTGTATGAAATTCGTATTCATTATGCTCGAGGGTAGAACACTTCATAAGTTTGAGCTCCTTTCAGAGCGACACCCTTCAGCTTGACGCACATTAGAAACAATCTATTGATCGTCGGAAGCATTTCCCTCACCGGGCAACTCGCAGAACGCCTTGTACGTGGTGAAGACATCGTCCTCATCCGATCCACTGTGGGTGTCCTCGATAATGCACTCGGCGGTGGCACCGACAAAGAAAACATAGCCCTCCTTGACTTCCTCGGTCTTGTTTCCGACTGTGATCTTACCCTGGCCACGCGTGCAAATGATAATGCTGGGACCATCAATTGGGTCAAAGGTGACCTTGGCACCTTTGCGGTTCAAATCTGTCTTGATAACGCTGAACTCGTCGATGGGAGGATCGTAGAGCATGGCAGAGGAAGCGCTCGAGTATGCAGTGGCATTCAGGACGGCGTACGGGTAGTCGGTTGCCTGGAGCTTTTGCTCCTCAATGGGTGCGTATGAGTAAGTCAACATCTGAGTGAGGGTATCTACATCCTTGAACTTCGGGGTGAAACCAGCGCGAACGACGTTATCAGAGGATGCCATGCACTCAATAATATCGCCAGAGATGTATGCATGAATGTCGTCGGCTTTGAGGAACATGGCCTCGCCGGGCTGCAGCTTGACGAAGTTGAGGAAGAAGAACACGAATAGGCCAACATCGTTAGGGAACTGGCCGTTCAGTCGCTTCACAAGCGCGGCGATCTCGCTGGGGTCCGAGGGATTTGTCTCCACCTCACCAGGTAAGGTGGCAAAGCTGTCAGGGTTGTTCTCTGCAATTGACAGGAGATCACTAGTGGCTGACTCGATGTTCTCGGGCGAGGACTCCATCAGGAATGTGAACAGGGAACGGAGGGCATCCTTGTTCGTCTGGATAACTGCGGAATCCTCTGAGTTCTCGTTGCCCTTGACAGCCTGCTCAAATGCACTTGCGGCTTTGTCACCAACCAGGTTGCGCAAGGGCTTCACGGCCTGAAGGAAATGGACAATCTCGGCCAGAGGACGGAAGCCGCACACGCCCTCAAAGGGTGTGATAGCGATGGTCATCTCGGGCTTATGGTTGTCATCTGTGTTGGTCCTTCATGAGCTTATTGTTCCACATCCATCCGTAGTCTACACTTACCAGGATAGTTCTTCGAGTCTCTGGCATGAAGCTGCTCCGCCAACTTCTTGTTGGGGTGAGCTTGAATGCTCAGGGCTTTGCGAATAGAAAGCACCTTGAACAGGAAGGGGAGTCTGCCTCCAAATCGCTCGCTGATCTGGGTCGACAAGAGGGCCTGGTTGTCCTGTACCATATCGAGGAGGGTACGCTGGGTCTCGACATCTTTCGAGGGAAGCGATGGGTGGGTGCCCATCCAAAGCTAGAAGATTGTAAGTCCCATGTTCCTCTTGATTCATATGAAGCGCTTACTTCAGCGTAGGGCTTCTCAGCCTCGATCGCAAAATCCGGGGCCGCTGTGGTGGCCGCATACTTGGCGGCTGTCGACTCTTGGCCGACCTTGCCTATGACGATGTTTCAGTGCGGGGGGATTTGATTGTCGCGCGGTGATACTTACCCCAGTCATAGCTGTTGACGCCTAGTGAAGTTAGTTCTGGTACTCCATCTGGGGAATAGTTAGGGCTTACCGCACTGCAGACGAAGAAGTGGCACTTGCATCTTGAATGTTTGGGGAAAAGTTGGGGGAAAGTGGAGGGGAAAGATATTATTTGCTCGCCAAGGCCCCGGTGAGAGATGCAACGCTCAGGGTCTTTTTATGACCGCAGGAAATTCCAGAGATTTTAGGCCAAAATGTCTAGTAACGTTAACTAAGTATCGGAGAATCCTCCAGGGCTTCCAATGTTGAGTTTTGCGTATTTGCTAATCCGGGCTTCCGCATTCGTGTCTATGGAACTAACTAACTTACGCATTGGGTCGCGACAACAAACTTCCTCTTCCAGGCTCATCGTCGATTTGCCTATCTCGACCTCGACATATCTCAATAATTCCTGCTATAGATCGAGTCCAAACTGGTCAAACTGACCAAACTGGAAGCTCTTGCATCACTTACCCAAAGTAGCTTAGCGTAGCCCCGACCGCCCGGCAGTCGGCTTATCACCGCATCTCCAACTTCACCTTCACATACCTCAGGTTACCGGGGAGTCGCATTTCTGTTTTTAGCTGCTCCTCCTAGCTATCGATCTCGGTTTTAGCTCTCCTGCACACAGTCATATCGCACACATTGACCATGTCACGCAACCGCCCACGGCCCAGAGACAATGGCTTCGGCAATAACGAGGAATTGGAGCTGTGGACAAAGATCTGCCAGGATATCCGCAAATCGAAGGACAAGTTCGATCAACAAACAACGTTGTCCTTGCAGATCAAAGCTTTAGTGGACAAGATTACCAACGACGGGAATAGTGAGTACATAACTACTTGCCCCCGCGTTTGATTCCCCTCCCCCACTCTATACCGCGAAGCTCCAATATCTGCTCCGTCGCGTCTAATGAAACTATGTCTTTCTTCATCGCACAAACTAATATTACCTTTCTAAGCAGGACCCACCATGACAGAACACGATCAGCTCGATAGCTGGCTGCGCCAAAGCCAAAAGCTCAGCGAAGATGAACGCTCGATCATGCAAGACGAACCCTGCGATGTAATTAAGAATCTAGAATTGCTTACTGCCCTGCGCAAAGCATCCGAGGCCGAGGTTCCACCGAACCGATCGTCCTCTTTTAACAAATCCCGCAAGAAGCGGAATGACGTCGAGAGCTCCGCTACCGATTCCCCTAGTGCCTCGGGGGCCGACAAGTCTGCTCGCTCTAAGGGTACCATTCCGCGCAGTGCAAGTGTGTCAAGTACACCAGCTCGCGAGGGACGCAATGAGACTATTGCCGTCAAAATCGAGGAAGGATCCGAGGGGACGAAGGGGACCGTTGCGGAGCGTAATGGTCTGCTGGTTGTCGGGGCTCAGGTTGTGTTTAAGCACAACAAGAATAAGCAGGGTGTTGAAGGTGAAGGTATCCAGTGTATAATCAAAAACATCACTGGCGATGGGCAAAAGAAGCGGTATGCCAGACCTTATGTTCACTTTTACGGCAGCCCTCATTGACCCAATGCTGACATCTCATCCAGATATGATGTCCAAGACCCAGAGCCAAATGAAAACGGCGAGCAAGGGGCTGTCTATAAGACAACTGCCGTCTCTCTCATCCCAATCCCCCAGATGAGTGCTCATCTCACCCCCTACCCGGCAGGCAAGCAGGTTCTGGCACGATACCCCGATACAACGACGTTCTACCGGGCAGAGGTGATGGGATCTCGGAAAGATGTGTATCGCCTCAAGTTTGAAGGCGAGGAAGATGACAAGGAGATGGAAGTCGACAGGCGGTTTGTCTTGGACATCCCTAGCAAGTAAAAGATGTTTATACGATCTGACATGATGAGATGATACCATTTGAGCGAGGCGCTATCTGGAGTTTGAAGGCTTATGGATGCTTTCATTTTACGAGATACTCTAGTTAGAAAAAATTACTTCTTTTGATATTTACCATATGCTCTGTTTGTGTGTACCCAACCAGGACAAAGATTGCATTTGTGTTCTTTTTTGTGCGGACTGCTTGTTCAAATACTGAATGGTTAGCTAAAGGCGCAAGCCAACCTTGAATCTGATAGCGATGAACACGCAAGAACACGCAAGGGGTTGAGCCTCATTCTGACAGTTTCGTCGGCTCCGTGACCGACAATCCTAGATATGCAGGTATGATAGGAGTCGGGGAGACTAACGTGTGTGGCAAACGACACGTTCTGACTTCATTCAAGGGAGCATTGATGCCCTTGAAAGCAGCTGAGGAAGCAATTCGCGTGAAACTAAGAGATGAGAAGATGTTTAGAAGGTGGGGGGCGCCGGCCTCGGAACTAGAATGTGCTTGAGTAAGCACTGACAAATGACTCAGCTTCTCCTCATACCGAGGAAGTCGCCATCGACTTCACTTTTTCCCATACACCTCGGCCTTGTGGTATACTAGTCGATATACTCAATTGGCACCTGCATATCTACTTACCAGAGCCCTAGTCGAGAGTCTCAATCCCTGACACCCCAACTCTCATTACCCCGCCACTCCGCCGCAATGGTCGATCTACCAGCGCACGCTTCACCAAAGCTCCCCCCACAGTCGCTTCCTGGCGGATTACCAGACAATGTGAGCCAGACAAGCAGCACAACTGGTGAACAGACTCCGGCACTACCCGATTCTTTGCTATCGCCAGCATTCACCCCACCCGCCACCCCCGGCGGCACAGTACACCTGGATTTGAACCCCACGCAAGTGCTACACCAACACCAGGCCGCAGATCTCGAACATAAGAGTGGCCATTCGAAGGGACCCAAATTGCTTCCGCAGCTACCCGAGGTGGAATGTATTGTTCGGGCTCGGATCCCGACAACTAATGGCGCGGAAATGTTCCTTCATCTTTATCACAACGATTTAGACGGAAAGGAGCATTTGGCAATTGTTTTTGGAAATAATATTCGCAGCCGGAGCTTGGATAGTGTCCGGCCGGGGGAGACCGAAATGGACCGAATGATCCGCGGTGCATATCTGGGGAAATTGCATCCGGGAAGAGTTAGCAGCAGATGTGACGACGATAATGCGGGACCGGTTTCTGCGACAAAGTTAGTTGAGCCTCCATTGGTTCGAATCCACTCGGAGTGCTACACAGGCGAAACGGCATGGTCTGCGCGATGCGATTGTGGCGAGCAGCTGGACGAGGCGGCGCGATTGATGTCCTTCCCCGTGGAGGATCTGGCTTCTGATGCGCCGCCCGAGGCACAGTCTCTCCAGTCACAATCTACGGGTGGTGTGATTATCTATTTGCGCCAGGAAGGTCGAGGAATCGGTCTCGGGGAAAAGTTGAAGGCATACAATCTTCAAGATCTCGGCTCAGATACCGTTGAAGCAAACCTCCTACTTCGTCACCCGGCTGATGCCCGAAGCTATGGTCTTGCCACTGCTATGCTGGCTGATCTTGGTTGCGGTGCAGATTCAATTCCAGAAGGTATCCGTCTACTGACAAATAATCCCGACAAGGTCCGAGCTATCGAAGGACCCAACCGGGAAGTTCTCGTCAAGGAACGAGTCCCGATGATCCCATTGGCATGGCGCACTGGCGGTCAGCGAGGAATTAAGAGCTCTGAAATTGAGGGCTACTTACAGACTAAGGTCCGCATGCCACCCATTTCTCCATCGAATACGAAACTAACCGGTCTTAGATCTCCAAAATGGGTCATATGATCCAGTAATTCTTGAATTGTTGTGGACTTTTGCCTTCATTCTCACCCATTCCCCCTTCTGCTTTCTTGCATTGGAAATTCCAAAAGCCTTTGTATACGATCGACACGAACTTTCTCCTTGCATATTTTTTCGATCACTACCTGGTATCCACGGGATTGATATTGTACATGTTGTAAATATGCGGTTTCTCTTGAATGTGCTTAGATACAACGTGGAACGATTGGCGTATGACTCTTTCGGTTCGATCTCTCTATAAATTTAGTTGTGCGCAGTAGATGGCCCCAAACTTTAAAGGTTGATACTTCGCTCCACCCACCCCCGTCGATCCCCACGTTCGCCTTACGTATCTTCTCGACAGTTCATCTCAAGTTGAATGGTGTGAACAGTTAGCGCCTGTGAAAGGCCATGGACAACCGTGCTCCAGCCGATGTGGCGCTCACGCCCGACATGCCCGAACCTCCTACCCCCTCGTTGGACAGACTCGAAGACTCGCCGGTTCCATCGCGCGCGACATCACTGGATGCCGATACCCTGTTGCAAGAGAGCAATGGCGCGACCGCCGGGCGGAAGCGCAAGCTCAATAGCTTGTCCTCCCGGGGCGTCGCAAATCTCACCCCAGATCAGCTCGCCAAAAAACGTGCCAACGACCGCCAGGCGCAACGCGCAATCCGAGAACGCACCAAGGGTCACATAGAAGCTCTAGAACAGCAGGTTCGGGACCTGTCTTCTCAAAAACCATTTCACGATCTTCAAGCGGCTCTGCGCCAGAATGAGGCGATTCGGTCCGAGAATAGAGAGCTCCGGCAAGGGCTGAAAGCCGCCATGGATATTATACAGCCATTGCTTAGAAGGCCAGAAATATCAGGTAAGTGGAGGATAGCAATGCGATTCAAGTATCAAGCTGACGATAATAGATGCGCCCCCTTGTCTCCCTATACCCAGATCCGCCCCGCCCCCTGCACATACGTCCCCGTTCCCCGAGACCGACCACTTCACCTCCAATCCTCAAGGTCTGCTTCCAGGCGAGAAACCCTATGCCGATTCTATCGCCAGCCTTGACACGCCCTCCCCAACACACTCTGCGCCGGCATCGGTGAGTCGCCGGAACAGTGCCAATGGCGGCCCTCCTTCGGCCTCTTTCAGAGTTGCATTAGACTCGCAGCGCCACAACATCACCCATGGCCTAGACTTAGGCTCGGAAGAGCGGCTGGGCTTCAACTTTTTGTTGGATTCGTCTCATACTGTTCCAAAAGTCGACCGTCTTCGTCGCAGCAGCTCAGAAAACTTCCGCTCCCACCTAAATCCTCCATCGCCGGTATATCCACAACCATTGAACATAAGTTGCGAACATGGAACCCCTGCATATGCTGCGCCAATCCAGAACTTGACTGCCACATGTCCCTTGGATACCATTCTTCTGGACTTCCTCCATAGCCGACAGCGCGAAGCCGCACAAGGCATCCCCAAGCAGAAACTAGTGGGACCTCCGTATCCAAGTGTCTCCTCGCTATTGAATCCAGACAAAAGCGTTTACTCGCATCCGGTTTCGAAGGTGTTCACGGATATTCTGCGCACCTTCCCTGATATTGCCGGCCTACCGGAGCAAGTCGCCGTGCTTTATACTATGTTTCTCCTCATGCGCTGGCAAATTTACCCAACACAAGAGAACTACCAGCGTCTTCCGGAGTGGCTCACCCCACGTCCGACTCAACTTCTTCATCCGCATCCTGCCTGGATGGATTATGTTCCTTGGCCGGCAATGCGTGACCGAATTGTTACAACATATCAGAACTATGCGTTTGAGAATTGGTTTATCCCGTTTACTCGTGGGATCTCTGTCAATTGGCCATATGAGTCTACAGATTGTTTACTATCAGCCGGTGACTCGGAAGAGCTAGTTATTAATCCTGTCTTTGAGCGGCATATGCGCAATCTCGGCAATTGGTCTTTGGGGACATGCTTCGCGGAGGCTTATCCTGCTTTGGCGGACACGGCTCAAATCAAATCACAAAAGCCGAAGCCAACACCGCGTTCGCAGTAGGTTTGAGAGTGGGATTCCACTCGGAACGGAGGCATTCGTTTTGGAAATTTGGCGCTGTTGTAGTGTGGTGTTTTTCTTGCTTTATATCTTACTTTGGGGGCGTTGGATAGCTGGAACAGATATCAGTATTAGGCCACCGGCGACCTGGCCATACAAGTGTCGCCAATAGAACTTTGGACCAGAGAAATGAGTGTGAAACATGATCAACTATTCTTGATCTATAATCTAGACTCCCAAACTTCCACTACTCTTTTCTACTCTTCTCGTTCCAAAACTCCAACCCAGCCTTCTGTCGCAATGTACCATACATGGCACTGCTATCAAGACACTCACCACCATACTTCCTAGCAGCCTCCATATTAGCCCGAGCAAGCTCAAGACCAGGAAGCTGGACACCCCGCTCCTCAGCCATGGCCATAGCATGTCTAGCATCCTTGATTGCAAGCGAGACGCCAAAGCCAGGACGTGAATCCAAGGACGGCGCATAAGCACCAGAAGTCAACCTAGGAGATATCAGAATTCACAAGCTCAATCCATCCAATAGATATCTGGATAACATACCTTTTCGAGTAACCCCCGGCCACAGGCCCAAATGCCTCCCCGATAAGCTCCTCCATAGGCCCAGTGCCCAGCCCAGTCTTCTCCGCGAAGACCTGCGCTTCTCCAACAGCTTCCATCATATTCACAGTGACAATATTGCCCGCAATCTTAAGCAGCGACGCCTTGGTCGCATCTTCGCCGCACTCAATCACCCGCCGACCCATCACATCCTGGATCAACGGCTTGATTACCTCTGTTGCGTGTTGAGGACCGCCAATCGCAAAGACCAGCCTGCCGTCTACGGCAATCGGGTTTCCACCGAAGACGGGTGCTGCTACGTATGAAGCATTTTTGGCTTTCAGCTCCGTGACTGCCTTGCTGACTGTTTCTGGGTGCACTGTTGAGCAGTCGACGAAGATCTTGTCCTTAAGAGATTGACCTGAGTTTGTTGCTTGGGCGAGCAGGCTTTGCAAGACTGAGTCGTTTGAAACCTGGGGTTCGTTAGACACGTCCTGATTGGGCATGGGGTGGGTGGTATTAGGTACCATGGTGAAGATGATTCCACAGTTGGAGACTAGCTTTGAGAAATTGTTCTCTGGGACTCCTCCCAGTGATTGAAGGGGTGCTCCGCGCGACATTGTGCGGTTTGAGTAGAGTAGACTCAGGGCTTTCTTGGTTGCTAGGTGCCGTTGCAGGTTAGAGGCCATTGCTAGGCCCATGGACCCGAGGCCATACTGGAGAGTCAGTTAATTGTTGTGTCTGTACATGCGGGTGAATACTAACCCAACCAATTTGTGGCATGTTGTGATTTGAATTGGTGGTTTTATAGAGTGAGTAGCAGACCAGGCTATCAAGTTATAGGAGAGTTGTTGTCCGGGGATATGGTGGAGCGACACATTTCCCGAGGACATCGGAGTCGGCCGACAGATGTTTGTTCTCAACTCCTTGGTCTGTTTCGAGTCTACTGTAGAATGAGTCCTGGTGATCTTGTCACTACTCACTGCTAAATGAGAACTAACGGTGATTGGAGACAACGCCTTGTGTTGGCCGGTTGACCTGTTGATCTGCCTGCAAGGCGTTATACATGTATCCAGTCACATTGAATGCATCACATCCCACGCCACGAGGTGAAACTATTCACAACTATTCTCGAGCCAACTTTCAATTGCGCCCTGATATGCTTCCTTTCGAGCTTCGTCAGTCAAATAGGTCGATCGTGTCACGTATTGTCATAACAGCGGCTCATCCCCCCAGGTGGGGGGAAAATATCAGGTACGGTATGGTCACGTAAGTTATGATGCTCCGTCCGTCGTCGGCTTCGACTTCAAACATCCCCAACTCTCCTCCCTTGAACCTCGCCCAATTCCGCTCTTCGTGGGAGCTCCCAGAATTTGACTCCGTGATCCTCCCATCTCACCTGTTGCATTTCCAATTCCTTCAATATGGCGGACATGCCCATTGGTACACTTCCCCAGGCTACCGTGTCCCAGCTTCCAAGCTAATAAGCTAACCACCTCCACAGTGCTCGATGGAGGAACTGGTTTCCTCAAGGTCGGCTATGCCGCCCAGGTATGTCGTATAGCCTTCTCAACACCATGTCACTCCTCTCTAATTCATATACCTGCCAGAACTTCCCAGAGCACCAGTTCCCCTCGATAGTGGGGCGGCCCATCTTGCGAACAGAGGAGCAGTCGACCGACTTCGTGCTCAAGGATATCATGTGTGGAGATGAAGCTGCTGCCGCACGATCCATGCTCCAGATCAGCTATCCTGTATGTCCCTGGATTGGTCCCTCACCATGATACCCCGCCCTCTCCGCAGACGTTGTTGTCGATGCCTAATCCGCGCTGCTCTAGATGGAAAATGGAATTGTCAAGAAATGGGACGATATGCAGCATCTATGGAACTACACCTTTTACGATAAGATGAAGATCAACCCTGAGGGTCGCAAGATCCTCCTCACGGAACCCCCGATGAACCCGCTCAAGAACCGCGAGCAGATGGCCGAGGTGATGCTGGAGGGATATGGGTTCGGTGGTGTCTATGTGGCGATCCAGGCGGTGCTGGCACTGTATGCCCAGGGTATGTAGTGCAAGGATTGAACCGACAGGTTGACAAAGCTGACGGGGGCTGTTCTAGGTCTGAGCAGCGGAGTAGTTGTGGATTCCGGTGATGGTGTGACGCACATTATCCCCGTATACGAGTCGACCGTGTTGAACCACCACATCCGTCGTCTGGACGTCGCTGGTCGCGATGTCACCCGCAACCTGATTGCGCTCCTCTTGCGCCGCGGATATGCGCTGAACCGAACCGCCGATTTCGAGACCGTCCGCCAAATCAAGGAGAAGCTCGCTTATGTCTCTTACGACCTCGAGTTGGACAAGAAGCTGTCCGAGGATACCACCGTTCTCGTCGAATCCTACACCCTTCCCGATGGCCGTGTCATCCGTGTCGGTAGCGAGCGCTTCGAGGCTCCCGAGTGTCTGTTCCAGCCGCACTTGGTTGATGTGGATCAGCCCGGTATTGCTGAGATGCTGTTCAACTGTATCCAGGGTGCCGATGTCGATGTTCGTTCCAGTCTATACAAGGCCATTGTGCTCAGTGGTGGTAGCAGCATGTACCCGGGTCTGCCCTCGCGTTTGGAAAAGGAGCTGAAGCAGCTCTGGCTTACTCGGGTACTGGGCGGAGACCCAGAACGTCTGAACGTATGTTCACTCGACCCAAATTTACCTCAGGACTTGGCTAATGATCTCTTAGAAATTCAAGGTCCGCATCGAAGACCCCCCTCGACGGAGACACATGGTCTTCCTGGGTGGTGCTGTCCTCGCCAACCTGGTATGTTTACATGACCCGTTATCTACAGAAAGTTCTACTAACACCAACCCTCTAGATCGCCGACAAGGAAGACATGTGGGTATCCAAGCAGGAGTGGCAGGAACAGGGTGCCCGCGCCCTGGACAAGCTCGGTCCCCGATAATCGCATTGTATTTAAGCGGTTTCGGTTTCGGTTCCGGTTCCTGCTCAGCTTCTTTCTCTCTGATTTCTTGCTTCGCATTGTTTGCAAGCCGTGTTGTCCCCTGTCTTTTCTCTTATCCTCACTTCTTCCTCCCATCCTTGTCGATATACTCCCGTCAATCTTGTGGTTTTTCCCCTGTCTCTTTTCCTGCTTCCTACATTGTACCTAGACTGGTCTGGTGCGGGTGGACCTGGGGCTTTTATGACAGAAAAGAACTAAACATTTCTCTTGGCTCTCTAGATTTGTAGATTCCTGCAATTGTCAAAAAGAGCATTGAAGTATTCAATTTGTGGGCAACTCTACAGGACCACAGTAGACAAATAAATACATTCAGGTAAAAGATGACCCCAAGACGAAGGTGCAAACTAGAGTATATAAAGCAGTAAAGATGACCGAAAGATGCAAAGATGCTATTAACGCCAACTGAACAAATGCACAAGACAAGATAAATCATCCACCTGAGCTTTAATTCACCTGTACAGTACAGTACAATTAACCTTCCACAGCACCCGGTGAAACAGCCAAGATAACCGCAAGCGCGGCAATAATCAACGCAGCAGCCACAAACGCTGTCAAGGCAACACTGCCACGACTGGCAGGGAATTTGCCCCGAATAATCCAATACTGGCTCTCAAAATAGCGGTGAAATCCTACTATCAGGATGAGGATTGAGACGCCGATGAATGTTGAGCCGAGGGGTTTGCCTACGCTGCGAAGACGAGAGGAGGCGGATGATGCGTGGAAGGAGGCTGAGTCGTAGGAGAGGTTTGGTGGGAGAATGGCTGGGTTGGCGCCAGTTGGGCTCATATCATAGGCACTTCGGGTTGTATCTTGGTTCGCGCTGTTCAGACGGAAGAGTTGCGTTACTGCGATGCCGATTGAGGCGAAGGCTAATGAAGTGCGCATCCAAGCTAGGAAGGTTCGTTCTGTTGATCTCGTTAGATTGGTCGATAATGAGAAGTGTGTTTGCCTGCAGTTTTCATACCTAAAGCAAGATGGTCGCGCGCAACACTGCCTTTGTTTTCCAGTTCGAGGCTGCCATATCGATCTGCTAACTTGGTATACCAGGACTGCTTGGGCTCGGAGGGTGCCTCCTGACTAGTTGGCTGGTTGGCGGTCGTGCCATTGCCATTGCTTGCAGTGTCTGGGTTTTGTGACTTGTGTTGCGAGCTTTCAGTCTGCTCGGTCGACTTATAGTTACGCCGGGCAGGGTCGGCCGTATTTATTGGAGTGGCCTCAGTAGACTGAGAGCTCTGTTCCTGGTTCAAGGTGCGTGCATGGGTTCGCAAAGAGCTTGAGTGGGACCGGGTACTGCCGATAGACGAGGACAGGCCTGAATCGGTGTTGGTAGGTGACCGTGAGGACTGGATATCTGTAGCCCTGTGGCTCTCGCCCGTCTGAAGCGAATCAAATGTGTTCATTATGGCGTGATCATTGATCTCTTGAGCTATTCTGTCCAATCCGGAGAGGAGGGGGACCGTGTTTATGCACCGAGGCGTCAGAGGCCCCTATTGCGGAACGGGCGTAATGGATATTGCTATGCAGGGCTCACAGTGAGCGGTAAGTGAGATATTTCGCCCTCTTATTTGAAGGGTCTGGGGTCAGTGTCAATATGCGCTGCTCAGCCTGCACTTTGCTGGGGTGACTTTAGGCAAAGCGTGAAATGATCTTCGCACGTGACTCCGGGGAAGGGTCCACTACAACCCACTTGGCTTTCATGGATATCACGATGAGATGGGTGTAGAAGTTGAAGGGTTGAAGGGGAATGAGTCTATGAAGAGGAGATATTCAAGTTCACATCTCCAGATCAACAAGAGTTACGACTTCTCCGAACCCTAATGGCGTCATTTCCTCTTTGGGTAGGCGGTCAGAGCTATTTTATGCCCGTCTGTTGATCAGCTTTCTCCCCTCTTCGCTTTCAACATGAACGACATATAGTCATGGCATCACAGATCTCCCCCGGGAAGCTTGATCTTTCCAAGAAACTTTCAGACTTGCGGTCAACCGACCGCCGGCCACAGACCAACGCTCGAGACCCCACTCCATTAACCCCTCCTCTCCCCTCGCCGCCAGACCTCTCCGCCCATCAGTACCGCCAACCAATCCGTCGCATTCTGTCCCCCAAGGATCATGAACTCTTCCTCTCCTCATCTACATACAAACTAGTCCTTGCATTTGTCTTCGGCCTGACTGACTCCGTCCGTGGGCACTCCGTTCCGGACCTCCAAAAAAAGCCCCAGTCCGAATCCATCTCCAAGATCTTCGCAGTCGTCACTCAGATCCGAGCCCTCTTGACCAGGAACCCTGCAATTGATCAGGGTGGATCTCGATTTGGCAATCCCGCCTTCCGTACATTGTTCGACGATGTTGCCGCCCAGAGCGCATCATGGCATACCAATATTTTGGGGCTGAAAGACAACGCAGCCACCGAGGAGGCGTCTACATATCTCATCAACTCTCTGGGCTCAAAAGACCGCATAGACTACGGCTCAGGACATGAATTGAATTTCATGATGTGGCTACTATGTCTGTACCAGCTCGGTCTTCTCCCCGCCTCGGACTTCCCTGCCGTGGTGGTCAAGGTCTATATCGAATACATGCATCTCATGCGTGAAATCCAATCGACTTACTACCTGGAACCTGCTGGTTCCCACGGTGTGTGGGGTCTGGACGATTACCACTTCCTCCCGTTCTTGTTTGGCGCCAGTCAATTAGTCGGCCATGGATATATCACGCCCTTGGGAATCCATAATACAGCCACTCTAGATGAGGAAGGAGATAATTATCTTTATCTGGACCAGGTCCGCTGGGTGGACAGTGTGAAGACCGTCAAGGGTCTACGCTGGCACAGTCCCATGCTGGACGATATCTCTGGAGCCAAAAACTGGTTCAAGGTCGAGAGTGGCATGAAGAAGATGTTTGTCAAGGAAGTCCTTGGAAAGCTACCCATCATGCAGCACTTCTTATTTGGAAGTCTCTTGGCTCCTGCTGAAGGCATGAGTGACCCCTCAGGATACGACCATGAGCATGAAGGCCACGACCATGCCCACGATCATGGACATGGACATGACAGTGCCGACTGGTTCGGTGACTGCTGTGGTATCAAGGTACCCAGTACCGTGGCTGCGGGGGCTGAGATGCGCAAGCGTATGGGTGGATCCAACTTGCGCCCAATTCCTTTTGATTAAGGCTCAAGTACGATAAAATAACGATACTATATGAAAAGAATCATAAACACTTGATTTTCGAGTTATTTTCCCCTAGGTTACTCTCCATACTTCGTAAGCTGTTTAAAGAAAAGTCCCCACCGCCTCCGATTGGCCCACTCTAACCTCAACCCCAACTCCGCTCCAACACGCAACTCACATCTCAAATTACATCTACAACGAACAAACCCCGAAACTGCCACCTACCACTAAGCGCAAAACTCAACCTCAAACCTAACCCCAAACCCTGAACCCAAAAGCGATCGTCCACCGCTCACATCCGCACGCGCAACTCCGGCGGTCCCCATCTCCATCTCCGCGCATCACCCAAAGCCACACCGCCAAACGCAAAAAAAAAAAAAAAAAAAGAGAGAACAGAGCACACGTCATCCCTCTACCCTCCGACCGAAACGCAATCCGACCCACTCATGGCGGGCGACGAGTACTCCGTCGGCGGTGGCAAGCTCAAGTTGAAGGGGAGCAAGGTTAGCGGAGGGCGGGTGGAGAAGAAAAAGAAGAAGAGCTCGAAGAAGAAGGAGGACTCGGCTTCTGCTTCTGGTCCTGGAACTCCTGCAGAGACGCAGATACAGAGATCGGCAGTTGAAGGGGATTCTCGTCGGGATTCAACGCCGATTGAGTCTAGAGTGGGGAAGCGTGATCATGCCCATGATAATGACCATGACGATGGAGGTGATCAGGTCGCAGAGCGGGAGAGGGAGTTTGGCAGTGGGAAGACGGAGACAGAGAGGAAGTATGAGGAGATTCGGCGCAAACGGGTATGTTTATCTTTTTTGTTTTTCTGGTTTTCTGGTTTTCAGGCTTTCTTTCTATGAAAGAAAGCTGTCGGCTTGGTTGGGTATCTTACTGACTTGGATAGTTACATGAACGACTTCAACGGGAAGGTGTCAAGACTCACAAAGAAAAGGTTGAGGAACTGAATAAGTATCTCAGTCGCTTGAGTGAACATCATGATATGTATGTCTTTCTTTTCTTTTCTATTCTTTGTTTCTCGTGTCCCGGATGTGTCCCGACTGGATGAATAGCTGCTAACATCTTCCAGGCCGAAGATTGGACCGGGTTAGACGGGGGGATTTGGGTCTTGGGTTTCAATGCAGGGAGCTTAGGGCTTGGATCCAGTCACTTGCATTTCTGTAATTTTACCCAGATGTTCGTTTACGAATGGTGTTCACATTTTTGGGTTTCTTGGTTTCTTTCAGGTGGAGATGTAGACCCCGTGATCTGGGCCATCGACACCACATGATCGGCTTATCTACTCGTGTATCATGTGGATGCACCCTGGGAATGCAGATGGTCGACTACGAATTCCGAACTGAAGATGGAAGATATAGATTATTGAAGGCTGAAGACCTACAGGCGCTCCCTGAGAAGCAGTCCCCGAAAACAAGTGAAGCCCCAAATGCAAGATGGCAGTAGATCGAAAGAAAACAAATGACACCCGTGAACAACGCCATGCAAATGACCCCCAAACGATAAAAAAAAATAGATCTAGATATAGATCAAACCCAACCAAAATAGATCATCCCCAAATCAAAAGAGTAGAATGAAACACCGCGCTAAATCCAAGATCACCGCGAGAGAGAAGAGAAACGCAAAAGAACAGACAGATGTAGACGAGGCGACCTCTGTGGAGACGGAAGTTGGAGAAGGGCAGGGTGGAGACGGGGAGCCCCGTCTGCGCTGCCTGGCCGATTCCGCCGGCCCAGCACAACGAACAACCGCACTGGTTGTTCCAGACCGCAGACGTCTGCCATCTACTCCGCTCGTATTATGAGGTCCTTAGACGCCCTTCACCACGACTGTCCGTTCGCTGTTCAGCTTATCGGCGTTGCGAGCATGACTCTCCTTCTTGCAATCCTCCAGTCCGGTGCAGGAGTGTGCCTCCAACATGCGGTGCTTCGAGCAGAAATGGCCGGCGCAGAAACTACAGTCACCGACGATGCGCTGAGCGGCTTCCTTGCATTCCTTGAAGTTGCAACGGGGCTTGCGGGGAGGCATTGTCGTGGGTTGTAGGGACCGAGTGAGAGTTCAAGAGGCCGGTTGGAGGGAAACCGACTGAGGGAGAGATAAGGAGGAGGCGAGACGCCGAATGGTTTCGTAGTAACTCTCAAAGGGGCACTGTTGAGTTGTCTTGGAGGGAGGTGGATAAGCGCCGAGCCAAGTGCGGAGAGATGCGGTTGGGGAGAGGAGAGTGAAGAGCAGAGAGCAAGTGGTAAAGGGGGAAGAAAAGGAAGTACCTGCAGAAGGGGGTATATATAGGGATCGGAACAGACGGGAGAAAGCCACAGAAGGCTGAGTCAGTGAGGCGACTGGGGGGGTGACGGAATGAGTAAAGTGGAGAATCCCGAAGGTTCGATAAGTGAGCAATGGGTGAAAAGTTAGACGGTGAGGGCGAGTATACGGTGGTATCTGAGGTCTATACTGACATTGGACCACTGAACTGGTCACTGACTACTGAACTGACCTCTGACCTGACCTTGACCACTAAACTGACCTCGACCACTGACCATTTCTCAACAAACCCGACACAGGACAGCCTAACGGAACAGAGAACTATACACGTGATACGACACAGTGCCGCCACCCAGTGTCCCAGTGGCAACAGGTTCATCCGATATTCTTGCGTCTACGGCGCTTTCACCAGCACACCCACCTGGGACTATATAAACTCTGCAGTCCTACATCACCATCTCCACCTCCGACGTACATCGCATATACAGGAACCGGATATCATATCATTATATCATAAGCCAGTGGAGCTATGACTTTGCTCAATCAAGCGAAATTAAATTCAACAGGTGAAGTATCGACCACAAGTGACCAATACGAGCCGTTCGGTCTCTGCAGCTCTGCAATGCGCACGGGACCAACGCCCAGCATGTCCGGGAGTGGCTCCGTTTAACTAATATCCAGGCCTAAAGTGAGGCCGATCCCGCTACCCAATTTCGTTCTCTGGCCTGAACTGCACCTGTGCTAAAGTGGTTCACATCGTAATCACACCACGTCCACTTTTTCTCCTCTTCCCCCCCCGGGGCTACGTGTTCCATTTCAAATCATGACTAGTAATGTGGAGGCGTGCATTGGTTTGATATTGAGAGAATTGGAAAACGCCCATGCGCCCGAACCCCTTGCCCCCCAAAAAAAAACAGAAACAGAAAAAAAGAAAAAGAAAACAAAAAAGGAGAAAGGAGAAAGGAGATAGGAGAAAAGGCAAATAGGGAAAAAAAAGCCATACATGAAACGATTCGGATCAAATTATGCTCCCGGTTCGTTTGCCTTGCCAGCATCCGGGTCCAAGTAATTCTCCTTTTCGGCCGCCTCATACTCGCCAATGAGATCCATGACCACCGCCCGCGCTTCGTCAAACTCACCCAGTCCATCGGCAAAGGGCGCTTCTTTTTTGTATTGTTCCAGGAAGGCATTGCGGTTACGGAATCGGTCATATTGGTGGACGATGCGCTTGAAGAGGGTGGCCACAGACGTGTGATTGGCTAGCATGAGACCGCTGACGCGGTGGCCGGCATCCGAGATGTAGGGAGATTTCTTGGTCAGGGCCACTTGGATACTGGCGGGACCCCATGGGATGAAAGAAGCAAGACGACGTTCGCGAATCCGCAGGAGGGACTTGTGCACGTCGGTCGGGTCGGCTTCACCTTGGATGATATTCAGGATACTGATGTAGCAACTGGACTTGCTGGGGTTGATGGAGACCATCCGGTTCTTGGGCTGTAAGAGACGACGCATCACATCCAAGACGGTCGTTTTGCGGATTGTCCGGGCTTGGTCAATGTTGGCGCCAGTGAAGGGAGTGTAGGATGTGAGAAGGAAATGGCTGCGGGGGTGGGGATCAGCGAGGCAATGATTCCAGCGAGGTCATTGTGCATGTATCCGGGGTATCGTAGGGTGGTGGTAGATGCAGACATGACCGTCGACACCAGCTGGTTGGTTTGATGGAATGAGGGCTCTTGCACATGAAGTCGGTCAGCCACAATTCGTGATAGAGCGCCATTGTCCAGGACAACCACGGAGTCCGCGTCTTGAGTTAATCGTCGCATGGCGAGCAAGCTGTTGTAAGGGCTGACAACCACATCGGGGTTTTGCGTATCAGGGAAGACGGAGTAGGTCTGGATGAGCTTCTTGGGGAAGCGATCGTTCATGCGTTCTAGAATGAAACTGCCCAGCCCTGAGCCTGTACCTCCAGCGATCGAGTGAAGAAGCATGAAGCCTTCCAACGAGTCACTTCCGTCTGCTTCTCGGTCGATCATGTCGAAAATCTCCTCGGAGATACCCTCGCCGGCTGCATATCCTGCTCCCCAGTTGTTTCCAGCTCCGATACCTTGCTGCCCGATGAAGAAGTTCTCAGGGTTGTAGATGTTTTTGTATGGACCGGTCTGGATACCATTGAGTACCTATAATGTTGTTTCAGTGGCCTGAACCATGGTATCACGGGATTTTGCTCGCATACCCTGGGTTCTAGATCGAGGAGAATGGCTCGGGGAATGTAGCGGGTGTCGTCACTCTATCAACGTCGTTAGCGATGACACCAACCAAATAATATAATCCATGCCTCTATCAACACACCTGATAAAAGAACACATCCTTGCGATCACCGCCTTCTGTCGCGTAATCCGCTAGGTTTCCATCTGCGCTGATTCCATGCTCCTGGCACAGCTGCTGCCAGAATTGGCTTCCGACTAAACAGACCGCGCGTTAGCTCTCCAGAGCATGAGTCATAGGGGGTTATAGATTTCAATCGACAGCGCAGGGTTGGGAGATTCCGTCGAGGAGCTGAGGTGTGCCACATACCGTTGTTGCCGCACTGGCCGGCTTGGATGGTGATGATTTCTCTGCCATTCCGCCAGAATTAGTTTTATTCCAGCGGGAGAGGCATTTTTGAAATATTGAAGGAGTTTGGGGGGGTGTCCACTTACCTTGGCATCTTTCGTGCACCAAAGCCGTCGAGTGTTGCAGCTCTCAACGCGTATCGCGTTGGCGCGGGGAACTTTTTGGCCGACGGTGTCGCCTCAGGCAGAACATTTCATCAACATCACCAGTTGACATCAACATCAATCAACCAATCAACCAATCATTCAATCAATCATTCAATCAATCAATCAAACTTCAATTGACCTGTTGCAGCTCAACTAGTATCGTAATAGCTATGCAGGTGCTTCTATCTAGTTGAAGCAAGAACTTGACCGTACGCCTGAAAATGTAAATACAGAAAAAGAACTGGTCCTCAAAAGAGAGACTAGGTACCAGCTCGACATGAATACTAATCCCACAGCCCAAGATACGCCCCAAAATATAAGAAAAACCTGGGGCCGTAGGCATTCAGGTACAAAGAACGTCGGTAGATACACCATCTGCCTTTCCACCATGTTATCCCCGCCTCTCCCTCAATTCCTGCGTCACATCAACAGGCCCCGTTCTCAATCCTCACTTCAGCCTCAATTGCTGAGATTGTTCATGACCAAAGGATTTTTGACCATTTCGGCACCATGTAGTCGAATAGCAAATCGAGGGACGTAGTCTCTCCACCCTCAACCGTAGTCGCAAGCATTGGTGAGTACCCAGCATCTTCAGGACTGCTCCCTGACCTCTCGGTCTTCTTGGTCGTCATCGGCGTCAAACTAAGCGTGTTGGAACTGAGCAAGGAGGCCAGTCTGGTGCATGAACTTGGCCATGGAGCGAATGGCCTGCGGGACCATTTCATCAACATCACATCACTCATCACCCTAATGCTCCTGCTCCTCCCACACTTTTTTCGCTAACTCCTCTAAAGTGGATTCCGGAAAACCGATGTCTCTATCTTCGGGCTGAGATGGACTTCTCCTGAATACATGTTCGAATGAAATGATCAGAGGGTCTCCGGAAATCTTGATGGCGCCTTGTTTGGTTTGCTTTGAAGGGGTCATGGTTACTTATTCATGACGACACATCGAAGCAGACGACAATTTTTGGTTACTTCTATCGTGAGTTCAATGAATGGGATTTCAAGGTCTCAGGGCCTCTCGGTATTTTGAGTACTCAAAACCTAGCTTTCAAAGCCGTAATGAGGTTTCCTGCGCCTGCAACCACTCCATCTACAATGCGAACTCGACCACCCTCCGGAATTCCATATTCCCGCTCACATCCTTCTCGCACCGCTTCTTCCATGCCCGCCATACCCGCGCAGCCTAGACAAACAACCTTGACACGAGTCTCAGAGCTCCGCAGTAGATTGCGAGTGGCCTCGATGATCCTCCGTCGTACTTCTTCAGGGGCAGTAGTGTGTAGTTCGACGGCTGTCAAGCCAGTAGTCTCAACACCGGCAAAGTGCATTGAGCTCTCATCTTGACCCCTGTATCCCAGTGCACCCTGGACACCGTGGATGAGTTCATCCTTCCACGCGGCGCCCGTCGTGACGATGCCGAAACTACCCTTCTCTTGGTATTTGCGCAGTTTCTCTGCGGGATTGATTGGCTCTTCCAAGGCAAATCCACTGACCAAGGAAAGAGCAGCGGTGATAGATGCTTCAAAAATGCCAGTAACATATTTGTTTCGCGTTGAAGGGTCGTTCTCCTCTATTGACTGAATATCTTGCCTCAACTGGCCAACAAATGGGTGCGCGGAGTAGCATGCTACCAAAAAGGCGTCGTGATATGGAACTAGGTCCCGTACAGGCCAGCAGTTCAATGCTGAGCGACAGGATTCTTCAGCGTTGTTGATACTGGCGATTGGTTCAATCTGGACTCCGTTGACCTCGATGGGGGCATTTGGAGCAGTGAAGTATTCAAAACGCACATCGGTGTAGTTCATGCTCGCCAGGATTGGCTTTAATGCTTCCGTCATGTGCGTCGAGGTGTTGGGGTTGATGATCAAGATGCTATACTTGCGCTCTCCTTTTTTCGGATCGAGCGTAGATATTTCGTTGGCATCGTATCGCTGCTCAGGTGAAGTTTGAGAGCTCATTTTGGAATACAAGAGGTGGAATTGTGAGAGAGAACTGAGAGTATTGAGAGAATCCAAGAAATGCATCGAGGCGTTGGCCGTTAACGTTATCATTTATCGGCGACTTCCGCAACCCCGCCATCCCCGCTTGACCTCCAACTCTCAACAACTCAACCCCAAGATGCCTCTCATTGCCCAGAACCCCCAGCCGAGAGTCATTCTCGGGCTGATGACCTTTGGTCCTTCCGAGGACAAGGGTGCCCGGATCACCTCGCTCGACGAGTACAACAAGTGCCTCGATTACTTCCAACAGCAGGGCTTCAATGAAATCGACACCGCTCGCATCTATGTCGGCGGAGAGCAAGAGGCTTTCACGGCCAAGGCGAACTGGAAGTCGCGTGGCTTGACTTTGGCTACCAAATGGTACCCGCAGAAGGCCGGCGCGCACAAGCCGGACGTCCTCCGAGAGAACTTGGAGCTTTCGCTGAAGGAGTTGCAGACTGACACCGTTGATATCTTCTACCTACATGCTGCGGATCGTGCGACTCCGTTTGCTGAAACCCTCGAGGCTGTTAATCAGTTGCACAAGGAGGGCAAGTTCGTTCAGCTCGGTCTGAGTAACTTTACTTCCTTTGAGGTTGCTGAGATCTGTACGCTCTGTGCTGCCAACGGATGGGTTCGTCCTACCATTTACCAGGCCATGTACAATGCCATTAGTGAGACTCCCCTTTGTTTTGTCTTCAACCTTTCTGATTTCCTTCCTTGCATTGATCGGTCTCAACTAACGTAATTCCCCTAGCACGCAATATCGAGGCAGAACTTGTCCCTGCCTGCCACCGGTACGGTCTGGATATTGTCACTTACAACCCTCTAGCTGGCGGCCTCTTTTCTGGAAAATACAAGACTCGCGATATCCCCGCTGACGGCAGATTCGGCGAGGGAACCGCAACTGGATCCAACTACCGCCGACGCTACTTCCGCGATGCCACCTTTGAAGCTTTGAGCCTAATCGAGCCCGTTGTGGAGAAGCACGGTCTCACTCTGTTGGAGACCGCTCTTCGCTGGGTGCGCCACCACTCTGCCCTGAGAATGGACAATGGCGGCCGTGACGGTGTCCTCGTCGGTGTTAGCAGCTTTGGTCAGCTTGAGACTAACCTTGCTGATCTTCAGAAAGGTCCTTTGCCAGAAGAGGTTGTTCAGGCTTTGGATCGTGCTTGGCTTGTTGCCAAGGCTGAGTCACCTGCGTATTGGCATCTGGATTTGAAGTATACCTATGATACTCAGAAGGCTCTGTATGGGCCTAAGTAAGCTGAATACCATGTCAAACATTATCGAGAGCCGTTGATCGAAGCTCATACATAGTGGCTTGGTTGTTCACAATGTACATATTGCTACTTCAAGAGTCGCATGCCTTTCCTAAGCCGGTTGTTTCATACAAAAATTTAGTTGCAGGATAATCCAGACGTAACGCACGGGACATACCCAGCACATCAAATTTAGACAGCTTGTCAGATGTTGACCAAACGGGTCAGCTGGAAGAAACTTGAGTCTTCTGATCTAAAGAAAGGTCTTGGCGCCAATATATGACATAATCAAAGGGCCCCAATCTCAATGCGGCTTAGCGTGCTCCCCGTGTGGGTCACGTGTGTCTCCAAAGCGGGACCCCTGTGACGACAGCTGGAGGTGGCCATTCAACGCCGTCGACGGTGGATTGTCTCTTCTCACTCTTCAACTCATACCCAATTGTTCTCGACATTCGTTTCCCACTGGCTCGTGCTCGCTATCAACCGTCTCTCAGAGCAATATTCAATAAAACTCCAAACCCCCGAACCTTGATCTGTTCCTGGATCGCATGTAACCATACTCTGCGAACAGGGTGGTACAATAGAATCAGAGCCGGAGTCAACGCACGTGGAAACTGGTCTCATGCGTTATAATTTGTCGAATACCGTCATTCATCCATCTCATCTGCTCGTCTCTTGACCTCCATCCCTTATCTGTTATCTTTCGCAAGGACTGTAGACCAGACAAGAATCCCCCCCTGACCACGGCGGATTCCATGCAATAATCAAGACCCTCAACGAGCCCCCTCACCAACGACGTTGTGGCTTCAGATACCTTTGAGCTCTCAGAGCCACGGGCGATCTTAACCCCGGACACAGTCCACGACTCGCCTCACGACTCCCAAGACTCAGAGGACGAGATGGCTGTCAATCGCCCCCCATTGCACCGACCCACGGATGGCCGCTCGCAACAACCCCTACTCAAAGATGACCGCCAGGGGCGTACATCCCGTTCAAGCTTTGGGAATGGGGATGCAGAAGGCCGGCCCATGCTGCACCATACCAGGCGCCCAACCATCCGGAGTAAGAGCCCGGAGCACGACGCCGCCCAAGCAACCCGCAAAAAGTACATGATTGCATCGGGATTCCTCCTGCTCAGCTTGGCTAGCTTCGTGGTTCAAACGGAGACTGCTTCGTACATTCAAAATGAGCTGGGCTGGAAGAAACCCTATTGCATGCTGTAAGTGTCAACACGGAGATAAGCCGGCCACCCCAAGCCCCATGCGCAAACTGAGTACTCTGGATAAAAGCTTACCGCCCCTGTGCAGCTATATGACCCACGGTTCTTGGTCCCTACTTTGGCTGGTCCAACTCGGTATCCTCCGCCTCCAGAAACGGAAGATGTCCTGGGAGGCCTTCTGGCGACGACATGTCTTCCTCCTTCGTACAACTGCGCAAATGGTAGAATCCCAAGATGTGCACCTCACTACCCGCTCTTCAAATCGATCTCCTATCCCATACATGGTTAAGACTACTGCTTTTGTGACCACTGCTCTTACAATCGCTGGAGGTTCGTGGTACGTCGCGGTCAACATGACTACCGCCAGTGACCTCACAGCTATTTACAACTGTTCGGCATTCTTCGCGTATGCATTCTCGATTCCTCTTCTGAATGAGAAGCTGCGATTCGACAAGGTGTTCTCCGTGGCAGTCGCTACTATCGGTGTCATGGTCGTTGCGTACGGTGATCGGCCTGAGAAGAAGGCCTCCAAAGGTGGAGATGATGGAGCCCAGAACAGATTGCTCGGAAACATCGTTATTGGTGTTGGAAGCATCCTTTATGGGCTGTACGAGGTTCTCTACAAGCGCTTTGCCTGTCCTCCGGAAGGTACCAGCCCGGGTCGTGGTACAATCTTTGCCAATACCTTTGGCAGTCTCATCGGCGCTTTTACTCTGCTTGTGCTGTGGATCCCATTGCCTTTCCTACACTGGTTGGGATGGGAGACCTTTGAATGGCCGACGGGCGAAGCAGGTCGGATGTTGATTGTCTCTGTGTGTGCTAATGCGAGTAAGTACTGATTTCGCCTATCCACATGATTCAGCAATTAACGTCAAAATAGCATTCTCTGGTTCTTTCCTTGTACTCATTTCTCTTACATCACCTGTCCTCTCATCTGTCGCTGCCCTTCTCACGATCTTCCTCGTCGCTCTGGTAGACTGGTTCCGAACAGGCGACCCTCTTTCTATGGCATCAATTATTGGTGGCATTTTGATCATGGTGGCATTCTTCATGCTGAGTTTCAGCACATACAGAGAAATGAACGAGGAACGCAAGAAGCATCTCGAGAACGATGAGGTCGAGTCTGACAGTGATGCATAGATTCTGGGTGTTGGGGATATTCCATATATTGCATTTTGGTTTTCGTTCAGCGTTTTGTTCTGTACAGCATATTACTTTTCTAAATTGTTTCACTCTATACCTGACCGACCGGGCTTTTTCATACTTCTGTCTCTAGACCACTGCGGTTGGATTTCGCATAGCTTGTGGCGCAAGCCTAATTACTAGGCATTGTGGTTGACATACGCCTGACATGAGGTGATGAACAATAATTCGACTACATTTTCTTGTCCTGAGGAAAAGCCTCCTCGAGAGTCGCCAAGCCTTCAATCGAAAATGCCGAGCCCGAAATCGCCGAGTCCGAAATTGCCACTCGGCATAAAAGCTTCTGGTCGGTGATTTCTTATACTAACTCCCCATGTCAGAACCAATCTCAAGCAAAACGATGAATGGGCCAATCAGCTCACAGCGTGTGGTCAAGCCCAGCGTCAAGAAACGACGTCCCCCACTGGCCTGTGTCCAGTGCTATCAGCGTAAGCTCAAATGCGGAAGAGAGCTTCCCTCCTGCAGCCGCTGCTTGAAGACAGGGAATACCGACAGATGTATCTATCGTGGCACCCAAGCGACATCCTCGTCGGTGGACGGAATGTTAAGCGATGGTCATTCGGGAAGCGCTGGTGTCGCACCAACGTCCTTGCATACACCGATCTCGTTGACAGAGACTCCAGAGACTCAGGGAAGGCCCTCGTCTTCCCCTGGCTGGAAGGGGAAAGTGACACACTTGAAAGGACAAGAGACCGCCACCAGGTTTTATGGGTATAGCTATCCTTTAAACTTTTACCAACAGGTACGCCACACTATCCCATTAAAACATATGCGGAGCATCCCTTAAGTAGTAACAGTTTACAGAGCTTCGATCCTATATCGTTCGAATGAAGACTAAAAATCCGTCGATCAATACTCTTCGTGACGAGATTTATCCTCTGACCAACAACAAATATCAGCTTCGTTCGCTGGCACATGATGCTGTTTCTGAAGAGATCTTGAAAAAAATGATTCCCGTGAAGCCAATTATGGATACATTGGTCCAAACTTACATCGACAAGTTTGAGATAACACACCGAGTGCTCAATATATCGGCTTTCAATGCCGATTACAATCGTCACTGGGCCAATCCGCTTTGCACGCCCGCTGCCTGTTTGGTACGACTTCTTTTAGTGGCAGCAGCGGCAACAAGCTTTCACCCTGAAATATGTATCGACTATTCAAGTCAATCAACTATCCATGACCATGCACTAGATTGGCTTGGGGCTGCAGAATCATGGCTCAATTCCTCGACCAATCAGCCTCCTCAGTCATGCGATGCGTTAGCGACTCACTGTCTCTTGCTCATTGCAAAACGTGCAAATTATATACAAGAGGATTCTTTCTGGACAAACACTGGGGCGCTGGTGCGGTGGGCTATGGCAGCAGGATATCACCGTGAATCTTCCCCGACAGCGAGAATTTCACCGTACTTTCGGGAGATCCGTCGGCGCCTATGGATGACGATCGTTGAACTCGATATCCAGGCCTCCGTAGAACGGGGAATGCCTCCAAGTATTGGGATAGAAGATTTCAACATAATATCGCCGCTGAATATCGATGACGAATTGTTTCAGGAGTCGAGCCAAGCTCCATTGCAAGGCCTACCGCTCACTACATTGACAGACACGACTTTCCAGGCCGTTATGTATCGCTCTTTGGCTGTCAGGTTTAGAATTTGTGCGTTCGTCAATGGATGTCGGGAGCAAGATGATTTCGACCGAGTTTTGCACCTTGGAGAGGAGCTGGAAGAAGCACTCCAGCATTTACCAGATTGGAGCAATCCCCGAGACAATCCGAGACGGCAGCAAACAAAGATGTACGTGAAGAGATTATTAAACATCTATTTGCATCAGTACACAGTCTTGTTGCATAGCCAGTTTGCAATCCAGGCTCCGCCCTCATCTAAATCTACAATCTGCCGGCGTGCAAGATTGGAGGCATCATTAAAAGTTCTTGACCATCACCAAAAGCTTCTACACGATGAAAAGGTACCAGAACAAGCTTGCAGGACGGGGTTGCTCCTTGCGGCACTAAATATCTGCCATGAAATTTATATACACTTTGGACCTCACGGTAAGCAAAGGCACCATCCCGCTTATTGATTTTTAACTTTGTGCACACAAAAGAAATTCCCACGACTAACGAACCCAAAGCTTCAAATCAATCCGCTACCATGGCTATATTTCCTCAAGTTTCAACAGTTCTCGTGGCTGCCGTTGAGCAGGCACTACAGATCGTGGAGAAGAGAGTCAACTTGACATTCTACGGATTGAACGAATATTACATACTCAGTATGATAGTTGGTTTGGTCAAGTGCAAGCTGTGGCCAGAGTCCAGCGCAACATCCGACCAAGAGGCAGCAGATAGAGTGATCCAAGTGAGCAAAATGCTGCTAACACGCCAGGCTGCCATTTTGCCAGATCTTCCTCTCTTGCATCCAGTGTAAGTATTCCATCAAAAAGCGATATCGAAGTTTATATTGATTGGCTGTAGTTATAATGAAGGTGTATGCGGGATTAACCTATCAGAGCCTGCATTCCCCGATGGCGCAACTGAACTGCTTGATACAATGGTATGTGTTATTAAAGTTTTTGTTTTATTCTTTCAATGTTGTTGGATTCGCTAACAAAGATGGATTAGTTTCCAGGAGATCTGGATTTCATGAACGACAGTATTGATTACGCCTTCTTCCATACATGATTTTCTTACACTCGACTATCTTGTCTCACCGGTTCTCACTTCACGAATCTAGCGTCAGTGGCAGCAAATCAAACACATACAACGAAGAATATAGCTTGAATTGAAAGTCACCTCAGAGCGGTCGAAATCAGATCAAACAATTTCCAGGAGCTTTGCTTGTAGACGCAACCTCGCCATGGAGACAAGAACGGCTCCAAACAACATCACTACACCGCTGAAAACTGCAGCTTGTGTGTAGGTACCATATTTCTCCATCAAAGCGCCGCATATTGGGGTTCCGGTAAGGCCAGCAAGACCAATAATGGCCATTGACATACCGAGATGGGTGCCAATCTGGTCCGGGCTTGGGGTTATTTGGGCAATGCAGGGAGACATCAGCGACACAATCCCACCCGAAAAGAAACCATAGAGCACCGCAAAAACGATAATTGAGGCATTGGAGGTTATCGCGATCCAGCACAGAAGTAAAATCCCTGTGCAGACACTGTTGATGATCAAGATGTTGAACCGACCAATCTTATCTGCGACCATACCGGGTAAAATCCTGCCAAAGACCGAGGCAGCATTGAGTATGGACAAAAGGTAAGACGACAGCTGCGACTCCATGCCATGAGACTGCGCGTATTGCGGAAGATAAAAGAAGGGGGTGAAAAGTCCCCACATCATGAAGAAGATTCCAAGTGTTGTGAGAGTGTAAGAAACGCGAGTAAAGGCTGCCGGCAAAATGACTTTGCCGCGACGAGGAGGAAGTCGCTCTCTCACAGTGATCATGGCTATCAATACCATGAAAAAGATAATGAAGCCCACTATTCGGACGGACCATCCAAATCCCAGGGATTCATTTCTCAGCATCTTGCTCAAGGCAATGGGAAAGATGACTCCTCCAATGGAAGACCCAGAAACTGTCACCCCGAGAGCTGCAGCACGTCTCTGATGAAAATAGTGGCTCACACATGTCATGACAGGAGCAAACAACATGCCAGAAGTAATCCCACCCAAGACTCCTTGGGCTAGCATAAATTGATAGTACTTCTTACACAAGGATGTCATCATTACTGACAGAACCATAGCAAGTGCGGGCGCATGAATGACCTAGCATGGAAACCATCAGCAGTGAATCACAATGGTGAACAGGAAGACATCTCAAGTCCTTACCGAAGCCCCGTATCGGTCAAACAATGGCCCACCGATTATACTCCCCGAGAAGAGAAAGCAGACTTGAACAGACCCGATCCACGAAATATTGGATGAAGTTTCAGCGGAGAGAAAGTGGTTGGTGTAGTAATCTTGGTAGACTCTACGTTTATCAGTTAGTGTTTCGTATATCTAGAATATCAGAGTCAAGAGCTCACCCAAAAGCGTTCATGTATCCAAAAGTAGTAAAAGAGACACAGAATGCCCCTAACACCACCATCCAAGCCCGAGTGCCCCCCTCTGGGAATTTTGGTGGTTTTTCAGGTTCGAGTTGATCTGGTTCTTCGGAGCCATTCAAAGCAACTCGGCCAATCGATGCCTGCGGATGAGACATTTCGAGAATGTATTTAGCAAGACAAAAGATCTATATTTTACAGCAGCTTTCTTCAAGACTAGTCTCATTTATATCTAATTATTCACGCTGTAGTTGGTAGAGAAGGGCAAATTGCTCGGGCTATTCGGAGAATTTTTGCAATTCTTAGTCCGAAAAGGCCGAGCCTGCTAGAGCTGGGAGAATCGGCATATCAGAATTCCATTGGACGAAGTACAATTGACGCCTATGGACTTTGCAGACTTGAGCTGTATTACCATGAGGATGAGTTATACACACACTCAATCTAGTTTACGTGCTACCGGGGTAAATTGAACAGATTTGGTGAGCCCACCATGCAATCTCTTGCCGTGGAGGGTATCGCATGAATCCGATCTGGCTCTATGAGATGAAAAGGCATGTTACTTTGTAGCACATAATTTACACATCATCCATACAAGAGATTGGCCAATAAGCGTGGATCAAATATGAGTTTGGGGCCGTTTGATCTTTTTCATATGACGGGACAAACCCTGGTCAATTCGCAACCAGAGTCGATGAAATCTCGGGTAGTTCGCGTCCCCAGATTCTAGGGTTTTCAGTGGTTCAGCACCTTGGCTCACAAGTAGGGGGTCATCGAGGTAGAGTTTTGCTATCTTATGAAAGCTGACACCTTTTGGTAAGCTAGGGTATATCCGAGCAGAGGAAATACTGTACAGGGACTGTTACGCCGTCAGGAACACAAAGAGGAAATGAACATACACTGTACAGTACGGATTTAGTGGCGATTGCAAGTCCGCGAATCAGATCCACTGCGTAAATTAATCCCCAATGCAAATCATTCAATCCGACATTAGCGCAATCCGGTGTCAAGTCCTCCGTACTGTCTCCTGCAGCATCCTCCGGTCTCCTCATGTACGCCCCAAGACTAGGAACTTTATGTAGTCTTTTGCTAGAAAGACCGGTGAGCAGAGAATAAACCAGGCGACAGGTCATCTTTTCTCATCTACAAAGTCAGGATCTCCCGTTGCCGTCCCAATAACTCTTCGGACGATCTGCCCCACGGCTTCTCCCAAGCCTCAAAGCCGCCATTGTTATTGGATTAGACAAAGAAAGGCCCCCTCCCTTCGGACGCCAGGGATAATGTTTCACAGCCCGTTTGCTTGGATCTCACCCCTGCCAAATGGCGCTAAGATACGTCGGCCACTATTTATATCCGATCTGACTCCGACCCTTAATAGTTCACCATCTAGGGAGATAACTTATTGTGAACCGGAGCATTGACTTGGCAACTGACTAGTGCTCCAGCGTACGATCGAAATATCTAATTTACGAAATTCAACTAGTGCAGTACCATTTCCAAGGTAATCATCCTTACTCTGTCTCTGAATTCGCCCCCTTGGCACGCTATCCCTCGGACCCACCGAGGCAAGCGAGATTTGGATGGTCATTTCGCCCGATTGATTGGCAGAGAACATGTCCACTTTACTGCTCTCCAGTTGCTGGGTTGATTGGTGCCTGGAAGACCCCAGGAATTGACTGATATGCCTGTTTTTATCACCCGACAGGCCCTCCCAGTGGAGATGTTCCGTAACGAACTATACTAAAGTGGCAACTTTGGAAGTCATGACGTCCTCTCCGTTCGACCATTTTTCTTATGTAGGTGGTATTTACGGTATAGGATATGGTTGAAATTCACGACGGTGGGCTAGTACTATAAGGTTCACTACAAAGTTTGCCATTCTGACAGATGTCACCTGAGGCGGAATGTTCTCTCCATGTGTAGGTCCCTGGATGGTATCCTTGCTCTTCAGGAGAAAAAAGGAGGGGGAAGAGACACTTGGGGACAGTGCCCTCTCCTGAATGAAGTTGTTATCCCATTATCCCCGTTTCTAGGCTCGTTGACTCAGGGTATTCAGGGTATACAGGGTGTTCAAGTGTTCAAGCTATCGGTTCCCTGTATACTCCCGTATTGCTGCCTGAGGCCCCCACCCCGTAAATACCCGTATCGTATCCCGACCACCCTTTCCCCTCCTGGATTTGTTGTTTCTTCTCTCTTTCAACAATCATCATCTTCTTCCCTTTTGGCCTTGTGGCCGTCCATTCCTTTAATATCTTTGGTCTTGCTTCCACCCGGTGCGGAAGATTCAATGACCCCCGCGAGAATTTGAAGGCCTCCAGGTTCTAGGCTTTCCAGTCGCTGAAGGGAAGTCAAACGGTCTGGAGGTCTCTGGATTGTCGACCGGGATTTTGTGGTCACTTCCACTCCATTTTCTTACCTGTTATTTTCTTGTCATGGCTTCGATTTCACTGCCGCCGTCCCAGGGCTTCCCGCATTTCGATCCTCAACCCAACGCCCCCGGCAATCGTCACAGCATGGGCTCTCCGTTGCCTAATCCCCCATTCGTATTTCCAGCACGGGACCCCGACGCCCCCGAGACTCAATCAGAGACCCCTGAGCGTCGGGACCGGCCCGCACTGCCGGCATTCTCTTTTAATCCTGGCTCTGAGCAGTCGTCGCACCTTTCCGCACCGTCTATTTCGAATCGAGCCGGTGGACATCGTCGACGTCCAAGTGAGTTTGTGGGTGGCGATCATCTAGTGACTCCAGAAACCGTCGGAGGTGATAAACGGGAAGAATCTTCCGTGGGAGCGCAACCGGCTCTGCCGCCTCCAGGGCCAGGTGTAGGGAGAGCTCCAGGACGCCGAGGCCATGCTCATCGCCGTTCCGCTGCAATCTCTAATGTCGATTTGAATGCAATCACCAAGGCGCTCGGTCCCAATGCTGGGGCTGGAAGTGCGCCTTGTACGCCTGCTGATCCTCAGCACAAGAGCGAGTCTCCTGCACGACCAGTTTCTCAATGCATGAGTCTCGGTCGCCCTACACCCCCAGCATCTCCTCAATTCCCGCCTTCTCCTTCGATTCCTCCCGTACCTCCGATTCCAGCTGATCTCCAAGCCGAAGTCGCCGCCAACATCCAAGCCCCTGACACTGGACGCCCGGTATCTGCAATCTCACATCAAACCTCAGATAGTGCGGCCACGATCAAATTCCAGCAGCTTGAAAGGCCTGTTTACACAGACCGTGTGACACCGCGACCGAATAACAAGCCAAAGCCGAGGCCGAAAACTGCCGACGCATCTTTAGCTATTGATTTCATGCAAATGGACGATCCAGCAGAAGTGTCTTCAATTAAACGCTCGCATTCGGCAGCCGGTCATTCACGCGCTCGAAAAAGCAAGTCAACGCCGCATCTCGATTCTACCCTTTCACCCGATGATGCCCACTCGACAGACCATTCCCGGCCTTCCATTTCTGATGATGGGTTCGAAACATCCGAAGACGAGGCGACGGAACACACGATGTCCGATAAAACAACCATCAAGTCGAAAAAGAAGAAGCAGAAGCGGGTTCGCACTTGGGCCGGCTCGATTCTAACTCGCACTAAGAGCAAGAGTAAGCGCCATGCGAAGCACGACAAACAAGAAGAAAGAACCGAAGCAGAGGATAAACCGCCCGCGCCTCGAGTACTCGCACCTCGCCCTCCTGCTCTCACTCGGACCAATTCAGAGGCCGGATCCGCGCTTGATGTCGATTTTGACAATGACGACGTTGTTGTCATCCGGACTCCCACCAACCCAACCATGCCTCCTTCTGCTCTCGAACCCGTTCAAAACAGTCGTCCTTCGGTACCTCCTGTATCTACCCTCGAGACCTCCTGGAAACCTAGGAGCTTCTATGAGCAGGAGACCGGTCCGCATGATAACATCCTGAGTAGCCCAATCATTGACCTTGACGCTGCACTGGGACCGTTCAATACTCCCGACATGCGCCCAGGTGGCCAGGGTGCGAACAACAACAAGTTTTCAGTGGCAACTCAGCGTATGTACAGTGGTGGCAGGCGTGGCGAATTTGTTGGCCCAGAGATGCGTTACCACCGTCGCGCGGAAAGCGCCCCAGTGATGCCTCCATTCGACCGCAGCGCTCTAGGTCCCTTCCGTCTTGGTCCTAATAATACAGTTGAGACTCCGGATGTGTTTGACGAGGAGGAAGAGGACGCTTTCCTGGCTGCATCGCAATCTCCCAGGAATGAACGCCCCCCAGCTCTCACTTTACCTGTCAAGAAAGCAACTATCCCGACACCCGAACTTGATAAGAAGTCGGTTCATAGCAATGATACCTCCGATACCGAGGACACCACGCGTGCGCCCGCTACTCACAACCAGCTCGACAAACCAGAATCGCCTGAAAATGCTGGTCTTGGTATTCGGCCTAATGATCAATTTGCAAACGAACAAGAACCAGAGCAGGCACCTGCGCTCTGTGAAGCTCAGGTTGCTAGCAATCCATTTGCCAGCAAGCCTCGAAGCCCGGTGGAAATCTTGAAAGCAGAAGAGCCTACATCTAGAAGTATGGGGCCACCCAGCCCTGACGTTTCGCCTCGCTTCTTGGCTGTTGACAAGCGACCTTCTACGTCTCCTATTGAGTTGATGCCTAGCATTCCGCCTTTCTCTCTCCACTCAGGAGTTTCGCCATCTGAGTCGTCTTTCCCATCTCCAGATGCCCCCCGATCAATTGCGGCATCCTCGATGACTGACCGGCATTACTCACACTCTTATCATCACCTTCCCTCGGACTACCCTTATGCATCAGTCGAAGATGTACCATCTTTGACTAGCAGTGCATCCACCATGACCAACACACTGAACCGTTTCTCGGCAGCTTCCTTCTTCCCGCGTGCTCGTCTTTCCACCGACCGAGCAGCTTCGTTTTCTGGTGCTGGGACTCGCCGTACCAGTCAGGCTAACGCCTCCAAGCGCACTAGCCTAGCTAGTCTTTCCAAACTGGTTGGTGGCCCCCATTCCGAGCGGAGCAAGCTGAACCAGGAGGAGAAACCCCCTGGCGATGCCTCTGAAAAGTCGAAGAAGAAGGGCCGGCGCCTCAGCCGACTTATGCACTTCTGGAAGGTCAAAGACAAAGATCGGCCTTCCACTGAAGCAGCAGCAAATGAGCGACCCCAGTCGTGAGCGCATTTGCGCTTTGGTTTTGATGCATTTTCACTTTGATTTACGGCGCAACCTCGGCATAGCGACATCTTGACAAATTTCTTTGAGCCATCCTTTCTCTGCGTGTTTCCCATTGCCTACTTTCGACAAGCGTGGGCGTCTCCTTTCCATCGATCGATCTGTACATATTGCACTTTGTTCCGGCTTTCCTGTGGATTTTTATTTTTCTTCGGCGGTTTCTCCTATTGCGTCTCCCAGCCAGACGTTCATTACGAATTTCTTTACTTCTCAAGGCGTAGCTGTCTTGAGTATGATCTTGCCTCTTCTTGTCAATCGTTCATGTATCTTGTGTGAGTGCCGCACAGATTTATTGACTTTCTCTACGATCATTGCCTTGGGCCTCTGTCTTTTTCTACATTTTTCCACTCTTGTTTGGGGTCTATGTCTGAATACCATTCGTCCCCGTCGAAATCCTTTCCTCGGGTCCTTTTTCTTTCATATCTATGGCTTGTTTGTGTATCTGTGTGGCTTTTTGTATCTTCACTGCTACCGGTGTGGATATCGTCGATAATTTGTCTCCCCCAAATAGTTTACTAGACAATCCGACTTTTTTTCAAAAGCACACGAATTAAATTCCTTGAAGCTTTAAGATCCAACGTAGATCTGTCAGTGCCAACTCCCAATTGGGTCCCTGTTATTGGTTACAGGGACCGACCTAGTTTCCATGTACTAGTCATGTCATGGTGAGGCCAGTAGTTAAATAGCAGTTCCCACGCCGAGTCTAGGAATTAGCCTTCAGTCTATTTTTGCTGCAATACCATCATTGATCTTATTGTATACACTGTCATCAGATTATATCTCGCTTACCCACCTCAACCCGGAGACTAGCGTAGTCTCACAGATCTATAGATTTACTTCTTAACCTGGCCTATTCGAAGTTATTGTTTTCGATAAACTAGAGCAAAGTAGGTCGGTTGAATCTGCGTAATAAACCACGTGCAGTAGTCTCTTCTCAGGGGTTTAACCAAATATTTGGATGTTACTTCCTCGCCATGGCTTTCCAGTGTGCGCAACCGACTACAATGGCCTATATGGTCTCGGATTTAGCATTTCGTGATCTGGCCAGTAGGGCTCATCTTCGCAGAATACTAGGTCGGAAGCAAGGAAGCCCTTCAAATCGTTGAGGAACAGCAGATGTCTGTAGGCAACCGGGGGGTTCCCATGAGAATCAGCAAGAGAGAAAGAAGACCGCATGGATCTCGCCTCTGATCCTATCTTCTGGGAAAACTGCTCATCTGTTGCGGACACACCCATTGCCGGACAGTCCGTTACGAATCGCCCAAACGACCAGCAACTCTTAATTATTGGTATATTTGCAGAAGTCTACCTTTTAAAAGGAAACCCCATTAGAAAAGTACCTCGTGGTGAGCACAAAGAAAATATACAACCAATCATTCGGGAAGCCATGATCTATGTATGATACGTACTATTGGCTTTCATCCACGAATTGCCGAATGCACATCAAGAGGCAGCAATGGCGTCAAATATATCGATATCAAATATTATGAGCACGGTGGTCTTGCTACCTACTGGCCGAATTGAAGAAAAATTCTATCTAAATAATGCTTTAGACTTAAATACCTTTTGAATATAGAACTTCAAACTAGAGTTGGCAAGAAGAACGAATATATATAAACATCTATACCAGGAAACTTTTAGGAATCATAAACAAAGCAAATATATACAAAGAGACATCGTAGAAGAGCTTACGATGGAATAGAGATTTCTATGAAAAAGTCTAGAACTATGTAAAATAATAGAAGATCTTTCGAAATGTCTTCGACTTTAAGATATAACAAAGAAGTAGCACTCTCTCAAATCTCTCCTAGTTCTATCTTAGCTCTCTCTCTCAGTTCTCTCTCAATTCTCTCTTGGTTTTCTCTCAGTTCTCTGTTGGTTCTCTGTTATTTCTCTCTCAGCTCTCTCTCAGCTCTCTCTCAATTATCTCTCAATTCTCCCTGTTTTCTCATCAATGGAAATGATCCTTTCCCTAAACAGCCTAAAAAGGTGAAAAAAAGGTAATAACTATAGATAATATCCATGAATCTCCTACCGTAAGGTAGGGGCTATTCGTACAAAATGGTGATATAGATCCCGATAACGATAAGGAAAAAAAGTTCCCCCCCACATTGATCTTTCTTTCTTTCTCTCAACTTCACACTGGAAGATAAAGCTCTATACCAAAATGCCAGGCCCACGTCAAGGAAACCGCAGGAGATCACCTGGCCCCAAAGCGAAACCACAACGCGCGAAACAAGCGCCGCCTGCGAACAAACAGCACGCAACCAAAGTCGAACGCGAAGCCGCCCCAGAGCCCGAAAACCCTAATGGGTTCGAGATTGTCGGTAAAGTTCACCTTTCTCTGCAGCAACTGCTCCTCGATGTGTTCAAGACTGCTCTTCTTTCGAATCAAGTACCCAAAGAGTCTGCGTCTGAAAACGCCGACGCCGAGTCCGGTGAATCAAGTTCGGAGAATAAGAAAGATGAGCTGGATATGAAATCTTTGATTCAGACCATTAAGGGTCTTCTCTATCAGCGTGACTTTGACTCTGCCTTTACTGAGGCTGGTGAGGATTTGTTGCGCGCTTATGCATTGCGCTGGAGTGCGTCGCGGTCTTTGGGATATGCGGGGTTGTTGAAGGGTGTGCTATCCTGGATGCAAGAGGAAGAGGAGAATACTAGAGGACGCTCAAGGACACCTTCTAACAAAGCCACACGGGTTGTTTGCATCGGTGGTGGCGCTGGTGCTGAGATTGTTGCCCTTGCGGCCGCATGGAGAGATTTGGGTCATGGTGAACAGTCACTTGAGGATAGTGTTGCCGCCGTGTCTTTGGAAGATGCCGAGAACAACGAACCAAAGACAGAAACCAAGATCCCAGCCGGTCCAAGTCTCTCTGTTGAGGCCGTCGATATTGCCGACTGGTCGAAGATTGTGGATCGACTTACGCGAACTATCAACTCGGCTGAAGTTCCGTTCCCCCAAACGACGAGGTTCCGCTCACCTTTGCTTCCTCCAAACGGAGACAACTTTTCTGTTTCGTTCCGCCGATCTGATGTCCTCACTCTCCCCGAAGAAGACTTGAAGGAGGTCTTGATGGGCGCTGCTTCGCCTCCGTCCTTCTCTTCCATCCTTGTTCCTATCATGTTCACATTGAATGAGCTCTTCTCTACGTCTATGCCTAAGACTACCGGATTCTTGCTCCGCATGACAGAGATCCTACCTGCTGGTGCGATTCTGCTTGTTGTGGACAGTCCCGGCAGCTATTCGACTTTGAAGCTTGGAAAAGGACCGGACGGCGAACCGCAAGAAAGGAACTATCCAATGAAGTTCCTTCTTGATCATACACTCCTGTCAGTGGCCAAGGGTAAATGGGAGAGAGTTTACACCGAGGAATCCAGGTGGTGGAGACGCGACGACAAGCGGTTGAAGTACGAAGTTGGTGAAGGTGCTGGGCTAGAGGATATGCGATTCCAGCTGCATATGTATCGGCGGTTGTAGACTGCCACTCGTCTTATATATCATGATATGTAAATACCCAATAACGAGGATACGACTCAATCTAAAACATAGCTTGTTGGAGTGAGGTTTGGTATTGCTACATATCAGAAAGTGGACTAGATCAAGCCACTCCAGTCACGCATGAGGCCAGGCTTACCCCAAGCCGCGACAAAGATTGCGATTAATTGGTACATTCAATGAGTTGTGAAAACGGGGCCCATGATCCCCGAAACATCCTTATAATCTGCTTAACTGCGCAGGCCCAGCAGGAGGCTGGTGCTTTTGCCACCTTCCTTTCCTTCTCCACCGGGCAGGTAAGTGACGTTGGGGTTCTGAGACAGAGTCTGGGCGATCTCTTTGCTGGCCTCAATGCGACGAATCTCAATCAGACCGCTACCGGCCTTGGCGACGGCCTTGCTAATGATATCGGCACTCTCGGCTTCACCCTCGGCGCGGATAACGTTAGCCTGGCGTTCCTGCTCGGCGCGCTCGACAATGAAACGGGCCCGCTCAGCGTCCTGCTGGGCGATCTGCTTTTGCTCGACGGCTCGTGTGAACTCCTTTCCGAAGGTCATGTGGGTGATAGAAACATCCTCGAGAGCGATATTGAATTGTCCGGCACGCTTCATAAGGTCGGTACGGATGCGGTTGGAGACAGCTTCACGTTGCGTGATGAGTTCGGCAGCGTCGAACTGGGCCACGATGGACTTGAGGACTTCATTACCGATGGAGGGGAGGACACGCTCATCGTAATCGGTACCGTAAGACTAAATGGCTCTTAGTTAGCCACAGTGGTTTTCCACATACTTGATATGGTAGAAAAACATACCTGGTAGATTTGGGGCAGCTTCGGCACCTCCGGGCGGTGCAGCACACGGAGCGTCAAGCTAACCATCTGCAAGTCCTTACTTCCTGTCGTGGTCGAAATGTTGCGAGGCTTGGTCCGGACATCGTATACAATTGCGCGCTGCAACCAGGGAATCAAGAAATGTGTGCCTTCGTTGACGACCTTCTCTTGCACACCAGACACTCGGTCGAAGATGACGGCTCGCGTACCGCCCTTGACATCGTAAAGGGAATTTTGCACGACTATACCGCCGAGGGCCACGGGGAAAGCCAGCCGATAGACTTGTTGGAGGACGTTGGCCATTGTTGGAGGTGCAGGGGGAGGTGATGAGGAGTCGATGATGGAGATGATGTTCTTTTGCTCACCTCTGAGGTTTCCCAATCGGGTTTAGTGTCCATCCGAACCTCCAACTTCGCCCGACTTCGTCTTTTCCCTTCCCCGTTCTGCTCCTCCCAATCCCTTCCCACCTACTCCTCTCTTTTTCTACGAATCATTCAAAATGGGTGGCTCAGTTGACCCCAAGAACGGACAGTAAGTCATTTTGCCCTGACTCCTTCCAGTGCCGGGCTCCCGGATGCGTTAGCCGCACGATTCTCTCCATGTTACTTGAGCCCCGTGCCAATTGAGGCCCTCGCAATGAATCCAATTGCTTCAGAACTTGACTATGCACATGCTAACACTTTTCTTTCTATAGCTTCATCGGCAACTGGGGAGAGTTCGGTACGTTGACCATAACCCTTGAATCCTTCGAATGAGCCGGAACACACGCGGATCCTATCTTCAACATGGCCGGAAAGATCGCGACCAGGACCGAAGAAAAGACTCCAAGCGACATCACAAAACCAAACAATTCGACCGGATTGCTAATGTTGCACTCGCAGGCTGCCCGACCCCCCAGCGCATCGCCACCTACTCGCTGTCCCCTAACCGTCAGCGTCCTTTCGCCGGTGCCGCTAACGCCGCCATCTTCAACACTTTCCGCCGTTTCCGCCACCAGGTTCTCTACGTTGTTCCTCCCTTCGTCGTTGCCTACGCTGCCATGGAGTGGGCCATTGAGCGGTAAGACTGCCCCCGGAAGCGACGCTTCAGAACGCGGGCTGATCCAATGAATCTTTAGCAACCACTACTTGAACTCCAAGCCCGGTCGCCTCGAGGGTGGCCACGATGAGTAAATTGGTTTCTGTTTGGAGTGAGGTTGGATTGGTATAGCAGAGCATGATACACCCGAAGACTCTGCCCTTGTGGGGAGCTGTATGCTTGTACAGTAACTAGAAAGCAATCGACCATTTTGAATTTCCTTTAACTGTCATCTTTTCCGCCCTTTTTTCAAGCATCTTCTCCCATCCTGAAGGTCGAACTTGGGTAAGCGCCATTCTGGGGCACATCATTGGCTCGTGAGATACCAGGTCCCACTTCTCGATATGGCAATCCTTTTCTACCCTCGAATTTGATAGGATTTCTAACCACAAAGTGCTATTTGGATTTCAGACTGCGAGATAATACAGTAATCAGTAATTCTGAAACTGGCACTAGATTCAACCCTTATACGTTGTTTTGGCAATTTTGTTCAGTGGTTTGTTTGGTATCCTATACACCCGCAGTCACTATGCGACATTGGCCAGCTCGGCAGCAAAACTTCTGCTTTTCGTGGTGTCGCTGAGCCAGGCTAAGGTATAAGGTATAGCACGCCTACATTACTTACTGTATGTTTGGCCAAAAACATACCCACTCCGCCCATTCCCAAACATGACGAACTATAACACAACAATTTTCTAAGCCTACCAACTATACCGTGATCAATATGGCTAATCCCAGGCAGAGAACAAGGTAATGGTCCAGAAATACTTCGAGGATTACTGTGGCAAGGGTAATGTCAGCGTTGTGGACGAGACTGGCGAGGAGCAAGCTCTGACTGCTGTCCAGCAGATGGGACTTGTCTCACTTCTTAACCCAGACAAGGAGATCACGTATGATGCAGAGGGCAATTCTACCGGAGAAATAAGTTGACTGTACGATCAAGTGCATGATGAGCTTCAATTCTTCTCTTAGGGCTTGTTGAGTCATGCCTTCTACCATCCATAACCAACGCTTCTCAGTTTCGGTTATCTTTAGCACAACCACTTGGTAGTAATTCATTTATTCAGTATAGAGGAAATAAAGCCCATATATATGCAATAATACTCGTCTGATATCTCCTGCAAGCCACCTAGACCTGACTACCGATAAGCTAAATGTTGAGAATGCCAGTCTCTTGCGTGGTTAGGAACCAGCGATGCGTGACGATCTTAGGCTAGCATTGCCTACATCAGTCCTGTTTCGACTTGATAGACCACCAAGAAGACTGGTTCAGGCTTTATACCGGGAAATATTTGTCATGTTTAGCTTATTCCCATGTGCCGCGGGGTATTGTCCGCTTGATAGAGACGTATCCGCTCGGGTTCGCGTCAATGGCAATAATATTGTACTGAACAATCAATTGTGTAGGCAAGAAATACCCAGCTCCAGTCCTATACATCTCATATTTACTCGGCGCCCACGAGCCCGAATCCATCACGACGAGGATATAGATCCAGGGCGGTGAGAGGGAATTTTCGTGCCCAGAAAGCCCCACCAAGTCCTCGCCCAAAAGAGTCAAAGTTCCGCAGAACCTTTGGCTTTTTCTTCGCATGCTCCCCCGGATCTCTTCTTTCTTCTTCTCTTCATCCCTTCGTCGTTTCAATTCTACTTTCAAAATGAGCGAGCTTACCCACCCCACTATCCAGGGTATGTTGTCGTCCCTTGATCACCCCACCATTCTGTACCCCCACCATCTCCCATTGACTCCCGTGCTAATTGGCGCTAGATGGCTGGTTCTCTGAGAAGTCCGGCATGTGGCCCGGTCAGGCCATGAGCCTCAAGGTCAACCAGATCATCCACCACGAGAAGTCCAAGTACCAGGATGTCCTCGTTTTCGAGAGCGCCAACTACGGCACCGTCCTCGTTCTGGACAACGTTATCCAGTGCACCGAGCGTGATGAGTTCTCCTACCAGGAGATGATCACCCACCTCGCCATGAACTCCCACCCCAACCCCGAGAAGGTCCTCGTCATTGGCGGTGGTGACGGTGGTGTCCTCCGTGAGGTCGTCAAGCACGCCTCCGTCAAGGAGGCCACCCTGTGCGACATCGACGAGGCTGTCATCCGTGTCTCCAAGAAGTACCTCCCCGGCATGGCCATTGGCTTCCAGCACCCCAATGCCCACACCCACGTTGGTGATGGCTTCGAGTTCCTGAAGAACCGCCAGAACGAGTTCGACGTAATCATCACCGACAGCTCCGACCCCGAGGGTCCCGCCGAGAGCCTCTTCCAGAAGCCCTACTTCGAGCTCCTCAAGTCTGCCCTCCGCGAAGGCGGTGTTATCACTACCCAAGGTTGTTCGTCACCTTTCTTTTTTTGTCCTGCCCTTAGATCAATTGTCTATTTCTTTTGGTCCCTCACCTCCTTCCTTCCCTTAGTCACAATTTTTTGACCACTTCTCTATTTTGCAAAAGAATCACCTGGCTAACCCTTTTTGCACCACCTCGCAACCAACCCGCTTGACGGGCTCGGTTTTGCGAAGCTGTGCCTTTGAATCTACAGCCGAGAACCAATGGCTCCACCTTGACCTGATTGCCGACCTCAAGAAGTCTTGCAAGGAGGTCTTCCCCGTCGCCGAATACGCCTACACCACCATCCCCACCTACCCCTCCGGCCAGATCGGCTTCATGGTCTGCTGCAAGGATGCCACCCGCAACGTCCGTGAGCCCGTCCGCACCTGGTCCGCCGAGGAGGAGCAGAAGCTCTGCCGCTACTACAACCAGGACATCCACCGCGCTTCCTTTGTCCTGCCCAACTTTGCCCGCCAGAAGCTCAACGCATAAATGTCGTGATATCTTAAAAAGGTTAATGGTCTTTATATTCTCATGACGATATTGAAATGAAATCACGTATTTTCGATATAGCTCCGGTTTGCTTCACATTAGGCTGTAAAATGTTTCTTTCGGAGAACCTGACTGAGATACTCCTGTCAATTGAGCGCCTTTGCCCGCCCAAGGTGGAGTTCCCTTAGTCCCACGGTCATAGTTGATGAGGCTTCTGATCTCATGAACCATACCATCACATCGCAGCTCATGTTAGTTCTTCACTGATCTACTGGGAGAATCACCAGGGGAACAATCAAGCGGAGTGTGGACCGGGTCACCGGCTTTCTCGGATGTTCACGAGTAAGAGACATGACCAGCACACAGCACAGCACACACGGCATTCATTGTGATTGGGTGTATATCACTTGAATAACACTGGGACTCCCGCGGAAGACGAAGCCGACAGCTGCAACTCTCAGGCATTGATAGAGCTAACCGTTCATAGACTCAGATTTACATCATCGTGAGTCTTCACGTCTGCCGTCGAAATGATTGATAAATCCCGGAGCTTCCTGCACATGTTCAATGTGTTGCATGTGTCGGCCAATTGAACCACTATGAAGATTCACCATGTACGCCTCGCATCAAGCGTCTTTTTCCTCCTACTCACGCCAATCTCGGCCCAGCTTCCACTATGTACATCCCATGATATACACAACATGGATGTCAGTGCCTGCATGTGTCCAACCAGCTTCCCCTCGCCAGCGTCAGCCCTGACTTGCTTCCCCAAGGGACCACTGACGCCGCAACCCTGCCCGAGAACTTGCAACCCGGCACCTCCCAGTTCCCCCGTGACCCCGCGAGCACAGCTGAATACATGCTACTCGGGCTGTGTGGATGAGAATGACAATTGCAATGGCTGCTACGTCTGGTTCCACAGTCTCTGTGGGTGTATTCACGATTTCCAATCTCCGCATGGAACAACGTGTATTTCGTCTGCTTCGCCCCCGAATCCCCCGATTACACCGGGTCAGCCTTGGAATCCGGTTTGGATGGTTCTCTCGCTTGGAGATCTCATCACGACCACGGAGCTGATCCCTGGGATTCTGTCCTTGGGCTCGGCCGTCGATCCAGACGGTGGTTTCCGGCTTGGTCAGGATACCCTGCGGAACACATTCCCAGGGCAGAAGTATAACCGGCTGACTGGGACGCTGGCCATGAACAGTGTTGCTACTCGGTCGGAAGAACAGGTTCATATTCACCTGTGCTTTTCTCAGTTCAGTGGGGTGCGTGGCATCCTGGATGGCTTGACTCGGACTAATTACTTCAATCTGGCCTGGGTGGATTTGTCCAATATCCACAAACCTGATGCTCCTTATATGTATTGTCGGGCTTCTTCGAATCAGGGTCAGGATATCAATGTGTCCCGGGCGATCTCGGATTATCTTGATTACTTGACTGCTCAATTTGGGCCGGATAATTGTGCTCAGTATACTGTCGGTGCTGGCGTGATCACCGACAGCCAGGATTATTCTTGGGCCTGTGTTACTGTTGGAAGTCGAGCTGCTGAGACGATCTTCTGCTATGACTGAGATTGTGCCCGAGGATGTCAGACTTTGCATCGCATCTTGATCTTCAGCTTCGATATAATATACCATCCAAAAGTTGATCTTTGGAAGCTAGAATGAGATTTTGAACCATACAAACCCCTGTGTCTGTTTGCCTATAATCGTACTGTATAGAACTCAAGATAGAGATGAAGCGGGGAGGAGTTGGAAATCCGAAGTGATGTTAGGGCTTGCTTTTCCGCAATGGCTTTTCCGCCAACACTTGGACTGAAACAAGAATTTGGGCTTTCCCCGCATTTCTTCTGTATAGAAAAGGTATGAAACAAGAAAACTTTTTCAATTCCCCGACAAGGACCCTAATTCCACCATGTCGAAGCCTTCAAGTGTTCATATAGAGGCCTCGGATGATGTCGTTGATCAACAGAACAATCGTGTAATGAAGAGGACCCAGTGGGACGCAGAGATTGATCCGGCTCTCCAAAAGAGAGTCATTCGCAAGATCGATATGTTCGTTATTCCTTTTGTTTGCGTGACATATCTCATCACATACATCGATAAAGCCATGTTAGGGTACTCGGCGGTATTTGGTTTGAAGGAATCTCTAGATCTTCAAGGCACAGAATATAGCTGGCTTGGTTAGTTCAGCTCTCTCTGTCTCTTCCTCTCGTTGATAACTCACAGGTCCTGTTCGGATAGGAAGCATGTTCTATTTTGGCTACCTTGCGGTATGCCAAGTGAAACTCGGTGAAGCATTCCATCTGACTTATATTTCAAATAGTTCGAGTATCCAACCGCTTTTGCGATGCAGAAACTACCAGTCTCTCAATGGCTTTCGGGAAACATCATACTCTGGGGCGGAATAACCATGGCTTTGGCAGGCTGTGACCGATTTGACTCGTTCCTAGGACTACGCTTCCTTCTTGGCGCACTCGAATCATGTTCGACTCCGGCCTATCTACTCATCACGGCAACGTGGTACACGGTCGAAGAACAGCCGATTCGAATTGGTTGGTGGTCCGCCTTTCTGGGCGTCGCAAACTCATTCGGTGGTCTTTTGGCCTTTGCTATCGGTCATATAGAGGGCTCATTGGCCTCTTGGCAATACCAGTTCATCATAATCGGTGCCATTTCTTCGATTTGGGGAATCTTCATGTTTTTCAATCTGGCTGAGAACCCATCAGCTGCGTATGTGACGATTCCGGCTCATGGTATATATTCCTACTGACTTCGCAGCCGTTGGTTGAATGAACAAGAAAAGGATGTCGCTATTCGCCGTTTAGGACCGCGACACCACGGAGGCAATGTTCGCAAAATCAAAAGGTATCAGCTCGTGGAAGCAGTCACCGACCCCAAGACTTGGATCTTCTTCCTCTGTGGCGTGTGCACTCAGGTAGTCAATGGCGCGGCGAGCAATTTTGGAAGTCTGATCATCCAAGGATTTGGATATTCCAATCTTGTGGCTACTCTATTCCAAATTCCGTATGGAATGGTGATTTTGGGGTCGAATGTGTCCGCCATGTACATCCAGCGCTGGCTCTCCGGGCAAAAGCGATGCATCGTTGGTGCGATTTACGTGTGTCCGGCTCTTGCTGGCGCTGTCGGTATACACATTTTGTCCCGAGATCGCCAATCGGCCCTTCTGGTCTGTTATTGGGTAATGCTGAACTATTCTTTTCCCGTAGCGTGCTGTGAGCTGACTCGCCCGTAGCTTACCAGTACGTATACGGCGTCCTTTGCCATGATCATGTCTCTGATCACGGCCAATACCGGTGGCTCGACCAAGCGATCGGTGGTGAATGCTGTTTTCTTCATTGCCTACTGCGTGGGTAATATTATCGGGCCTTTCGCATTCAAGAGTGACGAGGCACCGCAATACACTTCTGGCATTGTGGCTATGCTGGTAGCCTATGCTGTAGAAATAGTTCTACTATTAGGCTTTGCCACGTATATGAGAAAGCTGAACATAGACAAAGATAAGGTATTGGAAACAGAAGGAGTGAGCCTTGATAGAAATGGTCGGGAACAGTCTGTGGGCGCAGAGGCTGATCGCACTGATAAGGAAGATGTATATTTCAGATATTCTTACTGAATAGTTTGTCAACTAGTTGTCTTGCCACTTTGCAGCTGATTTGGTAGAAGCAACGATCAGAGCCTCGAGTCCGATGCAGCCGGAACGAGGGTAAACTCAGCCTCTAGGCAGCGCTTCACGACGCAACCCTAAGAAAGAAAAGTTGAACTTGGAATACCAAACATCAGACGTCAGTTGGTTTTACCCGGGTATCAATCAGAGCAACCAATAATACCAGGCCACGTCGACGTCACCTGAATACCAAGAATGAAGCTGGCTCCTGTGGGCGAACCATAGCCGAACGGCATATAGATACGTGATAGGAGCCAATAGCCATCAACCAACATCAGCTGTCAGAATCACCAGAACCCGAAAAAAGGAAAACGAGACAAGCCCGGGAAATGTGGAGGATTCTCCGGTCTTGATTGGCGACAGTGTCAGCACTAAGCTCAGGACTCGACTGGCGCAGTGAGGCACATGAAACTCACCCGTTTACCCGCAAACATTCCCTGAGAGGCGAATAATTGTTTCACTATTTAGTCCAGCGCGTTCTGCAGCTGTCGGAAAGTCTTGGTAACTTCTGGAGCTTGGACCTAGCACATAAATTGCATCTCAGACTTGTTGTTTCCTCCTATATGGCTCTTAGTCCCTGTCCATGGAGATTACCTAGCACGGATATCTCATGGCTGAGCTAGTCGGGACCATAGCAAGTGTTATAACCTTTGCCGCCCTGATCGCTCAACTCGGCAAATCAATCGCAACCCTGAAAGAGTGCTGGCACGATGTTCAATACGCGCCCGAGGAGTTATGTACTCTGGTGAGAGACATCGAGATCTTCGGCTCCATCTTGGATGATATCGAGGCCGATCTCCAGCAGGAATCTCTGGTCGCTGCATTGGGCAATAGCAAACATGCCGCGCAGAGCTATCGGGCCTGTAAGGAGGCAGCGAAGGACATGGACGTGGTATGTCAGGAGCTATTGGAAGATTTGAGGCCGCCCGGTCATCGAACCGGCCGCAATGGAAAGATGAACCGATTACGAAGGAGTTACGGGGCTGTGAAGGTAGGGATTCTGAAAAAGGGAAAAGTCGAGAGACTTGTTGGGAGGCTGCAAAATGCTATGCGGCTGCTTTTGCTATCCCAACAGTGCTATACACGGTATGATGATTCCTCTTCTTGTTGCCTCGCCGTGAGGGTCTGACCGAATCTGTATATAGGGCCTTGATTCAAGTTCAACCGGAACTGATTGCGCAGAGAATTGCTCAAGATACAAAGCCAACCGTCACTCAGATAGAGTGGTCCGAAGTCAAATATACGCCTGTGAGCTATAGTATGTTGTTTGATATCATCTTCAACATGAGCATGGCACTAACCCGGTCTTTGGTCTTTCCATAGACAGAAAGGAGTCCAACAGGCTGGAACCCTTAGTCTCGACATCACAAAAGGAGACCAAATCCCAGAGAAGCAGAGTTCTGTGGCGTCTCAGCCTGCCATCCTGGATCACGGCTCATACATTCGAGCTAGCTGGCATCCAAGCGCGTGATGGCTGGAAGTGGGATTTTCGCACGTACAATGAGATTCCCGAGGACTCGAAAACAGTGCAATGCGTAGAAACTGGCGATCTCAAAGAATTACAAGAGTTGTTTGCTTCAAGGAAGGCTTCGCCCTTTGATCGCGTTAGTACCACGGGCTACACTCTTCTATTTGTGAGTTAACTTATACATTCACCATTTGTCCACCCTCACGTACCAACTTTCCTCTTTCTTAGTATGCACACTCTGCAAACCGGGCAGAGATTATCAAATTTCTTTTGCAGGAGGGAACAGATCCCGGTCTTCAAGGACAAGGCAAAGTTGATTTCAACACTGCCCTGAGACATTTAGTATGGACAGGCAACATGTTTAGTCCGGATAGTCGACATCTGCTCCCTTCAATGCGCCTCCTCTGTCCGTCAGAGGAGATGATGTACGAGACACCCGAAGAAGTCCTGGGTGGAATTCTCTCGGATTTCCATGGCTCAGCAGAGGAATTCCTCTTCTTCCAGCGCCAGTTTTGCCCGACATTCTATGACATGCCTCAGTGGGTTCGAGTGGCAGTGGCAGCTCGCGCGACATCCGGTATCTGGGATGCCAGCCATATGCCTGGGCTGGTGCGAACTGTTCTCGGGGATCGGCCGTGGAAGCCTGAGAACCTGCAGCTCCAGACTTCATGGCGGTGGTGGAAAGAGATGACCTTGGTGCATTGTATTGCCATGAGAATTGGGGGAAGTCTGGCTGCGCTGGAAAAGCTCCAACGACAGCGCGGAGGATGCATATCTAAAGATGGAAAGAGTGATAGAATGGAATTTGAGAAGCAGTTCCTCGAAGCTCTGAGCCTGTATGAGGCCTGGAATGCTTTGTTTCACGACCTGTTACTGGCGGGGGTGGATCTGCATCATGTTGTCGGTGGGATGACACCGTTCCTCGCCTTTTTAGGCGGGTTCGTCTACTGGTGGGACTTCAATAACTGTGTTATGAAAGGATGGAATCTTGCCATCTCTGCTTGGGTGACTGACCTTCAAGAAGGGGGTGTTGATCTCCAGAGGTTTGGACAAATGGAGGAGCAAGTATGGGAGAATGGGTTGATCGAACGTGATGTCTTTTGGAGGAGGAACTGGGGATGGCAGCGGGTCGTTGGGTTTTCTCATGGACCATATCCCCGTGATTGGAAGTTATGGCTGTCGGAAAGATCTGATGGCTATTCTGGGGAATTCTGGGAGATGATCGATGAGCCAGTCCCAGTCATTCCAGGGGCTTGGCCGAATACATAGAGCATGCGTAGATGTCTCCAGTGCTATATCCAGCCATGTCTATTGATTTCACCGAGTATCCAGTGAAAAGAAGTGAATATAAGAGACTCATAGGGCAAACAGCCGGACTATACTCCGTCAAACCCTAACTCCCGCGGATCCCCCGCATCCCCCACCTGCAACTAAGATCTTCTCCCCTTCACTCTCTCTTCTCTCTTCAAATCCAAGTTCCTAAAATGTCAGAATATCCACACAAGGTCGCGCTCCTAGGCCTAGGAACAATCGGCCTCTCAATGCTGGCCATGCATCTACGCCGCCCCGACACAAGTATAACTGTCTACGACCCCCGCCCTGATACAGAGGCCCAAATCCGAAGCAATCTCCCCTCCCTCCTCGAGTCTCGAGAATCATCTCCATCAAACTCAGGACTAGACACAGATATAGTCGATGATCTTTTCAGATCGTCCCGCCTGAAACTGGCACGCACGCTCCAAGAAGCACTGACGAATGCAACGATTATTCAGGAACAAAGTCCCGAAATCACCAGTTCCAAGCAGGCACTCTGGAAAGAGGTGGGATCTATTGCTACGCGGGATGCCCATCTTTGGAGTAGTTCTTCTGGTATTGCTGCCTCGGCGCAAAATTCTACTTGTGAACCTGCAGATGGGGTTGGGGAGAGGCTACTCGTGGCACATCCGTTTAATCCACCACATATCATGCCCCTGGTGGAGGTTGTGCCTGGGCCGGAGACTGCGGGGGAAAGGATTGAATTTGTGAAATGGTATTTTAGGGGCATTCCTGGTCCTGGTTTTAGTTCTGGCTCTGCGGATGCTCAGGCTGGGACGCATTATCGGCCTGTTACATTGCACAAGGAGGTTCCTGGGTTTGTGGGCAATCGCCTTGCTTTTGCTTTGCTCCGGGAGGCTTGTTCGCTGGTTGGGGAGGGGGTAGTTTCGGCCAGGGATCTTGACGCTATTGTGATGGCTAGTGTTGGGCCTCGGTGGGCTGGGAGTGGTGTGTTTGAGAGTTATCATGCGGGTGGAGGGGGAGGGAGGAATTGGGGCGTTCTTGCAGAAGCTCGAGCCGACAATTCAGGATGTGTGGGAGGATTTGGCAAAAATTGACATCCACGGTGATCAGGCGTGGAGAGATAGGGTTGTCCAACAGACCGAGGAGGCATACGGGCCTTTGACTGCGGAGTCGCGCAAGACGAAAGAACAGACGCTGAAAGGGGTGCTTGAAGTGCAGAAAAGACAGGGAGCATCATGACTACACATTACGAGTCTCAATGTGAACCGGGGAATACTCTATTTGTATTCTTGTGTATCTGGAGGGCAATCGCTCCTCATAAAAACCAAAACATTTTGTTACGTCATATTCGTTCCGTTCCTTACAGGATCTGCTGGAAAGCACGGTTAATGGGCGAGCGCACGGTGTGGCCCTTGTAGAAGTCGATGGTGGCAAGGGCGCGCTTGCTGATGCCCTCGGGGGTGAACTCGAATTTCTGAAGCAGGTTAGAATACCAATCGGAAAGGACAGGGGCGAGAGATAACTTACGGCGTACACCTCCTTGTAGGGGCCGGAAGCACCGAAGCGGTTGAGACCGAACTGCTCGTGAGAGTAGCGCTCCCAACCCATGGTGGAGCAAGCCTCGACGGACAGCACAGGGATGCCGTCGGGGAGAACCTTGAGGCGGTAGGACTTGTCCTGGGCGTCGAAGACCTCGAAGCAAGGAACAGACACAACGCGGGCAGCGACACTGTGCTTCTCCTGGAGATATGTGGCAGCCTCGATGGCAATGCTGACCTCGGAACCAGTGGAGATAATGGTGATGGCAGCGTTGGGGGTGTCGACAGCGACGTAAGCACCCTTCAGGGCGCTCTCGATGGTGGAGAGCTCGAGCTGGGGCAGGTTCTGGCGGGTCAGGGCCATGACGGTAGGGGTGTGCTTGGAGGTCAGGGCAGAGTAGTAGGCAGCGCTGGTCTCGTTGCCGTCAGCGGGACGCCAGACCATGCAGTTGGGGAGGGCACGGAAGTGAGCCAGAGTCTCAATGGGCTGGTGAGTGGGGCCATCCTCACCCAGACCGATGGAGTCGTGGGTGGCGACGTGGATGACACGAACGCGGGAGAGGGCAGAGAGACGGAGGGCACCGGCGGCGTAGGAGACGAAGTTGAGGAAAGTACCACCGGCGGGGATGATGGTGCCGTAGGCAGCGAGACCGTTCATGACGGCGGCCATGGCGTGCTCGCGCACACCGTAGCGGACGTAGCGACCGGCCCACTCACCAATACCGAGGTCAGGGGGCTGGAAGTCAACGGCGTTCTTCCAGCGAGTGTTGTTGGATCCAGTGAGATCGGCGGAACCGGAGACAAGCTCGGGGACAACGTCGTGGATGGCCTCGAGGACAGCCTCGGAGAGCTTACGGGAAGCGATGGCAGCATCAGTAGGCTTGTAGACGGGGAGGGACTTCTCCCAGCCCTCGGGCAGCTTGCCGGAGAGACGACGGGCGAGGTCAGCACCCTCGGTCTTGTGCTCAGACTGGTACTTCTGGAAGAGCTGGTTCCACTCCTGCTCCTTGGCGGCACCCTCGGCGGCGTGCTTGTTGTACAGGTCGTAGACGGTCTGGGGAACAGCGAAGGTCTCCTCGGGGTTGAAGCCGAACAGCTTCTTGACACCCTGGGCATCATCGGCCTTGAGGGGGTTACCGTGGACACCGCCGGTACCGGCGAGCTTGGAACCGAAACCAATGGTGGTGGTCAGCTTGATGACGGAGGGCTTGTCAGTAACCTGCTGACACTTGCGGATAGCAGCCTCAATTCCCTCGAGGTCACGGTCACCATCCTTGACCCACTCGGTGTGCCAGCCGTAGGCCTCGAAACGCTTCATAACGTCCTCAGTGAAGGCGCACTTGGTGTCACCGTCTGCAAATCCAATTAGTCTCCAGTCGCACTAGGCCGGGAGGTTGTCCTTACCAATGGAAATGTGGTTGTCGTCGTAGATGGCAATCAGGTTGCCGAGCTTCAGGTGACCGGCCATGGAGGCGGCCTCGGAGGCGATACCCTCCATCGCACAACCATCACCGAAGAACATGTAGGTGTAGTTGTTGAACAGCTCGAAGCCGGGCTTGTTGTAGACACCACCGGAGTGGGCCTGGGCCATGGCGAGACCGACGGCGTTGGCGAAACCCTGGCCAAGAGGACCAGTGGTCACCTCAATACCGGGGGTGTCGTGAGCCTCGGGGTGACCGGGAGTCTTGGAGTCCAGTTGCTGTGAAGGTCAGCGAACGCCCATCTCCTCTGGCTCGGATGTACCTACACGGAACTGCTTCAGGTCGTCCAGGGTGAGGTCGTAGCCGAACAGGTGAAGGAGAGCATACTGCAGCATGCAGCCGTGGCCGTTGCTGGACGCGGTATTAGCGATCATTCGAAGCTGCCGCCACCGGTTGCTGGGCAGGTGGGCGGAAGCCCACGGGCTGTCTTCAGAGGATAGATAATTTTCACATACGAGAGCACGAAACGATCACGGTTGGCCCAGTCCGGGTTCTTGGGGTTGAAGTTCATGAACTTGTTGAACAGAACGTGGGCCACGGGGGCCATGCCCATAGGGGCACCGGGGTGACCGGAGTTAGCCTTGGAGGTGGCATCAATCTGCGACGCTCTCAGTCAGCGATCCAGCTCCACCGACGCGCATTTCAGGGGATTGAAGGGCATTGAGAAGCATTGAACCGGTGTGCCATCATTCTGGTTCACTGGCCGCCAATTCCGGAGGGGCTTACCGCGAGAACACGAATGGTGTTAATAGCCAACTGGTCCAGATCAGTGAAACCCATGATGGCGGATTCTAAAACTGTTAGCGATGAAATCAGATCCCGGCATGCAGAACAACATACAAGGGTGGTATAAAATGAAGGATAAGGTGGGAGGGATGAATGAGAGAAGAAGAGAAGAGGGGAGGAGGGGGGGGGGGGGAGAGTATTTGTTGGTGGGGGCAGATGATGTCGGTGGGGGGCACTGGGCCAGCTTCAACAGTATCAGCCGTGAATCCGTTGATTTGGGTCTTGGATAGGCTGAAATCACGCAAATCGCTTCAATTCCTTCACTGCTACTGTTCTATCTCTTGTTCGTCTATTCTACTTTACTTTGGCGTCCGGGAAAGTCAACGGCGTCATGCTGAGTCAGCCTCACCGATACAGCGTCAAGCTTCCAGCTGCCACCTGGGCAATTTCAACTCTTTGAATGCTGGTGGATGCTGGTGTATGCTGGTATATGCTGGAGAGGAGCAGTTCTGTCCCTTGTCTTCCGTTCTAGCCACGTTGCGCAACCGCTGGAACCCAGGAGCATTATGCTCCGTCTGACTTGAGGACCGTACCCACATCTATACATTTCCGCTCATCCCACGTCTATACACCGGCAGTCCACCCGGAGGACCCTGCTCCGAGTCACCACCGGAGCTTTTCAACGGCACGAAATTAGCCGATATCCCAACCGTTCAATACCCGATCATCTGAGCAGGTGACCTTCACTAGCAGGAAGTGGTGGACGATAGCGTGTCCTGTAGGCTTTTGCGAGGTTGTGCATGTCCGAGCCAATCCGAGTCGACAGACCGAAAAGAGTCTTTGGACGTTTCTTTCCTTGGAACTTTGGAAGGTCCCCACCAGATTGGTCATCTGATCTCGATGTTGAACGTTTAGCCCCCGGTGGGCCCAAAGGGGTCTAGTGTCGTGATAGGGAACTATAGCCCATAACTTATATCAACTACACCGGACAAGACTTACAATCGCCAATCCCGGACCAAATCAACAAACATTCCCTGTAGCCCATCGCACATTGCGTAACCAAAACTCCTGGTTGGGTGCACTTCAGCCTGATGCGCCGGGCGGACCCTGGAATGGGCAGAGTCCTGCTTTGATACTGTAGACGATGGATGAACGGAAGAATCACCGAGCAGATCAAGCTGCGCGCCATGATCAAGCAATGATTGATTAATCAAGTCTCCAGCGCTCCCGGGGACTTGCCACCCGGGAGCCTCACCTCCGGCTGGAAGCGGGACTTCCGGGATACCAGTGGTGGGGTTGAACAACATGCCTTTCAGCTCATCTCATGGCGATTTCCATCGCACAAGAACAAATTGACATGGACAGGCTGGTCCAGTGAACGAATGCCCTGAATCACTGGGTGGAGTTCGTAAAGGGGCATCGCTGCATCCCGAGTGTACGAAGAAATACATCTCATCCTCCGCACAGCGAACCCTAGCAAAAGCTCAGACTCAGCTCCTCTGGGCCAGCGCGGTTCGTGAGAGGAGTCAGCCTGCAGCATAGACTGTGGTGTGAAGTGACCTCAGATCAAAACTACACGTAGCACAATATGGCCTAGTCGTCGAATATAAAAGGGCCTGGAGGCAATGAGTGGCCATCGTAGTAGTTCCTATATCTCCTGTCAGCATACAGCTTTTACTTAGACATTGAGATACATTACACGCCATGAATGATCAGGACATACCCGTGACAACCTACACTGATGTGTAAGGGATCTCTCCATTTGAGAATCAACTTGGCTGACCGATCTTCTGGTAGTTTGATCGTGGGAGCAGGTCCGTCAGGCCTCATGGCGGCGTACTGGATGGCTCGCTGTGGTGTCAAGGCGCGTGTTGTTGATAAACGAAGTACAAAGGTGTTTGTAGGGCATGCGGATGGACTGCGTCCTCGCACCCTGGAGTTGTTCGACAGTATGGGATTTCAGCATCGTGTCATGCATGAGGCGTCCATTTCAACCGAAGCAAACTTCTGGGTCTGTTGGATGCATCACCCCTCGATATGGGCTGTGGACTGACAATCAATTGGATAAATAGGTGCCTGGGGAGGGTGGAAAACTCACTCGAAAGGGTCCGTTCAACATGTCCAGACCAGATGAGTCCCCTTACCACAGCACACGATTGAGTCAAGGCCGTATTGAGCGTTTCCTTCTCGACAGTATTCAAGAGCACTCTGATCTTCAAGTGGAGCGGGACGTCATTGCCGAGTCTCTGGAGTACGACGAGAACCTAGAGAATGACCCGGACTCGTATCCCATCACGGTCAAGCTCCACCGTCATGGAGGGACAGCCCCAAGTACACCATGCGGCCAGAGCCAATCTATATCTGAAGCGACTCGTGAGGACTTGGAGTGTCAGGGCTTGCTCCCCGATGATTGGATTGACCAGACCCAGCCGAGTAATGTGCAGTCGCAGGCTGAAATTGTCCGAGCTAAATATCTCATTGGGTGTGACGGCGCTCACAGCTGGACGAGAAAACAGTTGAAAATTCCAGTGGAAGGTTCCAATACGGATCATATATGGTCAGTCTCGCTCACTGTACATCGGTCTCTGCTTTCATTTGACACCAATGTAGGGGGGTGATAGATGTTGTGCCTATTAGCAATTTCCGTAAGTTACCAGCAAATCCGTGCGAACCATGTCACTAAATAAGTACAGCGGATGTTCGTCGCGTAAGCATCATCCACAATGCCGCAGGGACAATCCTCATCATTCCGCGTGAACGAGGCCTGGTACGCTTCTACGTTCCAGTGCACGTCTGCGAGGCAGGGTCGACAACCCGCTTCGACCGCTCGACAATCACACCAGAGGTGATCCGCACACGTGTCCAGGCAATTCTTTCTCCATTCACCTTCGACTTTAAAGCCTGTAGTTGGTGGACTGTTTACCAAGTAGGCCAGCGGATCGCAAGCGAATTCACCAAAGGGGATCGCATTTTCCTTGCTGGTGATGCGGTGCATACTCATTCCCCAAAGATGGGGCTTGGTATGAACATGAGTATGCAGGACGGATTCAATGTCGGGTGGAAGGTGGCGCTTGTGGTTGCAGGAACTGTTCAGCCTGCAGTTCTGGCGACTTATGATCTTGAGCGACACCCGCTTGCGGAGATGCTGCTTGATTTTGATCGGCACTGGTCGCCTATGTTTACTGATCGGAACCCTTCCGAGGAGAAGGATACCAAGGCTGCTGCTATGTTTGATATCGCAGGGAAATTTGAGGATTTTGCGGATGGATGGAAAGTTTTCTACCCTGGTAGCTGTCTGGTGTGTAAGCCAGGTTGGGAGGCCATTGCTCGATACATCGTTCCCGGTGAGAGATTGAAGCCAGTGAAGCTTCGCAATCAGGCCGAAGGAGGAGCTGAATGGACCACGAGGCTGTTGGAAAGTGATGGGCGGTTCCACATTCTTGTTCTGGCTGGAGATGTCCGAAATCCCATGCAAAGGGGACGCCTGGAGGCATTGTGCCAGATTCTCACGGGACAATCTGCAGCAACGCCATCTCCCCTAGATCGTTATGTCTCAATTCCTGGGCGCTATGACAGCCCCCTCGATGTCCTCACCGTTCACAGTGTGCCGTGGAAAGAGGCTGAGCTCTTTGATTTCCCGGATATTCTACGTCCCTTGGGCCCAGTTCGAGGGTGGGCTTATGACAAGATCTGGTGTGATGATTCTTACATCTTTGACCGTTATTGTGATGGGACGGCGTATGAGAAATGGGGAGTCGATTGGATTCTTGGAGCTCTGGTGGTTGTTCGCCCTGATCAGTACATCGGCTGGGTTGGGGAGTTAGGAGACGTGGATGGGATGACCGAGTATTTGGATAAGATTCTCATTAGAAAGTAGATCTCAATGGATTCTGTCTCTCTTCTCTGCTGCTAGCGAGAACTCAATGAGGACCGTGACAGGAACTTTTCAATACAAAGTTATACAAAAGAATATCAGAATTTGCATAAAGTACTATTACATGAAACTGACTCTACTCACTCGCTCATCACTCATCACTCATCACTCACTCAAATTCCATCGCAAACACCGCCCATCGTACTTAGGCACGAGTCTCGGGTGCAGTCTCTGGTGCAGTCTCCGGCACTGTTGAGCCATCCTCGCGCAACTCAGTAGTCGGATCAGCAATATGAGCCGACGCTGGCTGATCACCTCCCTTGTCAAACGAACCACGAATAATGTTTGCATCGGCAGGGAATTGGAACTTGGAACTCTTCCACGGCTTGACCTTCATGAGATACATTGTATCAATCTCCTCCAAAGTCCGGCCCTGTCCCTCGATGACGGCAACATACACTAAGCCCGCAGCGAGGAACAGACAGCCTGCGAAGACGTATCCAAAGCGGAAGTCGATAGCACCAGTGATAAACGGGGTGAAGAATGCAAGGAGGAAGTTCCAGAGCCAGTTTGACGCGGTTGCGAGTGACATGGCTTTCGCGCGGTATTGGGAGGGATAAAGCTCGGCGATAATAGTCCATACCATTGGTCCCCATGTACTTGCGAACCCCAGAATAAAGAGACAGGCGAAAACTACCATTACCACACCAGGGGTTTTGGTTGCTTCTGGATTCTCGCGATCGAGTGAGAAGTGGCCCACTGACGCGAAAATCATGAAGCAAATAAACATCCATAGGGCTCCAGCAATTAGAGAGCGACGACGACCATAGTGCTCAATGAGGTAGAGACCAAGGAAGGTGGTTCCAAAGTTAACACCACCTAGGATCATCTGAGTCACGTAACTGTTTTGGATACCGGCACCTTGGAAGATAGTTGTTCCCTAGTATGAAGTTAATTAGGTTTGGCAGTGGATTGTTTTGTGATGACGTACATAGTAGAAGAAGTAGTTGGCACCTGTTAGCTGCTGCAGAGCTTGCAAGGCAACACCGACAGCCACCCGGTATGGCATGGTTGGAGCACGGAATAATTGTATCCAGCCGGCTTTTCCCATACGCTGCTCTTCCTCGTACTTTTGTTTGATCTCATCAAACTCGAGACGGAGGGCACGGTGGTTTGGAGGGATGCCATAGATCTTAGAAAGGGTGTTGATTGACTTCTCGACCTTGCCGTGGCGGTAATCGTAACGTGGACTTTCGGGGAAGAAGACCATGCCAATACCAAGAATCCCGGCCCAGAGGTATGTGATTCCCATGGGAATGCGCCATGAGCTAGTGTCTGTATTGGCTTCGGTTCCGAAATTGATGCAGTTCGCAACAAAGATTCCGAGAGTGATGAACAGCTGGTAGGTACTGTGGATAGTTAGAGAATATCCCGTGCCAAAACACAAGCCGACATACCTAATAAGGGATCCTCGAATATGACGCGGTCCTGACTCGGCCTGGTACATTGGCACGAGCAGAGAAATAGCACCAACACCAAGTCCGGCGATCAAACGGCCGACGGCGACCTGGTACCACTTTCCGTCTGGCGAGCTAATTTGAACGGTGATTCCAACGCACACCATTAAGGCCCAGCCACTGATACACCATTTCCGTCCCACACGATCGGCAATTGGGGCAGCAATCAAAGCTCCTATCAGCGTACCGATGGACAACTATATATCATGAGCATGCAAACATCTCACCAGGGGAGGTGGCACTCACCAAAGCAACAATCAGACCCGAGCGCACGTTACTGAATTTGTAGGTGCCATCAGATTGCAGTTGACCATACCGCTGCAGGAAGTTGGGCATCTCAAGGAAACCAGAGATCTGACCAGTATCATAACCGAACAAGAAACCTCCCATCGAGACCAAGATGCCCATAACAAATGAGCGCCATGTCAGCAGCGGGATGGGCGTGTCAACGACATCACCGGGTCCTTTTTCGCCATGCGTAGAGACTGACTCTCTAGGAACATCGGCGTCCGCGTAGGCATCCTGCGGACGTTTATTGAATACTTTCTTAAACATAGTGCCAGTGAGTAGTGATAAGAGCAGAGTCTACTGGATAACAGAGTTTGACAGCTTTTGCTGGAAAGGTCGGATCATCTCCTTCTTATAATGTGCCTGACCAAGAAAGCCAAGGCTGGGCAGTCGACACTGACGGAAGCCCAGAATCCTGCATTTCATGATCAGTGAACCATGATAGTCCGGCGCAGTGCGCCCATGCTTCAAAACGATGACACGTTGATTCCCGAGTCGCGTGGTGCTTCACGGCCGGCGGCCATGTCCGCGAGCCAAGAGAGAATCTGGGGAAATGCCTTCGCATTTGGCAGGTCGACCGGCCCACCCGTGGGTCGGCGTCACTCCACGACTCCAGACTCTCCAGAATCTCCAGGGTCGACCAGTGGGTGGCGCGGAAGTCTCGGCCTGTCACCTCGTGATCGATTTCCGGGGGGAACTTTGTGCTCTGCCTTGACTGCTCTTTGAGTGATGAAATCGGTGGCAGCCAATGCCACAGCCACAATGCTTGGTTTTCGCCCCCGACCATTGATGACCGGTCGATCAATGTCTCTGGTTTGGGCCTCGCTTGAGGATAACTTTCCCGGCGATTCCGCCAATTCGTGGGCATTGCTTATGGTCTTTCATCACCTCGGTATCATGCGATGGTGGGAAGCGCTGGATGCCGAAAGATGAAGGCCAAGACGTGACATCTGAGGCACCAAGGCAGAGATTCTTGCCTCAGGCAGGAATATATACAATGCACGACCTCAAACCTACAGAAGGAAAGTAGCAGGCAGCAGGGAGGAATATCTCTCATTCTCTTAGATGCTAATGTATAAATATTATCCTGGTCCATCACATGGACTAATATCAATGATTGGAGACAAAAAACCACTTCATCGAATTAAAGCTACTAAAACCGACCAGAACATCCTTCGAGTTACTCTCTTTCCTCTTCATACATGTGCCACAAACTAGTAAAATGTCCCATTTCAATCCAACTGTCGTACAGGAAGAGCCCCAGCCCTATTCTTCTGTCCCTGCCATTCACGATCAGAGCCATCGATCTCCGTCACGGTCTGGTTCTCAGTTGTATCCCTTTCATGAATCTCACGATTGGAAATCTCAACCTTTGCCACAGCCTTCTTGCAACGATAATACATCGCAAACACAGCGGTGGGAAGTCCTAAAATCCACCACGAGAACATAATAGGAAGAGCCTGATACAACCGATTGTTGCATCCCCCGGACCAAATCTGCATCAGAACCTGATATGCCTCGTGAGAAGGAAGCGCGTATCCCCAGCGTAAAAAGGCGGGACTCATCTCGAATGGCGTGATCGTGCTGGCGACATTGAAGATTACCCATGTCAAGACGACGAATGGCACCCATTGGATCTCGACGAAGGCGGTGGTGATGTCGAAGAAAAGGAAGTTGATATGCATGAGTAGCCACAGAATCATCCATGTCAAGGCAAAATGGCTGCCAGTTTGCGGCCAGGTTTCTCGATATGCCCAGATATAACCTGTCATGCAGAGGGCTGCGATAAAGGTATAGAGTATGGAGATTGACATGCGGAGGAGGGCGTTGGTTTTCCAGGAGAGTATGGTGAATGCGTCGAAGACGAATCCGATTCCGTTCAAGGCTAGCATGTAAAAGAATTGTTGTATTATGGGCATTGCCATGGAGATTGTGTTGTAGAACACCCTTGCGCCCTCGTCTGTCTTTTTGATGTTGATTTGCTCGGCTTGGATGGGATCGGTGAATGCTTTGAGTATGGCTGGTGTAGACAAGTTGGCTATGGCCACCACTGCAGATCCATTGTTGCTGTAGTATGCTGACCGTGTGGTTTGAACCAGCGTCAAAAGGCTGACGTAGATGATTGACTGAGAAAAGACTGGGTATCTCGCTTCATTCCAGACATAGGCGAGTGAAGTTGGCGTGGAAGCACCAGACTTCAATGCAGATGTCAAGTTCGCTGATCCATCTGACTTGGCATAAATTGCACCCCAGTATTCTCCTCGACACACCGCGTCTTGAATCTGGCCTGGCTGTGGATACTCTCTGGGGGCGACTTGATGCACCGTAGGAAAGCCGTCTCCATGAAGATCATGGTACGCATCTGACACTGATTTCCCGATGACGCCGCCATCGTAGTCGACATACAGGACCTTGAAGTTGTGGTAGCGGGTGAGACTTCGGAACTGGGTTGCATGAATATAGCACATGTTCAGCAGGAACAAGAGCTGCAGCAAGACGAATGTCACAGTGATGGCCGGCAAAAAGCCAGGCTTCATTCCTGGGAAGGGCTTCATCCTCGACTTTTGGTTCATGACAGGAGAGAACCAGGGAAGACAGATGATATATGTGTTAACGTGAGCGTTCCCATGTAATCGTTACTCTCCGTGTCTCCCAGCTGTTTACTTCGGCGTTTGGCCAATCAGAATGCTCAAATCGGGTGATCATCCGCTGACACAGCGGCTCCAAGGCAGGCGAGATTGTGATTGGTTGAAGGCTCGGTCGTACCTTAATCTTATTTGTCTTTGGGCGTTTTCTTCATTTTCTTACCATGTTTGCTTTCCAAGCATTTCATAGTCATCTTCTATATCTTAATCATCTGAAGTATTCGAGTTCTTTCACTGGTAAGATCCCAGTAGTACAGTATATATATCCATCGTATATTGATAATTGCTTCTCTATCAAAACCAACGTTACGATATGTCCGAGATCACAGTCGGCCTTAGGCCGTCAACCTTGGTATGCGACCTAAGAAAGATTCGGCGGTACCGTTCCCAAATTTAAATTACCGGCGAATTACAGTATCTGCGGCCAAATGAATGTCATTGGATGGTTACTATTTACTCAGTTTGTCGAAGGGCTGGCCCGTGGATACTGAACTTACTTACCATTGTCCAAATTCAGTGATCGCCCACACGTTGAGCGGGAAAGCTAGATTTGTTTCATAATACCTCTATTTTGAACACAATCTATACTCCAATGTGTTCCTGTTCATACTGACTAGAGCGGGCTGAAACAGAAGCAGAAAGCATACTGAAATATAAGGACTGCACAGTATAGAGAGACATAGAGAGACATGCCAAGAGGAAATTCCCTACTTCTTTAGCAAACATCGTGTAGCTAGAGAGTTCCGGATCGAGGCAAAGTTCAAACCAGCCTTCTTTTGTATAGCACGAACCATAATGCCATGGTACGCCTCGTAGCCATGCGCACCATCCACACTACCCACACGCTTTGATCCTTCAGGGGTAGAGTGTCTCAACGAACCTCCCCTGCATGAATCTTAAAAAAAGCCACTTTACGGCATTTGCATCACCCCTATATATAGTCTCATCATGATCAACCGTTGAGTAGCATTCACAATAGACGAACAGTCCGTGAAAGGTCCGTGATGTAGGTCTGTGAACATGGAAATCTTCTCCGCGACAGCTTGACACCTATCAAAGCGGTTCCTAGTCTCTTGACTGTTTTGCTTTGACCTAACGGGGCGAGGAAGTTAGTCACAGAGATTGATTTTGTGGTGATTTTACCCTATTAACCCTGTGGGCCTGCGATCTAGATCGCTCAGTTAGCAGCGGGCACTCATTTCCTTGGCCCCCATTTGACCCAACACCGCATTCCATGCCCCTGGATTAATTATGAGACGTTGAAAGAGATCTGAATTATGGAACAGTCGGCTAGTTGTGTTCTCTGACGGAATCAATACCTAATTCTACCATCATGGTTCCCATCTTCACTCTCAGGGGAATTTCCTGGAAAACGCCACCCGAACCATGGCCAACTATAAATTGCGGAACGAGGCCGAGGTCGGCCATCATTTTGTACGAGAACTTCGGGTACGATCAAATCGCATTCTAAAAAGGTTACTTTGTGGAGAAATGTCAGACCAGCGCGGGCACTAGTCAAAAATCGCAGATTTGGGCATTGCCATAGGCTCACAGACCCTGTTGCATCCATTGTCACAGATGGGCACGCTATGTGAATACGAGACAAGTGGATCGACTTGGTTCATCTGCACGCTGGAATTCTTGTCCTGCACCCCAGGTGTTGGTCGTTGTTTATATAAGTAGATTCCCGGCGCTTGTAAGAGTCCGATGTGATTATCTGGGAATGTGGCTATCATGACGGTCAAGTACAACGTGAGTCAATCGTCGATTCAGGGCCCTCTCATCGCTGCCGCGGTGTTTGGGGTCTTGGCGACCCTTTCGACTGTGTTGCGTCTATATGCTATGCATTTGAAAGGGTTGAGACCTGGATTGTCCGAGTATCTTCTTTTGACTGGTGTGGTATGTTGTCTTCTTCGTTTGAAGCGATCGACGTTTCTCACACTAGCATAGATCTTGATGTACGGCGCGTTGGCTCTGCTTTATATCAGTACGGATTCTCTGTTTTCTCTCCCCAAACGCTGTTCTAACAGAGTCTCAGTGGCAATTTATGGAGGTATGGGCCGGCATAGAGCAGATATCGACCCGGCAGCACTCGTTATTACCCTCAAGGTATACCCCAAACACCATTTCTTCTTTCTCGTGAGCATCCCTGACCCAAATAGTCCCTTCTCTCGGTAGAGATCATCTACGGCACTTCTCTAGGCCTAGTAAAGACCTCAATCGCTCTCTTCTTTGTTCGCATCTTCGGAGCCAAACGCAGCTTCAATGTCGCAGTGATGATCTCTCTATTTATTGTCTGGGCCTGGGTTACCAGTATCATTCTCGAAGCCTTCCTGCTCTGTCGGCCGTTCACCCACAATTGGGACGTCACCGTCAAGGGGACCTGCGGTAATCGCCCGGCTGCTTTCATGGTCGCTGGTGTGATGAACGTGGTCACTGATTTGATGGTTATCGCTTTACCTCTGCCTCATGTGTGGAAATTGAAGCTCAATGTTCATAAGAAGATCGGCCTAACCTCCGTGTTTGGTGTTGGTGTTGTGTGAGTTCAACGTACTGCTTTTTCAGCTGCCGCCAGTGCTAATGATCTATTGCTTCTAGCATCTCCGTCATCAGTGTCCTTCGTCTCATCTCAATCACGAAACTGGACTTCAACGATCCAACATATACCCTCCTTGATCCTATCCTCTGGACCGTGCTAGAACCGCAACTAGCAATTATCTGTGCCAACATGCCATTCTTTAAAACCATCATCGCAGCCTTCGCACCTGCGATGGGATCATCCGCTGATCGCAAGTATGGCAATTCATCCGAAAGAACCTTTAACCGTCTTGGGCCGAAGTCAGGGAACAATGGGACTTACAGCATGGACGCACTTGACAGAAAGACACATACCGTTCAAGTTGGTAACGACTCCGAGTCCAAATTGGTCAATGCAGATGTTGAGTCTGTTAGTTCGGAGGAGCAGCGTTTGGCTTCTAATGTCGGACCTTATGGTATTAGTGTTACTCAGAAGTTTGATGTGCACTATGAGAACTCCAGTTTGCGAAAGCAATGAGCTTCTATAAGCTACTTGACTTGGATACATGATCATTCTGCTTTGTGATACCATTCTCTAATAGCATCCATGGGTGTCTATATCTATCTTTAATACTACTTTCTTTGTACTATACTATGAAGGCGCTGCTATTTCGTATGGAAGCCTTCGGAGCGATGTAGGGTTTCACGTTTGGGATCCAAGACTTGACTTTTGCTGTACCTTGTGTAAATATGAGATGATGATATACGGTGAATTAAGTGGATAAATAGGCTACACATATTTCATTTACTTGTTCTAAGACAGTCGACGTCAAGCTTCAAACACTGCACGCCCACACATAGCCCTTTCATTTTTGGTCAATTGATAAAATTTGACCAGATTGGCAAACGGCAGGGCCGGAATCAGAGCAGTTAATCATACTCAAACTGAACGGTATCTAGAAAGGACTCGAGTCGCTACTAACTGCTTTTAAGATTGAAGTCATCAAATTCATTATCATATCGCGAGTCTTAGGCAATACTTAGGTATCCTCGCCATATTACAGACGATATACCAGACATGCCAGCCACAGCGTTATCAACAGCAAATATTTCCAAAGAGAGAAAAAGGCAAATAGATACACAGAAATCAAAGATTGAACGCCGCAGGTATCATTAAAACAAATCCTGAAATCCTTCGTAAACCCCTTTGCATATAACACTTGACTAAGACACCCATTCAAACGGCCAGCCGTCGGTCCCATCCATTTACCAGTGAAAACTCATCAAATCCGTCATCGGTTCGGTCTTCGCCGGGAATGGCGAAGGCGTTGAATGGATCTAGTGTATGGATGTCCTCTGGATAGCCCTTGGCGTCTGTATATGGGGCTAGGGTATCATCCATACTTCCCATGCTCTCACCTGAATAACTGAGCACGCTCTGCGTGGTGTGTTCTGGGGCAGCAGCGAATTCACCACTGCTAGCTGACCAAGACTCAGGGGACAGATTCTGAAGTTCGCTCGGTGCTGGGATGGCTATCGGGCCTTCCATAGGTTTGCGACTGCATTCTGCTGTAATCGACGCGAAGGGACCTGAGTCTTCGCCGCAGTCTTTGCCGCCGTAAATTCCTGTGAAGATGTTGGAGTATCCGCGGTCCATATCGCTCAGTACATATTCCCAGTCAGCCATGGTGATGGCGCTGGTGGCTGGGTCGGAGGGCGTTGAGCAAGACAATGAACGATAATGTTCGTACTTCATTGGTGCATTTGAGGCGAGATCTAGAGGAGAGTGGTCGTATTGCGAGGTAAGATGATCGTGCTGTGCAGGAGGAAGGCTGCTCCAACTAGGCGAGCGAAGGGATTGGGCGGCCAGTGGTGGAGTTGCGCCCGAGATGGTGTTTCGTCGGGAGCCTTGGGGTGAGTCTTGCTTAGGCTGGTCGCGAACGGCGTTTGTAAGGCGCGATTTCAGAGCCTGCAAATGCTTTTTGGGAGACTTGTGTGGTTTATGTGTCGGCGCAACCATTTCATTGGAAGCTGTATGACTGGGTGGTTGTCTGCCATCGTCCAGTGAAACTAAGGTGCATGATAGGGCGCTAAACTCAGCAGCTGCCGCAGTGTACCCAGACTGAAGTTGTCTCTGAGCGGCACCGAGCATCTTTTGGGTCTCTTTGGCGAGTTTGCTGTCGCGCTTCACGCCAAGCATTTGCCAAAGAAGCCCCAGTCCAGAGAAAAACACCAGCTCTTTGCGGTTGATGCTGAAAGAGAGACAAAGACATCTTTCGTCGAGAAGTTCAAGAATCTGAATAATGTGCTTGGCTGAATCTGAAAGTGCAAGAACAGACGGAGAACGAATACTATCATCCGAAAAACACACGGCCGGGCGGTGGATTAAAGATCTGATGAAATAATAGACAAGAGACTATATGAGGTCAGTATTGTTGGCGGAAAGAAGTCGGAACTTAACTTACAAGGAGAGGGGAACGGCTGCTAGTGACGTTGGTGCTAGGTTTATCCTGGCTGAACTCGAGACGGAGATGGGCGGGGAGATTTTGCAACCAATCATCCAACTGTCCTACAACCGAGCGCATCTTCGAGACGGAGACATTGTATTCAGACTTGGAAGAGAATACATTCTCCAAGGCCTTGTTCAGGATTCTAGAAGCGCCGAATAGGGCAATGGCACTAGATATACGGGTCGACTCACCGGGAAGAGTTGGCAGGAACCCAGTCTCGGTGACATTCTCGTCGTCCACATCGACCGGGTACTCGGCTTGGATGTCGTCCTCGCGCAAGAGAACGGGCATTCCAGTGAGAGCGGAGCAGAAACTTTCACAAGTCAGCAGAGTGTCATGACTTTCAAGCGCATGTCATACCGATCAAGAACATATTGAGACCAAAAGACCTTCTTACAAGTCTCATCCTCAAGTGGGTTATTCGAGGTCTCTAGATTATCGTGCAGGCTCAGCTGGTGGCAAATATCCACACCGAGAGCACGGTAGCGAAGCAGAGTACGATAATCGCCCTTGGTCATGCAGTAAATCTGACCAAGAACAAAGCACTGCAAGCTTGACATAGAACTCTCGCCTGAGAATGAGTCAAGCGTATTTGACCAATTTTCTTCGAAGAATGTCGGATCTTGGTTGGTTCTCGACTACGAAAGTCAGCACATATTCAAATGCGATATCCATACCAACAGAACTCACAATTGAAGAAAGCGCTGCAATACCGAAGATCAGATTCAGTTGAGCCATGGCATGGGTATCGCGCTGAAGGGACTGGGCATTGCTGAGATACTGTTCATAGGCCTTCAGGATAGTCGGGCGATGTACAACCGGGTACAACGGAGCCCACTCTTGGAAGAAGATATTGATCAGTTGATCCGAGACCAAGCGGGGCGGTGTTTTCACGGCTTGGCTAGGCTTGCCCCGAGATACCGAGGTACATAACGCGGTCAGCGCCACGGTGGGAATCTTAGTTGCAGACTTTCCCTGGCTGACTAGCCTGTCGGTGAATACATCTGCGCCATTTGGTCAGCTCCATCAGTCTCACCTCGGTCATCTCGTGGCAAGGCACATACCGGCGAATCCCTGAGTGCTCGAAAGGCCCGTATACGGGTTCTGTGATTGCGGGGATGGGCGCTTCAACGATCGCTTCACATGAATGACAGCCTCTGACAATTCTGACGGACTTTCTTTGGGGGTTGCGGCTGCCGAGGGAGACCGCATCGATGCCGCCCGTTGCGACGCAGGCGAAAACGAATGTATCCTGGACAAAACGTCTATCTTTTCGTCCTTTTCATCCAGTAAATCTTTCAGATCCTTCACTTCCGTCTCCAGACTCCGGACTCGTTCTTCAAGCGACTCGGTATATCCACGGGGGAAGGCTCGGCGGCTGAGCTTGTCGCTGGTTCGACACTCGAACCCGACGTTGGCGCATTGTGAGCAGCAGGGGCGAACACCATCGCAACGGATCTTTTTACTGCGACAACGGTCGCAGGCTTGCGCGATGCGGCTCTGCGTGCCAGTGCCGCCGACCTTGATCACTTTCATGGGCAAGATACCAGGCATGTTGAGGCAGTGTGGCACATAGGCCAAAGTCGTACAGCTATTTCGTAAGGCCCAAGAAACTAAGGAAAGATCAAGAAAGCGTAATTCAAGGTGATATAAGATGTAGGAGAGTCAAGTTAGAGGCAAAGAGAGAGGAGATCTAAGGTAAATGGATTGGGGGGGGGGGGTTTGCTGAGTCAGGTGGAGGACCGGGGGGACACGGGGGATCCAATGAAGTTGTCGATGAATCGTAGCAAACTCGCTCTATTTTGACTTCACTTGGCTGGGCTCTGCGTACTCCGTAATCGCCCTCTTACTTGGCTCTGACACACCCGTGACCGTATTGTATACTTGGAACACTGGAGTACTTTTGTACTGCCATGCGGCTCGGGTATAGGGGGGATTCAGGTCTGATCCTCGGTCTTACAACTCAGTACGAGAACAGGATAGAAATGGCACAGGGAAGTGAAACTGAACATCTCTGAAGTCATCTTGAACTCATCCCCAGACTTCCAACCCAAATCTTCGAACTCAAACCCCAAATTCGTTGTGGCAACCGCCGTGAACGGGAACCGGGGAAGCCAAGATGCACCTATCATAGCCCATCACCCAAGAAAAAGGGGGTTTGGATCGCCCCCAAGCGAGTTTGGGCCGAGAGAACCGCGAAGGGTATAAACCCATGGTAAGGTGAGGATCTTCCCCGCTAATGCCCAAATATTGGATTTCTTCTGGTCTTGTTCACTTGCCTCTGCCGATATCTACCGATTATACGCTCAGATCCATGACTTGCTGATCCCGGTCCAGCGGAGATCCAACGTCCGCATGTTCCATTTCTGACCCTGCAGATCAAATCTTGGTGGTTGGACGTGTATTGTGCGGGCTACGTCCGTACTGTACAGTCTAAGCGTCATAGTTGGACCCTCTCTTTCCGGGATACAATTTGAAAGCTAGTGTTTATGGTGTGGCGTCTCATCGAATAGACTTAGGTGGATACGTGACTCTTTAGGGGGACCCCTGGCTTGATACAGATGCAGACTAAATTAGGCGCCCTCCAAACCGTGGATGTACATGTAATGCAATCCCTCAATCTGGGCGTTCAGGAAAAGTCCTCGGCTTCCTCTGCCACTCCCGTTTGCGGGCTAAAATATGCCGCAACACTGGCAGATCCCAGTAACTCGGTGCGCTGGTGATTGTTAACCGTGAACGAGAAGCTCCAGCTGGAGACGCTGGGCGCATGAGACCACTTACCTGTTTGATAAGTTCTTCAACCGCTTTCTCTAGTAGATCGGCCTCGAGGACTCGGAACCGAATGATCAAGTCAAAGATCTCTGGTCGAAAGAACAAGGTCAGAGCCTCTTCATTCTCACGGAGATTAGCGATTACTTCCTCTATTTCTTGTAGAAGAGAGAGCTGAGTCTCGAGTCGCTCAAGAAGCAGCACCACAGCCCGAAGCTGGATGATTTCCCATAAGGGATCAGCGGCAAGAAGTTCTCGGAGGTGGTCGGGTGATTGGATCTTTTCGCCTTTCCACCTTGTTTCGAGTTCTCTGCCGCCGTCAGTTGTCTGTGCGAGACCAAAATTCAGTCCGTCTTCTTCGTTCACACAGGCTATCCACACAAGGCTGCTTTCCCATGTAATCGGTTCCTCTTCAGATTCCTGGGCTGTAATTCGAACCCCGCTATTCTGTTGGCAGAATATCTTTTTCGCGACGCTGAGAGGGTCATCTTCCGGCATGTCTACGTGAAGACAAATCTCTCGTGTCTCAGTCGTAGCGCTGTCTAGGAAACCATAGGAGAAGATCATTTCAGAAGCGGGCTTTTCATCTCCATATCTACAATGCAGTATCAGCCATCCTAAGTTAACATTCAAGTGAAACATGTGGAAAACTCACGAGATGGTCACTTCCTCTCCAGGTTGTAGGTGCTTGCCCCAACGCAACTGAAGAACTGCATTCCCATCTGAGTCTGCATCATACAGCGCCTTCACACTCTCCCCGCACACGTGGTTGGCCATATCAATGCAAGGTACCATCGCAAGTCCACTGCCGGGGATATCCAACATGCGCGACCGATACGCCGCATCAACATATTTCCAATCCTGGATCGTTAACGAGCCATTCTCCTCGTCCCACCAGCTCTGCTGACACCACTTGATATCCTCCGTGGCCTGACGGAGATTCTGAAACTCCCGCTCGAGAGACATCAGCTTGGCATCCAAGGCTTCAGCAAGGGAGGTTCCCCGAAGTAGCTCCTGCTCTTCCGTCGTGTAAAACGTAGGTAAGGGGAATGTTGGAGGTAGGAACTTGATGTATTCGGTCCATGGGTTGGAGACGCCAACATGTTCGTGTTTGTCGCGAAGATCGGGGCTGGTATGTGATAGCTGAACCAGAAGGAATATCATTATAGCTCCTCTGGCTGTCTGTATATTTTAATTAAGTGTCGGCTGTGAATAGGGAGTCCTGTGAACTCCGGGTAAAGTGGCTCTTACTCTTCCGAAATCACCGAGTGCTTCCAATACATCGCGTAGATACCGGTCGGATTTTGCATAGTTGTGGACTGTCTCTAGGGACAGAAACAGATCGGAGGGAATTTGGAGCAGGATCTCAGGCGTTGCATCGTTCTCATCGCTGGACTTGGCTTCAGTCGCGACGATCGCGCTGCCTTTGTCTGTACCATACTCGCTGGATCCGAGCTTCTGAAACGCGACGCCTTTCGCGACAATGCCATTCAGGCACTGCCAAGCTGGTAGGGTTTCGATCGGCAGATATTCACGCCGCATGTTGTTGGAGAAGAAAGGAAAGTGACGAACACGTCTTATCGATAAGGCAGGCCCTAAGCCCTTCCCCAAATGGGTTTGCCGCAGGACGTCATAACGATGCATATAGTTGGAATGTTGGATTGGGCCTGCATCTTCTACACACATATATTCAGAATGACTCTGAGACTTGTTACACGGTCAACCCGGCTGATTCAACCGCTACAGTCAGCTTTGCCAATTCTTCGTACATCGAACATCCGACAATACTCTCTGAAGAAAGACTGGAAAGGAAGCTCGACCGACGAACATGCGGTTAGACGAGCGAAGAGCGGTGATACTGCAGATATACCATCTTCTGCATCCCTCTCTGGTATGAACGAGAGAAGGTTAAACGAAGGTGTTGCGGATGACACCAAATCCCAAGGAATGACTGAAAGAGGCGGAAGCAAGCAAGGGAAGAAGGCCAAAGAGGAACATCCCAACGCCCCAGAGCCGATTATTGGAATGAACGATGAGCGAGCGCAGGTAAGCATCAATCACTCCAGGCCTGTCCAGGTGGTGTAGGTTCATATTGCTGACCGCTGTCCGATTTTTAGAAAGGACATTGAACCCCAATTCACCAGTTTCTAGCCTGTTCGTGTATTTGACAGTTTATTTTTCAGTTCAATTGAGAAATATGAGAGGCAATCATAAGACATTTCCATTCCTATTGTTATCTCCTGGAGGCTGTACATATTTGGATAGTCTATCGACCGACCTTGAATGAGAGAATCTGCAATGGCGGTTAGTCAAGAGTTTGCTTTCGCTGATATCACCTCACTTACGTCGTGTTTCCCTACAGCAACAATGTCATCCTCGGAGACTCGCGTTCCGCCCACTCCTTCGACGTAATTGATTGGCACATCACCCATCACTTTGCGGGCAACATCGCCAACTGTACTGTTTCTACAAGTTGTTAATGAGGATCTATAGGCTTCGACAGAGTCACATACTTCTTGACTAGAACACAATCACGGAACACAGCTGTTCCGTTTCCAGAGCTGAATGTTTGAACGTTTCGAACCGGGAACACGGGTACAAGACCCAGGAGCTGTGCTGCTCGAGAAAGACACTGGACAACTCCGGTAGATCCAAATCGGTAAAGAACCATATCTTTGAGGTTCTCAACCCGGCTATTCGGGGGTCAGCATATGTGAATGTGTTCATGTCGGGCTGAACATACGTTTTCAATTTCTCGTCCATTTCTTTGAGACCACCACCATCCGGCTCACCCATTTCGATCAAATCTTCTCGTGTATCCACAAACTCACTCCCTTCGACGTATCTGATATACTCCTGCTTTGCCAGTCTTCGGAGGAAGACTTCAGATATAGCAGAGCAAAGCACAATGCTTTCGGGATCTTGCATCTTGGCAATTTTGCTGATGTTCTATAGGTCCATGTCAGTATGATAACATGTAATCCACCCGGGTTTTCATACCTTGTCTGCATCGGGATGGTCGATCTTGTTCAAGGCAAAGACCGTAGGGAACTTCTCGTCAATGAACGCATTAACTACAACCTCTACTGTTTCATCGGACCACTCTTCCAAGGGCTCTTTAATGCCAGTCCTGTCGAGACACCGCGCAACGGTCTGTGAGGTACTTCCGTAACCAGCGAACTGCTTTTGTAATGTGTCCACAGCGTTTGACTCTGTGAAATGTCAGATCCGGTTCGTTGGACAAGCTCATCAGAGGGCTCACTTACTGATCGCAACATGTCTTCGCTTAATTGACCCCCTGGACATTGTATCAATAACACTTCTTGATCCCCTTCGCAATGTAAACATACCACTTCTCCATCAAGTTTCCTTGCACCCAACGCACGACCTCTGATCTTAGCCACTCAATATCCACTGACGGATCATATCCTCGCGTTGCCTTGCCTGTATGATTTAATCAACAACACGACCCTGCCTCATGTCCAAACTCATCCCACTAACCTTCGGCATCAGTGGTTCCACTCACATCCACTACGTGAATCAGAGCATCGGCATGACGCAAATCGTCCAGGAACTTGTTGCCCAGTCCGCGACCCTGATGCGCACCGGGTACAAGGCCAGCGACGTCTAGCAGCTCAATGGGCACTGAGCGTCGGCCTTCGTGACAACCACCATAGTTGGGCTGGCACCGATCGGAAACATTGTGTCGCACGCATGGGCAATCGATCTGGAGATATCCAATGGCTCGCTGGGGGTCAATGGTTGTGAAGCTTTAAGGTGTCAACAGAGCTGCGAATAACTTCGATAAGGCGGGGGATGCTTGCAGCCGAAGCGCACGTACGGAAAGTTTCCTGTCAGGGCAAAAACGTTAGCTTTGGTCGCAAAAGATCCATGCAACAAGCCAACTCACCAACTTTGGAAGTCGCGTCGGTCAGACTGTTCAATGTTGTAGACTTTCCACTTGACGGCTGTATGCCCCTCGGTCAGTGGGGTGATAGTGCGATGGATGGGTAACGACGGACCTTGCCCACCAGTCCGATCAGCGGATCTCGAGGCATCTTGAATAGTCTGTGTAAAGACGAAGGAGATTCTCAGAAGAACACAATGACCAGATTCACCAGGTTTCAACCGGTCTTGTTCTGAGGCTTCGATAAGAAACATTTTCTGCCCAGTGTAATGGGAAGGCGGTGGCGGGTGCATACTCGTTAAGCCTCTTTCGGACGCCGACATCTTCTGCCTTTGGAGTTGAGCTTCAATGGGAAGATTCCAAGGGTGTGGACATGGGATTATCGTGGTGGAAATGGTCCAATTGCATATAGATCTCAGACTTGTCTATGTGACTATTTACATATGCTCAAAACTAGGGTGAATCTATAGAGTACACCCTCTACAGTATTGTATATCATCTCTTTGATCAATATATTCCAAGAGGTCATAGATATGTGCATGTACTGTACTAGCAGCAGACAAAGCCTAACACTGAAATTTTCCCTATCCAACCGGGTTATTGCATCGACAATGAACATAGTGGGTAACTTATGCTGACCATTTCCCTTTGATATCAGAGAACCAGATCAGATGCAGCCACTTGCCACCTCGGCCCCTCCCTATGACGCTAGGCCGAGACCCATTGCCCTTTTTTTTTGCCAGCCTCAGATCCCTGGCAAGATCTGAAATTTCAGGATGGAACAGTAAACTGGCTGGTTTCGGTGGGGATGGTATATCGGCCTTGCCTGGGTGTCGTCATAACATCAACGTCACCCAGATTTGCCATTGGCAAAGCTCCTTATATAAATCCTTTTGGCCTTCCCTTCAGTTAATCTTTTTATTCAAACACTCACTACCTTACTACCGTTCTACACAAAATCTTCTACACACAACCGCGCATTTCGTATCATAATGTCTGACGCTACCTACCACACCACTGGCCAGGACATCCGCAAGGCGGAGTCGAAGGTTGCCCAGTCTCATGGCGGCAATCTCCCTGGCGACTCTGACATTTCTCAGTTGAAGGTGAGTTTTCTTGATTGTCCCGTTTGAAAGTCACATCATTAACAAGTCTTCCAGTCTGTCATTGACCAGAACACCAACAAGCCCGCCGAAATCGAGAAGACCAAGGCCAATTTGCCCTTGCCTGATCAGCCCCCTGTGGCCAGTGACTGGAACTCTCTTGACCAGCGTACCACCGCTGTTGGCTCTGGCCGTTTTGAGTTCCCTCCAGACCAGAGCGGTCTCCGTGAGGGTGCCACTGCTGGCAGTAGCGCCCGCATTGATGGGGAGCAGCTTCACAAAACCACTGCCCCGGGAGACAAAGTTGGTCGCCAGGGTGTTGAGGGACTGAACAACCTCCCTTCCGATGCTACGACCCGTTAAAATGAGTTTTATGAGTGATGAATTTTATTATGTGTATGATAGTCATTTTTGATAAGTCATGAGCGAGTGAACGAGAATCAAAACTTAACTTCCAACCCAATCAGCTCTCAGTAAAGATATCGTAAATTTTATCACTCTAAATTGTAGTAAAGGTCGCGTGCTCCGACCAAACCAATGAACCGTGCCGACCCGACGAGCGATTTTATAGATCGGCAGGGTCTGAGTCTTCAAGAACCATATCGCTGCACATGCCGGATCTAATTTCGTTAACGATAGAACTGATGAAGTCAAACACAAATGCATTCATAGCCAAAATATCATGCTCTCAACTTGTCAATTGCATCAGGATACACACCTCGACGTGAAAATAAGAATGTTTGCACCGTTTGCACCTCGAGTCTAGACCTGACGTCAATTTTGCCTCCTTGATATAATCTCAGTCCAATCCGGTCTCCAGTGGACCTCCAGTTCCCTGCCTTTCAGAGGCACAGGTACATCAGTGGGGGTCCTCTGCTCCACTTTGGTCTGGTGTCGGCATCTCAAACCGCCATTCAGAGGATTTATAGCTTCCTGAGCCAGAATGCTTGACGTGACTACACTGGGGGATCTGGGATCGCAAGCCAACACTACATCAACAGCGTAAAGATGACATCACGGTACTTTGATACCATCTATCGATATGCTTCCAAGGGCTTCAGATACTACCGGTTGCAATTCGGTCATAGGAAATCGCTTGCCTATATAGTCCGACCCTCACCACCAACTGTTTCCTTCATCAACTATTCAGTCTATTCGAAAAGAACTCTTTTCTAAATTAACAACACATTTCAATCTTCCTTATATCAATTTATATTTTTACCTTCATCTCATCATGGATCTCCAAGGCACTCCTCTTCCTCACGGCGCCCGCAGCACCAAGGTTACCAATGACCCTGAAGCCACTCAGAACCCCATTGGAGAGCCTGCTGGCCCCATCACAAATGACTCTCTGGCCGCCGACTCTGTCCGCCAGGGCGGTGCCTTTTCTCAGAACCGTGGCGCCGAGCCCATGGGCGTCTCAGGCTCCAAGTCCACTGTGAACAACACCGACACATCCGCCGCTACGACCCTCCCCTCAGTCCCCGTGGGCGGTCTCCGCGAGAACCGCGAGGACCAGCAGAAGTACCCCGAGGCCCTCGGTGGCCAGGGTAACTTCCCCGGCACCCATGGCTCTGGCTACGTTGGTGGTCCCTCCGCGGCCAAGCACGAGATGGGCATCAACGCTGGCGAGTACTCTGCCGCCAGCGGCAGTGGCCGCAGCCAGTACAATGCTGGACAGGCCCCTTCCTACGTCAATGACGTTACCGGCGACATCCAGCACCCCAAACCTGATGGCCGCAACATCAAAGAGGGAGGCTTCCACTCCAACGATGCTAAGAACGCCAGCTTCAACTCTGAGATTGGTACCGATCAGGACCCTGGTCGTGAGGCCTTGAATAAGTTCCAGCGCAGCAACAATGACACTTCTTCCAACGGCCCCCGCCAGAAGGTTGCTGAAGGCCAGACTCCTTACTCGGCCTTGGAGCGTGATCAGCGCGCTTAACTTATGATTTGATGACGGTCCAAAATGTCTTTTTGTTTGGAAATAGCAAGCGAGCGTATTTGATTTTGGAGCTCGGCCTGGGGCCGATGTTATGATAATCTCTCTAGCGCATGATTATTCATGTACAATAGAACTCAATGTGATCACATAAAGCACACTTCATTCTTCAGCACTTTTTAGTGAAAGATATATCAATTAAAAGTAGATATAAACTTGGGTGCATATACATTACGACAACTGTAGATTGACTGGCATACAACTTTCAGATCAGGAGATGATCTGCATCAGTGACAGCACTCAAATCGGCATCACTAAAGACGGCTACCGGATACTCCTCCTCTTCTCTTTCTGAAATGGATCTGAGTCTATTCGATGGAAAAACAACTGTGAACGGCACCGACTTCAAGCTGTTCAAGCGCACACTTCCTTCCTCGCCATGCTCATAATCTTCCTCTTCCTGGGCTTCTTCCGCCTCTTTTCTTCGTTCCCAGACAAAGTTTGCCAATTCAACCAACCCAATTGTGAAGATTGCAATCCAAACCATTGCCAGAAGAACGATTACCGTTGTAAAAATACCCGGGAGTGGATATCGGGGCATGTTTGTGGTGCTAGATCCCAGAGCCGGCCATGAGAGGCGGTACGAGAAAAAGGAAACGGAGTGACCTGCTGAAGATGCGAGAGAGAACGATGCAGGTGTGGAGTGGTTGGGGTCTTTGTTCAGGGCGTTTTTGGCGTGTAGATAGCTCAAGAGTTCGCTATAGTGGTTTTGTCTTTGTTCGGCTGCACTCATGTACTTTGATTTATGCTCTTGCTTGTCTTTGAGGTGACTGTTGTAATGTTTATGCATTTGTTCGGACAGTATATCCAGTGTTGCCGGAACGAGGACTGGGGAGGTTTGATATGGATGTGGATGGGCAGGCCCTCGCTGGGATGTTTGCCCATTTCGGTTGTTTGACCATGATGGGATCTATATTTGAAGGCGATATCAGTATCTTCATACGTGATGGAAGATTGGGGAACAGTGTGTTCAGGCTGCGACTCACCAGGCTATATTTGGTCTTTGGCGGCTCAGGTAATAAATCAAGTCCTTCTTTTCCAACCGATTGCCATAATCCAGGAGCCTTGGTTTCTTCCAATTGATTTGCTTCGCCCGATCTATCAGTGAAGATCGGATAAGATGTGGCCGATTGAGTAACAGCCAAAAAAAGAGCGACTAGTGCTAAAAACGAAGGGCGATGCATTATGTCGCACCGGATACAAAAGGAGTGGATTGTGTTCGATTGAATATTGGTCACAGAAAGAGGGAATATCACAGCATAGCAGGAGAGAGAATGTCAGTTTCTTATATGCTTAAAGCACAGGGGAGATCGCAAGGGCGTGCCCTGAACACAAGGAACCAACCGGCAAATCCATTCTCAAGTGCCTGAAATCTAGGCAAATGCTAAAGGATCCGAGGGCTTTGGATCAGATTTATCCAGGGCTCTGGCTTCGGTGATTGGCTCGGCTTGATGGCTGTCGCGTTCTAAGTATGCACTTCATCCCTTGTTTGACCTGAAGATCGAGGGGTGCAGGGATTGGTCACATTTTGCTGGAATGATAGCGCCATGGTTTAAATAGTCTATCCCACTATGCAAGGCTAATCTCGCTCGGCTCTTTTTGTCTGGGACGGAGGATTGAGGGTGTTCAATTTTGATACCTCTGGCCGTTCCATAAGCATAAGCATCAGTATACCGTATATCATGGACTAAGGTCTATAGAAACAAATTGACTCTGTAGAAAATGAGCTATAAGCTCAGCCTTTGTCCTCATGGATCTCTTTTATAAGAAAAATATCCTACGAGAAGACAGGGGTTGTTCCACACTTGCATGCCAACATATATATACTTCAACTGGTAGACCCACAAACTATTAACACATCTTGCAGATTCTCATTTGCCATGTGATTGACTAAATTGCACTAGGAAATATTTCTAGTCATCTCTATAGATAAGTAACGACTGTCAAGTTACAATTTTCATGGTTCGGGGATGTTCAGAGCCATCTGCGGATCGCAGTAATAAGATGCTTCTTCTTGCCTGATTTCTAGTCCCCTAGAGTCCATGACATCAGACTATTCGAGACGATGCACTCGAACGCAGCGCGGCATGGGCCATGCAATTATTTTGGGCACATTACTTAACGGCCATAGTCGGAATGGATTACCCAGAACCAAATCATCTCTACCTTCAGTCTACTTGGATTCAAAAGTCTGATGAGGTTGGTGATATCTCATTGGAATTCTTGCCTTTTTTCATACACCATTGAAATAACGCCGAGTTGCAGTACAAAGAGCAAATACAGAAAGATACCCATAGGCCGGACCCCAAAAGACATGCACTGTCTTACCAGACAGTATCAGAAACCTGTACAACCAGAGAACCCACTACCAGTAAAGTGTGGGATGGAGCAAATAACGAAAAAGGAAAAAGGAACAAGTCAAAGCACATTTTTAGACCTGGACCTTCTTGCACTCCTTCTGGGTCAAGGTAGCGAGCTCCTCGAACACCTTGGTGAACTCCTCATCATCTTCCTTCTTGCTCTTGCCAGAAGCCTTGGGGGTAACCATGACCACACTGGTGGGGCGCTTGGTAGCGGCAGAGGCACCGAGCTCGGCGCGGGAAGTGACGAAGACGTAGGGGATACCGTGGTCCTCGCAGAGAACGGGAATGTGGGAGATGACATCCATGGGGGAGATGTCAGCAGCGAGAACGACAACACCGCTGGGAGTACCGACGGGAGCGTTGGCAGGAGGAATGGCGGACTTGCGGAGAGCCTTGACGACTTCCTTGACACCACGCTTGAGAGACTTGTTGACGGCAGCTAGATAGCAAGTCAGCACACATATTCTCGAGATAGAAATGATCTCGCGCAACAATGAAATCCGCAGGCCTGAATGATTCGCCGAAGATCCCAGAAAGATCCCATAAAAATCGAGCAGGTGCAACGATCGCAAAAATGTCGGGACAAAATCTGGGGACTAATGCACATACCCTTCTTGACGCTCTTGAGAACCTTCTTGGCCTGCTTGTCCTCAACCAGAGGGTTGGCGAAGGGCACAACGGCGCCAACGGGACGGTCGACAGCCATGGCATCGACCTCAATCTCGCCCTTGACAACAGCGGCACCGGTCTGCTCAACGCCCTCCATCTGGGAGGAGAGCTCCTTCTCTACGGCATCGACGAGAGTGGTCTTGTCCTTCTTTTCCTTCTTCTCCTTCTTGGCCTTGTGCACACCGTCCTTCTCCGCACGCTTCTCCTTCTTCTCAGCGCGGTCCTTCTTTTCGACCTTATCCTTGCCCATAGTGACGGTGGTGAAGTAAAACGGAAAGAATTGAGTTGAAACGGAGGAGAGACCGAGGTGGGAGGAGTGGATTCGCAGAAGAAGTGGTGGACTGAGAATTCGAGGCCGAAATCGAAATAATTTTTAAAATGCCGCTAGGCTGTTTTGGGGAAGCTTGGCTGCTGACTAAGATCCACGCCGCCCTCGACTTCGGACGCGATCTTTCCTTTGATAGCCATGGTATTGCCTCACGCATGGGAGATTGGCAAGGTGAGTCTGTGGGGATTACAGTAGCTTTGTTTCCATTGTGAGCTTTGGTGTCCTCTTCCTTCCTCTTTGTACAACACCTAACCTTCGCTACCAGATGAGCAGTCCGAACCGACCGGCCTCCCAGCTCATTGCGGGATTTGGCTCACCTACCCCGTTCAATGCACGCATGAGTATGCGACAGTCGATTCGCTTTCAAGAGTCTCAAGCTCAACTGAATCATTCCGTTCATGGTCAGCATAGATCCACTGGGACCATACGGGTCATTGCAATAGGCACTAACTGCTGCTACAGATGCCGAGAAGGACGAGCTACGTGTGCAACTCAGCACATTCAAATATGAAATGGAAAACCTCAAACAAGAACAACAACTACAGGGGCTCCAACATGAGAAAGAGATAAGAGAGCTGCAGATGAAAGCAGATGCGGACTTTCGAAAGGCTCAGGTGAGTTGCGACAAGTTCATTGTATGTTGGACGGAAATTGACCACATCTCGCGATAGGCAGCGGAAACCTCGAGCAACCGCGCAACTCACAAGTGTGATGCACTTGCAAAGGAACTCAAAGAAACACAAGACCAGTCCTTGGATGCGAAGGCCGGATTCGACCGAAAGATCAGAAGCCTCCAAGATGAGAACCAGAGATTGCAGGAGCAATTTGGGGACGCTCAATCACAGCTTTCCGACCAAGAACGGCAGTCCAAATACCAGATCAACGAGCTAGAGACTGTGCGCACCTCTTTACAAAAAACCATCGAAGAGTTTCACAATGACCTTGAAATCGCCCGGAGCGCACAGCAATCGACACAAGACAAGCTCACCCAGCGCGAAGCTGAAGTCGCCGATCTCGAAGCCGCCAACATCCAACTCAAGGCTGTAGGAACCGATGCCGAAGCCCTTAGTGTGCTGAAGAGAGAACTCTCTGAACAGATTAGCCATATTCGGGAGCTGGAGTTGACAACTCGAGACCAAAATGCGGAATTACGGAAACTACGAGAGGTGTCCAAGACTGTCGGAGTACTTGAGGAACAAAAGAGGGCCCTGGAGATCAAACTTCAGTTGATGGACGGAGTTGAAGCGGAACTCAACACAACCCAAATCCAGAAACAGACTCTTGAAGACGAGCGACAAACTTGGGTGAGCTTGCTGCAGGAGGATGATCAGTATGCAGAGTTGGACTCGCCGGAAGCCATCGTCAGAGCATTGGCCCGCGGGAAAATTGAGAACGCAAGCCTCATCGAGCGCATTGAATCTGTGGAAGCTAAATTAGAAAAGAAAGACGAGACGATCATGTTGCTCGAAAAAGAGAAATCAGATCTACACCAGGAATTGGAGAAGGCCCGCATTGCAGCCGCAACTGCTATCGCAGGCCCAGGCGCTGCAGAAGCTCGCGTGCGATCTCGCCTCGAGCGTCAGCGTGCACTTGCCACCAAAGAAATTGAATACCTGCGCGCGCAACTGAAGACATTCGATACGGAAGATGACACCATACAGGAGGACGGGACCCAGTCCGATCAAAAGAAGTCGGAGCATATCGTTCAACTTGAAAAGTTGCTCGACGAGTATCGTGTTGAAATCCAGCAGATTCACCAAGAGCTCTCTAACCGCGAGGTGCCAAAGGAAGATGACTCTCAAGCCCGCGGTGTCAAGCGACCCTTATCTCCAGCCGATCCCGAGGCCGAAAGCGAGCGTGTCGCCGTTCTCACTCGTAAGAACCGCAAACTTCAGGAACACATGGTCAAATCGGAACAGGCTACCACTCTGGCTCGTCGCGAGCTCGAGGCTGCCAAGTCGCAGATCAAGCATCTGAAGTCCAAGTCTCGTACACGCGTGCTTGAATTGCGCGATAATCCGACATCACAGATCGAACAGATCAAGATGACCACCCTTAAAACTCTCCAGACAGAGAACCGAGACCTTCTAGCACAGCTGCGCGGTGACCGTACAGGAGCCAAGGCCGTCCCAGTCAGCGCTGTCGAGAGTATCAAGCTCGAAATGCAAGATATGGAGCGTACCGTTGCAGACAAGGAGAAGCGCATGCGCCGTCTGAAGGAAATATGGACTGCCAAGTCATCCGAGTTCCGCGAAGCTGTTGCGTCTCTCCTTGGCTTCAAGCTCGACTTCCTTCCCAATGGCCGAGTGCGTGTCACTTCCATGTTCCATCTCTCCTCTGCATACCGTCACGGCGACAGCGATGCTGCTTCGGAATCTGGTCCTGGTAGTATGGGCAATGGAGAAGAGAACTCTATTGTCTTTGATGGCGAGAATGGTACGATGAAGATCTCCGGAGGGCCTAATAGTCTCTTCGCCATGGAAATCAAGCCGCTCATCAAGTTTTGGGTTGAGGAACGGAAAGACATTCCTTGTTTCCTGGCGGCGATGACCTTGGACTTCTATGATAAGACTACTCGCGCTGCTAGAATGTGATCCGTCTCACTCATTGATCAATGCGAAGTATGGCTGGCATTTCCCCTTCACAATCTTTCTTGTTTTCTGTGTTTTTGTGATTCCCCGGCACGTCTGTGACATGTGCTAAGTTGTATTTCGTCCATTTTGCCAATATTATTTCCGTATTTTTGCAACGACTACAACATGCCGCGATTGTATCCTGTCCCCCCCCACTCCAAGAAATCTACAGTACTGACTTAAACATGAAACAATGCCCCATTAAATTACCCCACAAATAAAACTAAAGTTCACCGAAGGATTCACACTGAACTGATGAAAGTACACACGTAAATGAATGCCTTGCTACATACAACAGTATCAAGAAGAGCAAAGCGCAAAACAAGGATCATAAGAAGGGAATCGCTATTTGCAAAGACAACTGGGGAAACAAGGGAAGGACAAGGACAAAAATCAGGGGGAAAAAAAAAGGAGAAAAGAGATCGCGTCCTGTGCTTTTAAGCTCTTGAGCTTATGCCCGACAAAACACAAATGATGGCCAGATTCGGCGTGACAGAGAAAGGAAGCACCCCCATACCTCGGATGAAACTATACACGGACAGGAGCGAGTTACTGTACTACGCTTGATCACACTAAGTTGAGACGTATTTCCCGCCAATCAACTTGCGTGCTGTTGGGACATCTTGCCACGAAACCGAGGAAGATAATGATTCACGACCCTCATCAGCGAAAGGATCGGATTCCTTTGGTTCTGCGTCAGCGGTGGCGCGGCTGATACCCAGTCTCGAGGCGGACTCGGTGGTGCGCATTTCAAACTTGGCTTCGACGGTGCCCTTCCGAGGCCAGCTGGTAGAAGTCGAGAAGCGGACAAGGAACTTGCCATCATCGCCAGGTGTAGTAGGAGCCTTGACTTCGAGCTCGGGGATTCTCCATGTGACGGTTGAAGTTTTGCGGCGGAAGACAGCACCAATATTGGGGTACATGGCTGCGCTGGTGGCGTGTGCGACTGACTCGCGTGGCGTTTTGGTGGTTTCGTCCTCGACAGAGGTGTCAAGATTGACAGTGAGGACTACGTTCTTCAGGGAAATCGGCTCGACTGAACCCGAGACGAAAGAAGGGTTGATTGAATAGTAGATGATGGCACTGGCCTGGAATTCTTCCAGTTTCCAGTTTGGCTTAAAGATAACAGGGCAGTAGGCGGAGGGATTGTCCAGATGCAGTTGGTACTTAAATGCCACTGTTGGCATGGGGCGGGAGATGCTGCCAACTTGGATATCGTATTCGCCTGTCTTGTCGTCGCCGGCCTCCTTGACGGCCCCGTGAACGAAGTTTGGGTTGGCTGCTACCTTCTCGAGCACTTGGAAGTTATCAAGACGAATGCGTACATTCTCTGCTACACCACCTGGAGTGGGGTTGTTTGCCAGAGCAAGCTCGCCAACCACGAAGGACTGAGTGACACCACCCTCAGAGAACCAGGCGTTGACGGTTTCAATGATTGAGGCATTCAAGCCTGCCTCATAGAGGTCAGGATGAACGGAAGCTCCTGGGCCGTGCATAGTGTGGCCGGAGCGAACAGAAGTAGAATCCGAAACAGTGTGATCGTCTGTGACGCTAGGTGCGATGCTGGGAGATGTGACATTTCTGATTGGCGAGGTTGGTGCTTGGGACTGTTGCGCTCCCAGGGCTGGAGGCAGCTCGCTGCCTGGTGAAGGAACAAACACAGTGTTGCGAACATCACGACGCCCGCGAATCGTGCCCGCGTTGCGTCTGATTCCTCCCGTCTGCTGAGCTTGCAATCGGAGGGTGTTCGCCATTTCACTCATAGCTTGCTGTGCCTGGCTCTCGTCCTCGAAAATAGGTTGGTCTCTGATGGTCAAGTTCAGACCAGAATCTTCAATACCCGCTGCTTCGTTTTGGGCACGCGAGATCTCGTCCATCGTGGATGGGCGCTCCGTATATCCCTCGGAATCAACTTGTGGAGGGTTGACATGGCTGTTGATGAATTGAGCGTTAGGCTCGGCGGCAGCCCCATTGGTAGACTCGGAAAATGCCGCAGCACCAGGTGCAGCATCAAATCCACTGTGGTCTACACTAGAGTTGCGCAAGGAGGCATTTTCAGTCAAAGATGTCCCTGGACGATCAATGGCTGTTGAAGGAGGGGATTCCGGTATTTGAAGATCGCGAGCAGAGTCACTTCTCTTGAAGGGGGAGAATGGACTGCGCTTTTTGTCTGCCTTTCGCTCAAATGATCCAGCAGAAGGTCCAACGACACTCTTTCGCCTGTTCATTACAGTTCCAAGTCGTCGCAGCCCTCCCAGTGGGGTGTGTCGCGGCTGTGCCTCGGGTACAGGAGCTAGATACGTGAGAACTCTTGTTTACTTGGTACTGGGGCGGTCTCATTTTGGAACTTACCTGGGGGAGTCTGGGTAACAGCTTGTCTCTCCTCTGATCGCTGACTCGCGGCATCATCCTGGATACGTGAAGGTGGTGAAAAAGGCGTCTCTATTGGGGGTGTGGCCACTGGTGCTTCCATTGGCGTAGTTGCTGCCCGTTCGGGTCCCGGTTCAGGCACAGAGGGCGTCTCCGTTCGATCTGTTTGTCTCCGGGAAACGACAGGCGAGACAGGAACCCGCGTTCCCGCCATCTTAGTGGCAAAGGTCTTGATCTCGTCTGCAGTCTCAACATTCAGAAGGACGTTTAGACAGCTCTCAGCAGCCTGGCGAGCGCGCTCGACCTGGTCGACCTCATGGGTCTCCAATTGCGTCAAAACATCACGAAGATGATTGAGCCGGCTCTCATCGGCGGCCTGGAGTTGCTCAAAAACAAATGGAGCCCGCGATTCCCACTGCTGGGTCACTTCCTCGGCATTGGCAATCTCATTGGATAGCTTGTCTGCGCCTTTGACGCCCTTGGCCCTGGCCTTGTCCACCTTCTTCTGCGCATTCTCCACATTCTTGGCCAACCCCGCCAGATTGCTCTGGATACCAGGCATCGACTGCATGTCGCGGTGTTTGGTGCTGAATTCCCTCAGCGGTCGCTCGACATCCTCCTCGATCTTGTTGGCGAGCGTTTCGTGAGACACAGCGAGCGTTTCAGTGGCATTGATGATGCGTTGCCAGGGGATCTGGAATATGCTTTTTCAAAGATTAGCATGCTTTGTTGGACAACCATGACTACCAATCGCACCAGGGAGGTCTAACTTACCCAAGAGCAGCTCCATTGTCTAGCTGCGGTCGATGCGCCAGCTTCCGCAAGCCTTGGGCATATGTTTCTTCCACACGACGTCGCTCCTAACCCCAACCTATCAGCATCTTGTCGCTCTCCCACGGCAGATCATATCTGAGGAATTTGATCTAATCAGCATATAAGTCGTCATACCTGTAGGTAATCCGCGATGTCCGCATTGATCTTGTTAATCACTCGGATGCGATCGCTCAGAACAGTCGTAGCTTGGCTAGGGTGCAGGGTAGCCTAGAGAGGAGAAATATCGCCAATGGTCAGCACAATGAAACAGTGGCAGTCCCCCACCAAGCTCGCATAGGTCAATCATACCAGTAGCATCGGGTACTCTTGCCGTGAGAGGTCCATGATTCAGGTTGGATGTATCAGGCGCGCATGCAGCGCATACTATGAGCAATGAGAACCAAGAAGGTATGCAAGTTCTCGAGGCGAGAACAAGCTCAATGAAGTCCGGGGAATGAATGCGGGATGAATGATAGAGTGAGGTAGCGTGTCATTGAAGGCCGGGGACGGCAATGGGGATGGAATGACGGAGCTGTATCTGTATTACTAGCTTGGCACCGTATTATCCAACCACCTTCCTGTAATTATGGAGTTTCTTGTTACATCACCCGAAATGTCCCTTACAGGGGTCACATGACATCATCAGCCAATCCCACGGCCTCAAAAGTGGTCTAATGGTTGACTATAACCAGACCATAACATCTGCAAGGCATGCCCTATTGACTTTTTGAGTTGCATCCATGGATTGGAAATCCCAGGTGGGATTTACAGATCGGCTAAGGACCATCCAATCTCTGTGAGTGCTGATCCAATCTATGCACACTAATATCTGATTTGGGATAGCATCGTTGCCTACCAGCAAACATCATCATCAGATGCATTTGCAGAAGCACAATCTCAAGCCAGAAAACATGAGACTGAATCATGGACCAATGCGACCTCAAAGGTGAGAGTCACTATCCCTGGAGCAAGGCCTTGACTGAAGCCATTGCTAGGAAGAATATGACATGATGTGTCAGCAGGCAATCGATGAAGCTGAACAGGCAGGGATAGCCTTTGGAGCCAATTCCCATGACGCTCAAGGTGAGTTAGAAGCTCCAGAGCCGACAGAGCCCACTGGGGAGCAGATTGGCCACTACGGCTCTTGTTTGCACCATTTTGATGGCCTGCATTCCACCATATACAAGTCAAAAGCTGCCGATGGAATACTCCAAGCTATCAAAGTTACAGTCCCTCACATGATGACACCGCCCCATGATGCCCATCGCGAGGCACGATTACTGCGAGAAGCTTGCCATCCTCGGATCATCCCTTTGACCGAGACTTTCAATCTGGATGGGGGGCGATTTATCATGGTCTTCCCCTTTATGCGCTATGACTTTGAGCACCTGCTTCGACAGGATATGGTGACTGCCGCTCAAACACGGTCGATTCTGAAGGACATGTTCCGTGCCCTGATCCATCTGCATGAGATTGGGATTATACACCGGGACATCAAGCCATCCAATATTCTCATGGACTCGCCTAATGGCCCAGCATACTTGGCGGACTTCGGTGTTTCATGGAAAGACGGTGATCCGGGATCTGAGCCCTCCACGCAAAAGATTACCGATGTGGGCACCACCTGCTACCGGCCGCCAGAGATCCTCTTCGGATATACAGAGTATGGTCCCGCTCTTGACCTCTGGGCAGCCGGGTGCTTGGTGGCAGAGGCCATTTCCGTGGGGCATCGGCAACTATTTGATTCTGGGCCCATTGGTAGTGATCTGTCGCTGATTTTCTCTATCTTCAAAACGCTGGGGACTCCGGATGAGCAAGTGTGGCCGGTATGTGGACCGCTATTCGTACAGGACTGTCAATGACCATGAATATAGGAGGTTGCTGTCCTGCCTGACTGGGGCAAGGTGGAATTCCACTCCTTCCCTGCTCAGCCCTGGGAAGAAGTTTTGCCGGGTGCATCCTCGAATGGCCGTGATCTGGTTCGCCAGTTATTATGCTATGAGAGCGGAGACAGACTCTCTGCAACAGTGGTAAGTGACACCCGCGGATGTCTCGGGACAATCTCTGATCTTTGGCCCAGGCCCTTGAACATCCATATTTCGCTTGAGCACCGCCACTGTTCAACGAGTCAGCCACAAGGGCCCCAACGGTTGACTTATGCCCCGGGGGAGGGGAAAGTGCACTAGCTACTGGAGAAAAGTCCAGCGTGGAGCCGGGCATTAAATGAATGGAAATTACTTCCTAGGCCCGGGCAACTGCTCATTAAATTCATTTGCGTGAGTCCCGCCATTTCCATTGTTTACATGTTTACCCCTGGCGTGGAGAAATGTGTGAGGCTTTTCATGCATGTGGCTGGCCAATGCACGCAGTGGATTGAAATGAACGGCAACGTCGGAAATTACGGGTCCGGGTCTTTGATCAATAAGATGCGGCAGACGGGGCAAGGGTGAAACCGCCATGAATCTGTGCCCTACCCATCGAGGTTCCCTTCGCATATTTAGTATTAATAGATGAGAGTGACGATCTCACATTCCCCTATGATTTCTGGTAGATATCGGTCCATCTGGTAGTTCGCGAGTCGAGAATTCAACGGCGCAAAGGAAGTAAATCAGATAAAGTTAACAGAAGCAATACAGGGTCCCACGGTTGGCCCCCGAATCTCGTATCAATACACCATCGAACCAGGTACCATACACCAGGGACCAATCATATCATTGGATCGTCAATGGTACTTACCATATTCGGCTAGAGAGGTTCATCGCGTACAGGGTCCCTCATCTCGGTTCCTCGTGGTACACGGCTGGTTCATCATAACTTCTTCTTTCTCTTCATCCGCTCTTTACGGTACGACCTGGAAGTCGTCGTCCTTTCCTTTCTTTCTTTTTGACATCGGCGGTGCTCGATCTCGTCCATTCTTTCTATCCACATTCCACAGTGTGGAATCAACCAGAGACGCGGTTCTAGGAACTCGCGTTGGAATTCTGGAATTACCCCCTCTTTAGGAGCAATACGTGCCCTCTGTCTGCCACAACCGACTACCGCTTCCAGATATCCTGATATCGAGAGATCTTGAGATCTCGGAGCATTACAAGATGCACGGACATGCGCATCACAACCATGAGCGCAAGGTGGAGGAACTGGAGCCACGCGGAGATGTGGTGATTGTCTACCAGACAATGGACGCTGATTTCACCGGACCTATTGGTGGTTATCGGACTGACAATAAGGAAACGACGGATGCCGAGACAGCGACACACAAGAACGTTGGTGTGGGCCCTGCTGTAGGTGCGACTGCGACGGCCACCAAGGATACCACAACCGAGACCAAGGCGACCAAGGAGGCGACCACCACATCTAAGGAGGAAGCAACTACGACCAAGGAGACTCAGGCCCATACGACTCAAACTTCAGTGGAGACCACTGAAACCCCCGAAACCACCAAGGCGGAAACTACTGAGAAAACGGCCAAGCAAGCATCGACCACCGAGTCCCAGAGTAGCGCAACCTCTTTTGTAACTTCGGCATCCCCTACTGCGCAGACCAGCCAGGAGGTGAACGATCTTCTGGCCGCAACTTCCACTGGATCGGCCACTGATTCGGCTGCCTCATCCTCTCCGACTGCCATCGGCAGTTCCACCACTGATGCTGGCATTTCCAGCGGTGCCAAAGCCGGCATAGCCATTGGGGTGATATTTGGCGTTGGTATCATCGCTGCGCTCATCTTCTTCATTGTTCGTAAGAAGAAGAGAGCCCAGGATGGTTATCAACAGGAAAACGAGAAGGCATTTGGAGGTGAAGGCCTTCCCGAAGGAGGCCTCGCTGCTTCTCTGCCACCCCCTCCACCTGCAAAGCCTCAGACTCCCTCCACCCCTCCGGTACTCAATGTTCGCCCTGTCACTCAATTCGCTCCCGATCTCAGCAGCGGTGGTGGTTTCAATCCCGCTAGTGCTGTTGTTGCTGGTGCTGGTGCTGGCGCTGGCGTTGCAGCCGGCTCAGCAGCCATTGCTTCTCGTAACCTCACTGGTGACTCGCCCCCTGCTACTCCTGCCAAGTCTGTTGATAGCAGCCCCGATCCTTTCAGCGACCCTGTGAATCCTTTCGGTACTGCTGATACCCCGGTCTCCGCTCACGCTCCCTCGATGTCTGAGTCCAGCGCAGGACCCTCTGGATCGACCATGGCAGCTGCAGCTGTTGGTACTGCGGCAGCTGGCGCTGCTGCTAGCGTTGCGGCCGCTCATCAGTCCAAGGAGGAACCTGCTCGTCCCACAACTGCTGAATCGCGGGTCCGTTCGCCCACTGTTTCTTCTCGCTCCACGACAAGCCCTACCAATGATGCTTTTGCCGCTGCTGCCGCTCCTAATGTCGAACTAGCAGGCGCCGCTGGAGCTGCTGGTCCCAACAATGTTCACCGTGTGCAACTCGACTTCAATCCGTCCATGGAGGACGAGCTTGGTCTTCGTTCTGGTTCTCTCGTACGACTGCTTCATGAATACGACGATGGATGGGTAAGTTATCCCTAGTCTCTAATTGTGAAGATTAACATTCTCATTTGAATTAGGCTCTTTGTACCCGTCTCGATCGCTCGCAACAAGGTGTGGCTCCTCGGTCTTGCTTGTCGGCCCGTCCTGTGATGCCTCGCCCTCGTCCACCACCTGGCGCTCCTGGCTCGCGTGGCCCACCGATCATGGGCCCTGACGGTCGTCCGATGGTTCCTCCCGGTCGATTCTATCCCCAAGATGCTCGCCCCAGATCTCCTTCTGGTCCTGCTTTCGCTGGTCCCCCTCCCCGCCCTTACCCGGGTCCTCAAATGTCGCCTGTTCAGTTCCCCGCTGTTCCCCGTTCCATGTCCCCTGGACCTGGTCGACCGGGTCCACGTGCGATGAGCCCTGGTCCAGGAGGCATGCCTGCTCCCCGTTCCATGTCTCCTGGACCCGCCGGGATGCCCGGCCCACGTTCCATGTCTCCCGGTCCCGGTCGGCCTGGTCCCCGCTCAATGAGCCCCGGCCCATATGGACGCCCCGGAATGCAGCGCCCTCAGATGCCCATCAACCAACGCCAACGCAGCAACAGTGCCGGCAACATGGCCCCTCCCAACATTGTCGCAGCTGCCCCGCCTGTCTCTAGTCCACTCGCCGCTCCAGCTCCCGCCCCTACTGGCGAGCTTCCAGCTCTTCCAAGTTCCGCACCGATGTCGCCCTCTAGCTCGGTCTCCCGCAAGCCCGTCCCCTCTCAGGACGCTTAGTTGAACGACATTCTCTCTGGACAGAGCCTGTGTCTTCTCCAGAGCAGAGGCACATACACTGACCTCTCAGTGTCCCGCTGGACGGAAATGAGTTTGCCTCCTACGACTGCTGACTCCGATTTTTGACTTGATATCCATCTACCCGCAACCATGACGAACATCCATTAACTTGATCTTGTACTGTGTACTGCCTGTTGAAATATTTCCCTGTTTTCCTTATTTCCCTTTCCATTCCCCTTTGATTTGCCTTGTTTCTACCTTTTCATCCTCCCGGTCCGTGGCCTGAGTGCCATCTGTATTCCTAATGGCACCTCTGTAATGTTACTCCCAAGGCCGACCCTATTCATACTTACCCATTTTTTACTTTCCATGACCGGAAGATGCTTGCACCTTCCATCTTTTATTTTTTATTCGATCGATATTGACCCGGACTGAGAATATGCACCTAGATAGACAGGATCATGCCTGGGATTTTCCTATCTGAGTTGGCGCTGGTGTGTGAGAGCGCTTCAGCTTAGGATCACCCAGTAGATGGGTTTTGACTCGATGACTACTTTTGATAGCGAATATGAAAATACAAACAAGATCTGTTTAAGTTATAGCACCACCACCACTCCGTCATCATATTTGAATTCCTCATCTCATTATGCTACTCAAAATCGCTGCTTTTGCGGACTGCGTAGTTCAACTGCCATTATAAGGCTGATGATAGACTAGCAGTGTGTGGTCCAGGTACCATTTGCGTAAAGCTGATCCCACTCAATGTCAAGTTCATAGTGAAAGCCATCCTGGTTCGTAAGTTCCGTCCTGGTGCTTGGTCTGGACGATAGATCCGAGAACCAGTCCACATGGATCATGGTCACATTGGAATTGAAAGAATCCTTTTGTGCGAACAATGAGCAAGTGGAGGCCCGTATAGATGTTATCTGGATGGGCAGCCGGTGCCAGGATAGTACGAGAAGATGGATCTCCAAAATGCCGGAGAAACACATCATTGGCTCCTTGGTGTACTCATCGCCTTTGGATATCAAAGCATACGCGTATTCACTTGAGTCAAAGCCCACATCTTCCAGCTTTGTGTGTGGCGCTGGGTAAATTTGATGGCCATGATTCCGATGTCCGGTGATTGACCGTTATACTTCATGGATTCCTCGATTTCTCCGATTTCTCCACGGATCGAATTGCCAACATGGAAGAACGATCGGCTATTGACTTCAAAAGACTGATCAGTCCCGTTGTCTTTGTATGCAACATTCAGGATGTCCCAGGAGGCGGGTATGTTTGATGCCCGTGAGATAGTTGCAGCCCACGACTTATCGGAATTCACTCGAGAAGTGGAAGGCCTCCCACTGCCCCCAAGCTTTGAATGGGGAACCGCTACAGCCGCATATCAGATAGAAGGGGCTGCCACTCAAGATGGAAAAGGGCCCTCCATTTGGGATACGTTTTCGCACCTCAACCCTTCTCGCACCAATGGCGAGAATGCCGATGTCGCCTGCGACCACTACCACCGAACGACAGAGGATATCAAGCGGATGGCCTCGTTGGGCGTCGATGTATACCGGTTCTCCATCGCCTGGTCCCGAATCATTCCACTTGGGGGTCGCAATGATCCTATCAACGAGCAGGGCATCATGTTTTACAGCAATCTGATCGATGAATTGTTGTCACATCATATTGCGCCGGTTGTCACTTTGTACCATTGGGACGCACCGCAGGCAATTTACGACCGGTACGGAGCATTGCTCAATACCGAAGAATTCCAAGCCGACTTTGAAAACTACGCGCGTCTTTGCTTCAGTCGATTTGGGAGTCGTGTGCAAAAGTGGGCGACCTTCAATGAGCCATATATCATTTCCATCTTTGCCCATCTCAATGGAACTCTCGCCCCAGGCCACTGCCGGGAGGCTGGCACCGATACGAAAACAGAACCCTGGATCGTTGGTCATACTATCATCATCTCCCATGCTACCGTGGTTTTGATGTACGAGAATGAATTCCGTTCTTGCCAGAAAGGCGAAATCTCCATTGTTCTCAACGGCCATTACTACGAACCCTTTGATGTGACCAGTAGTCAAGATGTGGATGCAGCAAAGCGCCGGCTGCTCTTCTATATCGGCTGGTTTGGAGATCCTATTTTCCTGGGAGAGGACTATCCTGCTGTCATGCGAGCCTACTTGGGCTCTCGGCTACCCGAATTTACCGTTATGCAACGTGAGCTGCTCCGGCGAGCTGCGCCTGTCAATACCTACTATGGGATGAATCACTATTCCACCAAGTATGTACGTGCGCTGTGTGACCCGCCAGCCGAGGATGACTGGACTGGCAATACGGAGGAGCTGTCCATCAATAGTGAAGGCAAAGAGGTTGGGCCTGTCTCAGGGGTAGCCTGGCTTCGAGTTGCGCCGGATGGTTTCCGCAAGTTGCTCAATTGGATTTGGAAGCGGTACCAACTGCCCATCATCGTGACGGAGAATGGCTGTCCCTGTCCCGGTGAGGATGTTGTTTCAACCGCTGTCGACGATCAATTTCGCCAGCGATACTTTGGTTTGTATTTGGACACGATTTCCCGTGCTATCTACGACGATGAAGTTCCCATTCTTGGCTACTACGCTTGGAGTTTGATGGATAACTATGGTCAGTCTTCAGAACTAAAGCAGCAATATGCTCCGGGCTAACACGATCTCTAGAATGGTCTGCTGGGTTTGGGCCTCGATTCGGTATCATCCATGTTGATTTCAAGACGTTGGAACGGACGATGAAAGGTTCTGCATATTACTTGCGGGATACGTTCATTGCACGTCGAACGTTGTCATCTAAGACCCCCGAGGGTTGACTTAGTTTTTATCAATGAGGAAACGAATATTCAACCAGTGTCGATAATTGTTCTTGTTGGCAAATAGATGTAGTCCTATTCCAAAGCTCACAATCAGCCCTAATTGAGCCGAGAGTCAGAAGAGCGCGTGACGGGAGCCACTGAAATGTTTCCCCGCGGAGTTTTTGGCTTCTTCCGTTCTCATCCCCCAATTTCTACCATGTCCACACGTCGTCTAGCGGCAACCCGTGCATGCGATGCCTGCAGACGCCGAAAGGTCAAATGTGATGTATGTACAATGATCTGTTTATCCATATTGTATACTTAGAACAAAATCCAGGCTACGGCGATTTGTGCAAATTGCCGAACATCCGACCTCGCTTGCCACTATACGGCTATTCCTAGGAAACGAGGACCGAAAAGGCTCCGAAGGGCATCTTTCTCGAGCGAACAGAATGCAGTGCCGAATCTGGAACCCCAGATTCAAGATTCACTATGGCCGAATACAGAACCTGATGCAAGCACACCTATTCTACTCACTCCAGAGCTAGAAACGAGTTTCGCACAACCATTGGTGAGAAGACAACAAAGTTCAGCATCTTTATCGGTCCAGACTATTAGAGATGACTTGTTAGACTTGATGAGCTCTGTGTCGCCTTCGATGACGGCACTGGACATGGTGAACCATTGCATCCATCTCTATATGCAGTACACATTTCCGACAGCTCCGATCGTGCATGAGCCCAGTCTGCGGAAAGATTCTTGTACATTCTTCTCTGGCACAAATACCAACTTGTTTGCTGCATCTACAATGGAAGAAGAGGTGACGCGCATGCGGGCTTTCGCCTTGATCAGCGGCTTATGTGCGTCAGTCGCATCTGTAATCCCGGACAATCTGTTACCGTATCGGCATTCGATCGCCAGACCGTGTCTTGATGCATCGCGGGAAGTGCTCCGGGTGTTTGATGATTACGATGTGGAGTTTCCAAACTCATCTTCAATAGCCATACGGATCTTTCATACCACCGCCTTGCAAAACATTACCGGCAAGACGAGGTTAGCATACCATATTCTCGGTCAGGCGACGCTCCTAATCACAAACATGCGCCTGTATAATGAGGGGGCCCTCAAGTCTCATAATCTGCTTGAGTGTCAATTGCTGCGTCATATCTACTGGCAAATATATGCTGCGGATCAGGCATCTGTATGTCTTCGCAGTCGCCCCTTTCACCTGCACGATTTATTGTACAACGAAGAACCGACCGTATGTGCTCCGGGGGTATTGTCGATAACTCCTCAGCTCGATCATTCCATCACGCAGCATGATGAAACGTTTGAGAAGCGCATGCTGATTGCCTTCCATTATGTTCCCCGTCTTTGGTCGACGGCGGCTGCGCTGTTGTTCGATATGAGAATTCACAAAGAACCGACAGGAGATCCCGATATTTCCCAACTGACGCAGGCTTATATCGAATTCCTGGGTATCATGGATGGCCTTCCGTATTGGTTACAAGCTGTCCATATAATGACCTCTCCTAGCGACGATGATCCAGCAAAGTTCCAAAAGACAGCTTTCTGGGTTCAAAGATGTACGATTCAAGTGACATTCCACTGTCTACGGCTGGTCATTCTACAGCAATGCATTGACTCCGGGCTATGCAACGTCATGGGCTTGAACAACCAGGCCCTCACTCTGCAAATGACCAAGGTCGGAATGGTTCAGGATTTCTTGCAAACCCTAGAAGACATTCCGTTTGTCTACCTTTTGGTGAAGGGGGAGCCAACAGTAAGCGAGGGATGCTGAGACCCCAGTTGGTCATTTACTGACAAGGTACTGTAGGTTGAAAGGATTCGGCTGGTGGGCAGCATACTCCTCGAAATTCTGGACAAAGTCGAAAATGAAAATATCCGCGTTCGAGGCAACATCCTATTTACGCGACTTCTTGATATACTGTCCCGACTGGACTCCAAGTCATCTGGTGTATTAGTTGAAATGAGGGAGTTGGGCGAGAAACGAAGGCATCCAGTGATGATCTCCGGAGCAGGAAATCCAATGCTCGTATGATTTTCTAGCCAAAGTTGGCCTTCATTTCATCCAATCAAGTAGACAAGCCAGTACTCTAGAGCTATGGCTCAAAGCGAAAGACCAAGCATCCTCTTAGAATCGTGGCTTGGAATCCAATTCGGCGGAAATCTTTGACTGGATTTCTCCGTGGAGAAATGTGCGATTGGTGCTCACTACGCGGCTACTTTCCCTCGTTCGAACACCCCGGATTTCAGCATATATCGTGAGACGCGGGGGAATTGGAGGACCTGGGGACTACATAAGTCGATCCAGGCTGCCTTTTCTTATCGTGAGTCAATTCCATATTGTAGTCTTTTACAATGGTTAAGATAGAAGATATGGGCAAAAGCGCCCATGTTGAGAGCCCCCGCCCTGCGGTGCAAGTTGATGTGGACGAAGCAGCAGAGTTGGCCACCGGTGTTGGTGATGCTAAACCCTCGCTTTGGACGACAAGCATGTTTCGTCTGTATGGTTGTCTGTTGATCGGGTATCTCTGCGCCACAGTAAACGGCTTCGACGGCGCCGTGATGGGGTAAGATATCAACCATTCTATGGAGATCGCTGCTCACAAAAAGTATAGAGGAATCAACGCCATGACATCCTATCAGGACTACTTCCATATGTGAGTGATTCTATCTCATGCTCTCGCCTCGGCGAACTCTTGTCTGAACAATTATCTAGGGCGAGCGCTTCATCTAGCACCGGTATTATATTTGCCATCTACAGTATTGGTATTTTCAATCAGATCTGAAGGCAGAAACTGGCTCTGACCGTATTTTATAGGCACTGCTTGTGCGGTCCCGTTCGTCGGACCTGTGAGTGATCGCTGGGGAAGACGAGCGGGCATGTTTGTTGGATCGATCATCGTTATTACCGGGACAGTCGTCACCTCGCGCGCAGTCAATCATGGAATGTTCATGGGTGGTCGGTTTGTGCTAGGTTTTGGTGTCTGCTTTGTGAATGTCAGTGGGCCGGTGTATGTTGGTGAGATGGCTCATCCAACTTGGCGTGGTCCTTTGTCGGGCCTGTATAACTGTTTCTGGTAAGTCGAACAGTCAAAGCCCTAGGAGAACACATACTAATATTTCTTCAGGTACATTGGCTCTATCGTCGCTGCCTGGGTGGTCTATGGAACCAAGAATCAGATAGATGGATGGCGCACACCCCTCTATTGCCAATTTATCGCAAGCGGTATCATTGCTCTGTTTGTCTGGTTCCTCCCAGAGTCACCTCGATGGCTCGTCAGTAATGGACGAGCAGAATCAGCACGAAATGTGCTGGCAAGATATCATGGCGAGGGGGACTCAGAACACCCCATCGTCAAACTGCAGATGGCCGAAATGGAGCTCCAGATCTCAACCGAAGGGTCCGACAAAAAGTGGTGGGATTACAGAGAACTGTGAAAGACCAGAGCTCATCGTCGTCGTCTCATCTGTGTTCTCTCCATGGCTCTATTTGGCCAATGGTCCGGCAACTCATCGACTAGTTACTATCTTCCTGTCATGCTCGAGAACGCAGGAATCACTTCAGAGAGTCGAAAGCTTCTGCTCAACGGCATCAATGCCCCTCTTTGCTTCGTGGCGTCAGTAACGGGAACGATGTTCCTGGACAAGGCGGGCAGACGACCACTTCTCATGTGCACTCTCATCGGTTGTATCATTTGTTTCGCGATCATCACGCCTCTCTCCAAAATCGCATCCGAGCATCCAGATCAATCGTCCACCGCAAATGCAAGTATTGCATTCATTTATCTCTTTGGAATTAGTTTCTCATTTGCATGGACTCCATTGTCTCCCATGTACGTCGTCGAGTGCCTAGACACCAACACGCGCGCGAAAGGAAAAGCACTGGCACAATTTTTCACAGCATGCGCTTCTGCCATCATCCAGTACGGATCAGGCCCAGCTTTCCAGAAGATCAAATACTACTTCTATGTGGTTTTCATTGGATGGGATTTGTTTGAGCTGGCGTTCATCTATTTCTTTTGGCCTGAAACCAAGGGCCGGACTTTGGAAGAGCTGGAAGAGGTGTTTCAGGCGCCCAATCCCGTCAAGCGAAGCCTGGACTCTAAGGACCTTCAAACCGTGCTTAACACTTTGCGTATTGAGACTAAGCATTCCGAAGCTTGAATTTGCGAATCGCAATTTGCCAGTGTCGTGGATGTGCACTTCAATGTCTACTGTGGCTGTGGATCGAGGGGGATTGAATTATCATCTTCGACGCAATCCGTCCCTGTAAGCCGATGGGCCTTTTCTAAGATTTAGTAGCAGAACGGTGTTTGATACAGCAATATATGACAATTATATTACGCAGATTTATTCTTTTCGATCGAGCACTTGAGTACCAGGGAATAACTATTGAGGCTCATTCTATGACAGCATATGCCATGAATTCGTTGTTTTCGAAAGGTAATATTGCTGCAATCAGGGTAAGTCGAAACAGTTCTCTGCTGATTTCATAGGTATCATAAGGTGCTGCATACCTCCCGTCCTTAACTTATATCTCGTCAGACATGAAAAGAAATAGGAGCAAAGGCGGGTTACGGAATGTGGTTTGCCAAGAATGTTTCACTTTGCTAGTCAAGAATAGAAATCGCTTGAGATATATGTATCATTTATATAGAAAACTCGATGTATTGGCAGCCAAAAAGGTGCATTCATGGCAATCTATGTGGATAGGAAAAGTTGATCACAGAAATTGAACCGAATCCGAGCCATCTGTCCGAAAAATACAAAGCTTAGACTGAAATTGGCTTAAACACAAATCCAAATTTAGTTTCAGCAAGGTGAACTCGGTATTTATCGAGCGTCGCAGGGCCACATCTCGCAGTTCCCAGACCTGCGTGTGCGGCGTCAAGTCGAAGAAACACGTCCTCTTGTCTTTCCAAGTCTGTTGGATGGCAAGCATCTCTTATATTCTTGCCAGTGTAGTGCATAGCCGTGAAGTCAAACTCTTCGCCCGTTTCCTCGGATTCATTCACGCGTGCAATAACGAGCCCGATGTTTCGAGCTCCTGTCAGCCTCAGCCAGCGTGTTCCGGCACGATTACCATTCTCCTGTGGATACTCATACGATGAATAGAGCTCATCTGGAGTTCGAGTATGCAAGGCGATCTTCTGCGAATTGCGTTTATCTGCATAGGATTCCTCTGGCCCACACCCGAACCAGTCCACAGTTTCAAAGTCCGACGACAATTGTATATCAAGTCCCAGGCGGGGAAGTATGGTAGGATGAAATCCTCGCGGACAGACATGGTGATTGATGACAAGGGTCCCATCTCCATGGATCAGGTAAGTGATTGTGGCTCTGAAGCCCCAGTCTCGAATGACGGCCCCGATATAAGCCTTGACAGTAACAACGAGATTGTCTTCGGTGGAAGGTTGAAGAGACACAGATATCACGCGTCGCTGAAGATTGTCCAGGCCATATTCGTCCCATCGTGTGGCATCATACTTCTTGTCATTTTCTGTCGGGGGTCTCCAAGCTCCCAATGTCGGTGCCGAGGTGAATACTTGTTGGCCACCCAACCACCAATCAGCCAAGCAGCCCCTGATCCGGTCAAATTGAATAGAAAAATTTAACCCTTTGATTTCGAAGAAGGTCTGAGATTCTTGAACATGAATTGGAAACTTTTGAACCATCGCGGGAATGCTTGGCCATTGGGACTTTTCGACTAGATGTTGGCACCATGCAATCTCGTGGCCGCTTTGCGCCCATACTGTAGGTTTGTCTACCTGAAGACTGATGTTGATGTAACATTCCACAGTATCCTTCTCAATATCAGGAAGCTCTGGGAGTGGTACAGTAATCGATCGATGAGGCATGACGATGGGACATGTTCTTCGCTCCAGAAGTATACTTCCTTGTTCGCTACTGGATGATCAGATTGATGAAGACGAGACAGAAGGGATTGACTTACCGGCCATTGAATATCGATAATTCCATGACGAGCACGAGGTTTTCGAGACAGTCAACGTCATATAGGTTACGAAGCGAAGCTTTGCCGTTGTCCACTGTGATCTTGACTGGCTCGATGACCTTTTTGAACTCTAGCATGCCACGCCCAGGAGTGTGATCCGATAGACAAAGACCGTCCAAAGCGAATGTCGCATCATTGGGATAATCGCCGAAATCTCCGCCATAGGCGTAGTATCCTTTGTCATCTTTCCACAGTCCGAGATTTGCGAATTCCCAGATGAATCCTCCCTGCAGCCGCCGATATTGGTAGAACATCTCTTGGTATTCTTCCAATGCTCCTGGCCCATTGCCTAGTGCCATTCCATATTCACACAAAATGATGGGCTTGGTAAATTGATCGCCTTCCGCCAATGCTTTCTGCTTGAGATTCTCGAGTTCAAGGTACATATATGAACACATGTCCGTAGTCTCCGCCTTCCGATCTCCTTCATAATGAACGAGGCGAGTGGGATCGTGCTTTTTGGCATACTCGTACATGGCGGCTTGGTTAGATCCATACCATGCCTCGTTGCCGAGGCTCCAGATGATGATTGACGGGTGGTTTTTGTCCCGTTGCAGCATCTGCCTGATACGGTCCAGGTAAGCTTCTCGCCAGGAAGGATTGTCACTTGTGTATTTGGCCAGAGTAGGACTGAGATACTCTTCAATCGAGTCGGCGCCGTCTTTTTGCCAGATCTCTTTGGGCACGTTCTTCATGTCCACATCACCTCGAATAAAGCCGTGACATTCGAGATCGGCTTCATCAATCACCCACAGCCCTATTTCGTCACAGAGATCGTAAAATTTGGGGTGAGAGGGATAATGCGAGCAGCGGACGGCGTTGACATTGTGTTGCTTCATCAAGATGAGATCATGTTTCAGGAAATCTAGTGGTACGGCGCGTCCTTTCAATGGATGGAAGTCATGGTGATTGACACCGCGGAAAAGAATTGGTTGGCCATTCACTGTGATATTTCCATTCCGAAGCTCCACCTGCCGAAATCCGACTTTGTGTTTGATTGTCTGGGGTTCGCAATCCGTGGATGTCAAGACGATCTCAAGGTCATAGAGATAGGGTGTTTCTGCCGTCCATTTCTTAGGGTTCGAAATCGGAATGTCAAGGTCGAGGGTTTTAGATCGAGCAGGGACGCACTTGACAATTTGTCCCATCAGCGATGAATCATGATCTCGAACATTGACCGCGATGCTTGAAGCAGTGTCTAGGTAGAGCTGGAAGCCAATATGCAGAGTAGCATCTCTGTAACACTCATCCAACCAAGTCTGCACGACAAAGTCCTCGATTCTGACCGTGGCTGAGAATGCTAATAGATAGACATCGCGGAAAATGCCTTTCTTGGGTCAGTTAGGAATTTCTCTAGCCTACACAGGACTCTGCGTACCCGAAAGCCACCATTGATCTTGATCCTCCAGATATGTCCCATCACAGTATTGGTATACTCGCACCTTGACTTCGTTGTCCTCCTCGAGACGGATGTGATCGGTAATATCGAACTCGGCAGGATTTCTGCTTCCCTGGCTGTAGCCAATCTCTTTTCCATTCACATAAAGGTGAAAAGCACTATCGACACCGTCGAATCTCAATCGAAGCTGAGAGGGAACTTTCCAGCCTGCGGGGACCCGGAACAATCTTTTGTAAGTCCCAACTGGATTTTCGGTTGGAACGAAGGGAGGATCGATTGGGAACGGATAGGGGACATTTGTGTACTGAGGTCTTCCATATCCCTGCAACTGCCAATGGGATGGAACTTCCATTGGCTTCCACTCATCAGCATCATGGAAAGGCGTTGGTGCATATTGAAAATCCCAGCTGCCGTTTAACAGAAGAGCATTCTCGGGGATCCAATAAGATCGAGCGGGGAGACGATTGCGCTGAAAGACCTGCTCATTGCAATAGTCGGGCTGGAAACTGTAGGAAGCCATTCTTGCTGCATCACTGTCACCGAGCACGGGGGAGTGATTATATCTTAAAGCCTTGTCCGGCGCGGAAATATGACGGCCCAAGGCTCAAAGTCATCCGCGGAGGAATTGTATATATTTGTGATTTCCGTACTCCGATATTTGTCGTTGCGAGATTGGGTCGAGGAAAACAGGGTCTTTCAAGACTGTTTGCCTGTTAGAATTGGCATTTGAATGCAGAGTGGTTCGCTCGGACCCCAACTAGTTCATCCTTTTAGGGCTCAAATCTCCGCGGAGAATTTATGGAGCACGCTAACCCCGTTTTGCGGAGTCTGGCGATTAATACTTCGTACGGCAAATACTATCGATTGAGCTGATTACATCATTTTACTGAGTTTTCAGAAGAAATCAGGAAGGGAAGAGCTATAAATGCAAAGCGTGTTGAAGTGGTCTCCAGGTCTTTCGGCAGCTGAAGAGTCTAGAGAAGTGATTTGGACCGTAACAACACATATCCACGCTCTCGTCGGGGTAAGTGCTCACGCCTTGAAATGATGTGTAAAATGTCTAGCTCTTCCTCCGTCAATCACACGGACGAAGCTCTTGACCTTTTCGCAATGGTGAGGCACAAATCCCTCTTTACAAGCCCAGTCTTTGCTCAAGATCAACTTGCCCGATGTCCCCGAAGGGGCATCTACCATAATTGTGACAACCGAGTTCTTGGCCGTCCAAGCGACGCTTAGAGAACCATGAGGAGTGAGCACTGTGCTGTTCACTTCGTGTAAACCAAACCCTGCGTAGGCTGGATCGACTACCCATGTTTTATACCCAAAACTAGTCGGTCGGATACCAGCCACGTAGTTTGTAAGGACATATGTAGCCGCTCCTCCCCAAGGATGTGCAAGAGACGTGAATTGACCCAGGCCAGGCTCCGATTGCTGGTTGACATACTCCCAGCTGGCTCCTGATTTGCTGGATGTGTTGGCGACCATTGCACCCCAAAGCTTCTCCAATAAGAATGTCGCGGCGGCTGTGTGCTTTTGTCTCAGTAGCGCCGGCAGAAGGAATCCGTTCGTGTTCGGCGACAGATTGGCAGTCGAGTCGGAGGCAAGCACCTTGCTAGAGTCACGATATCCTGGTCCTAGCTTGAGAGCAGGCAATTGTGACAAACAGAGTTGAGCCTGTGTAGAGTTTGCCGAGCCAGATGTGATGGCAAACCCAAGCGCAGCAATGGAATAGTTGGTTGGATCTGAGCTCTGCACTGAATAGATACCGTCTTTGTCGTTCCAGAATGCATCGTTGGCGGCGATTGCAATGGAAGTAGCAATCGACTTCCACTTTTTAGACGACGAATCATCTCCAACTGCCGCCGCTATCAAAGCCATCCCAGACAATGCCTCAACGGAAGCGAAATTGACGGCTGAGCCACTGGTGGGACCTAGAAAAGCAGTCCCAAACAAGCTCAGATCGATCAAACCACTCGAGTTGCTGCGGTACGAAACAAGCCAGTCGGCAGCGAGCTTCCATGCCCTCCAGTGCTTCCGAGCAAATCTAATGTCATTGGCATACTCCATGTAGGAGTAAAACGACATCAGCGCGAGGATATGGTAATCCGGAAGGAGATAAGCGAGACCGCGCACAGCGAAATTAGTGGAACTAATGTCTGGTGAATAGCCCAGGGACGGAGCCATTGGAAGCTGGCCAGTTGGCAGCTGATAGGCCAGAAGTTGCAGAAGTGTGCCAGCAACATGGTCATTGCGATGTGTGGTCACCCCAATGATTCTACTCGTGTGCAGGAAGTCTCCAAGCCATACCAAGCGATCTCGTTTGGCACCATCCACACATGTTGGGAAATAGTTTTCATGAACACCATACTCTGGTAGGACAGCAGCGGCGTCTGTCATTGGGTTCTGATAGATCAAGACTCCTTTTGCATCATGGGCAGTGACATTGCGGATGTAGGTAGACTGGTCTTGCCATGCTCCAAATCCAAATGAACCCGCACTGGAGATAGAACTGCCACCAGTGTAGTAGCTTGCCAATGAGATATTGAACAGCTGGATCTGGTTCACGCTGACAACTAAGCGTTGAGAGCGGACGATAGTCGAGATATGATACCAGGTGTTTTCCAGCACATCAAATGGCACAGGGAAAGAGTCCAGCGGATAGGATGTCATAGTAGTCTGATTGACAAATTGAACTCCATAGGCTAAAGTGATAGTCGAAGGAGGAAACAGTGTCTTATTGGTGTTGAGGAAGGTCGACTCGGCCGGGTAATTGCCAGCCAGATTGATGAGAATGCCACCCTTGGATCGAATACCAAAATTGTAACCGGTCTACCAGATAAGTCCTCCTCGAGCAATCTTGGCGTTGAATTGCAAGTCATATTTTGTGAAGTTGTAACCTTTGGCCGAGTAACTAGGGATGCTGCTCGACACCAATGCCCCTTCATTGGAAATTTTCCAGGTCGATTTTTGTGACCCAGCGTCAAAGCAAGCCAGTGAGACTGCGCGTGCACCAAGCTCCCATATCTGATTGTAGAGTGGGTTCGAGGAGTTGAATCTGCCGGGCAGATTTTGAGTGTCTACTCCCGGGCTCGATGCTCTAAATGAGACTGATCGGAATGTCACTGAGTTGTTCGTGAGTAACCGGATGCTTTGCCAGCGCTGGCCTCCTTGAATCAATTCAGAACTGAATTTTCCTGGTTGGGATATGTTGAAAGTTTCGACTCGAAAGGAATTGGAGAGACTGGATACAAACAAGCTGGGCCCATCGCTGAATGGCTCCAGGAGCCCGGTAAACTGTTCACTGTATTTGACCTCAACTTGCGCAAACCCTGACACGGAACTGACTTCAAATGTGGGAAATCCTGCCACATCAACGCTAGAGTGGCGTAGGGCAATTCCGGCGTTAAAGTAAACTCGTGAGATGGAGTAATAGGGATCTCAATGGTTTTTCCAAATACGACTTGTTGAACATGGAAGAAGGTGCTGGTATGGTGTCAATACGTTAAATGTTGTCGCCGAAATGATTAAAGAGACTCAACTTGTTTTCAGCTGCAACCGAAAATCTGCTTGCGAGAAGGAAGATCCAGGAGAGTAGCTGCATCATGAAGATTGACACAGTCGAAAGCCATTCGTCGGGTGTGATCAAGTTGAGGTTCACCTTTCACTGTTCTCCCCTGAGCTCTTAAGAATTCAACTCTCATCATGCGTCATGGAGCGGAGAAATTGGAGAAGTCGGCACCGACGGCATACAGGTAGTGCCTTGTTTGATGGAGAAAGTCCACCAAATATCGAAAATGAGGGTTGAGCCATCGCATCTTACCGTTGTCTCGCTGTAATAATACCAAAACTTTCGTAAAATAACATTGACGCCTGTAATTTTTCTGAAAATTGCCAAGCTGAATTTGCCCGAGACGAAAGGCCGGTAGCTCTATACGCGTATGCACGGACGACGGAGTGTTCTTCTATTATTAGTCAAGAACCCAAGAACCACGGGGAAAACCCTGATTAATTGCCAGGTGATGATGCATGGAGACCCTCAATTATCTTCAAACCCCCAATTAACATTGATCATCAGCAAGGTGGCGGTGGGATCGGAGGATCGGAATCTTTGATTTTTCTTAGGGCAAGGGAGTGGGGTGTGGATACGCGGACAAAAGACCCCCGTCAGATCGCCATAGGCTTCAATACGCTTCCTCGACTGGGATTTTAGTCTTTGGGGTCAAAATTGTGATTTAATTCCCGCGGAGACATGCTGTGACCAAGTCTATGTTAACAACAAGGAAGATCTGCAAATTTCTGGGTACGTTTTGAGCCTAATCCTGTTTCTGTGCAGGTTAGATCACTACTTTAATTCCACATTCAAGCCCTATGGGATGAGAACCGCTCAAAGATCAAAATCACAAATCGATGGAAGTGTATTATGCAGTAGACAAAGAAGGATCAAGATAAAATTCAAAGAAAGAAGTGGGTAACAGAAATAAAACTAGGAATATAAGAGCAAGGAGAAAAGAAAATAACAGAAAATCAGTATAACTTGAATAAACAGGCCTCCGATGTCATCCACCTGACTATTACAGGTCGCCAGTGACCCCGAGTAAAGTCTTCAGAAGCAAGTTTCTATTTAGCACAGGTAAAGGAAGTCGCATTTCTGGAATCTCCTCCAATGAACTTTTGGCGAAGAGGATAAGGGCAAAGATCGCGAGCTGTGTTGTTGCTACCTTTGGTGGCATGCAAAGTAACAGGAGTATGATCTTTTTCAACCCATTCCATGAGCTGGGACATTGCACCGTTTGGAATAGGTCCAAGTCCACCATAGCAGTGACCAACACCAGGGGCTTCAAAGAATCGATAGAAGTCATGAGCTTTGGGATCACTCTTGAGCACTTCCTCGTAGTATGCGATGGTTCCATTCGGTGGGATAGCTTCGTCTGCCAGTCCATGCCAAGTGATCATCTTGCCACCATTAGCCCGGAACTGGGATAGATCAGGGTCATTCGTGGCAAGCATTGACGAGTAATCAACGACTGAAGAATGCAAGGCTTCGAAGAATTCATTTCGAGTCATATTGTTGCTCAGGAAGTTCGAGTCCTTGGCAACAAGATACTTGAACCAGCTACCAAACAGAGCGCTATCGCTTGCGTGGCATGTACTATTCGTAGAGCATTCAGTGGGAACATAGTAAGTTCCAATGGTGGCGTCTTTGTTGACCCCAGACCAGCCATAGTTCTTGGAAACAGAGCGGGAGCCCGACCAAGCAGCTTGGATTATCTTTGCACTGGAGGAAGTGAATTTGCGTTGGATTCCGTTGCAAGTGTATTTCTTTCCGACCAGGTCGTAGGCAGTAATGTGGCATCGATCTGGATCGCTAATAATGCCATCTTCAACTCCATCAAGACGGTCACATGCTGCAACGGCTGCCTGGGTGAAAGCCTCAATCTCACATGGCGATGGGTAATGTTCGTCTTCATCCATGAGCTGCGATGGCCACAGGCCTGCAGGAATGAAGGCTTCGATGTTGACAGCAGGAGAGATGGCCAGGATTCCATCAAAGACGTCCGGGTACTTCTGTGCCATCAAAAGTCCTTGCCGTCCACCACCCGAGCATCCAGCGAAATAGGAATACTTCGGGGCCTTTTTGTAGTAAGATTCGGTGATTTGTTGTCCGATCAAGGCCATATCGTTTGTTGCCGTGGAGGCGTAGTTCTCCAATAGAAGCCAATTGACATTATTTTCACTGGAGAGAGCCCATGAAAGGTCTGTAGGAATAGCGTCTTTCCCATTGCCAGCAGGAAGACCTCCATCGGTAGAGGCAGATGCAAATCCGGTTGCGACTGAATATGTGAGATAGGTGGAACCAAATCCAGTGCTGTAGCCTCCACCACCTAGGGCTTGGAACCTGCCATTCCACCCCTTGAGCGGAAGCCAAACTTGGGTATGAACCGTGTCGTTCCAGCCAGGGTGGGTGTAGGTAACAGTGACGTTGCAGAAACTGATGGTATACCGGCCACCCTCGTTACTTCCAGGGCCAATGCTGACGGCGGAGTAGTTATGGGCTTCCTGGGCATCAACATTGATTATCGAAGCTCCAAGCAAGTCTGGTTTTTCGATCACGGCTGGCGAACATCTGGAGGCGGATGCAATCTCTGCGAGGATCGCACCCAGAGGAAGCAATGTGTTGAGCGAGAGCAACATATTGTATCGATGTTGCTTAAAATTGGGATGAAGATTCGATGATAGACGTGTGCGAGTTTAAAGGGTTTATATAGGCTTCATCCGAACCTATGAAACAGATCTTCATAACGGCGTTTCCAGGCAACACGGGGTTTCCAGGCAACAAGAACCAAATACAGTCGATGAAGATACTCCATAATAGTGGACAGCGATGATGTCGTCCAACTAGTTTCCAATATAGATCTTGGCAGTTGGAAGTTGATCAATACGCGTATAGAAATCCCCACTTCAACCCAAGCAAACCCTGACTCCACTGGCCAATGGACCGGGTTTGGGGACGGTTTGGACAATTTGGACAGGAAAGCAATGGATTTTCGAGGTGGAAACTTCCCCTGTTCTCTTGTTTGTCGGTTTCAACCCCTTTCTTGCTATCAACTAAGCCCCCCTTTTCTTGTCATCGCGTTGGTTTCTTTCTCATAGCTCCGTGATAGCTCTGAGCATCTTGCCTTTTTAGACGGTTCCGTGCGTGAGACGCCCATTAACATACAGTCATAGTCCGTGGATATGGAGCACCAATGGACCGGCACAGCAAAAAATGAGGAGACAACTGAGTCACCTCATACTCAACCTCCACCACCCTATGAGGCGGTGCAGCAAGAGCCCGTTGATCTCGAGGGAATCCACGTCCACGGTGGGAGACTTGGTTTGTGTTCCATCAGAGAGCAGGTCTAACAGTATATGCAGACGACGGCCGCATTTCAATTGACGCGAGATCTCGGCTCTGCAGGACTCTATCCAGGCTGGTTCCCAGCCCTAATGTATCCTATGAAAGTTCAACTGCACCACCACCAAGCTATGACGACCTGATCGCAATACCTCGGTTCAATTTGAATATCGTAATCCAGATTGTGGGCAGCCGGGGAGACGTGCAGCCTTTTATCGCCTTGGGCACGGAGCTGGGACGGATTGGCCATCGAGTGCGCATCGCAACACACAATGTTTTTGAGGATTTTGTCCATGAAGCAGGACTGGAATTCTACCCGATCGGCGGTAATCCAGCTGATCTCATGGCATATATGGTCAAGAACCCTGGCCTGATTCCGAGTATGCATAGTGTACGGGGTGGGGACATTGAACGGAATCGTTTGATGATGGCAGAGATTCTTCATGGCTGTTGGCAGTCGTGTCTGATGCCTGATACTGTTACCAATACCCCATTCGTCGCCAACGCAATCATCGCCAATCCTCCAAGCTTCGCACACGTTCATTGCGCCCAGGCTCTGGGAATTCCGTTGCATTTAATGTTCACAATGCCGTGGAGCGCAACTCGGACGTTCCCTCACCCATTGGCAAATTTGCACAATGTTTCGCCGGATCAGGATTGGATCAATCGTGTCTCTTATTCAGTGGTGGATTGGCTATCATGGCAGGGGTGAGTCGGAAGTCATCTCGGCTTGTGGTTTTATTTGCATAACTAACCCTTTCTCGCTTCATCTGAATCAGCCTGGGGGGCGTCATCAATGATTGGCGCAAATATGAATTGGAATTAGAACCTATATCCTTTTCCGATGGCCCCTTTTTGCTGAAAACCCTCAATGTTCCATACACCTACTGCTGGTCTCCGGGGCTTGTTGCAAAGCCTGACGACTGGCCCACAAATGCTGGTAAAATTTCCCTTACTTGCTGTGATTGATTGTCCTCTAATGCACAGCACAGATGTTTGTGGATTCTTTTTCCGTGATCCTCCTGACTATAAGCCTAATGCACAGGTGGCTGAGTTCCTCAGCGCCGGCCCACCTCCGATCTATATTGGATTTGGTAGCATTGTCATTGACGACGCAAAGAAAATGACAGAAATACTTATACAAGCCATTGAGGAAACAGGTGTTCGAGCTATCATATCCCGTGGCTGGAGTAATTTGGGAGGGCCGGATCTACCTCATATACTTTATTTGGACGATTGTCCACACGAATGGCTATTCCAGCATGTGAGTGCCGTTGTCCACCATGGCGGTGCCGGCACAACAGCCTGTGGTTTGCGTAATGGTAAGCCGACTGTCGTTGTGCCATTCTTTGGCGAGTAAGTATCTCGCTGCATTTCCAATCCGCATTTTCAAAAATTTCAACGTTTGACACGGTCTCTAGTCAAACATTCTGGGGAGATATGATATCTACGGCTCGGGCAGGCCCCAAGCCTATTCCACAAAAGCTCCTAGATGTCCCAACGCTTAACCAAGCCATTCGTTATTGTCTGACCCCCGAAGCAAAAAGCGCAGCGAGAGGCATCGCAGTGAAGATGCGCGAAGAACAGGGGGTCAAAGCTGCTGTGGCCTCCTTTCACAAACATATACCAAAAGGACTTGTTGGATGTGATATTCTGCCCCAGCTTCCAGCATGCTGGAAATACAAGCACAACCACAGAAAATGGCATCTATCCAAGGTTGCGGCAGAAATTCTCCTTGATAACAAGCTACTAAATCCAAAAAGGCTGAAGCCGTGAGTTCACTTTCATGCCTTTTGTGGGACGTCTTTGTCCCGTCTATTCCAGGCTTCGAGATACTAATATTTGTTTACCTTCAGGTATCAACCTAGTCCGATATGTCTTGATATAAAGCGCTGGGAACCTATTACGGGGATAGCATCTGCGGGAATGGGGATGACATTTGAAATACTCAAATCGGGAGGTGACATCCTATACAAGCCCTATGAGGTTTACAAAAATGGAAGCTCAAAGGGCGCTTCAACATCCGGTCCTTCACAAACAGGGTCCCCTTGCTTATTGTCACCAGACTCGTCCGGCTCGCTCCGTAACTCTCGGTCTCTGAACGATTTGACAGCGACCGGGGCAATAGAACGAAAAGATAAAAGCAAAGCTCTTGATATGGCTTCCGTCTCGGCTCGCGCCTCAGGACGACTTCTAGGGAAAGTGGTGTCTGGGGTGATGGTAGATGTACCTTTGGCCGCCGCCGAGGGGTTTCGTGTGCTCCCCGGTCTATACGGTAACAAGGTTCACGAATATGAAAGAGTCAAAGATTGGAAGTCCGGAGCAGTCACTGGAGTCAAAAGCTTTGCAGTCGGCATGGGCGAATGTTTGATTGATCCACTATATCAGCCCTATAAGGGTGCCAAAGAGGGAGGTGCTCTAGGCTTTGCAGGTGGTATGCTCAAAGGAACATTCGGGGTCGTTGCTAAGATGGCACATGGTAAGACTACATGCATTCCTTTTCTACTTGATATTTATGAACGATTGAATGTTTGCTGATAAGTTTACTTTTTCCAGCTTCTCTGGGCCTCGTTGCCTACCCTGGGCAGGGTATTAAGCGAAGTGTTCAGGCGGCATACCGTGAAAGCACTCGAAAGCACGTACTAGCCGCTCTCCATGAAGAAGGTCAAGACCTTGTCAGGCAATTCAAAGCAAAAGGCAATTCCGAAGGGCTGGTCATTGACAAATTTCTATCCCAGATTCGACAGGATACATCTGACAATGATAGTGATTATGTATAGAGCCATGGAGATTTCGGGTCTGACGATACACCAATGTTCCTTGTGTAAATTCAAGTCAAGCTTTCGTTCTATGTCCTACTGTTTCTCTAGTACTGCCACCGATAGAAAGTCTCCCAGGACAGTGAACGACAACGCATCGCCTGGGACAAAATAGGAATTGCTCAAACGTGAGACACGAATGAGCGCACGATGGCCTGCTCCATATTGGTATTTTTTCGCTGTGCGCCTACTAACGAATAGAACAGAGGATATGTTTTGAGGCTATTCTCCAGCCATTGACATCTCTATCTTGAAAATGGACCAAGACTAGTTCTTTGTAAATATAAACAATGAGAACATGCCAACTTTGGCCGGTCCCACGTTGAACTGAGCACTTGCAGGGATTTTTGATCACGTCCAAGGAACTGGGAACGGCATGTGTCCAGGCAGTAGCACGCATCATAGTATATTGTTCTGAAATTGTGAATCCAGACAATGTCGACTAGCGTCCACAACTGTTTCGGCCAGGCATCTCTAAGACAAAAGACAAAGTCTATAACCGCTTTATAAACACTCTATAAAATAAGATGACTCAGGGATCCTCAGGCACAAGTTTCGAGTATCGCCGAATCTTCTTGCCATATCTCATGAACAAGAATGGCACGGGCAATAGAGCAGTCGCTACAGCAGCGATAATCGAGACACCGGGCCCGATACCCAGGGCTCGAATCATGGGTTTAGCGGCCAAAGGAAGGCCAGCAGCAGCCAAACTCCGAAGGAACGTCGTAGCGGCCGCTGCACTAGCAGCGTGCAGCTTATAAACATCAATCAAGAAGTTCACACATTGCATAAAGACAATATTGGATCCACATCCGACCAAAACCGATGCAACGCACGGGAGAATCCAATGATGGGACGGATCTGCTGTCCATGCAAACCAGAATAGTCCAGTCACGAGGAGAACTGCTCCGATTCCCATGGGAGGTAGTCGTGCTTCGGGGACTGACCGTCCATTTTCTGCTTTACATTTCTTGTTGTAGTATTTTTGGCCCCAGATACTTAGGCCCACAGAGAATACCACGCCAGCCAGTAGACATAGGAAGGGTAAAGCGCCAATGACCTTACTCCAGCCGCGAGCTCCCTGAAATACAAGTGGAAACACTTCCAGTGTGAGATACATGATACCGTAGACGAACGCCCCATAGAAGGAGATGCAGGTGACGATTGGTTCGGTGGCTAGCATTCGCAGTGGTCGAGCTAGTTGTTTGGTCAGAATGGATCTGACATCGAGTTTCATGTGCTCATGCGTATGGTAGAATCTCCGGTCATTTTTCTCGATTCGAAGCTGCTGTGCCTTGCGTTTGAGCAGGACCAGCGGGTATACCTCCGGCAGACAGAAGAAGGTCAAGATGAACACGAATCCGACCCAGAGTGCGTGGATGTATGCAGTCCAGCGCCAGCCCAGATTTGGCTGCGTCATTATTGCTGCACCAATTATAGGACCCAGGGCCGGTCCACCATTGACTGCGATGGAGTAAATACCGACGGCCGTGCCTCTGGTCTCTTTGCTCCACATATCTCCTAAGGCGGCGGTGACATTGCTGATTGGAGCTGAGCCAAAGAAGCCTGCAAAGAAACGGGTAATGAACATCGAGGCTATGTTTTTGCTGAGGCCTGTGCCGATCTCGAACATGGCAAGACAGAAGACGGCGGGGAGAATGCTGACCCTTCGACCCCAGATTTCAGAGATAGGGGCCCAGATGATGGGACCAAAGACATATCCAAGACTAAATCAAGGTGGTGTCTTGGTTAGTATTGAGTAGCATTGAAACCTCATATCGACTCACAGGTAAAGCGTAACATCCAACACGGCTATCTCATCACTCACACCAAGATACTTCGCAATAGCGTCATCGGCTGGGGTTGTAATGCTGGAACCCAGACTACCTGCAAATGCGAGCATACCCAATTGAGCTGTCACCCAGCATTTGTATTTGACATCCCAGTTCTGAGGGTTCAACGGATCGTCTTGCTCCCATTTCACCAGGTATGCTGGGTCCAGAAGCGATAGGTCTTTCTCCGATTCTATTCCTTCGCTAGTAGACTCACTTGTTAGACAGGATATGGCCATAGGGGGAAACACGCAGTCTGTATGACTGCCTGTTCTCGTGAACACAGGCACATGTAGAGGTTTATATCTTGACCAGCGAAAATTGCTACGAAGCCTGTGTTTCGGCCGGAATGTCGATCTTGATGTCAACATTCCAATGAGATTCAGCCGGTAGAGTGGTACGTGGCACTCCTCATGACTGAATGAACTACTGTATCCATAGACTCAGTGAGACTATAGTATGCACGCAGGTGGTGGTGGGTTCAAGGGTGGGCTTGCATTAAACTTGATGATTGCACCAATCAGCACCGCACAAGCATAAAGTCTAGACCATGAACAAGTATTTCACATCAAGTGCATTCAATAATTGATGGAGTCCGTGTAACTACGTGCGCATACAGATCGACTTGCAAGGCAACGCCTTAACAGAGATGCGGGCGGAATACTCTGCCTACAGTACGGTCAGGGCTGCATAATAATGCAAGGGATGTCCGGCAGATCACCTTGAGAAATATTTCCTTGCATTTCAGTCGGTCCCATGCAATGATAGGGTGGCATTGTGCACAGCAGGGGAACTATGGACCGGGCCGTCTACGAGTCAATTCAACGCCTTAGAGTCTTGGGCATGTTATTGGAGTTGCGTGAGAGCCTCGTAGTCCGTTTGCCTATAAACCTTTTCAATGAATCTATCGAGGTTCTTCGCAATTCGTTGAGAACAATCTCGAAGCATTCCGCTTTATCTCACAGATGCGGAACACGTCCACTTGCAAGGAGAAGGTTCACAATACTCATGATCCCTTCACCCAGAATCAGACCAGATGCCAAAACAACGACCGTGGAGGAGGCAGCCTCTGCTTTTTCCGCTGCCTGATCAGCCGATGAGGATTCACCTGAAGGTCGAGCAGGTTGAGGTTCTGAGGAGGGGCCTAAGCCATTGGTATTTTCATCAGCGACGGGCTGCTTGGCGGGTTCTGCATGTTTTCGAGACCACCACCAGGCAATAATACCACCAATGGCTCTTGCTAGAGTGAAGGATGGCACATTGAAAATACCGACCGCGACGGCAATGCCACCTGGGACCCAAGATCTCCAAGGAGGAGGGCTGCCATTGCGGGAGAAATAAGGAGATGCAGCTGCAATTCTCAGAGCGGTGATAAACACCCAAACAATGCCAAAAATGAAAGACATCTGCCAAGCCATCTCTGGGAGACCCTCACCAGTCACAAGGCGAGCAGTGAAGATCCAGACGTATGCGGTGGGTGTCTGGAACATCTCCCCAGGAACCTCGTAGACGTTCACATACAGTTTGTATACAGCAGCAGATAATACAGCACCTACAAGACTGCCAATCATTTGTCCATAAAATTGAGCCTTGGGGCTGGCGCCGAGCAGATGACCAGTCTTCAGGTCTTGCATCATGTCACCGGCTTGCAAAGCTCCTGATTCAGAGACTGCACCCGCGAGTAAGTTGGTGACAAGTGCAGTGCGTCGCGAGAAATGAGAAGAAGGTGTGGCGAGGGAGAAAAGAAGTTGTGTAAGCTTGCTGATGCCCGAGACTGGGTTGAGATCAGTCTCACCAAGCGCTCGAACGCCCATGATGGATAGAAGCACCGCCAATAGAGTAGCAAGGGTTGAAAGCCAAGGAGAGATAATGTCCCCAAACACAATATGCATGCACACGACATTTAATAAAAGAGTCAATGGAAGGAGAATCACCACCGTGCGAGTGGAGATGAGTTGGGATGATGGTGCATCTTCCTCTTCTTCCTCGCTCTGGGCTCCATGCACCTGGGTATCATCATCTTCCGGCGTGAGCGAATGATTTTCGGAACCGAGTGCGGAATAGTTAATGTAGGAATGCCGATGGGACCACAGCCGAGGTGCAATCCACTGTCCCACACGAGTGGAACCTAACCAAGCGATCCATACCGGGGAACGAGTCACAATCGGCTTGAGAAGAAGCCACCCCAAGCTAACAATTGAATCAGCAAGCATGATCGCCAGTGATACCCAGACAATCCATGCTTTGCTTCCGTCATCCCAGCTGTCTACTGGGCCAGGTGCCCAGCCACGAGCCTTGGCCAGCGGTGATAGAATGCCCCATCCTAGCACTGCACCAAAGAGCATGTGCATGCACGTCGATGGGCCCATGATGATACCTTGGCCAATGTAGGCCGGTGATGGGTTAAGGGTCCACAGCCAATTGTGGGCCATACCAAGGCCGAACAAGGGAATATCACGGACCAGAGGGACAAAGTAAGAGAATAGTGTCTACGATCATTAGTATTGGTTTCTTGGTCAGGATTCCGGGGGTTCTTACATAGACACCAGAAACTACAAAGGCGCCGATCAAGAGGCGCATCTTGGACCGCCAATCTTGTTGGTTCGTAGCTTGATCTTCGACATACCCATCTTTCAGAAGATTCGTATCTTCTTGCATATAAGGAGGCGGCGCAACCTCTTCCAGATCATCCGTACGAAGAGGTTCCGGTGCTACAATCTTTTCCTTCTTCCCAGAGCCATGCAAGACCTTGAGCATCAAGGCAGAGGCAGTTCCACTTGGGAAGCGTAATTTCTCTCTGACAATGACCTCTTTCCGTAGTGGAACGGCAAACACAACCCCGAAGAGGCAGACTCCAAGACTCCATATGACCAATTTCCAGAAACTAAGGTTCAGAGGACCACCCTCGCCCTGCCCCCCATCGCCTTCCGGTCCATCTGCACCCGGTTTCAGTAGGAATTCCAAAGCGGGAATGACACCAACAAAGCCACAGCCCAGTGGCATTGTTCCAACTGCACCCGCCACCGTCTGGATCAAGACATTTTCAACCGGTGTGAACGGGAATGAGAGCTGCTTTGATAAAACCTTGAAAACGGAGAAGCCAATCAAGGCGGACGGCATGGCCATGGTGCTGATCCATCCCGTCTGTAATCCAAAATAGGTATTCGAGAATGTTATCAGAGCACCGATAATGAGACCGACGAGGAGTGAGCGTGGAGTGAAGCTCTGGGCGGAGGTGGGAGTTGGGCCATTTGCGGTTACAATGGGATTTGTAGATGCCAAACCCGTTGTCGATGAGCGGGTCATCCCATGACGCTGTTCGGAGGCATCACCATCCATGCTGATGGTCTGATAATTCATGGGACCGATTGACCAGTCATAGTTGTTGAGTCGAGAGGTTCATCTGTGCAACCCTTGGGAAGGGACCTCGCGATAAGAGGCTGCTGATTAATGTTTGATAACACCGATCACCTGACGTCACCTTACAAATCAATTTTTAGCCCTACCCCATCCATTTCCATCTTTCGATAAAATCCAGTGTCAAGATGGAATAGTACTAATAAGTTGTCAATGCGTTCATCAAGAAACGCTGTGGTGGGTTGTCTTTGAAAAATGGGCTTGATATGCATATCTCTTCGGATACTTGATACCATCGATGAGGTTCATCAAAAACCTTCTAGAACATATCGTAGTTGGCTGCAGCCTCATAGTCATGTAGATATAAACCGCCACCACGCCCTTTGACACGGGATCCATTTAAGTTCCGATCGGGAATGCAACACTATTGGAGGGCAAAGCGCGGATTTACTGACTCACTAGTCTCGGACCGGATGTCTGAACTCTGGTAATCCCCACACGGGGAAATTGGCCTTTTGATGTGTTAGTTGAAAATAAGTTGGACTCTCTTCATTTCGCAAATTTTATCTTCCACTTTTTAGGAGATCCTACGTCAATTTTATCATCTTGCAAGCATGAAATTGGAACCAGACTTCTACATCAAGCTCTATACATCAACAGAGCTCCTCTCCCAACCATGGCTCTCCAGTCTCACTAGCATGGTCAATGCAAGCTATCGTGTCAGTCACACCCGCAGTATCAAGTTTCCGGCAAATAAGACTCGGCTTTTGAACGACTCGCAATTATCTAAAGAAGTCGGTCCGGATGGTTTCACTGCGGTGGCTCTAATTGATCGCGGTCCGGATCAAACCCCTGAAGTCATTGGGACAGCAAGTATGAAGAAATGGAAAGATGATGGCCTTTGGAGACCCTATAAAGAACTTCAAGAGGGGTTTGATGCCGCTGTAGCGGAGCTTGAGGAGAACGAAGCCAGTCAGGCCATGGACCATGTGCTCGAGCGATACGCCTGTTCGGGTGACTACGAGATAGCTGTCGTGGCCCTTCCTCCCGACTCTCGATATCGTGGCAGGGGCATTGCGGGTCAGTTAGTAAGGACCTGTGAAGAGGAAGTTTTGAGACGGCACCGGGTTGAAGACCAGGATGCGTCATCTCCGGTGCGCATGATGATTCTTGTTGCTAAGGAGGATACAGGTGCATATTGGATTAAGCAAGGCTTCACCGTTGTGGGCAGTCGAAGATGTGATATTGGGGTCTGGAGTGCACTGGAAGAATTTACTATGTGGGCTATGCTTCGTGAGCTGGCATGACAATAAATCTTACGACCGTGATTTCAAACTCCGAACTCCTTTCATGCCATCATAAATGTATCATTCGCCATTCAGTAAATCGGGCGAGAACAGAGAGGCTAAGTTACCGCACCAATAATGCATGAAATGGAGCCGTCACTAGGTGAGGGAGATATTATAATGCCTTTCTTTTGCTTTTCCATCTGATTTGACCTGTGCAACCCCTTCAAGTATAATTTGCGATCCTATATCATGTACGGGATCTCCAATTGGCAGTGTTCCCATTGTTACTGGGACTCTGATAACCTGCAGGGGAAAGGCAAAACAATCGTGGCGGCCTCGGGAACGGGAAAATCCCTTACCCCGCAATATCACGATTATGTAACCAGGACTGAAGCTCGAGTCCAACGGGCACAATCTTGGATTGCTAATTGTCTACCTTGACGATTGCTCAAAATCTTTTCCATCTTGTGGTTGACTTGGATCTCAGGTCAATTCGCAACAAGTGCATTGTGTTCGTGCGCCACGCTCGCCGCTCTTCTTCAGTGCGGTTAGTAGTTCTGAGCTTCCATGTCTGGTGCGCCATCGAATAAAAAGTGTGAGCGATGCAAAAAGGAATGCCTCAAGGTTAGCTCCTGATCCAGGGTTTTTGGATTCAAGTCCAACGAGATCCCTCTCTGATTCCTCGCTAGTGTGATCAAGCTCGCCCAAAATGTCACCGTTGTATCAACGTCGGCGTCGAGTGTCCGGGCTATAATAGGCCTCGCAAGTTTATTGATCAAGGTGTAATGCTAAGACGCCGTTATGCTCCGTATCAAGGTTCTATGCCAATCAGCGCCAAGGCATCCAAGTCAGTGAATAGAGCAGACGCAACAGATCCGGCGGGAGCTTTCTCAGCGTGGCGTCTTTCGACGGACCAGAGAACGACTAGTGCAAACCCCACCCAAACAATTCATGCTGATTCTGGAAATGTGACCAATGCTTCGCCTATGGAAGTCAATCACACAGGCTGGGAAGATGGCTCGAAGCTTGGACAAGGAAGTAATGAGACTGGATCAGGGCAAGATCTGTCTCACGTCTTTTCTCTGCTCCAGAATCTGCCCGGCTGCGAGCTCAACGGCTCTTCGGCTCTCAGTAATGAAGAAAATGACTCGGTGATAGCCACCAACTATAGCCCGGACTCATTGAATTTTTCCGCTGGGGAATCATGCACAATTGGGAGTTCGAAGAATCTCAAAGAGACGGGGCCTCCAAGTCCGTCCACACTGCACTCTTTGGGAAGCCTGTCATACCGAAAAGAACAAGGGAATCATAGTTCCATGGTATCGAAACCAATTTATGGAGGGGAACACGAGACTACATACTTGATTCGGCGTTATTCTGATTCAATAGGACCTTGGTATGTAAATATGACACCGTGAGTCTGTGCGTTACTCACCAAAACAGGCTGGACCTGTCGGATTCCTATAGATTCTTCTCAGTCCATGTACCCATCCGCGCGATTGACAATCCCGCCTTGAAACATGCAATGGCAGCTATCACCGCAAAATACGCAGGGCGAACAAAATCTCCCAACTCGGAAATGCAAGGAGAAAGATCGGAAACACCAAGGACAGAAAGCATAGGCACTGATGCCCATCAGATTGATTGGCTCCTCAAAGGAACCAACTATTATCATATGGCTTTATCGGAGATTAGCCGGATAACATCGAGAAGTCTGCCTTTTGCAGGCGTTAGCACGGGCATATTTCTGATCGAGGCAGTCAATCGGTGGATGAGATCTAATCTTACTCAAAATCTACGAAATGGGACAACTGAAAGTCTACATGATGTTGGCTTTGTTCGAAAGATAGAGGAGCTGCTTGCAACGCTTGTTCTTCTCACGGCATATGAGCTGATGGACACCAATGCCAATGAGTGGTCACAGTAAGCTGCTTTCTTGCAAGATCAATAGATCACAATCTTACAATTCCGAATAGGCACTTATTGGGGATTGGCCCCTTGTTTGAAAATATTTCCCAATCAGGACATATGACAGAGATCATGTTTTCTCACGGCATTCGAGCGGCTTTCTGGAACTTTGCTCGATTCGATTTCTTGGGTTCCTATTTCCCTCGCTCCTCAACTCAGCTGGATCCGGAGAATCAATCTCTTTGGCGCTCGGCGGGGATAACCATCAATGATGAGGGCCAGTTTCAAATTGGCCCGCTAAGGGAAGGGGGTCTGATCAAAGAGGACCAGGCAGCCAATGGTATCCTATGGCTTATTTTCAAAATAATGAACCTCTTGGCGAGAGTGAAACGAGCTCAGTTAGCCAAAGTGGTTGGACCATCCACTCTTGATTTGCCCATCCCTCAAGACAATCCGCCCGCTGATCAAACCATAGACCCAGACTCGAGCACATGGCTTCAGCTTTGCTTTGATCTCCAGTCATGGTTTGAGACACTACCAGAAACATTTCGTCCGTCTGTGCGAACATACTCTTCAAAGGACATATCACAACCAAAATCCACGCCATTTCCCGAAATAGTTTACGGACTGCCAACCTGTGCTGCTGCAATCTTACATTATCACTTTGGGCGAATTGCGCTTCTGCTCAACCAACCCACCGACAACATCAATGCCGGAAGCATTTCTTTCGACCGGCTTCATGGGTACCGCGAAATCACCAAAGAAGTCGATTATCATAGTCGTGAGATATGTGGCATCGCCGTAGGTAGTCCCCATAGTGCTGTAAGACTATCCTTGATCCCAGTATTATTTGCTGTAGGCAATTGTTTGGAGGGTGTATGGGAGCGTCAGATAATCTTCAATCTTTTCCGGGAAGTCGAGTCGGATTTAGGATGGGCAACCCACTATGCTATTCTGCGACTACAGCAAATGTGGTCTAGATGACCTCCGGGATGAGCTCGAATTGTCTAGTGCTCTACAAGTCTGCTAACCGGAACACCCTGTTATATACCACTTCCATTGTGGTTCCCTGACTCTATTCATATTTGTGTTTGTCCACACGGGGAATTCATTATCGTACTGCAGTTCACGTTGAAATCTGGCATAATATAAAGGGATTTGACTGTATGATAAAGAATCGAGTATATGCCCAACGTGATATGTTTGCAATTTCAGAGCCATGAGGTGGTTTTGGCATCGTAGTAACAATGGGGAACTGGAGCAGTCAAACATTTCGGTGAAATCTTGTCATCCGCTAAATGGACCACTGGGCCAAGCAAGTCGAATGTACCCCAGTCACCTTGAAGTTTCGTCGTGAATGGTGACTCTGGAGAATACAAATTGGGCCAGGCCTTGTTCCATCCATTCAAAACGACCTGCAAAAGCTCTAGCACAAACATGGATGAGTCCATAGATTCCCATTCAAACTTCTTGTCGACTTTATGCACCACCTCCGGTGAGTATAAGCCAATTTCGGGGCTCAAAGGATATGCAGCGGCAGCGGCAAGGGAGGCAAAAACATGATACGAGCCACCATTTCGCGCTCGGTCACGGAGACCCATCAAAGCTCCAAGGGCTCCGATGAGACCAGTCATCATGTCAGGGATAGGAAGTGAAGGCAGAACACTTGTACCGTCTGTATGGCCCATCGATCGTCCTGTAACATAGGAGCATCCTGAGGCAGCATCACCAGTCTGCTGCCACCCTGGTCGGCTAGAGAATGGGCCATCTGGTCCATAGCAATTCTCCTCGACATAAACGATACCCTTCTTTCTTTTACCTGCGATCTCGAGGAGCTTAGGAAGACTCAACCCTTTGCTGGCGATCACTCCAGGGCGGTAACCTTGCACAAAGACGTCGGCATCCTGGATGAAACCGAACAGGATTGCAAGGTCTTCTTCTTTGGTAAGATCAATATCGATTGTTCGAACCCCTGCATTTAAGGTGAGTTGAAGAGACTGGACCACATATGGATTAGTTTTTAGGTACTCCCAGGCTCGGCCGACACTTGAGGCCAAGACTTGTAGACTTACATTGAAATCAGGTAGGCGGCTGCAATTCACACGAATGACATCTGCTCCAAAGGCTGCTAGAGTAGTCCCTACTACTGGCCCGGCAATGACTCGAACCAGCTCGACCACTTTGATACCCGCCAGTGGACGCTTATCGGCGAATTCATTTGGAATCTTTATTGGTGGTGTTGGGATGGCATAGGACTGGAGATTGTAGTTGATCAATGGGTGGCGGGAGAGTTGCTTGCCCATCTGGGTCGCCCGCCACCCCTCTGGAGAATAACATGTGTTCCCACAGAGACCAAGCTTGAGATTTGTCATTTCCAGCTCATCCGCAGTGAGCTTTTGGACGTGTCTGCTGATCAGATCATAGGCATCTTTTGAGGTCTCGCATGGTGTCTCGGGATCTATTCCAATTGCCTGAAGAGTCGGTTCTGCATTCAGGGATCCATGGAGTTGATACCACACCCCAGGTGTCTTCGTGGGATAATTTCCGGTAGCACGCTTGCGAAGCGGGGTTCCAAACGCTCCCTTTTCAAGATCCGTTTTGTATAGTTCATGCAGCTTTCCTGCATTTGCGATCTCGACCAGGCTCATCCCGTTCCACTTGACGAACCCCACGGTGCCTAGCCAAAAGGCAGCATGGTCTGTGTTAATGCTCACACGACGGTCTGGCTGGCTTCCGTCTCTTTCATCGAGCAGCTCATTGGCAACAATCCCGCACATGGCATGCAACGCAGCAGCTACGGCGGGGGCTTTGATCGGCCCTGGAACTATCGGCTCGGCGCCACCTTCAAAGATAACTTGGTCTAGGATTTTTGGATCCGCGGTAAATCCTGGAGTAGCCTGGGCTACCAGCTTCAATATGCGGCGAGCATCGTCTGGAATAGCGAGAAAGTCAGAATCCACAAAGGATCCGGGGCCGTAGATTTCAGGGCTTGGGACTGTTTGATGCATCTTCAAATGGGTATGCCAATCAGATGATTGAAGGGCACATATGAAAGGAATGAGGTTTACGTTCAGAATGCTCAGAGTTGACGTACATTTATATCACAGACTCGGTCAAAGGTACACACCAACTTGGAAGGCCTCCACATTACCAATTTGGTCTTTTTCTTGTTCTAGAAATGATTTCCGAGGCTGGAACGCTACATCAAGTCTCTGTCTTGATTTCAGATTACCCAGGTAGGTAGTCTCAACTATAATGACCTCTCTGTAAACACATAACGTGGGGAAGGGGACCACGTGAGTTGCCATTCATGGACATTGCCTCTTTGGGGATTACCGTTTTCGGATAATTACCGAGGATGGTAATAGGGGGGGGGGACAATTGTGCATGGATCTACTCTCCCTTGATCGGCTTCTCTTTACTTTCGTCCGCATCTGAGGCAGAACAATAATGCCTCTAATATGATTCACCTGAGCCAGTCCCGTAGGAAGCCCTCTCATTAGAGATCCGAGCTTCTCTTAGAAGGGGAACCATCAAGCCCCGCATAGCCCAACAAGTCCCCCTCAGATCGCCGACGGCTGGTACGCAAGTTCCTCGCCTGAGGCTTGGAGGGCAGAGAGGCAAATAACCTACCTATTGTTAGGTAGATAGCCTGCCCAGTGGTGGTACATAGAGAAAGAAAAGTAAGGGTAATAATATCATCCTTAGTCTAGTCAATCCCCATTCTTTCACGGCATAATATACATAAATTGATGGTTATAGAAATCGCTATTTGCGTATCTCGTAAAGTGAGACTGATTTTATCGCTCAGAGTATCAAGCCAGCCTTTCTAAACATCTCAAAGCTTTCAAGCCAGCCCTGAACAGGATCAGTATCCCCCTCGAATCCAGTCGCCCTCAATTTCTTTAAACTTAGCTCCCGATCGAAGGTCAACCAGTAACCCACGCTGTCAAGCTGCCGATTGCCCACGCCAACACCTCCACTAATAGCATTCGGACATCCACAGTCAGCAAACTTGCCCTTATGCTCGGCAATATAGTCCCCCGGCATAATAGAAGGGGTGGTCTCAGGGACCTCGCCAACCTTCAATGTATTGTCCAGAGATATGGGACTATCGGCAGGTCCCACACCTACCAGGCCGAACCAGTTTGCCAGATAGGGCCAGATCTCGCCATATTTGCATGGTTCGCTGTTGTCGGCAATGTTGAACAGCTGACCGTTACCGCAGCGCTCTGGGTGCAGCGAAGCATAGATCATGAACCGTGCAATGGTCTTGCTGGATACTGGAGAGAACAATGAGGTGCTACCAGCCGAGCTGCCAGGAAAGGGTACTTCGACTGCTTTTTTAGTTCCATTTGTATGGGGTCCGATCCCATGGTTATAGGCCCACAGAGATAGATACTGGGCCCAATGCAGTGACAGGCTGTACTGGGAGCCGTTGGGGGTGAAGCCAATCTCGATCAATGTTATTCAAGCCCGAGAATGATGGGTGGGAAAGACTCACGATTGCATCTGGGCAGACTTCACACCAAGTCCAGCTCTTTTCCTTGCTTGCGGCGTCAAGAAGTTTACGGTACTCGGTATATACGACTGTCTCTGCATAACTGGTTGGAAGATCATTCACCATTTCCTCGCGTAAAGGTGGAGTGAAAGTGCCTCCCGGGGCGTATATTCCGTATCCCTGTCTCATTAGCATGTAAGGGATCTATGGATGGCTTGGATGCGTACCCGTGTTCCACCAGGAAATGCTATAAACTTCAGGTTGGGGCTGATCAAATTGTGGGCATCAATGACATTCTTGAACATTTGACGATTTGTTGCGACTTCCACACTGATCTCCTTTACTGCACCAAAAACTTCGAATGGTTAATTTGGATGTTTCGTGATATCACTTCCAATACGAGACCTACCCAGATAGTAGATGTGGGTGACACTTTCGACATCTTTCACAGTGCGCTTCAAACTCTCTGCCAATGAAGTTCCATCACCTTGCCGAAGGTCAATTCCGGAGACGAGTTGTAGTTCAGGTCGTTTCGAGCTTGGCTCCGGCCAATAAGTCTCAGATAGTTTGAGGGGACGATTTGTGACAGCAGTCACTTTGCAGAATGTGCCAGCATCGGGGTAGGGGTCCAACAGTTGATTCACCAGAGACCAGCCAATAACGCCAGATGCTCCGAAGATGATAGCGTGGTTTGATGCCATTGCCGATGATTATGAATTTTCCTGACCCTGGCCATCTGCTTCTTATACGTTGAGGTCATTGATATTTCACGTTGGGGATCTCTGCTATATTTCCGACCCCACCATGAGTCATTCCGAGTCATCGCGATTCATGCCCCAGGGTGCATTCTAGATGTCTTTCGAACGAGACTCCCCACAATTCCAACTTAATCTCTAGTTCCGGGAAGCCAAATTCAACTTTTATATTCCAACGAGCATCTAAGAATGAACGGTACCAGTAACATCTGTCTAGCCAGGGGATCATGTCTTGTGAAAACGTTCAAGGGAAATTTGGCCGATTCAATTACATAGCGAAATGGGAGATGCTCGATGGCAGTCTGGTCAAAACAGACGGGTCGACAAATGGTGGCAAGAAAACCCAACAAGTCAGGTCTGTGAGCTCTAGACATGTGACGCCTATCAGGGATAATCAGATGCTATATCAAGGAGCATAATAGTCATAAATCATGAATCAGGAAATGAGTGGCATTGTTGTAACTGTCTATCATTCTCTACAGTCGTAGATTGCCCATATCCTTTCCTCGAGGACATCACTGCCTAAGGCAGTAATCATATGTCACAATTTGTACTGTATCCGGCCAATTGGAGATGTCAATGACTCTGTATTTCCATTACCCCTATTCTTCGCTATTTATGGGTCCATTCTAGCTACATAAGCTATGTCGACGGATCATCTATAGATCCGGTTTCATGCAGTATTCGTAAGGTAATTGCGACATCATACAAATCTCGTGATTTCCCCACTACAATAGCTAGATCTACCATCACTGATATTAAACACAACCTCGATGTGTTTCGCTATCTGTACTTTCTTCAGGAAGGGGCCCAGAGCTCCTTGAAGGCACCCAAAGCATACATAGACCTTGCCAGCCTGCCAACCTTGGAAGATCACCTTGGGGCAGTGGCCATCATTTTTTCTTATGTCAGCATGTCAATCATTCTGCCGGCCGGCTCCGTCTTGATGACTCAGCATAATCACGTGCAGCCAGAGCCTCGGTCACGAAAAGGAGAGCTGAAGAGACCACGATCTGTGATCGGCAAGCTCGGGTTTGTCATGGGGTTTAATCCATTCATTGCAATCTTTTAGCACTCGACACTTCTGATCCCTCGTCTCCGTGTATGTCTGTGTGCACGTGTGCCTGAATCCTATAAATCCGATTCTTCTGAGTGACTTGTAGATTGGAGTACAGTATAAGTCATCGTGTTTACTTTCACCTATTTTCTGCAAGGGACTCCACGGTGTTGCTTTCTTGCTCGCTTGAACGGTCGTGTCCTGCTGCGAGACGGGATCAGCGACCATTTTATCTCTCTGTATGGACAACATGCGTGAAATCCTAGGCGCGGCCATGTCGCTCGCCTCGTGGAAAACCCTTGCCTTGGTCCTGGCTGTGATCAATATGAAGAGCCTCCCATTTGTCTGGCATGTAAGTTTTTGATCCCTGAATTGATGGGAATGTCTTTTCCCCATCGAAAGATCGCCCCAGTCACAACTGACAGGATTTAGTTCCGCGTACTGTATCACTTTGTGGGCAATTTGCGGCTTAAACCCAGCGATCCATTTTTCCCCAAGGGCAAAGCGATTGTGGATGTGCAAGGCATGCCGACACATCCTGTCTTTGTGTCTCGCATGGTCACATCCCGCACGCCATTGCTGGAGACGGATTACAATTTGCACAAGTCCAATAGCACCTACTTTGCGGACTTGGATGTTTCGCGTACTGCACTTGTGACTCGACTTTACAGTCCAGGTGTAGGTATTGTGAGCAAGGAACTCGATGAAGAATTCTTGGCTGCGAGCAAGAAAGAGGGCAAGCGCGCCCCAAAGCGCAAAGCGATTTCTATCGTGCTTGGCTCTGTTTACTGTACCTTCAAGCGGGAGATCAAGCCCTTTGAACTGTATGAGATGCACTCCAAGGTGATCTCCTGGGATAAAAAGTGGATGTACATCTTGACTTGCTTCATGCGACCTGCCCGTGGTGGTGGTGAAAAGACCGTGCTTGCCGTGGCCGTCAGCAAGTATGTGGTCAAAAAAGGCCGACTCACTGTTGCACCAGAACGGATTCTGCGCGCGAGTGGATTCCTCCCCGCTCCGCCAGCGGGGATTGAAGCCAAGGCTACTCCAGCCGACTCATCCGCCGAAGCCTCCGGTGTGGACACCCCAGGAAGTACTGAAGGTATCACAGCGACGGGGGTGGACGGATCACTGGTTCGCGAAGTGCTGAAGTTGAGTGAGGACCAAATTCCTGGCCAGGAGACTCTGGAGAAGCAGCAGAAGGAGAATTCGGACCTGTGGAGCTCAGCGGAATGGACTTGGAGCCGCATCGATCAGGAACGGCAGCGGGGACTGAAGGTTGTGGAGGGATACACTACGCTGGATGACAAACTGTTTGAAGAGTGGAAGCAATAGAGTAATTTAGACTAGAGTACTCCGTACGCCTTGAAACTTGAAATGGTCCAAACGCCGCTAAGATTAGATGTGCATCCACAGATCTGCAGAGCGATCTCGGCCCGGAATGTTGGAATTTGTAACAGCATCGTGTTTCAGGTTATGGGTTATGTGTTTATACACGGGAACGTTAGTACTGTTTACCAAAGAATAAAAATGTCGTCAGTTGTCAAGTTATACATGTAGACACTTAGTGCATCCAAGCTTGGACCCTGAGGCTGATCTCATCAGGGGGCTCATCGGGCCGCCGTATCCGAGATTGCCTGAGCCATGTCATGGATTTCTCTCAACAGCTACATGTTGCCGTAGATGACTTTGATGGTTGGAGAACTAGAAATTCCAATCAAGGAGAAATCGTATCAATTAGCTAGACGATCATTCCACTTCGGTCGAGGCGCAAAATATGCACCAAAGGCTATGGTCACCTGATCTCACGTGATACGGCAGGACACAGCTCTCCTGAGTATCGAGTTTCTTTTTGATCCACGTCAACTGCAGCACCTCGGTAAGTTCTTTGCTTTCTATTCTCTGGTTAAATCGGTCATTATATCTGCCTCATGGGAACCTGGCAATCCTTTTATCCGACGCCGGATATACCAGTCGGGCTAAAGTCCACTTCTCTGGACTAATTCCACCCTTCCCCTTCTTCTTCCCTCTGATTTGTCCAATCTCAAACCCATCATTCCTCGCCCTGTGCCCACCTGCCCCTACCTCCTTTCAGTATCAGACCATCGTGCAGTCCCGGCACCTGCATTGGCCCACTCTATTGCTACCTCTTCGTTCCAGAAGACTTGATCTCCTTGGGTCTTGTCTTCCCTTCTCCATCACATCTCCGATTTACTGAGTTCCCTGGCCTCCAGAAATTCCAACTATCCGAAAAGCTTATCGCAATCGACCGACATATCCTACCTACGCCTCCAGTGCCCGTACACCTCAACGCTGGTGATTTCTTCTGGTCTTGATATTCTTTTTCCGCTTGCCAAACATTTTTGCTCCGTTCCCCCCGACCGCTGGGAACAACTTGCACCTCGCCGTCGATCAGCGGTCATCCGACGACGGCGCCTACCAACTCCTGAATAGGCTTCCTATTTTTGCCTTCATCGTCCGCGATGATGGCTGCGACAATCGACCCGTCGCACTGCGATCCCCTCGCCGGGGCTCCTACAGTCGACTCTGCTTCCATTACTCCGCCGCAGAGCGCCAACGGAAAAACAACGGCACCTGAAGGTGTACCTTCCGAGTTGTCAGACCTCGAGCTTGATCACAAGGCTGCCCCGCCGCCTGAGACGGCCGAGATCAAGGAGGAGGAAGTGGAAGACATTGAACCCGATCACTACTATGGTGGTGGCAAGATTCCTGTCTTTAAGCCGGTGAGTGCACTTCAAGTCCCGCGAGGGGAGCAGCTGGGGGCTATTGCTCATCGAGCTATATGCTGATGGTGATACTCTAGACTATGGATCAATTTCAGGACTTCCAGGCCTTCATCAAAAAGATCAACAAGTATGGAATGCAGGCAGGGATCGTGAAAGTAGTCCCTCCCAAGGAATGGTGAGTTGATTGAATTGTGCCGTCAGGGGTCTTTATGCTCATGCTTTCTCAATAGGTCCGAGTCACTTCCGCCGCTGGATGACGCGGTCAAGAACATTCGGGTGAAGAACCCCATCATGCAGGAATTCCACGGGTCTCACGGTACATATACTCAAGCGAACATTGAACGACAGCGCTCGTACAATCTTCCTCAGTGGAAAGGCCTCTGCGAAGAGAGCAGTCACCAACCCCCTGCTCGCAGGGGAGAGCGACGTCGCAACCAGGAACGAGTGAATCGCGCAGCTCCCACCCCACGTCCCCAGTCCGCTCGCCCCGAGGGCCAGAAACGCCGCCCCGGTCGTCCTCCGAAGCGGACAAATCAAGTCAAAATCAAGGAGGAGCCCCTTGATGACGTGGAAAGATCTGGACTCGAAGGACCACCAACTCCTGAATCACCCGAGACCAACCCTGTCGAGACCAAGAGTGAGGATTTGAGTGAAGGTGAATCGCTTCCTACCACCAAGCCAAAGGGTCGACAACCCAAGTCTGTTACTTCACGCCGAAAGAACAACCGCGGCGATGCTACGGATCAAGTCGACGAAGAAGCGTTCAAAAACTTTGATTACCGCATCCATGACAACGAAGACTACACCGCCGAACGTTGCGAGGAATTGGAAACCAACTACTGGAAGTCACTCATGTATAACAACCCGATGTATGGTGCCGACATGCCTGGTTCGCTCTTCGAGGACAGTACGACCTCATGGAATGTTGCCAAGTTGCCCAATCTGCTCGACGTTCTTGGCCAAAAGGTGCCTGGAGTGAATACTGCCTACCTCTACCTGGGCATGTGGAAGGCTACTTTTGCTTGGCATCTCGAGGATGTAGATCTATACAGTATCAACTACATCCACTTTGGTGCTCCAAAGCAGTGGTACAGCATTTCCCAGGAAGATGCGCCTCGCTTTGAACAGGCAATGCGCAGTATCTGGTCCAGTGATGCCAAGAACTGTGATCAATTCCTCCGACACAAGACCTATCTTGTCTCACCTAGTCTGCTCAAGTCCCAGTACGGTATCACTGTCAATCGATTGGTTCACTACGAAGGCGAGTTTGTCATCACTTTCCCATACGGCTACCACTCTGGATACAACATCGGATACAACTGCGCCGAGTCAGTTAACTTTGCGACCGAGCAGTGGCTAGATTATGCTCGCATCGCCAAGAAGTGCAACTGCGAGTCTGATAGTGTCTGGATCGATGTGGACGAGATTGAGCGCAAACTTCGTGGCGAAAGCACACCCGAGTACTACGCTGAATATGAAAGCGAGTATGACGGATTCGAAGCTGCTTCCGATATCCTCACGCCACCTCGCAGTGTTCCTGGGAATCCATCCCGTGGCCGAAAGCGGAAAAACCCGGATGACGGGCCGAGGACCAAACGATCCAAACTCCACCCCGATGGTCCACGGAAGCTCCCGTGTCTGCTGTGCCCTAACGATCTGGACTATGAGGATCTCCTTCCGACCGAGGATGGAAAAGGTCATGCACACAGGCGGTGCGCGCTGTTCATTGAGGAGACTACTATCCTCCTCGATGCGTCCGGCAACGAGGTTGTGTGTGATGTCGATAGGATTCCCAAGGCTCGCTTGGGTCTGAAGTGTCTGTTCTGTCGCGAAGTCTTCGGTGCTTGCTTCCAGTGCAACTTCGGCAAATGCACACGCGCTTATCATGCTACCTGTGCTCTGTTGGCTGGAGTGCAAGTCGAATTCGGTGGCATTGCGGTCATCACCGACGATGGCAGTCAATACTCAGTCCCCAGTGTTGATTTGAAATGCAAATTCCATCGCCAGAAGCGACCGAACGGGGTCCTGGGAGAATCATCAGACTTGGATCGTCGTGTGATTGAAGAGGCCCGCCATCAGTCGCAAGGAAGTTTGATCCAATTTCAGGCTGACAAGGAAATTAATGGCGCTATTGTGCTTCAAAATCGACCTGAAGAGCGGACCCTTTTGCTCAAAGTGCTTCCTCGAGGGTGCGTCATCTCCTATCCTTCTCTATTTTCCAACTCTCCTACTCCCTCCGATCCTTTCATGCTAACTTCCCTGCAGTGATGTTATTGAAGTGCCTTATCGGTGGATGCTGGTGGTTCGCAAGTCCAACTTCGTACCGCTCGCACTGGGAATCAAACCCCTCCCACTCCACCTAGCGCGCAAGCCTGAACGAAAAGAGTTAGAGTCAGCGGTGCCCGCGGCAGGCAGTGCATTTGGCGATGCACGATCTCCCTATCAGTGGGCCGAATTCGAGACGGTGGATGCGACTAGGAACTATTTCGCCCCACTCCGGCCGGTGAAAGTTGAGGTGTGGCATTACTTGGGCACCAAGTCCACCGAGAGTAGGGCACAGTATACACACAACCCTAGCGTGCCCATCCACAACCCGCAGGCCAATTTCCTGGACAGCGTCAAGTCGCTTGGCGTGGCTGGTGTCAGCGCTCGTGCATCGAAGATCTCACCCCACCACCAGTTTCATTATGCCACTACCCCTGCCCCTCCCTACCAGCAAAATCTTTACGCCCGACAACACCAACACCTGAATGTCACCCGTCCTTCCGCCTCCCTGCAGCACCTTGCCCCTCCCCCTCCCCGTATCCTTACCGGTGCTGCTGCTGCTGGAGCTCCTGCGATGCCGTCGGCCTTTCGAACACTACCCAATCAGTCTGCCCGTCATGTCCCCTACCCCTCGGTCGCCAAATCGCACGCTCAGCAGCAGCATCACCTCCCGTCCACCAATACCTTTGCCAATGTTCGGGAACTCATAGCTCGTCGTCGCCTCGCTCAGATCACCGATCACGCCAATGTTTTTGCCGGATACGACATCGTCAGTCCCGAATTGGTAGTTGAGACCCTGTTGGGTCCGATGGGCTCAATACCACCGGCCAATGGCCTGGAGAAGCTGGAGCTCGCTATGGCCCAGCAACGGGTCCAGCCACGAGCCGCTGACGGAACCTTGCTGCCTCCTCAAACCCTCAACATGAGGTCGGAAGAGGTCACTCGGCTTCTGCAGATGTTGCGGTTCTCGCTGGTGAGTCATCGTGAGCGACTGGATGTGATCCAAAAGAAAGAGTCGGAGAACATCAAGACAGAGACTGTGGATCGAGGCAGTGTTGCCGCCGCGAAGATGCCCGGAAAATATGCCTACCTCGACCAACAACGGTCCACCGCTCCGAATGTCTACCAATCGCCCTACAATATGCCGTCCGGGCTCTCTGAATATGCGAAGTCTACATACGGATTGATTCCTGCGGCTGATGAATCACCAAAGCACTCCATGGCGAATGACTTTTTCAATAGTCTGCCCCCGGATGCTCAGGAAAAAATCTTGAAGAACTGTGGCAGCTTTGCGCAGCGTGCAATCGAGCGATCGGCCAGTCACAGTCGGCATAGTTCAGCCTCAAATCTCCGGCTGTCAGCGGCTCTGGCTCAGCAAACGCAAAATCCGACTATTGACATCACTCCGGTAGACGATCCCCCTCTTCTTTCAGGTCTCGACATGCCACTACATGCAGATTCCCCGTGTTCCAGCTTCGGTCGGTCGCATCTCCGATTTCAGTCGCCAAATGAGTTCCCCATGCATGGACCCGACCCGCACCCTGACCACCACGATCTCTTCGGAGACCAGCAAGCCAATACACGCTTCTGGCAGAATGGACCGTGGGTCGCCGGAGATGGCAATACCCCCAATGACGAGAATCGACCGTTCTTTGGGCCACACATCTTCGGGCCGCATGAACGACTCAAGCATGACTACGCCTCCTCCGACATCTCTCTGGGCAAGGGACCGGGATCTCTTCACTCCGTCGATATGGCTGGGTTTGGCCCCGATGGAATCGATGATCTCCCACTCAGCCCTTAGACGTCCTTCTCGTCACTGACTTCTTTTTTTGACCCGCGTTTGATTCCCTCTGCGACTGTACTTGCATCTCCATGTAACGACTTCACTGGACTGACGATTGCATGAATGGGCGTTTTCTTGATTTTTTCCTCAACCTGCCAATGATACGTTGCGGGTCATGTTTCTTTTATGATTTCGGAGTTGGCACTAGCTGGCTGGTCACGACTCAGCGTTCTCATTTACCACGTTCTTTCACGCGAATCTGCGATCCGGCTACTGAGAGTGGTCACATCGACGGCCTTCTACTTGCAAGGTTCTTTGTGACCAAAAACCGCTCTCGGTTCTCCCCTTCAACATCCTGGGCCTACTTCCGCCCGTCCCCATCTAGATATCTGAAACAGAAAAAAATTTCTTTTCTTTCCAGATTACTGGATCACATTTGTGTTTCATCCCCTTTTGATACCCCCTTACCCCCGTGGAAGTGTGTGGATCTGGATCGAATCTTCCTAGATATCCGGAAATGTGTTTTTCCCCTTTCCCTTTCCTTTTCCCGTTCCCCCTTCCCCTTTCTGTGTCGATATTCATCCTGGCGCTCATCGATTGCTCGCCTCTTACGAGTGTTTGAAGCATGTTCCTGATGTGGCAGCCGTCACCTTGCGTGACCTTGATGTATGTGTGCAATGATTAATTTAAAAAAAAAAATAACAATTATATCTATGATCTCTCTTTAGTCGTGTTGTAGGCTAATCTTTGATTCTTAATACACTCATAGATATATTCATTTGAGGCGAAGTATACCAACATGTTGTCAATCTGATAAGTTACCTAGCAACCATTGAGTGTTTTTCCAATTTCAAGACCACCGGAACAACCCTATATCATGCAGGTAAGGCTATACCCTCTATACCCAAGACACTTATTTGTCTTCTTTCAAAATGGCCCGGAAGTCCTCCTCAACGGCGTTCTTCCACTCCCTTTCCCTCAACGGCGTCCAGCCCAACGCTCTACCACAAATCGCCCGGGACCGAGCACTGCACCAGTCAGTATATAACCATTATCACAAGGGGTCTGTTTTGTCTTACTTGGAAGCAAATCCCAACTCTCTCACCTGCCGGCTCCCATTCACAGACCAAGCCGTCGCTTCGTCGAGGGATACACTGCGAACGCCTTCCGTGTCCAAGATGTTCAGTTGCTGTCCAACCAATGCAATTCCCTGTGAGATATCAAGCCAAGTATGTCTGCCTGTTTCGGCAAAAAGCAACCCCTCTTTGCCATAAGGGACTTGCTCCCCATTGAGGATCTTGAACAAAACAATCTCGAAGAGTAAGGTTAGATCGGAGATGTGGACATGGTCCCATTCACCTGCTCCATCGCCGATCACCACTGCCTGCTTGTACTTCACAGACTGGCGAATGAGAGCTGGGATTTGGATTGAAAGACTGTTTGCTGGGCCGGTGCCTTTGCCGAAGATGGTTGGGGCCATGATTATGGTTGTTTTGACGTTTTGCTCAAGACCGCTGTTGAAGACTGCAAGATCGGTTGTTCGTTGCTTGTAAGGGGAGCTGTCTTCCCGGGAAGTTTGGTACTGGTAGATGTTCGAGTCGTCATGGAGTTCCTTCGTTTCAATATACGTTTTGGTGATGGGATGATCGCCAATGCTCGAAGTTCCGGATGTCTGTGGTGACTATTTAGTATGTATTATATCTAGGGTGAAGTCGGGGGTTTTGATGTCACTGACATGGATGAAATGAGTCTTCTGGCCTGTTTTGGACTGTCTATCACGCAGTCCTGCGATCATGGCTTTGGCTGACTCTGTATGAAATGCTGATGCGGCATTGATGATCACTGTAGGAGGTCTCAGTCATCTTCACAAAAGTCCATTGGTTCACGGAAAGATTCCAATACCGTCATAGTCACTGGAGAGCTTTCTGATCAAGTTTGTCTCGTCCAGACTCTGAAATGGAATGACTTGGACGCCAAAGGAGTCGAACAAGGCTCCTCGCTCCTCGCCCCGAATCAAAACATCAATTTGGGCATTCTGAATATTCTCGTGCTGGCTGCTTTTCAGAGTTGCGAGAACAGATCCGCCACTGTTTATATATGTTAGCCCGTGTCATGTAAGTTATCCCCTGGCGCTTCTATATACTCACATGTAACCGGTTGCTCCGGTCAACAAGATTCGAGTCTGAGACATATTGCTGAACCTGGAATCAAGAGCCCTGTTGAATACTTCTGTGACTCCCTTGAGACCAGACGCATTTTATACCTGCCTCTTGTTGCTGCTTCGGAGACTTCTACACTACATTTCTAATCCTACCCGGGTTCAATTGCTCCGTGATTTCCAACCATGATCTATAACCCTCGTCACCCTCAGGTTGGACCTTCCTCACCTCATGCAATAACCTTGGCCCTGGTGGTAGGGCACCTGAGGCATTCGCGGTGATTGCTAAGCAGGTGGGGGCGTGACCAGGGCAACCCTGGAAAGTGTGACTTGCACATTCTTCTTCAGTCTTCTTTCCCTGGAAATATCTCAAAATTGCAACAGTTATGTATTTCCTCTGGCCAGTTCAGGTGCCATCCATGTCGGGATTACTATGGAGTTACCCTCAGGTAGGAGGCTACGTAGGGTTAGCAGGATTACCAGAATCCCGAGGCCTTCAGAGGCCCTCCTGGGTTATCAGTACAGGAACGAAAATCAAGAGCCCCATTCTTACTTGATATATATCTCTGTCGTTCATGTATCTTTGCATGCCCGACCTGGGTATCTGCACATAAGCTTTGGCTTCCTTTACCGCGCCTTGTTAGCCGGGAAGATGGGTCCGCCGATCGCGATGATGTCAAGTGGTTCCGCTCCAACTCACTCCACATTTTGGGTCTGGGGATGGAGTCATCGAGTTCGCTCTGGTCCTTATCCTCTGTAATTTTGGCCAGACTCGTATCACGGATAGTCAGGCTTCGGACTAAGGGTAGGGTGACACGCCACCAAGCCACCAGCCTCCGGTTGAGAATGTTCGAAATCTGGAATGCTCGAATTCTAGAAGGGCAGATCCACGTGGACAGAGACCACAGCAAAGCCATCAGATAAGGCATGGACTACTCTAAAGTAATGTTGTCAGTATATAGTATGTTGTCCGTACTATGGACCATATGAAGATAGGAGTGGGACTCTTATCATTCTAAGACATCGGCCATGATAAGCCAGTCCTTAGTCTTCCAACCTTATAATTTCCTGCCTCCAATTCGTTCTTATCTCCTGCAACCACCGCGGTCCCGGACCGCGTTATGCCAAATGCGGGGGATTCTTGACGCTCTTCTATATATCTTGCATATAACATTCTCCCCCTCTCTCTCTTCACTATTACCCCAAAATTCTAGTCAACCATGAGAAGCTCACTAGATGCCACGGCCGATGAGGCCCTGGCTAGAATGGGCTACAAGAGCGAACTGCCCCGAAACCTAAGCATGATGAGCATCCTCGGTCTGTCCTTTGCCATCATGGCCGCGCCCTTTGGTCTCAGTACAACCCTGTACATCACCCTCGCCGATGGTCTCTCAGTAACGATCATCTGGGGCTGGGTCTTTGTCACTCTCATCTCCATCGCCATCGCCGCTTCCCTCGCGGAGATCTGTGCAGTCTATCCGACGGCTGGTGGTGTCTACTACTGGAGCGCCATGTTGTCCACTCGACGCTGGGCCCCATTGATGTCCTTTATTGATGGTTGGTTGACTCTGGTCGGGAATTGGACCGTCACCCTCAGTATCATCTTCTCGGGCGGCCAATTGATTCTCAGTGCCATCTCCATTTTCGATGAGTCGTTTGTCGCCAATGCCTGGCAGACCGTGTTGATGTTCTGGGCCGTCATGCTGTTCTGTGCCTTGGTCAACATCTTCCTCTCGCGCTGGTTGGATCTCATCAACAAGGTTTGTATCTTCTGGACGGCGGCCAGTGTCATCATCATTATGGTCACCCTGCTGGTCATGGCCGATGACCGTCGCGATGGTGAGTTTGTCTTTGCTCACTTTGACGCATCCACGAGTGGCTGGCCCTCCGGATGGGCGTTCTGTGTCGGTTTGCTGCAGGCAGCATACACCTTGACGGGATACGGCATGGTCGCGGCGATGTGTGAGGAGGTTCAGAACCCACACCGCGAGGTACCCAAGGCCATCGTGCTGTCGGTTGTGGCCGCTGGCATCACCGGTCTCCTCTACTTGATCCCGATCCTGTTCGTCCTGCCCAATGTGGAGGCGCTGCGGAATGTGGCGAGCGGCCAACCCATTGGCTTGATTTTTAAGACGGTCACCGGGTCGGCGGGCGGGGGCTTTGGGCTGCTCTTCCTCGTGCTGGGCATCATGCTGTTTGCCGGCATCGGCTCCCTGACAGCTGCCAGTCGCTGTACCTATGCGTTCGCCCGCGACGGGGCCATCCCCGGCTTCACGCTCTGGCGTAAGGTGAACCCCAAACTGGATGTGCCTGTTTGGGCCATCGTTCTCTCTGCGACCGTGGATGGTCTCCTCGGGTTGATCTATTTCGGTTCCACCGCGGCTTTCAACTCCTTCACCGGTGTCGCGACCATCTGTCTCTCCACTTCCTACGGATTGCCCATTCTCATCTCTATGATCCGAGGCAGACAGGATGTGAAGAACTCCTCTTTCTCGCTCGGTCGCTTCGGATTCGCGATCAATGGCATCACCATCGCGTGGATTGTTCTGGCGGTCGCCCTGTTCTGCATGCCTGTCACGTTGCCCGTCACTCCGGAGTCGATGAACTATGCGAGTGTGGTCTTTGCCGCCTTTGCCAGCATCAGTATCTTCTGGTACTTTATCTATGCACGGAAACACTTCACGGGGCCCCCGGTTAGCGGTGAACAGGCACGCGCCGCCGGGGATCTGATGACTGGGACGGCAGTAGATACCGAAACCGCCATGGAGAAGGTCAAGAAGATGTCGAGCGAGTAGCTATAGTTGTATTTTTAATGATATCCTCTAATTTCATTGCTATGTTCTGCACCTTTGCCCCATTCTGAGGCCTCTTCGGACTTTCACAAGTGCCTGACGATCGCTCCGAGAGCCGCGGTCCAAATCAACACGCCACTTTTCGGCTTGAGATCGTGTAGACAGGATTAAATTTTGCCAACGTAGAGAGTGAAGCGATATTCAAGACCGACTGAAGAGAGACGAGAGACTCACACCGAAACCCACGAGAGACTGCAGAGAGACTGCAGATAGACACTCCAGTTATCCGGGGAAAGCTGCGGTCCGAGGAACTTATCAGGGGAAAAGGGAAAACATCATCCCTCTCTTCCTCCTTTTGCCCATACTTGCATTGTTTCAGGGCCCTTTGCATTCTCGGATCTCTACTGCTTGCATTGCTCGCATTGCTTGCATTGTTGGAGGTCAAGCCGATGATCCCCTCCATGATTCCATGACAGGCACTCTTATCGCGCCATGTCGGACTCTGTAGGTGGGTGACGGGGTGACGGAGACGGCCTCCTTGCCTGACCACGACTGACTCGACTGACTCTGATCCTTCTCCAGACCGCGTCTTCGTCCATGCCCTCAATACCGTGAAGCGGATTCCCCGGACGGGAACCGCGCGCCCTCCCGCCGCCGAGCGCCTGAAGCTTTATGGCTTGTACAAGCAGAGCATGGGTGAGTACAGCCCCATGGCCGGATCTAGAGAGGAGGGATACAGGGCTAATGCGCTCCTAGAGGGGGATGTCGAGGGTGTGATGGATCGTCCGATTGGGAATACTCCCGAGGTTCATGGTGAATGTGAGAAGTGGTATGGCAACCCTGTCCTGGCACTCCAGATGCTGGATGCTGATCGATCGCTGACTTCAACTGTGTCCAGGGATGCATGGTATGCCCAGCGCGACACGTCGCGCACCGAAGCCAAACGCCGCTATATCTCCACCTTGATCGATACAATGCACCAGTACGCATCGCAGACGCCCGAAGCACGCGAATTAGTTTCAGAGCTGGAGTTTGTCTGGGATCAGATCAAATTCAATGCCTCCTCGTCCTCTTCTTCTAGTCCGCTGAATAACGTCGGCGTTCCGCCCTTATCGCGCAGTGCTTATGGGAGTATTGGCAGTCGATTAGCGCAGTCGACTGAGGACTACGAACGTCCGGACCGCAGGGCGAATGGGAGTCGTCGAGATCGCGATTCCAGGTTACGGGTTCTGAGTCCGGTTAGCCAACCGGAGGAAGAGGAATACTATCGACGGAGGTCTATGGACGATGAAGATCAGGACCCTAATGATGATGACGATGAAGAGGAAGAGTACGAAGAAGCTCGCGATAGCTTATATGAAGACCAGGACCCCGAAGAACCCGATCATGCCAGCACCAATACCAATACGAATACTGAGGCGGAGTCCTCCCATCGGCATCGCAAACAGGCCTCTGCAATAAGCATTGGTAGCAGTCTTCACCGTCGAGATTCCCAGTCTCAGGGGGACCCTGCCAACCCGCGAAATAGCCACTGGCGCCGTCGAGTCGAGCAGGCCTTGACGAAGATGACCGCTGAGATTGCTGCCGTCCGGGAGCAGATGGAGGCGCGTTCGGTTTCTCACCGCAGGCGCTCGGGTCTCTGGGCTTGGGTCAAGTGGGCGTTGTGGATTGCTGTGCGGCAGATCATATGGGATCTGGCTATGCTCGGCGCATTATTGATCTGGATGCGATTACGTGGTGATCGTCGTGTTGAAGCTCGACTCAAGACGGGCTGGGCTGCATTGAAGGCTCGGCTAGGGAAATTGAGGGTTACGAGAGTTGACATGCCTATCTTGCCTTGATTCTTTCGTTGTATGTCCAAGATTCTCTTCTTCTTTTGTTTCTTTTCGGCATTGATTTTGGCATTACATCCCCCGTGTTGGAGTTCTTTTCTTTACTTACTTTTCTTGTGTCTATTTCTTTGTCCAGTATATATGGGTTTCAATTGAGGGTCTGGATTTCTTATTCATTTTATTCTTCTTGGTTAGCTTGTCTCGGTGTGTACGATGCTGTCTTGCTGGGCCAAGATGTCCTGGCTCTGAAGGAACATGGATATATATCCTGAAGAGATGCTGCCCGGGGGCACGGTATAGATGATAGACGACTGGAAGTTCAACGATAGACGCATAGATGGTACTTGGGGAATGAATAAACGAACGTGCTCGTTCATCTACGTGATGATAGTCCAAGTTTCGATTTAGTTTACATGTTAGTTGCCTTACTGAGGACCTAGCTACATGCATCGAGCCGAGGATATCAAGCCAGTAGCCAGCATCAGCAAGAAACACATTCAACAGAGCATTAGAATATGCCTGCAAATATCTTCCAAGTCATGGCTCTATGCACCAAGACAAGGACGAAACGTTGAGCAGAAAATCATTTAACCATTCCTGATGCCAATAGATATTTACACAAAACATACACCGGATTGACAGCTGAGCATCCAAATAAAACAGGGATAAAGAAACAAGACGGAGCCCACATAGCGGGGAAAGAAGAGGGCGCAAGAGTCAGGGCGAGTCTAGATGAGACAAAATGAAGCGCAATTCTTTAGTACTGAGGTCCAGTGTACTGAGCGTACTTCTGCTTGGGGCGCAGGTGAACGGGAACCTGGTTCTCGGGGGAACCAGGGAGGGTCTTCTTCAATCCCTACAAAGTATATTGTTAGATTTGATAGTGCGACAAATGCAGAGTGATTGCATTGAGGGGTGCATACCAATTTGTCGAACACACACTTGCTGAGGCTCATCTCGGCCTTGCGGCACTCCCACAGTTGGTGGTTGTTGTTCTCGAGGCACTCCCAGTGGGCCTTGAACTGATCCAGGCAGTGGGTGTTGATGTCCTTCAGACTATAACGAGTCAATTTATCTCCCTGGGCATTTCACACAGGCAACACATACACGCTAGCGGCACAGCGCGTAACCTTGCGACCTTCCTTCAAGCAGTCAAACTCTCCGCGGCCGTTTGCCTCGTCCTTGCACTTCATATAATCGTCATTGAAGGCCTGGCACCGGTCACCGATGTAAAAAGCCGCGCTGTGGAGGGGCGCAGATGTGGCACCAATCTCCTCCACCTTGGGGATGTGGTCGGGCATGGGAGTGGTGTCCACCAGGACATGCTGGTTGAAGCTGTGGGAGGGAGATGTGAGCTTTGTTTTGACTGAAGCAATTAGAGCCAGGTGCATACCGAGGATCTCTCTGGGCCATGATGACGGATGATATGAGGCGAAGGTGCAATTGCAAGACTTGGAGATCGAGAGAGCTGCGGGTTGCGGAAAGGTCGGTTTTTGGCTTGGCGCTGATTGGCCGACGGGGTGGCGTCACGTGATATATCGATGTGCGCCCAGGAGAAAGAATTGGGACGATTGGCCGGGAAAATCGGGTCAATTCTGGTCTGACAAGCGGTCTTGCTTTTCTATTCCGAAGTGCGTTGAATCGGAATTCGTGGTGGTTTAATCACGTGACCCAAACAAATCGAGCTCCATCTCTTCTTTCTCGGACAGCTCCCCTCAGCTCTTACTTCTCAACCTTCAATTCCCGGGACATGCGAGCTAGATTTGTCGCTCTCTCTTCTTGTTGCCCCTAGCTCCCTTGCGCGTGTCCATAATCGCTCCATCGACGCGCTCGCTTCGGATCGTACTTTTTTTTTTGGCGGAACGAGCTCACGTCTTTCAATTACCCACGATGACTTCTCTATTCGGCGGAGGTGCCCCAGCCACCGGCGGTGGCCTGTTTGGTAATACTACGAACAAGTCGGCCTTTGGTAGTACGCCGACCGCAACCCAATCCACCGGGGGTGGACTGTTCGGACAACAAAATCAGCAGCAAGGATCGGTAGGCGGTTCAACGTTCGGCGCCAGTACTACTACACCTCAGACACAGCCATCAGGAGGCTTGTTCGGAGCTGCACAAAAGCCTCAGAATAGTTTACTAGGCGGAAGCACCTTTGGACAGCCTGCGCAGCAACAGCCTCAGCAACAGACCAGCGCATTCGGAACCTCGCTTGGACAGCAACCACAAGGATCTCTCTTTGGTGGTACGACAGGTGGTGCCCAGACCACCGGTACAGGAATGTTCGGACAACAGAACCAGCAGCAACAAGCCCAGCAACCACAGCAATCGCAATTCGGTCAAACTACCATGGCTACACCACAGGGCCAGCAGCAGCAGCCTCCTCTGGCATCGAGCTTATGGTCTCCCGGCCGTGCTATCACTGGAGGTGAATAATTTGTACGCTTTTCCGTGGGTCTATACTAATTCTGTCATCTAGTGCACCGAACCGTTCCCATGCAGATGGCCATTGTCAAGGACAAGTGGGATCCTCCCAGTCAATCATCGCCATTCCGAGCATATATCTATAACAACGTCGGTGAGGAGGCCGCGCCTTTCTACCAACCAGGCCCGGACGATGATCATACGAAGTGGGAGGAAGCTTTGCGCAAGCGCCCCGGTCCGGGTTATGTCCCTGTACTCGTGAGGGGCTTCTGGGAGCTCGGCAAGCGCGCCCAGCGACAAAGAGATTTCCTTACCATGATTCAATCGCGCCTGCATGAGATCAACAATTGTCTCACTGAGCTTCTCTCGAAGCATGACCTCAACCTATCCATTAAGATTGCCGACGCCCGTCGCAAACACATTATCCTTAGCAAGCGGTGCCTCGCTCTTGCTGCCAAGACACAGATCCTTCGCAATCGAGGCTACGCAATGGATGAAGCAGAGGAGGAGTTGAAGAAGAAGTTGGCCCAGCTCGAACGTTCTGTCTTTGACCCATCAATCAATGGCCGCGGTGAAGAGATCTGGGCCCGTATGTTGGCTATCCATGAGCACTCCAAGCGACTGCAGGCTGAGTTGGATCGTGCTGGTGTGAACGTGACACCCACCGAAGACGATATTGATGAACAGACCCTAAAGACTGCGAAGAAGGTTCGTTCTTCTCATATACATGCGATCGAAACTCCATACTGACTTCTTTAGATTCTCGATGATTATCATTCCCAGATCCAGCATCTCCAGAAGGAAATGGAGTCTATCAAGAAGGACTTCGAAGAGGCGAAGAGCGCAAACGGGAACTGATTACTTCGTCTCGCAGCTCGCCTGCCCATTCGATTCCCATGCTCATCTGTTTTAGTTATCCTTGCGGTCATGGGAGTACCGGCGTTTTAAGGGACCGGACCATTGTAATGCATACTTGAATACGATCTTATTTGCGGTGCTTTCTTCGCAGGTTCTTTCCACGCAAAATCATCTTGCAGTTTCTAGTTTGTTCTATATTGGACAAACCACGGAAAAAACAGCAAGCATGTACAATAGTAGTAATACACGTCCCAACTGCATATATCCAAGGCAATAGATGAGCCAGAACCCTTCGATAGATTCGACACATGCACCATCATATCCCACTTTGAATATTGCCACTCTGGGAGAAATCCTTCATCTCAACTTGCATGGCATCACGAAATCATAACCAGCGATTGATTCAGCTCGAGGAGAAAGAAAAGGCGGCGGATCAACCGTTTAAAGGAACTTGCGGACGAAGTCGACGGCGAAGGGGGCTATTCATTTGAGAATGCAGTTAGTCTCACGGTATTCTTCAACGTGTGGCCGTACGTAATCTTCAAGCTGTTTGCTCAGAAACTTCAATGCTGTCCACGGGTGGACTCGGGAGGCTCAACTTACAGAGGTAGAGAAGGAAACCACCAGCGATATACATCTGGACATTCTGGCTGGCCTCAATCTCACCAGCCTGTCACGTATGTTAGCATTAAATAGACCGGGACCGGATGACATGGGTGTGCTGACCTTGATCTCCTCCTTGGAGATCTGTTCTTGACCTGGAGACATGTAAGATTGACTGGAGCTCCAAAGTAAGACCGAAATTGCACATACCTGGGGCAAACATTGTGGATAGAGATGGAAGAAGAGGTGGATGAGTAGATGTTGAAGTGAGAGTCGGAGTGTTGCGCAGGAGAAAGAAATCACGGGAGCACAGACCAACTTCTGAGGTTTTGCCTTCACTTGACTGCCACCTCTGAGTTCCTCTCTTCGATCTTGGTCTTGGTGGATTTTACTGCTTTTCTTCTGTATCCTCTGACCGTCCTACCCATCTGACGCTACTGACAGATTTCTGCGCCCTTGCAGCACGGCGTTGAGATCGGAAAACGTACCGTGACGTGGTCGCGATACATCCCCTAACGGATATCTCACCTTCTCAACCTTCTCATCCTTCCATATCACAATGTCTGCCTCTCCTAAGCATCAGTCGGTGGTATCCGCTGTCTCCCCCGATCTTGAAGGTCCCGATAAAGTTGCATCTCCGATTGCCGGTGACGATGAGATGGATGCCAAACCCGCGGAACCTGCTGCTGAATTTGACAACGACGCGGAGGATGCGGCCGAACAAATTGAAGACGACGAAGATGATGAAGAAGACAACCATTCAGACGACGAGTCAATCCTGTCTGAGGTTGACGAGGCCCAATTCGAGAATTTCGACCCCGAGAATGTGGATGTTGAAGATCGTCCACAGCTTGCTATCGACGAGGACAACCTGAAGCTAATAGGCCGTCACAAGCGCAAGCGCGCTGAGGGTGAAGAAAGTCGGCCGCGCCGAAAGGAGGGTCGCCGGGAGAAGAAGAACCGTCGTGCTGCGGATGACGATGGAGAGGAGGGTAGCTCGTCCCGTCGACGTGAGCGGAAGAAGCGTGAAGACCAGCCTGATACTGACGAAGAGACTCTTGATCCGGAGACTCGTAAGTTGTCCGATTGCTAGCTACTAGCACTCCATCTGGGTCACGATATGGGAAAACTAACAACCTATCGCCAATAGGCCGGCGCCGAGCTCTCGATCGTGCTATGGACCAGGCAATGAAGAAACCCACCAAGAGACGATTCCGCAAACAAGATGGCATTGTATGTGCTCTATGCCACATTTGTCTTCATCCTACTGACAATAATAGGATCTGGAATCTATGGCTGATGCCGAAATCGAGGATATGCGCAAGCGGATGACACACGCCGCTCAAATGGATGCCATCAGTCGTCAAGAAGGAAAGCCCGCGATGCACAAACTCAAGCTCCTCCCCGAAGTTACCATGCTCCTCAATCGCAACCAATACATCAATGCCCTGGTTGATCCCGAAATCAACCTACTGGAAGCCGTGCGCTTCTTCCTTGAACCTTTGGACGACGGTGCCATGCCTGCCTACAACATCCAGCGCGACTTATTGACCTGCCTGACCAAGCTACCCATCAATAAGGATGCACTTATCGCGAGTGGAATCGGAAAGGTTATCGTCTTCTACACCAAGAGCAAGCGCACCGAGCGCCGCATCAAGGAGGTTGCAGAGAAGTTGCTGGCAGAATGGACTCGTCCTATTTTGCAGCGCAGTGATGATTACTCGAAGCGTATCTTCCAACAGGCCGATTATGATCCTACGTACGTTACTCGCAATGCCCTTGTTGCTTCACTTACTAACCCCCGTATAGCAAGATTGTCAAGCGCACAGCTCCCACCGCCGAGATGGTCGCAGCCGAAGCCCGCGCCCGTGAGATGCTTCCTCCTCGTCTTGCCAACCGTGCTCGTGTCGACCGCACCCAAGTCAGCTACACCGTGGTGCCGCGCCAAACCGCAGTCCGAGAGAGTCAATTTGCGCGCCCACTGGGTGCCAGCGGCGAGGACCGTTTCCGTAAGATGCAAGCCCGACAAGCTGCAGCTAAGAAAGCCTCTCGTCGGTAAGGACGGCATGCTCCATTTGTAATATTCCAGGCTCAGGCCACATGTATTGAGAGAATTTTTCTTCGCGGTGTTTGGGCGTTCGGGATTGATCGGAGGAACAGGGATTTTTTCATTGCAAGCCCCAGCATAAGCCAGATATCAGGCAACGAAATCCAATCATAACCAAGCTATCAGCAATCTCACACTTTAAATCTAAATCCAGCGACTCTGGGTCTCCGATCCTCTCCCAATGCCCCAATCTCCCGCGTCCAACGGGCATAGATCGAACGGCCGAGCTTTGACCGGGCCATCGCCGGAAAAAGAAGCAGATCCCGTCACACGTCATTCCGGCCTTTGCTTTCCACTTTATATCTGACGACCTCCTTCACTTTTCCTCTACTCTCTCTCCTCTATCCATATTCACAATGAAGCTCTTAACTAAGGAACAAGAAGATGCGCACTACCGGTAGGTCATTCCGTTGCAGATTCGTCCAGAATTGACCCGTACTGACCCATTCTCCAGCTCCGTCGTCAGAGGTGGCACCATCGGCGGTATCGCCGGTCTAGCTGGAGGTGTCGCAGGTGTCCTCCTAGCTTCGCGCCGCTTCCACACAATCCGCAACCTGACGATTCCGATGAAGTCTTTCTTGGTCACCTCATCAGGTACCTTCGTTGGAATCATCGCCGCCGACCACGCCTCCCGCGATTACGAGGCTCAGAACAACGCCGAGCGTCAATGGTACGATAGCCGTGAAGAGCGTCTGCGTTCCGAGGAGTATCGGGGCCTCACCTTCACCGATCGCGCAGCTGCTTTTGCTCGTCGCGAGAAGTACAAGATCATCAGTGCCACCTGGATCGCCTCCATGGTTGGCTCATTCGTGCTTGTCAGCCGTAACCCCGGTCTTACCGGACAGCAGAAGCTTGTCCAAGCTCGTGTCTATGCTCAGGGTCTGACTCTTGGTGTGCTGTGTGCTTCTGCTGCTTTTGAGATCTCTGACCAACGACGTGGCCGTGGTATCCTTGACTCAAAGAAGCCAAAGGGTGCCAAGGTTGAAGAGGAGTCTCCTTCTCATCAGGGCTCAAGTATTCAGGATGGTGACCTCTGGAAAGATATGGTCGCTGCCGAGGAACAACGTTTGAGCAAGAAGCACCAGGATCTTTATGAGCACCACGAGAAGCACCAGACTAAGCCTGCTGCTCAGGAGAAGAATGCTGATTCCAAACCCGCCGAGACCAAGTCCGAGGACAGCGAGGATGAGAAAAAGGACGCCGAGTCCGAAAAGAAGAACTGAATTCGCTCTCGTATTCTCCTATCCAAGTCGTGATGATGCCCACTGCCTCATTGACTGAGGCCCATCTATTATTGCTATTTATCCTCCTCCACCTCCCTCTCGGGGGCCTCGTGCTCCATTGAACAACAACCATAGATGACGAGAGGGGCGGTGATATTTCGAAAACACTGGCGCAGGTGGTCATTTGTTATCTGGTCATCATCGCTCGTACATAATTTCGCATTCCTTTCCTTGAGCGTTTTCTTATTCGTGTCCAAAGGGCGCAGCCCCAAAAGTGACATTTGTTTGATAGTGTTCACGTGTATGATAATACTTGAGATTATGTTCTGAATCTTATTTTCTGCTTCAATGATTGACTCGACATACCGTTATACAAAGTACAATTTCGAGAGCACGAAATGGAGTAATAGATATCAGTTGTAGTATGGTGATATGGGTATAGGAGTCTAATATGGGCATGTAACAGAAGTTATGAAGGGAGCCAGCGCCCCAGGGCAAATCACAGACATCCTAGCCAGGTTATGCAGCGACTAAGATTAGAAAGTCTCATCTTCCAATCGTTCCATACGGCGAATTACGCTGGGGCTCCGGTCGTCATCGAAGTCATCGGTAATGTCACCAGCCCCTGCGGTAGCTAGCAGATCAGTCACAATACGCTTGGAAGCCTCTTTGGCTAGATAAAAAAGTTAGCTGTCAACTAGAGAATAGCATTATATCAAACCAAAAAGAATCAGGAGACATCAGGCTTACCAGGAGTTCTCATCAGTCGACTCTGAGGAATGTGAAATTGCATCGTCTTTGGTGGACTGGGACCAAGATCATCGTCGTCATAATCCAGGTCATCATCGCTATCCCACATTGCTGACTTGCCTACGGACTTCTTGGCAGGAGTCAATACGCTCATGCCGGGCTTAGGAGTCTCGCGCATGCGATTGCTGCTTGTCCGTCTCTTGCGGTTCGTACCCGGGGTATCGAAGCCTTTGATAGGAGATGAGAAAATCTCAGAGTGAAGCTGCGGCGCCTCGGGCTCCGGACTGGAGATTGGAGAGTCGTCATATCCATATCGGGAGGTTGACTCGGCTGGCTTTGGGGTGATGTTGAACTTGGATCGAGAATCTGCGCCTCCTCCGATGTTGCGAAATCCCTTCCCAAGAGGTGTGGCTTGCACTCGGTAAGTCTTGTCGAGCATTTGGTGGAGGACCGGGTCGGACGTCTTTTGGTATCGACGATCTTGCGTGGTTGGCTGGCGAACGGAAGACGCGGGCGGAATGAACGGCGAGGACATCGGGTCGTTAACAGATACGCCGCGCGGGAAAAATGGTTGTCGGCCTGGGGTAGATGGGAGTGTTGACGAGTCTGGGAGATCGAATGGAGCTTCTGAATCGTTCACTTGTTTCCTCAAGTTCTCGTAGGATGAAGAGTAATCCATCGAGGAAGTCGTGATATCGTCATCGGCCGGGTGATGTTGGGTTTGGGCTCGAGGAGTGCTGTGAGAGGAGATTGCAAGATCTGTTAGATCTAAATCGGCTCCATGATCGTGACGGGGAGTGCCATGGCGCTGGGATGAGGGCGTTTCTTGTGATGTCGTCTCATCGTCGTTGGTACTTTGGGTTATGTCGGCGGATAGCTCTTCCTCCGTGGCTGTAGGCTCCTGCACAGTGTCTTCATCATTGTTACGTTCCTCGTAGCCGGACAGAGATACATTGGCACTAGCTTCGAAGAATTGCTTCCAGAACTGAGGCCGCGTCAGTAAATGTGAATCAGATTTATCTTCTACGGAGATCTTCTCACCTTAGAACCCTCCCAGACATCTCGGGAATGTTCCGTATATTGCTCTACTAGAGGCAAGATGCTTGTAGTAACAATCCGATGGGCTTGGCTGAAATTGTGGTCGATCTCTGCAAGACATCGCGATGAGTGTTTTGTTTGTTTACTTTTCATGTTTTTCCGTACCTTGGAGCGTCAGGGTGATAGACTGTTCCAACTTCTCGAGTTCCTCGGTAAGCGACAGAGGCCGCTGCGCCTGGGAAGGTCGAGACATGGCAATCCGTCAAAGAACTATTGTGACGACAGCTGAATGGACGAAGCTCAAGTCACGTCGCGGCGCGGGGGAATCCAAAGCGGTGTGAGAGGGCTCGGCGATAAGGGCCGAGTGGGGTCATGTGGCAAGATAAGCAACCATCAGAGCATCAAGGCATCACAGCATCATCATCGTCTCTTCTTCACTATCCAGGTGAGATTCTGTGAGGGATCGTTGAGAGTCGTCATGCCAGCACCACTTGCAAAAGGTACAGACTTCTGCTTTGTTGGGTTTGGACATTCCGGTCCATCCGGGCTCTTATCAGCCCTGAACTAACCTCACCAGGTATCATTATCACTGTCTCTGTCCTCGTTGCAGCAGGCATCGCCGTATACGAGTCTCCACAGTTTAAGCAATGGGTCACAACTTCGCGGCGTAAAATCGCCTTAGCTCTTCACAACCTCGGTGATGAGATTCAACCACGGGAGACAGTCAAGGAGGATATCTCCATGTCCGAGGAAGTTGGAGAGGTCGCTGAAGAACGCAGGCGGATTGCCCGCGCTGAAATTTTGCGTCGAGGTACGCTCATGGAATCACAGCGCAAGACTCAGTCAGATCAAGCTCTCGGTAGCTTTGACACCCTTGTGGACAACGATGGCAACTTACGGGCCACTAAATACATCTCCGATGCCCCTTCAAGCCCAGTAGTTGGCGCTAACTCGACCGGGGTTGAAATTGGCACCACAGAGGCTGTCCGACGAGGAGGTAAACAGACCCAGGCTGATCTCCCGAACATGGACGCAGATCGATTGCATCTTGAGATCCCTTCAGCTCCTGCTTCAACCCATCCATCGGAATCTATGATTCAATTCACGCCTACTTCCGAAACCCCAGACCAAGACAGCCTCTTTGACCCTTTCTCGCCCAGCTCACCCCTTTCCGCCTCTGGCTCTTCCAGTTCGAGCCGCACAGAAGATCACCAGCAGACATATTATGCTCACCCTCACTCTCCAGTCAACCATACTTACCAGCACGATCTACTTGCTGACTTAGATGATTTCGGTCATGGAAATATCCACCCAGCTCATGATGTCTCGGCTGCCCCTTCTACAACTGGCACATTTAGTCACGTCGGGGAATTCAACGATGAAACTTCAGATGGTACTCTTAGTGACCTCGGTGGACGCTCGGTCAGCGGCGCAGCTACTCCTGCAAGCTGGTCTGAGATTGGAAGTGTGATTAGCGATGAGGACGCTACTCATCAACAGTTGCTATGATGATGTTGGGATATTGTGGGAACGGATCTTACTATGGCGTGGGCTCATTTGGTTAGATATGAATTTGCTGTGATTGGAGTATGGCGCGACAATATTATATGGCTGCTCTTCTATCTTGATGTGACGGTTCCACTGGCTTTGATACAGTACGTGGCCCACGTTGGCGACGTACCGAGCAAAATAATCACCTTGGGGTCAAATATTGTTATAGCATAGTTTTTGATACACGAAATAAGAGTCATAATTCTTCCTTTGGGCTTAAGGATCCATATAACGGGACTTATCGATGTATTCTTACGCTATCAAGTATTCAAAGTTCCTTCATAGAGCTTCGAAAGCCAGTATGCCTGTCCATACACCATTTGGATCCCAGTTTGGCCTCTTTGTGCCCGTTGTCCAGTGTTTCGGGTCAATGGAATATATCATTCGATGTGAAAGTATTGTTGGGGTTCTGTTGTACAATAACAAGTCTGGGATCTGACTTTCCGCGCACTTGACTTCAAGAACTCATATCAGTCCACATAACAAATATAACCCAGACGAAAAGGGAAGGGGGAAAAGGAAAACAAGTTCCAAAAGCAAGAAATATATAATGAAGATGATCTGATTAAGTATGGTCTAATCTATCAACAGCGGTCGCGTCTCTATGCGTTTGTTCTTTTTCTTCGAACCACTCGCTGCCTCCAATGCAATAGCAAAAATAGAGAAATAAAGGTCAGTCCCTCATGGAGCAAGGCAAAAAGCACCACAATAATGGACAACGATATATATATGGGAATTGAGAAAAAAAAGCGTAAAGGAGCCAAAAGTAGAGTACCCCGAAGGTGAGATATGGGGAAGTGCCGATCCCAGGAGACATGGCGTAAAGCTTGATAGTTTTAATCCATGAAGAGCACCAGGATCATTTATTCAGAGCGTGCGCTTTTCGTCTTTTTACTTCTGAGCTTCATCATCAAGAAGACCAAGGCATAAGAAGACAGGCAGAAAAGGGCTGTAATGCCAATCTACAGAATTTAGTTAGTAAAAAGGACAGTTGAAGTCGACCAAGGAATACTGACATCTCTCCAGGTATAGTATTTCTCCCGGATGTTGAATGTTTTCGCGTAATCAGCGCCCTGGGAGTATTGACAGAATGAACATGATCCGGTGGAGTTTGCGTCGAGCAGGTAGCCAGTCTGGGTTGCGAGGAAATCGGCCATGTAGTCACCACAAGTCTGCCCAGAAGGAGCAGTGAATTTCACAAACTCTGAAGCCTCGCATTTGACCTTGACGTCCCAGATCACTGGACCAAACAGTCCACCAACCAGATAGGTGAAGGGGTCCAGGTAGTACATCCAGAAGCGCCAGAATGGCTGCATAGCTGAGTATGGGACGACCACACCACAGAAACTGACAAGACCAGCTCCAATGAGAACTGGGTTCATGACGGCGGCGAAGTACTCATTTGGCGCATAGGCTGCAATAGCCTGTCCAATCGAGGTATAAAGGAACTCATAGACTAGTTTCTTGTTAGTGCCAGTATGGAAGTCCAAGTATGATAGCACTTACAGATCATTTGAAGATAAATTTGACCGGAAACACTCGGTGTTGCGGGGAATCCTGCGGTGAAGTACCAGCATAGGAAGTATAGCGTGGCACAGATAATCAGGTAAGGAATCTCAGTGATAGTCTGCGCTCCAATGAAAGCAATCCAACTGTAGGTTTTAGACTAAACAGAAGTATAAATGTCAGCTTTGGACGTATCCCAATATCGGCTCCGCTGCTTACCTTCTTCTCTCTAGTTTCAAAGATGTCTCGGTTGTGCAGGAAGAACGGTTGCATCTGGTTAATACATCCAGGGGCGACGAAAATGAAGTTGAAAATGGCAAAGAGTCTGAGCTGAAGTGCGAAGGTGCCATTACCAATTTTCCAGAATGTGAAACCACTGAAAAGTGCGGCAAAAATGTGAAGAATGATCTTGTTCCACATGTAATCCTATAGGTTAAGCGAGTTAGCTTTTGAGTCCATACTGTAGTGACTTTTTGTGGCAAGATACCGGTGACCGCCAGATATGAACACTAAGGCGCTTGGAGACTTCCATAAACTGGAACCAGTGAGAAGTGGCATAGTCAGACGTATCTTCAACATAATCTGCACCAGCCTTGCTGGACTCATTGAGCGCGTCCAACTGGGCGAGAGCCTTTTCGCGCTCCTCTGAGTGGTTCCAAACGTCGACCCAGTCCGTTTTGCCAGTGGAACCTCCTTGGATGACATCGATGATATGTTCTGCAGGGTTGGCGTCCGGGGGGCATGGCGCTCCGTTTTTGTCGAAGTACTCGAGAATTTTGTGAGATTCTTTGCCTGTTTCTCCAAAGTACGCCATTTTTCCACCCTTGGCCAGCAAAAGAAGGCCATCGAAGGCATCGAATAGCACCGCAGAAGGTTGATGAATAGTGCACTAAGAACAGTTAATACCTTTCCAAATAGATTAGTATGCATGCGTCTTACCAGAACAGCTTGTCCTCCATCGACCAATCGTCGGAGGAAACGCAAAATGTTGAACGCACTTTGTCCATCAAGACCCGAAGTTGGCTCATCCAAGAACAACAATGTAGGCTTTGCGACAAGTTCGACACCAAGCGTAACACGCTTCCGCTGCTCAATACTAAGACCAGCACCGGGGACTATGTTCATGTCAGTCTTCTCACCCGTAGCGTTGCAGAATTTAAGCGAGCTTACCTCCGATGAGAGCATCACTGATATCTCTCAGTTCCAAAAGGTCAATAATGTGGTCAACATAGGCAATCTTCTCTTCATATGACACGCCGGATGGTTGTCGAAGAATGGCCGAGAAACGAAGAGCTTCCTGGACAGTAGCGGTTTCGAGGTGGACATCCATCTGCTCACAGTATCCTGTAGTTCGCTGGAAACTGATTCCGACAGGTCGACCGTCAATCAAAACTGAGCCAACAATCTCTCCACTATCCTTTCGCTGTGCCAGTACATCCAAGAGTGTTGTTTTACCAGCTCCGGAGGCTCCCATCAAGGCGACCAAGTTTCCAGGTTGAACAAATCCAAAGACCTTGTTGAGAAGTTGCTTCTTTTCACCGTGGAAGGGCACATGGTAGTCAAGATCCTTCCAAGTGAAGGTTGATTGCTTGACAGATCCCAAGAGAGCACTTGGGTCTGCTAGTTCTCGTGACTGTGAGGCCTCGGTCTCTTTCTTCTTCTCGCTACCACGCTTGTAAAGTAGAACAGAAGAGCCGCTTTGGCTGTTTCGCAGTTCAAGGCCAACGGATGTCAAGAAGATGAAGAAAATCCAGAATCCAGCAAGAATTCCGAAGCTTCTCCAGACATGGTGGTAGGAGTAACTGTACTGTTCCTTGATGTATTTCGCTCCATCGATCATGCCTTGGTCGTCACTTCCAAGTACCGAGCATCCACGATGCGAAGATGCGGAGCTGGAGTATCCAGCTCCATATGGAATGTAGTCAGGCTCAATACACTTCAAGCTTCTGCCAACGAATTCGTTCGCCATCAAAGCCTCAAATGCATATGCACCAGGATTAAGATAGAAGATCCATCGGAACCAGACGTGCATCTTATGGAATGGAATAAGGTAACCTGTCTCATGTGAGTCTCGTGTGCCTAATTTCGATCAATGGTAATCTTACCTCCATAGACAAAGAAGACAGTGGAAAGCAAACCGGAGATCTTGGACGCATTTCCGAAGGTTTTGCATACAGCACCCACTGATCGGAAAAGTTGAACAAAACACAGTGTCAGTATGATGACGATGATCCAGAAGGTGAAGAACCTTCCGGCATCCATCTGCAGGGCAGCCATGAAGTAGAGGATTAGTGAGAAACAGGTAACTTGGACCACCACAACTGGGATATCAGTTATAGCGTTGGCGATGGCGAAGGCTGTAGGGCGATAGAATCCAAATCGCTTTTGACGTGATAGAATCGGCCTGCCCATGTATGACCCTACTGTTTCAGACAGCGATTCAAGCAAGAAGTAGAGGACAGGGAAGAATAACACTCCAGGACGCAAGAAGATGGAGCTGCTGTCGTCTTTCAGGTTGTAGAACAAACTACCACACACAAGAGCTTGGATAATCGCCGAGGAGACCTTAACCATCTAAAGAAGCAGTTAGTATCAATTGTTGACTCCCCGTTCATAGCGTCCACTTACCAGAGAGAATTTGTCTCCCCACATAATTTGGAACTGTCGAGTCGTGCAAGCTCCGATCTGAGACCACAAGCTGGCTGTGTAAGGACTTGTCTTGCGTGGAATATGTTGCTTTCCCTTTTCGCTAGCCACCGCCATCTCCATATCTTCGGTCTCATAAGCGAGTTTCTCGGGAGGGACAATAGAATCGAGCTGTTCTCTGTAAACGGTGCTGTTGTGATAGCAGGACTCGAAATCCTCTGGGGTGTTTGGCACTTTCTCTTCCCAGCCGGGTCGCACTGTGCGCTCAGTCAAGACGGTCACTGAAGTGAGGAAGTCGGCGATATTGGCGCCCTTGGGGCAAATAAATCCGAGATCTTCGTAGTATTTTCGAGCGAGACGGCGAGGACCATAGTAAGTGACCCGACCTTCGGCCAACACCAAAACCTTGTCGAACTGGTCATAAATCCCGTTTCCAGCTTGATAGGTGGTGGTGATGATAGTCTTGTCGTTCCTATCGGCTTCACGACGGAGCATTCGAGCAAATTCCACAGCTGATTTGGAATCTAAGCCTCGAGTCGGGTTGTCCCACATCTGAACAGGACTCTGCATTTGAGTCAGCATCTAGAAAGGCCGGTTTGAAACTCGTCAACTTACCTGTCCTGCCATGACTTCGGCCAACGAGACACGCTTGCGCTCACCACCAGAAACACCCCGAATGAACTCGTTACCGACCATGGTCTTCTTTGTATGACTGATTCCGAGGGAATCCAGAATACCATCACGATGGTCTTGGACGAAGTCCTTTCGGTTTTTCAATTGTTCAGGGCGTTCACTGGGAACTTTGTTGCGGAGAGCAAATTTGATTGTTCGGTTCACAGATAGCGTTGCAAAATGAAGATCGTCTGAAGTAAATTCAAGGTAAGCGTTGGACTCAACATGAATTCAACCTTTCCATACCTTCATTGTTGAACATGATCTGCTGCCGATAGCGTTTGGCTTCTTTGTGGTCCATGGCGCCGTAGTTGGTAGTTCCAGATACTTCGTCGAAGCTATCACGATCATTTGCGAGGACGCGTAGAAGGGATGTACATCCGGAGCCTGGACGTCCCAAAACAAGAAGCTATTCAAGTCAACATTGCGTTCAGGTGTCTGTAAGGATCCGAGTGGGAAAGTATACCATTTCTCCAGGTCTAATTTGACCAGCGAGATCTTTGAGAATTGTCTGAAAAATATGTCAGTATGAAATCTTCGATTTGTCGAGATATCTGTACTCTTTTGGGCCGATTTCCACGCTTAATTAAGCTTCCGATCTGTCGTGGATCGACTTCTGACCACAGCGTACTTCCTAATGCGGCATCTGGTGCTGTGACTCGAACATTGAGATCTCGGAAAGTCACTGTCAAGCGTTTCCGAATCTGGTCTTGTCCATTTTCCAGATCGACGGGCGTCGCTGTGCCCGAAGATGGAGTTTCCATGGCGGGCAGTTAATACCAGCTAAAGTGGTGGAAGAAGTGTATGTGAAGTCAATATAAATGACGGTTCAGGAACAATCTGGAAGGCGAAAAGGTATCTCGAGCGTCTTATTATCTAGAAAGACACCCATGAACCCTTTTATTGCAGATTTATCGGGTCTACACATTGTAAATCCATAATGCCGAGATGTGTGGACCTGCCCGTAGATAGGCGGATTCGTTCCAAGTAGGACGGCTCATGGCCGAGATATGCCTGTACAATAATCAGCCTATGAAAAGATCGTCTTGACATCAATATCGTATTAGCGGATCTTTTCGGATATACACCCTCGGACGCCTCAAAGACCCGCCTTGGCAAAGGCGAGCTGTCATTGGCTGAGTTCCGCTTTTTGTGGCTTCCAGAGCTCTGCAAGAACGATCCCGCTGGAACTACGGATATACAAAAACCAGACGATTGGCGTTAGCGAGTAGCTGTGGGGGATGTTTCTTAGAATAAAACAGGGGCTGACCCAGTTAGTTCATTTTTCACGCTCTCAGGCCCGAATTTAGACCATAAGAGTCACTGATGAAACGCGTGCAGCATACGTGGAAACGCGCATAATTCTGAGGTTCGAAACTTTTGGCCCACTTCCATAGATCAAGTCCGTAGAAAGGTTCCCGGAGAAATAAAGCTATGAAGTGACGTATGACAAGATCTAAATGACTTACAGTCCATCCCAACCCCCTTCTCCAATAGGCGATTGTTGGATGAACTGAAGGTCTCTCCAGGCAAGGGGGTTTCTAGTCCAAACCTAATAGGTCAGTGCGTCATTGGACTGATAGACAGAAAAGAATGCTTCAAGATCCATGGTAGAAAAGTCAAAGTCCCAGCCCATGTCAGCCTGCGTAAAATCAAGCAATTCCTCTCCAGAACCGCCAGATGCTCCCGTTTCTGGAATTTCAAGCTGTGGGAGATTCCAAGGTGATACCGGCATATCCGGGCGGTACCCAAAGGATAATCCCTGAGAGATAGCAGCATCATTCACAATTGAACGATCCGTGCGTTGATGAGAAAGTCCATGTGGTGTGGTTGTTGTCATTTCTGGCTGCCCGATTGGTTCTCCCATGATAGCCGGATATGAAGACCATCCGTATGACGGGTTGATTTTGCAAAGCACAGTTTGCAAGGCTGAAATTGTACTTGTGATAGGGTCACCTGCGCGCATTGTGGAGAGGTTTTGCATGGCAGCGTAAATCCATGGTAGATAACAGGATGCGACGTTCGGGTTATGAATCAACTCGTAAATGAGAGTGAAAGTAGAGCTTCCCATAAAATAGCCGTGGTAGCGAAGTTGCTACATTATGATGAGTTGAAGGTCTGGAAATGGCTGACAATTTACTTACCAGAACCAAATCATTGAGTCTAGAAGCCTGACACAAATGATAAAGGGTTTTTTGGGCAGCAGTGGTAGCATGGTTACAAGCCTCGTTGAGCCAAGATGGCGTTTCTGTGGGGCGGTTTCCAGTATTGTCCTTGGATCTGTTGAGCGACATTTTTAAATCACGCTGCCAGTGGCCACGGAATATCAAAAATGGGCGGAAGGTAAGAAGCATAGTGTGATAGTATACTGAGCAAGATCAGGTCAGTGCCAAACGCATTTTGAGCATTTCTTTTTCTTACGGGTGGTGAATATAGTTTGCTGGACCCCAAGGGATCCAGTTTGTATGCCAGAATCAAGACCGATTCCTAAAGCTTGTTTCATGTGTGCTTCGTGGCCACGGAGGTCATCTGCGATGCTGCGTGCGACCTTCCACATATGTAACAAAGATTCATGTCTTTGGCCATAGATCTCATCAGAGGACCGAGTAATGGTTTTGCAAAGCCCTGCCAATAATCGAATGAAAGGATTATGTGCCACGTCAATAGCAACGTCCTTCAGTGATAGAGATGAAGGACGGCCGGCATGAAAGCAAAACCAACTGTTTTAGAATTTATAAGCGATATATAACCCAGATTTAGATTGTCATACATACGTTTCGTAAGCGTAAAGAGACCAGAATGTGACTCTCCGTTCTTCAAGGTTTGCCGGCGATTGATCAATGTTGTCGGGAACATCCTTATGCATGCCAGCTGCTAGAGCCTTCCTAGTAGCTGTGCCAAGGTGTAAGAATGCCGCATTAGGGCGACCTTGTTCATTCTGGTAGTTGCCGTATGAACGTTGGTATGTCAGCAGCCGTGTAGAAACGCAAAAGAGGGGTGACTTATCATAAGCATTGCAACCTGAATGGTTTGGAGATTCACGACATCATCAAATGCTGTCATTGAAGCCTTGACACGCTCAAACAATATGTCACCCCAGGAGTAGTGGTCTGTGCCAAGGGACATACACGCCAAGGCGAGCAAGATGATTGACTGGGTGAGGGTGTCTAAAGTGTTTGTGGGGGAAGAATGATATAACTGATCAAGACACTGCTCATACCATATTGTAGGACGATGTGGCAGCATATGATAGAGAGAAGATAGATATCTTGACATGAACAACTTGGCCAGGTCATACGGAAGGAACATCACAGGGACATCCCCTAGCCCATTGGGCCTGTTGTTTTCATGTGAATCGGGTGTTCCGAAGAATATCCGACGAAAAGAGAACAGGTCCAAGCCAGCTGAGGCTTCGACAACACCTTCAGACGATTCAGGCTGGGCAGTCGGATGTGACATCAGATCTCTATAGACGTGTTGCATTAGAGAGAAGTGAGAGGTCGGCCCATAGTATAATTGCTACAAATATTCAATCAGAGATAAGAAATTTGATCCACTTGTTTGCAGAACGTACCATTGAGCATGACGGAGAAGCCTGTTGGGTTGCCGAGACACTCTTCGGAAACCCCTGCATAACAGTTGATGTTTGCTGTGAGGATTGAGCCGAGATCGGATCTGAACGAGGCGAGTTTCTTGGACTAGATTCTCCATGTTCATTTTTCTTGCGACGATGCCGAATATAGTCTCTGTATACACATTCTGTGTTCCGTAACTGACAAGTTTTGCACCTCGTTGGGGGGTAAGTACGAAGCAATGAAGCTATCCACCGGTGTACTCACGGATTTGAGCCATTGCACTTGATTTTGCGCTTGCGACATTCTTGACAAGCGCGAGGGATCCGCCAGCCTGGAGGATGTTCCTCCATATCTCAAAAGTACTCTAGATCTGGGGACTTGCAGTTGTTTAATCCGACGTCTTGGTCCGCATATCCGGATGACAAAGGCGATGACATAATGAATTATATAAGCTCTGAAGGATTTGTAAGATATAACATAATCAGTTGACTGGGCAGGTGACTTCCCAGCTATTGAGAATGTGATCTGATTTGCTATTCCGCATATCGACATACATACAGTACTGTACTGCAGTTGTTCACCTGGCCATGATCTGCGTACAAATGGGGCCCTCTACAGTACCATATCGCCATACCCAGATATCTATCCGATCGGATTCGCTTCGGATCGGATACTTTGACAGGCCAACTTTATTAAGCGAGTCGCCTCCTACCAGACCGCGGGTCGCCCAGCGCCCCCTATTGGCTTCCTTGGCGTTTACGAGGACCGCAGCGAATCGATCACCTCGGGCTGACACGAAGATTGGAAGTGGCTGGTCAGCAAACAAGCCCAGAGTGTCGGATGAGAGATTCGGCATTTCCCTGAGAACTTTTTAGTTCGGGAAAACCCCAGATTCTGAGCTCCGCGTGGATCCCCAAAATCTGGAGAAGTCGGATCCAGTGTGGGGGAAGCATAAGTCTGCATGTCATCGAAGGCTATGGCCAAGACTGTGTTTGCCCGACCGATATCTTTTGGCCAATATTACCCGTCAAATTGCTGGCAACTGCTACTATGATTGGACCTTCCGATATTTCCCTTGCCGTGCCAAGGACCCTGCTATCTTCCACGCACGCCAGGGTTCAGTTCCACTCTTGGCAAACGGCATATTGAGCTTGGAGACTTGTGCAGGAAGAGCCGAACAGCCAAGATTCACACGACTTTCCCCCCGCAACCCCAGACTTTTCTTTCTTTTCGGCTCTTCCGATCGGCTTACCAGGGCGAGCTATATAATGCCTGTCTGCATCTGACTCTCACTCCGTATCACCCGAGTCATCTTTCACCTGAGCTATTTCCCACCCTCTTCCTCATTTCCTAGACCTTGTGTCTGTTGACCCGTCTCAATATGGCCAATGTCGAGGCAGGCAATATGCCAGTCAACGACGAAAAGGCCATCGCTCATCATAAAGAAAGTATGGGGGGAGACGGTGCCCATGATGCTGCAGAAAGAGGCTATCTGGCCACGGATGAACATGGCCAAGCTCTGGTGGAGTTTGACAAGGCCGCCGAGTCACGATTGCGGCTGAAGATTGACTTGTACATTGTTCCAACCGTGGCAGTGATGTACCTGTTTTGCTTTATTGATCGAGCCAACATTGGTACGTCAGCCATTCTCCGTCATGCGTGAGCCGACTAACCCCTGAATAGGAAATGCCAAGCTAGCTGGCTTTGACAAGGATCTTGGTCTTGTAGGCTATGATTACAACAAAGTGCTCTCGGTCTTCTTCATCTCGTATATCATCTTTGAAATTCCCAGTAATCTCATGTGCAAATGGGTCGGTCCTGGTTGGTGGCTCCCTGCCATTACTCTTGGATTTGGCATTTGCTCTGTCGCCACGGCATTTGTGCATGACATTCATAGCGCATCTGGGGTCCGCTTCCTGTTGGGGTATGTTTCTTGGGACGGTGGCTGGTTTCCTTGCTGACCATTCGTAGTATCTTCGAGGCAGGTCTGCTACCCGGAATTGCATACTACCTTTCCCGTTGGTATCGCCGAAGTGAACTTGCTTTTCGTCTGTCCTTGTATATTGTTATGGCTCCGCTGGCCGGAGCCTTTGGTGGTCTCCTGGCCTCGGGTATCTTGAAGCTCGATCATTTTGGCTCTCTCCACACTTGGCGAATGATTTTTGCCATTGAGGGTATTGTCACCATTGGGATTGGTGTTATTGCATTCTTCACATTGACCGACCGGCCGGAGACGGCTCGGTGGCTCTCACAGGAGGAAAAGGATCTGGCAATTGCTCGTGTCAAGTCCGAACGCGTGGGCACGACGGAAGTCCTCGAAAAACTTGACGTACCGAAGACCCTACGTGGTATTTTCAGTCCAGTGACCCTCACCACGGCGCTCATCTTCCTATTGAACAATATTACTGTTCAGGGTCTTGGATTCTTTGCTCCCACCATTGTGAAAACCATCTATCCCGACGCCTCTGTGATTTCTCAGCAACTGCACACAGTCCCTCCCTATATTGTTGGAGGCTTCTTCACCGTGTTGTTCCCTTTCCTCAGTTGGCGCTTTGATAATCGACTGATCTTCTTTATTATCTGTCCACCGTTGATGATGACTGGTAAGAGAACCCCCCACCATATCCACAAGACGTGTCTAATGGGATTGATATAGGTTATATCATGTTCCTCGCTAGCGAAGACAGCATGGTCCGATATGGGGCCACCTTTATCATCGCCAGCGGGGCCTTTGCCTTCGGTGCGCTATGTACAGCCCATGCCTCGGCGAATGTCGTGTCCGATACGGCGCGATCATCGGCTATTGGCACGACGGTTATGTTTGGCAATGTGGGCGGTCTCATCAGCACCTGGTCCTTTCTCCCCTCGGACGCTCCCAATTACCACATTGGTAATGGACTCAACTTGGCAACCTCGAGCACCATCCTCCTGCTCGGGGCTTCGTTGTGGGCGTATATGGCCTGGGACAATCGCCGCCGTGAGCGAGTAGATGTGGCCGGTGTCTTGGCGGGACTTTCGCGCAAACAGATCCAGGACCTTGACTGGCGCAACCCTGGATTCCGTTGGCGGCCCTAGTCTCGGCCGCTGCTGGACTCGGTCTCGAACTTCTTCTTATCTTCCGGTCTTCGGTGGTGACCCAGTTTGATTTCTGTGGCAGTTGTAAACAACCTCTCTACGTAGATACCTGAATGACATTCTTTGCTTCGAATTCCATCCAGATCCAGATCACCAAGAATTTGCTACTAGTGTACGTCTGATATGCACGATCTATGCAGTCTCCAAGTGTTCTTTCTGTCTGCCCTAGACGATGACGATCTCTCCGTAGATCAAACCTCACGGCCGAAGAACGGACCTGATTCTAGATCCCTGCACATCCAAGTTCCTGATATCGGCATCTGGCCGCGTTGAATAAGGTTATATGCCTCAACTCGAGTCCCAGACTTCTCGGCACGAAACTCTCCTTGAGACACATACACACACACACACACACCGAGAGAGACTTCCTCGACGAAGAGAGACCGCGATAGGGACAGGGATCGGCATGTCCATGCGCACCCCACGCCAAGTCCCGGATTATCTTCCCAGAAGGGAATCAAAGGGCCGCGGGCCAATGGAAGACTTGACATCTGTCATGGATGGACTCTCCAGAGTTTCGCCCCAACTCTCTTGATGACATTTCGGACAGTTTCCGAAAGTTACCCTGCCCACCCACACGTGGAGAAGCGGCAGCTGTCGCTTGGCAGTCCAAATACCGACAGGGACTGCATCCAGAGATGAACCCCGACACACTGAGAGGCAACCGAAAAGCCGAAAAGCAGAAGAGCAGAAGAGCAGAAAAGCAAGAAATCCCAATGGCCATATTGTTCACGGGCTCGGGCGTCTCCGGCCAACAAGCTGGGAGGGAAGCCGACACGGCGTCGCCGTCAAATGAGGATCGAGTCCAGCCGGGATCCAAGCTCTCTTGGCACGATGTTCCCCAGCCTTGGCTGTAACATCCAACACCCCGATGATCGGGCGACCAATTCCGGGGGAGTTTTATGGGGAAATGTCGGGATGTGAAAGAAAGAGAGAGAGAGGGGCTCATGGCTCATGTTCTTTGTCTCTCCAGGTTTTCTCTCCCCCGCATGGGGAAATATTGGCATCTTCGGAGTATAAATCCTTGACCTGCACTTTTTCTCATTGACTTTCTTTTTTTTTGTTTCTCTACCTCAGTCTTCTTTTTTTCTTTATCACTGTTCAATCCGCTATCATGGCCGGTGGAGCGAAGAAGCCAGTCAATATCTTCCGCCTCAAGGATCTCGGCGAACCCAAGCAGGTCTTCAATTGGCGACTATGGTTTGCCGTGGTCTCCTTTGGTCTCATGGGCGCTGCACGAGGTGTCGATGAGGGTTTAATCTCGGGGGCGTTCAATTCAAAGGATTTCCAACAATACATCAACTATGATACATACAGCGAGGTGGAACAAACCAACATCAAGGGCAATGTCACGGCCATGGTCCAGATTGGATCTGTCGGTGGTGCTCTCTTGTACGTCGGATGCAATATAAATGGGGTTCTCCCTTTCACTAACAGATGGCAGTGCATTCTTAGTCTGTGATCGCATCGGTCGTATTTGGGCCACCCGCCAGCTGTGTATCATCTGGATGGTCGGCATTGCGATCTTCATGGGGAATTCGGGCAGTCTGGGGGCAGTTTATGCGGGTCGCTTTATTGCTGGTCTGGGAGTTGGTCAGACAGTAGTCGTCGCCCCGGTCTATTTGGCAGAGATTGTGAGCAACCCCGTTCAAGGCTTCATACAGGACACGACTAACTCGCAAGCAACCAGGCTCCTGCTTCTATTCGAGGTCTTTGCACTTGTGTTTTCACTGGCTTTGTCTATCTGGGTATTGTACTCGCCTACTTTGCAAACTATGGCTGTGAACTGAATATGGGCGATAACACGCATAACCGCTGGGTATGTGAACTCTCTCTCTTTCTCTCTCTCAATGTCTGCCGTATACGTGCTGATGGAAGATATAGCTGGTTCCCACATCTCTGCACATCATCTTTTCCGGCCTGATCTTTCTTCTCTCCTTCGTGCAGTACGAATCTCCACGATACCTGGTCAAGCGTGGTCAGCTCGACAAGGCTATTTTCAATCTCTCGCGCATCCGTGGTCTGCCTGCCGACGATGAATATGTGATGCGGGAAATCACGACGATCCAGACCACACATGAGGCGGAGATGGAAGCGACAATGGGATCGGGTGCAATCGGTGTGCTCAAGGAAACCTTCTTGGTTCCCTCCAACCTCTATCGTGTCTACCTGACCTTCATGGCCCAGCTCCTCTCTCAGTGGTCTGGTGCGGGCAGTATCACTGTCTATGCTCCTGATTTATTCAAGCTACTGGGAGTCACTGGAAAGAACGAGAGTTTGCTAGTCACTGCCGTCTTCGGTATTATCAAGTTGGTCGCTGCCATTCTCTGCGCTCTTTTCCTAGTTGATGTGATTGGACGCAAGCGTGCCTTGCTATTGGGTATTACCCTTCAAGGTATCGCCATGGTCTATATCGCTGGCTTCTTGACTTCCGTCCCTGAAATGGGTGTCCTGGATGACTTCCAGCTCCCCGCTGATAAGAAGGGAGCAAGTGAAGGTGCTATCGCCATGATCTATGTTTCTGGATTCGGATGGGCTCTCGGCTGGAACTCCATGCAGTACCTATTGACGGCCGAATTGTTCCCTCTGCGTATCCGTGCGCTTTGCACCTCTATGGCTATGACTTTGCATTTTGCCAACCAGTATGGTAATGCGCGCGCTGTGCCCAATATGCTGCTTCCCGTGGCCAAGGGTGGAATTGATCCCAAGGGTACCTTCTGGTGCTTTGCTGCTATCACCGTTCTAGGTGGAATTTGGGTGTGGTTCAGCATTCCAGAGACAGCAGGCCGATCACTGGAGAGCATGGATCGCCTGTTCGCTCTACCATGGTATAAGATCGGCCGATATGGTAACCAGGATGCCGAGGAGCGTGATCAAGTTGTTAATGAGAAGATGGAGATGATGACCCAGTCGCACGGAACTGCTCAGCACGTTGAGAGACCGGATGCTGAACGTTGAACGTTGAGTGTCGCATTTTTAGTTTCTACTTGGCTGTGTTCTGTTGATCAAGGAGAATATCTTCTGGATAATGATACTATCATGATGAATGACCTAAATATAACAATTATTTGGTATAAATATATTATAAACCAAGGCCTGCTTCCTGTAACGCTTTTATAATGACGCTGTATAAAGATGAAATTAATTTGGCCACCTTTCAACTCCGAGCATCTTGACTTGAAAGACCAGACTCTGGCCTGTCCAAAGGAATGATCACAATCCTTGCCTTGAGACCCGCCTTGTCCCGCACTTTGGAACTAGACTGCAACGAGCTTGCGCTGGTATGAATGTTCATATTTTGCACATCGTTGAGGTATTCATCCGGCAAATCAACACGGATTAGAATACCTTTTTGTCTGAAGAAAGTCTCATTCCAGGAAGAAATGTGACGGGATAGGCGCTCTCCCTGGGCCCCGGCCAGGGCATAGATCAGATTTCTTTGTTCTTGTCGACGTCTAGCATTTCGGGCCACGAAAATGGCCGGCACGGCACCGAATAGACCGATCATTAGCCCGCCGACTGCGAAGGTCCCAAGACCTTTCCCGATCACAGTGGTCCATTGCTGGCGTGATAGCTTGGCTTCTTCGCAGACAACTTGGGTGAAATCTGCCCAGTTGTCTTGTGAGACGCCATAGTGGGATAATTCTTCTGGGTACTCGAACCCTGATGTGCAGTTGCGGGTGCGAGATGGTACCTGCAGACCTCTGCTGAGAGATGATGCAGCTGCAAATCCAGGCTCATCTTCATGTGGAAGAAGTATGGGAGCCTCGGCCTTCTCCGGGAGATCAGTAAAATCTTCCGAAGGGGAGTATGCTGGAGGATTGGATGTATTCATGACTGAAGCGTGCGTAGATGCCAGGAGCATTCTTTTGGTTTCTGAGGAGTATATTCAAGATGTTTTCAATCGAGATTTTATGGTTGTAGACTCTGGCATTCGCAACACACCAGACCTATGTAGACTTTATACCCATGTCGCTCTCCAAGTAAGCGTGTTCCGTCTCTCTCTCTTTCCAAAGCAACATGGTGGCAGTGCTGCCTGAAGGCTCCGGCATAGAGTCACAATCTAACTTTGAATCCTTCTAGGCCTCTCAAATTGTCGTATTGAGCAAGTCAAGTGGCCAATGTGCGGTGTTGAAAGGTGGAAGTTGAGGACCAAAGCGCCAAGCCCAATTGGCCGCAGTCAGTCGTGAGTCACTGGGGGACGTGCCACCTCTCTCCATCTTCACCTTCACCTCTTCACTATGACGACTCGCTATCGCGTTGAATGTAAATGACTCGTATTCTTTGTTGAGTGCTTTTGCTGACCAATTCCAGATGCCCTCAAGGTAACTTATGATTTTTCCAGGTCATCTCCGGACCCCCCTCACTAACTCCGCAGTAGACCCATCGTCGGGATCAACTAGTAAGTCATCACTCTGGACAAAAACAGGGAATTTGTGCTGACGGGCTTGCAGATTGAATGGATCAAAGTATGTTCTAAGCGTATCTCATCTCCTGGACGGTTCTGATCTCTTCTCCCCCGATCCCCAGGGTCTACTGGCTGTCCCCTTTGTTTTGCATTCCCAGCCCACCGCTATTTACCAGGAACATGGCGAAGGCCTGAAATCGGTCGCCGCCGACACCCACTTGCGCTATGCAGAGATTATGCGTGATGTGGAGAACCTGATGCTGGATCATAGTAAGAAATCTGTCCACCGATTGCGATCTCTAAACTGATGCCTAGAAGTTCACCACCATGAACGCAACGCACCTGGCAAATCCAAGTTGAATTTGCTGGTGCCTACAGTCGGTACTTTTTTCACCCAGTTATATCTGGAGGATGCTTTCAAGTATCAGGATCAGCAGCGGTTTATCAGTCGGCGCAGATTCGTCGCTCCGTCGTTCAACGATATCCGACTCATCTTAAACTCCGCCCAACTATTGGGTCTTGTTCGCTCCAGTGAAGTTCAATTAGTCACATTCGATGGAGATGTCACTCTCTATGATGATGGCGCATGCCTTACTCCCGACAATATAGTCATCCCCCGGATTCTGCGACTCTTGCAGCGGGACTGCAAGGTCGGCATTGTGACCGCCGCCGGATACACCGAGGCACCCAAGTACTACGAGCGACTGCAGGGACTTTTGGATGCGATGTATGAGTCGACTTCGTTGACGACTGCGCAAAAACAAGGGTTGGTTGTCATGGGTGGTGAGAGCAATTTTTTGTTCCGCTATGATCCAACATCAGAGGCTCGGTTAAGCTACGTGCCGCGGACCGAGTGGCTATTGGATGAGATGCGAGCCTGGAGTGAAAACGATATTACCCAGCTGCTCGATATTGCGGAGTCGGCATTACGTGCCTGTGCCGAGAATCTCAATCTGCCAGCTGCTATTCTGCGCAAGGATCGAGCAGTGGGTGTATACCCTCTCAATGGTGTTCGGATCAATCGGGAACAGTTAGAAGAAACGGTCTTAGTTGTGCAAAATACAGTGCAACGATCAGTTGTTGGATCCCGGCTGCCTTTTTGTGCTTTCAACGGTATGTTCCTGCGACATGAGAGAGACACAAGCTGACTTTTATAGGCGGAAATGATGTGTTTGTGGATATTGGTGACAAGTCATGGGGTGTACGTGCTTGCCAGCAATACTTTGGTGGAATTGATCCATCGAAGACACTGCATGTTGGTGATCAGTTCTTGTCCGCCGGAGCTAACGACTTCAAGGTATGACACGATCCCTCTTTATTGTGAATCGGACTAACTTTTCAGGCTCGTCTTGCATCCACAACTGCCTGGATTGCGAGCCCCGCTGAGACTGTGGAGCTCCTAGATGAGTTGGAAAAGGCAGTTCACTCGAAATGAAGACTGTCTGCCGGTAATCCGCTTCACAACGCATATTTCGGACCATTTATTGAGTCTACTTGGAAGGCATCTACTTTGAATCTTGCTTGGCATTTTCTGTTAAACTTGGGCATTTCAATTTCATTCGAAGTTATTGTATTGGAATTCTATCTGCAAGTCTGTCTAGGTCCAACGAACCAAGAGTCTTGGGAGCATAGAAAGGAATCGTAACAAAGGAAATTCCACCCGAACTCCCAGGCATAAATGTAACCCATATCCAAGCTTGGCTCTGGGAGTTTTATTGCATAGCATCATACAAAGCGTAAAGGACGTGTAGCGTTACGACCGGCTCAAAAATCAGCACGTGGCTCACCGGCCAGTGTTGGGGGAGACCTCAAGAGAGTCGTGGGTATCGGTGTGGATTCCACGGTTGGTTCGAAAAAGCTTCATCGGTGGAAGTCTCTTCAGGGGGAATTGGGGACTGACGGAACAGATTGAACAGTCACAGGATCTGGAAGTCAAGCGAAAGAAATCGTTAACATTTGTTATAGAAGGCGAAGCATGACCAGATCCAAAGATCGATCCTCAAGATGAAATTGAGGGAGGTGAAACAGCAATAAGGGTTGTTGTCAGTTACGTACTCTCATAGCAGGACCAGCCCTCGTTAGTGCCCGCGTTGGAGCGGCCAGACAAGACGTTGACGACATTCTGCAACTCAAGCCAGAACTCGGACTTGGGACGACGGCGAGTCCAGTCAGTTTCGGTGGCCTCCAGGCCAGTGTCACCGCCCATGGGCGAGAACAAGACCTGAGAGCCCTTAACACCAATGACGGCAGAGGACAAGGGGTCAGCGGCGATGGCATCCCGGCTTTGACCGGAGTATCCTTCGATGTGCTGCATACACCTGATAGCCATACGCAAAGCACGTACACGATCCATGGGGGACGGCTTTCCACCTTGCTGGAAGTGACCGGGGACAGCGGCACGAGACTCGAAACGTCCCTTTGCCTCTTCCTTGATCATATCGGCAATCACCTGAGTAGTGTAGGTTCCGGAGGCGCATTCATTGCGCAGAATAATTTTACCCGCACGGTTAGCACCCTTGTCACGGATGAAGTTGTCGCGCAGGAAATCAATGTCGCGCGAAAGCATCTTGATATCAACACCCTCCTCGGGGATGTACACTGCCACAGCACCAACTGCCAGACCAGCTGTGGTCGCGATGTATCCTGACTTGCCACCTTGAGTTTCAATCACGAAGACACGACGACGAGAAGAGGATGCGGATTGACGAATGGCATCACAGAAGTCAATCAAAGTGTTGAGACAAGTGTCGCTACCCAGTGAGTATTCAGTACCGGGAACGTTGTTGGAGATGGTAGCTGGGAGCACGACGAGCGGGATCTTGAAGGCATCATACTTCTGGCGGGCCTGGCGCAGCTCGCTGACAGCCGTGAAAGCCTCGAAACCACCAACCACGAACAATGCGTCAAACTTGTATAGCTCAAAGCACTTGGCGGTGTTCTCCATATCAGCACTGGGAAGGCTACGGTTAGTTCCAATATCCGAACCACCCTCGTTGACCCAGCTATCGGCCTCTAGCCAGGTAACTTCTCGAACAGAGCTGACTGGCTTGTCATCATGATGGCGACACAGTCCGGGGAAACCGTTATGAATAGCCAGCGGGGTGTGGCCACGGGTCAAACAGTACGCAACGGCGGCACGAGTAGCCTGGTTCATACCACCAGCGGGGGCACCAACGTGAATGATAGCAATGCGCATTCTCTGTGTGTAATCAGTATTTGGCAATCCCAACGAGCCCGGTGGGCAGAGAAATTTAGTCCTACCTTGCCCTCTGGGAGGATCATCTTCGGGTGCTCCGGGGTGGCAGTGTTCAAGTAGGCATGGTAGTATTCCTTGAACTCAGCATCACGCATCTCCATTGCCGTGTCGAATTCCTTGTTGTCAATCTTCGCTGTGACGTCCTTGGTTGCTTGGACAGCTTCCATCAGAGGGGTACGCATGATCTTATTCTCGCGAATGGTGATGACGGGCGAAGGAGAGTTGGGTGACATTTCCAGCACGGCACGAACAGCCTCCACGCCTTGGAGTGTCGAGAGCCAGCGGTCATAGGCGCACGCTGCACCACCTCTCTGGGTGTGACCCAGAATAGTGACTCGAGTATCCAAGCCGAGACGGTCTGTCAAAATATCCTTAATCTTCGAGCTCGAAACCTTGTTCAGTTGACGATCTTGAGCTCCCTCGGCGACGATAACGATGGTGCGGCGCTTGCCCCGTTCGGTTCGGTTCTATTGCAAATGAGTGCATCAGTATATAACATTGTCAGCATAACTCGGGCAGCGCTCACCTTGGTAATCACGGAACACATGTCATCCTCCCATCCTTCTTTGGGAGGCATTTCGGGAAGGAATAGCCAGTCTGCTCCGGTACTGATAGCAGACATCAATGCGAGCCATCCACAGTGTCGGCCCATAACTTCAATGACAAATCCACGCTGGTGAGAGAAGGCAGTGTCGAAGACATCGTCAACAGCGTCACAGATACGGGTCAAAGACGAGTAGCAACCGATGGTGGCATCTGTGCCAGACATATCATTGTCAATAGAACCCACCAGGCCGACAATGTTCAACACCTTGTAGGGTTCGACCTGCTCTGCAGTCAGCTCGCCGGCGGCGATGAGGTCAGACAGCAAGCCGGGCCATTCCGCACGGAAAACATCGGCACCAGTCAAACTGCCGTCACCACCACACACCACGAGGGCATCAATACCCCGCAGTACCATGTTCTTTGCAGCTTTCATGCGGCCAACGCGCTCCCGGAAGCCCATGCTCCGAGCAGAGCCGATCAGAGTACCTCCACGGGACAACCAACCACGGACATCCTCCCAGTGCAGCTGGCGTATCATGTTACCACCGTTGACGAGGCCCTCATATCCTTCGAAAATAGCATAGGCCTCACAGTCGCAGTGGATTGCCATACGGACAACGGCCCGCACAGCACCGTTCATACCGGGGGCATCTCCACCAGAAGTGAGGACACCGATACGGCGTCTTTTGGCCGGTTGGGTAGGAATCTTGACGGGCTCCATGTTGAGATCAATTGAAGCTGTCGACCTCTACAGGTCAGAAAGGAATGAGATGAGTGAAGAAATCAAGTCAAAAATGAGGCGCGATAAGCGTTGTAAAGCTACAATTATGAATGGGTGGGATGTGGAGGGGTCAACCCAATCCGGTGAGAGAAATTGGCAGAAGTGGGTGCTTGCGTCACTGAAACACTTTTTAAAGAAGACCGGTTATGATGAAATATACTCAACAAGCTGGGAGATGGGAGATGGGATGGAGGGGAGATGATGGGACGATGTGCAGTCAACTCTCAACGTTCTCTGCCCGCCTGAACTACCCTTGTTACGACTACAATACCTGACTGGTACCTGCGTTGCCATACAACTCCCCGGCAAGATGCATGTCACCGTTTGGTTCTTTTGGGTTTAGTGTGGCTTTCACGTGAGCGGTGAGGGGCAAGCTCTGTGGTGACGTCACTCGCTGTTTGTGTTTGCTGTGTTTGCTGTATCTGTCGTGTTTGTTGCATTTGCTGTGTTTACTACGTTTATCTCCTGTTTACTATGTTTGCTGTTTACTGTGTTGGTCCTCTGTTCTCTCCACTATCAGTGACTGGTTTCTAATCTACTTCTTGCCCAGGCGGACATGAACTTATCAATGACGGTAAATTGTCTCATCTGTATTTCAACTCTCAGGCATCATGTGAGACAATCTTGCAGTCTGGCCACTGTATACAGGGTGCATCCAGGCGTTCCTATCTCAGAGATACCCGATTCAGCTGTATCTCAGTCAGCGATAAATTCACTCACACCATAGACCCTTGACTTACGCGTCGCATGAGTGGCTACCCTCCGTGGCAGGGTTCTTGCAGCCACTCGAGCACAGCTTCGCATGGCCCACATCGCCAGGGTTCTTGCAATGGAACAAAATATTCTTCAGGTCCTCCTTTTCTAGGTCAGATCCCTTGATTACATCCTTGAGATCGGCCTCGGTGAAGCCTATGACTGGTTTAGTATGTGGCCGAACATCGGACAGGAGGGATCAAGTACCTTTGTCTTTAATCAGCACATCAGAGCAATAATCAAAGCTGGGGGTGCAGGTTTTCTGGGCAATGCCAGAAGTAGCCAAGGCAAAGATTGCCAGGAACACGGAAGAGAACTTCATGATGAGATATAGACTTGGTGAGTAGGATGAAAGGATCTCTCATGGCAGGGTGGAAATATTGATTATTATAAACTCTCCTCGCAAGTCCCCTCCTTTCTCAAACACGAAACCCCCCAAAAAAAGAAAACAAATGCTCACATTCCTGGTCTATACGGAATGTAGTGACGCCAGTCACATACCACGAACAAGAAAGAGTGGTAGATCCGAGGTGTCTCGGATTCTTCCCTGGCCTATGAGATCATTCAAGAGTATCGATACAGTAGATCCAAATCCATCATCAACCTGGTCTAGATGCTTTCCCCAATCCATGTGGCACGGAATGCATCTTCCATCTCAGACGGGTTATGTATAAGATCAAGATGAGTCCATCCCTACTTGGGCAAGTCTATCCAGATAAGATACCCCGCTCGATGCGTCTGTCATCAACTCTTCTTCTTGCACCTTTCCTTTCTGTCTCTTTTCGGTCTTGGATTTGTTGAAGCAATACTCTTGTGGCTGCCCTCTGAATATGGTGGATGATCTGAGTAGCACTCCCCAGTTGAACCCATCTCATTATTGAATTGTGGCCGTTAACATAGAACAGTCTCCAATCTGGTCACGGCCGATCCAGGTCTGCCACGGTCCAATCCTACTCAGTCTTATTGGCAGCACATTCCACATGCTCTGGCTGACGTGCAATCCCCAAATTTGCCTAATGACCGAGACTTTGCCATCATTGGGTCAGGACTCACCGGACTAGCGGTAGCCAAGTCCCTTCTGGAGTGCCACCCGACGGCCACAGTCACGATTCTGGAGGCTCGCACGCTTTGTTCGGGGGCAACGGGGCGAAATGGGGGTCAGATGGCTGCGAATGCAGGAGAGGAGTACATGCATTTAGCTGAGACACACGGATCCGAAACAGCAGGGAAGATTGTGGATTTCACATTTCGCAACCTGGAGAAGATGCAGGAGCTTATTGAGGCCTACGATGCGGTGGAAGTTAGCGAGATGCAACGTGTGCGGAAACTACGAGTGTTTCTGTCCGCGAAGAAATATGAAGATTTCAAGACGAGCATTGCGCGTCTGGAACAAGATCATCCCTCTAAAAAAGGGATGTATGCCATTCTAGATGCAGATGCAGTAGCTCAGGTAATACTTCCATGGCTTTTACATTGTCCATTGCTCTAATATATATATTTTCGATTCAGGAATATGGAATTCAGGGTGCAGCTGGAGGCGCCGTTCTGTCGGCTGGAACTGTCTGGCCATATCGTCTAGTCACCAAAGTCTTTGCAGCACTCTTAGAAAAGTACCCAGGTCGACTGACAATCGAGACACATACCCCGGTTCAGTCTGTTGAACACAACCCAGGATCCGTGTCACCTTTCACGACTGGTTTCCACTATAGTTTACACACTTCTCGCGGTCCCTTGCGAGCAGGAGCTGTGGTTCACTGTACCAATGGATACAGCGGGCATCTTCTCCCCAATCTGAGGGGACTTGTTCATCCTTTCAAGGGTACGATGACAGTTCAAGATCCAGAGGATTCTGTGCCAAACCAAGGCACTCTTGTATCATGGGGCTTCCATTATACTCCTTCCTACGATCCTGAAACGAAGCGTCATGGATATGGATTGTATTACCTAGGCCAAAGCGCCAATACAGGTTACTTCTACTTTGGGGGCGAGAATGCACGCATCGAGGAGTCGGTGTCTTCCGATGATACTTTTGCAGCTAAGCACTCCGTTACGCACCTTCAGTCAGCACTGCCACGGTTCTTCGGAAACCCTGAGCAATCAAACTGGGGCCTGGTAAGTTCGTGGAGTGGAATTATGGGCTTCTCCGCAGATGGTCTTCCAATTGTTGGGAGACTTCCATCAGCCCTGACGGGGCGAAAGGGTGATGGCGAGTGGATTGCGGCAGCGTTCAACGGCTATGGAATGGCAAACTGCTTGCTAAGCGGAGAAGCACTTGCTTTAATGATGCTCGGCGAGGATGTCAGTCAATGGCTTCCCATTGCATACGGCCTTGGCAAAAAGAGACTTCAAGAGACGCTGACGATCCCAGAAGCTGTCCACGCCCTAAGCTCAAAGTTATAACTCGGCGTCATCAGACTCGGAGATGTATGTCAGAATATTTCTTGATCAGTATAGTTTTCAAAAGGCGTTTCATTGCCATGTTCAGCTCTGTAGAATTTGCATAGGGTATCGAATCTCTATGTGTTGACATTTTCGTGGAAGAAAAAGGTTTTTTCAGGACCCACTTCCTTTGGTGCGTCCCTGATGTTTTTGCGCACAACTGCGAGCAAAAAAAAGCTCGCGATGCTCGCAGCCAAAAAAGAATGGACTCGCGGGGAATCGAACCCCGGACCACTCCCATGCTAAGGGAGTATTATACCACTAAACCACAAGCCCAGTTCGATGAATGGACATGGTGGGTTTCGGCTTAAGCTGGGCCTATCCGCTGTGGGTCCATATTCAGCGTGATGTCTCTAGAACAACCGCCATAAGAGATTGGTTGCATGCAGAAGGGGTTCCCCATGTGTACTGCCTGGGGATTTGTGAGGGTTGCTCCCACTTTCCACGTCCGGAGCCATCGATGCAACGCACAGTGTACGCCCGGAGAGATAGTTCATGGCGAGTCAGGGCAATCTTGATCTTTTTGTGCTTTTCGGGATTCGATGATGATAGCACAAGCTCACCATGCTGTGGGTAAACTGCGTCCCAGACGCAATCCTCTTTCAAATCCTGTTCGGGCTTGGGTGGTGAAAGACCGTTGGATGAGGTGGTAAAGACAACATCGAGTAACAAGAGATGCGTGATAGCCGCTTCGACATCTTCCCTGAGGGAAAGACGACCAGGAGACTTGCTATCGGGATAATTGGGCAAATTGCATGACACATCAAAGTTGGTACCGAACGGGGGGAGGAAATATTGGTACGAATTGTGATTGAGAAAGAGCCTCGAGCAGTCAACAATTTACCGCTGAATGTAGACTCAAACGGTGCAAGGAACCTTTCAACGACTGCCTCAACTGAGGGAGCGGAGGTTTGAGCCATTCTTGTCGAAAAGACATGCTGGACATACGCTGGAATTTCCAAGGCGGCCGAGTGTAAAACACCAAAGATGTCTTTCAAGAATGTCTGAAGCCACAGTACATGGGACATGTGCTGGATGTAAGCCAGCGCCGGACGAAAAAGTTGGTGTTCAGGGACGGATCTTTTTTTCGGGGTCAATGGTAGCGGAAGTAGGGTCCGTCGGTGCAGGTTTTGACGGTGGGCATATGCCAGTAAGATGTGAATTGTATGAGACAGGCCTTCGGCGATGCGGGTACCGTTTTGTGAGATGTCTTGCTCAGATTGGGGTTCATTTTCATCCATGTCCACAAGGTCTAGCAAAATTTCAAGATTATCAGAAACAGGAATGCGAATGAGGTTTTGGCGGGTCGTCACGCCGTAGCTTGCCGTCGCTCTAGCTTCTCGGACAAGCTCATGGAACAGCTCCTCTTCATAAAGTGTATCCCGCGCTTGTAAGATTCGACTTTCAATTGTTTGTTCGTCATTCGTGGGACTAGTCGACTTGGAGCGGCCGATAAGTCGTCCATCCTGCATCACACGCACCTGGACAAAACGAGCCTTTGCGGGAATCAGTCCTTTGTCCAGTATCAAACTGCCATTCTCAGCGCGTCGTAGGGAGGCGAGTCCGCGGTCACGGAAAATGGGGGTGGCTGGAACAGCATTATTAGATAGGAGTCCCTCTGTTCTTGGCTTCGGAGCTTACCTTCGAGGAATCCATATTGCACACCGAGTGCTTGCTTTTCGCGAGGAAGTCGAGAAACCTTCCACCCATTTTCCTTGACAGTCAACACTTCATTCCAGTAGCGAGTCTCCGATGCAACTTCGTTTTCGAGCCTGGAGGCAGCTTGAAGAAGTTTGTTTGCCGCTCCGTTGAAGTTCTGGATGCGCCATCCCCTCGATACCGCTGATGTGTCTTTCGTTGTGGACTCTGGTTTCGGGGGAGGGTTCACAACCTCGGCGTTGAGTGAGCCAAGAGGTGCGATTTGCTTGAGAAAGGGCGACATAGAGGTTTCGGCCTGGCGCGGGGTTTCTTTAGAGAGAAGTAGAGAAATGAAATCAACGGCAAACATCGCCTCCATGTGAGCTTGTCTAAGACTTGTCAGTTCATCCCAGACAGGCAGTCCAAGCTACATTGCACTCACGTGGCGAAATCAATGATGTCCTTCCGTCGCTTATACAATTGTTCCAGGCGCTCTGTTGAGTCAAGATCTGCTGCATTTTGGTCACCCTCATCCTCGTCCAAGTCGTCTTTGTATTCTTCGGCAATCCTGGTCCGAAGAACCTCTTCGTTCACCTCACGAAACGAGCCCCACTGGCTGTTGATTTGAGCGATCTCTGCCGGGAGGGTATCTGGGCGGTCGCGCTCCTCAAGGATAGGACGCAGGGGGAGAGTAAATGAGTCGGCCATGGTGACACCTTGCCTCTGCGTGGAGAGCAAGTCTAGAGAGAAGTGGAAGAAAGACGGGGATGACGCAGCTGACACGTGATCGACTCTTAATCAGGCAGTTCTGAGCTTTGGGGTCTGGTTGTTTGATGAGTTGATCTGACGAGAATATTTACAAGATTGTATTTTGTGATCATGAAGGTTCTGCTACATATTGACGATAGAAATTCCATCACAAGAAGCCATCAATCCGAGTGTAATATGTTAATAGCTCTGGGGCCTCAACTTGCAAGCTCAAATCCGCAATGCCAAGACACTCCGCCGCGCCGATACTCCCACAGCCAAGAGCGAAAGAACGGAATATACAGTACTCCGTAGTTTGTAGAATAGCGGATTATTTCTCAATGCCAAATTTCGGGCTCTCGGGCTTTTTACTGGGATTGACTCGTGGCCCCTCTTGACTTGGAGAATCACCCTCGCGCTAGACCAAGCAGTTTCCGGTGCTCAGGCTCCGTGTACATGTACTGTAAGTCTGGACTTGAACGTATCGGGTAATTCTCGGGGCAATGAAGAGACCGGCATCTTTGAATACTAGATCCAGACATATCCTCGGGCCATCTCCCCCACACATAATGTAGAATGTGGGGGAAATCAGGGCCCCCAAGTGCAACCGCACACTGCACCTGAACACGGCCTGCCGATCGTCCCTCTATCTGGCTATTTCCGGCGAGGTGGCGTTGGGTATTTGATTTGAGTCAATTTAATCTGAGTTTGACGCTATACTCTTGTGCCATTTCACCGGCCAACTCGGCACACTTTCGTGCGACTTACCGGAAGGGGGGGGGGGGGGGGGGGGGGGGTGGTGATGATGATGTTGGGGGTAATGCTATAGTATTTAACCCAGGCCCATGCCTATATCTTTATAGAGATTGGATCACTATGTGGGTGTCAATTCTATCTCTTACAGCCTTTGCTGTAGCCATCGAGGCCCAGGAACTATATCAGACAACAACAGGACCTGTTGCTCGACCACAATGTACAAAGCATAGTGACCCAACTCCCAAGTATCATTTCCAACCATTCTCGTACACCTTGAATGAAACAGTCCGGTGAGCCACCTGGTGTGAGATTTCTCAATATGGGCTAATCTAAGGATAAGATACGCGACCTCGGTTCCTTCTCCAACGACTACGAAGACATACGCCCCTGCTTATACAGACGTTGCCAAACACTTGACTACTACCTGGTTGACTTCGACTTGGGGCAGTTGGGTTCCAGGACAAACAATTATCAGTGCCACTGACACAGATGATCCATATGGACAAGCTGCGTGGTCATCGATGTGGTTGGAAGCAGACCTTCAGAACTACGTAAGACAAACCCACACAGCTTCCAACGAGAGCTCACAGCTGACCGTCCTAGACAACTACTGGGATGTTCTCAACCACTGTCAGCCCTACACCAGTGCCCAGCAGTGAGCTAGTCTTACCACCGCGTGACTATTTTGGACCTACAGATTGCTATAACTTCCCCAAGGACTTTGTGTTTGGAGTCGCGGGAAGTGCTGCCCAAATTGAAGGCGCAGTTGCACTGGATGGTCGATCCCCTTCGCTACTGGAAAAGTTAGTACCAGATAGCAAGCCAAAGGACTTCATCACCAATGAAAATTACTTCTTGTACAAGCAAGATATTCAACGACTGGCTGCGATGGGCGTGGAATACTACAGCTTCACGATCCCCTGGACCCGAATTCTTCCCTTTGCTCTGCCAGGAACACCAGTTAATCAACAAGCTATTGATCATTATGATGACTTGATCACTGCAGTTCTTGATGCGGGAATGACGGTAAGCGAATTCAAATATCCGGGCTTCGAACCTAGTTCTAACTTCCGTTGCAGCCGGTTGTCACAATGCTTCACTTTGATAGTCCATTGATGTTTGTTGCCAGCGACAACATCACAACACGTCCTGATATTGGCTATAACAATGCAGGGTATCAAAATGAAACGTTTGTGGATGCTTTTGTCAACTATGGAAAGGTATGGAGCTTCTTGAATTTACCATGCCCTGGGAACGCGACAAGCTGATTGAAATTGTGTCCTAGGTTCTGCTCTCTCACTACGCAGACCGTGTTCCGATTTGGGTGACCTTCAATGAGCCTCTTCTCTATGCATTCAACTTCAAAGGTGTTGACCACGTTGTCAAGGCACATGCTCAAGTCTATCACTTCTACCACGAGGAATTGAAGGCCAGGGGAAGAATAGGCATCAAATTCAATGACAACTTCGGAGTGCCAAAAGACCCTAGGAACTCCAGCCATGTGTTGGCAGCCGATCGCTTCCAAGAGATGCAACTTGGTTTCTTTGCCAATCCAATCTTTTTGGGGCAGCAGTACCCTCAATCCGTTCTGAAAACTCTGCCCGGAGCAGAACCTTTAAGCGATTCCGAGTTGGCCTATATCAACGGAACATCTGACTTTTTCGGGATCGACCCGTATACCGCTACGGTGGTGTCCCCTGCAGATGAAGGCATTGAATCTTGCGCTGCTAACACATCAACCTCCAACTCGTTATTCCCGTATTGTGTCAACCAAGAAACAAAGAATGTTTACGGATGGAACATTGGTTACCGCTCAGATTCCTATGTCTATATCACTCCAACTCATTTCCGTGAGTACCTCTTTTATCTATGGAACACCTTCCACCACCCGATCCTGGTCTCCGAGTTTGGGTTCCCTGTCTATGCAGAAGCAGACAAAGATCTGTCCGATCAACTATTTGATTCCCCGCGCAGCATCTACTATCTCTCCTTCATGTCTGAAATTCTCAAATCGATCTACGAAGACGGAGTCCATGTGATGGGGGCGCTTGCTTGGAGCTTTGTCGACAATTGGGAGTTCGGAGACTATACCCAGCAATTTGGCATCCAAGCGGTCAACCGAACCACCCAGGAGCGATCTTATAAAAAAAGTTTCTTTGATCTGGTGGATTTTGTCAAATCTCGCCAGCCCAAGAAGTAAGTTATTAGTTTAAAAGGCAGCGAGTATTAGTGTTATGAGGCTCGATTCTTTGTGTCTCACTAATTGAGCTTGATGAGGGAAAAGAACTGGATTCCTTTCAATACCGGATTGAGTTCGTCGAAATTTTGGTTTCCAAGATGTAGAAGATATAAACTGCCGGTGAGTTGTAGTGTGGAAGTCTCATAATCCAAATAATCTTGGCTTATAATACACAAAATCGATGCGTTTTCCATCGAACTGGGCTTGTGGTTTAGTGGTATAATACTCCCTTAGCATGGGAGTGGTCCGGGGTTCGATTCCCCGCGAGTCCATTCTTTTTGCTTCGGATTGTTTTTTCCTCCTTGGCTATTGAGATGCAATGGCCCTTTTCCATCTCTTTTTATTTACTTATGGTGATATTGAATTTTATTTTTTTTGGTCTTGGGCAGTCCTGGGCAGATGAGAGCGATGATTTTATTGAATACTAGCAATTCCGTACAAAACGCGGTGATATATATTCGATAGCTGGAAACCCCATCACTCCTCCCAGTTAAAGTTGATCACAATGCGCCCGGCTACTTGGCCTTTGCGAAGTTTTTCCACAGCCTCAGGCATTCGATTCACTGGATATACCTCACTCACCTGCTTTAGCATCCCTCGTCGCGCAAAATCTAAAGTCATGGCCACATCTCGCCGGCTACCAACAAGGGTGCCTTTGATGGTGAGATTTCTGAAGACAAACGCACAGGGATCATCGCCTACTGTCATTGAACCGACAGAAGGAAGACCGATGCACATCACGACGCTTCCAATCCGACTACCAGTGAACGAGACCGCAGTTTTATACGCAGCAGGGGCTGTGACAAACACTCCGTGGGCACCGATGCTGTCCGCAATCTCAATAACAGCCTGACTGGGATCTGACATCTCTTTAAAATCCACAAAGGCCTCTGCTCCCATCTCCATGGACAATCTCCTTTTGGAATCTCCTGTATCAACCACGATTGGGCGCATTCCCATTGCCTTGGCCAACTGAACACCCTGGATCCCGACGCCGCCGCCACCTCCAGGGAAAACAACCCATGCCCCTGCTTCAAGGTTTGACTCAATCAGAGACCGGTAAATTGTACTAGCACTGCACATCACAGGGGCGGCGACTTCATCGGAGACCTCGTCTGGAATAGGTGATGCATAACGGGCTGGCGAGACCAAATATTGCTGATAGGTGCCTAGTATGATGAGCTCAGGTATCAAACCGCCAGCATGCAAACCAAACGTACCCGCTACCATCAGTCCCGTGTGCGTTGCATTTTTACAGTATGTTTCCTTGTCATCCCAACAATGATCACAGGAACCACAGGTATTCATGATCGGTTTGATCCCGGCTCTATCGCCCACTTGGAAATTTGTCACGTTAGCTCCAATCTTAACCACGACACCAGCACCTTCATGGCCTGGAGACCGAACACCGAAAGTGGACATTGGAGGGACCCCTAAGTCTCCCTGCATCATATGAATGTCAGATGAACATAGCCCGGTGTAGTTCAACTTGATCAAGACATCGTCTGGGCCTAGATGAGGTAGACCAGGTATCATGTCAGATATTGAGTTCAATACCGAGAATTTTTCCCTCTGAACGCATTTGATATTTACCTGGCTCTGGGACCGGCACCACTTGTACCTCAACATGGAAATCGGGACCTTCATTGACCACGACTCCTGCTTTACAGTGCGTGGGAATAATAATGGTGGAATCATCAGTGATGGAGCCCATATCGATATATACAGCCGTTGGTTAAAAACACAGAAGAGACAGCAGAGTACTGAGGCAGTTCTGACATATAGAAGAAGAAAAGAGGAGCAAGAAATAAATCCATAGCCGAATTGACACCGAGGCAGAAGTACGCGGAAACCATCCGTGGTGCCAACCCCTCATCATTCTCTGTCAATGGCCTTGCATTGCATATAGCCGAAAAGATGCGGGGATAGTTCTGCAATTGCACAAGTAATATCCGAACAGGTCATATTGGAAATGGAAGTTGAAAAGAATAATTGTATGTTATATCAAGTCCTTATCCACAATACGCCGCAGAACAACGCTGCTATAAATCCACAAGAGACACCCAATTTGTAAAATACAAATCAAGACCGTAACAAAAAAAAAGACAGACAGGCAAGATACTGCAGGGAAAAAAAAGCAGACGAGGCCAAAAAGAGGGGCCACTCACTCCCAAATCAACCATCCTGTTGACCCACCAATACCTATTAGCACAAGCACAGTGAGGATTCCTGCACCGGCCTTATCAGCCGTGGTGATTGAGTACGTCAGACCAGGAGGGACCGTTTTAGGAGGCTTAGAGCCAGCATTCGGATTTCCCTTACTAGTGCCACCATCGTCATTGGTTACAGGAGCCGATACACGAGTGATCAGGTTTGACTGAATAACTTCAAGAGCTGCCATCTGCTGGCCGAAGTCTTTCGTCTTATCCCACTTTTGATCGGTCCATTTGAGACCACATGTCGTTCCTTTGGAGCCTCCTGTACAGGTCTTTGCGGCGGCTTCGCCAGAAGCCCTCAATCGCTTCATGACTTTTTCATACGTGAAGGGAGCCATTTGGGTGGTTTGAGCCATCCAGCGTGCAAGATATCCCTTGAACGAACGCTGATCAACCATGCATGTGCTGACCGTCTCACAGGCTCGTTCATACATCACGTTCGGTGGATCCTGAGAAAAGAAGACGCCTGAGGAGTCAATGATTTTTTCGGTGCGTTCCTTCCATTTGGGTTCTTCAGTCTGTTGGAGATGTTAGATTTTAGTGGCACCACCGAGAGTACGGAGTTCACTTACCAGATTGTACATATTGGCAGCACCAAGTAAGAACACACCGGCGTTATAGGTCCACTCAATCTGGTTTATGGGAGCGCAATTGGTCAAGTCACTGGCTCCATCCCAAAAGCGATATTCGGGTGTCATGAATCCAACATCGGCAATCCAGTCCCAAGCCTTTTCAGCCCATTCCGCGTATGTTTCGTTCTTCGTATACTTTGCCAGGCGGGAGGCAAGGTTGAAAAGTCCACCTGTGGAGATCGTGTTCTTGTAGTTGTAGCCATTGTTCCAGGTAAATATCTGCCAGCGAAGTCCTCCACCACAGGACGAGGGATCCCATCGGGGAACCTGCGTATTGAACACAGCCTGGGCCATCTCAAGCCACTGAGGTTGATCCGCTGGCGGATTGGGGAAGTTTCGCTCTGCAGCAGACATGGCAGCGAAGCCCCAGAATACTTGATCGTCATTACCTTCAGTTTTGCTCTGATTGTTCGGCATGAATGCTTTGTTTTCGCCCGCCTGCCAAAGCATGCCTTGTATGGTGATATCATTCCAGGTATCGTCGCCCGTGTAGAACCAGTAGTCAATGAGGGCGTTGAACATCGCACCGGCCTCCCACCAGTAGTAAGGATCGGGTAGATTTCCTGGGTTATCCCCTGGATTCATGCCGGTGTAGTATGTCATCATGTTGGTTGCGACGTCCTTGGCAGCCTTTTTGATAGACTCTTTGATATTGGTCAGTTTTTGCGGAAGTGTCAGAATAGTAAAATTCTCACCTTCATCATCCAGGTCCAGTTCTACAGCATTGACAGTTGAAATGCCCATAAGAGCCGCAGTCAGCAAACCCATCCATGATGGGCGTGACGTGAAAGAAAACACGCGCATGATGACTGATATGCTAATTTGCCTGGAATTAACGGTAATTGCAGATAGTCCGCTTCAATCTTATCAGAAAGCTGACTAGATTGGCCAGTGACTGATCACTGTCACTCGTGATACAGTCGAAGACTCAAGAGGTCGATCAACAATGGCAAAGTTTTTCAAGTTTAGACCAACGGATAAGTATCCTCGAAGACTGCTCAGTGAGGGATATGGAGAAATGAAGGAAACTTCCACCAGACGTCAGAGTGCGAGACAGAACGGCGATAGGGGGATGTGTGGATCGAATGGCCACATTCCTACCACTCCAGGAGCGCTGGCATGGTAACAAGGCGTGGCCCTCAGATAATCCTTTGATAGGGGGAATCTGCAGGGTATCTTCGATCTTTGGCTGCATCAAGAAATTCCATCAGGCTGCACTAATGACAGATTCCGAAAGGAGCTTAGGAGGTGACAGAAGTGCAACATTGGGCTCGTTAGTTCCATGGGGTTTGCATGGGAGCTCCACGTTGGATCGACCTGGCATTCCAAAGCGGCTGTCAGACGAATGAGCCTGATCCGTGGAGGGATATGAACAAATCATAGACGGCCTAGGGAAATGAAGGCAGAATGGAGTGTGGCCGCAAACGGGATGCAACGACCCATTCCGTTTTGACCAGCATCCCTCGGGAAAAGAGACAGCACAATGATATTGTTGAAGTCGAGGGAGTTGCAGGGGCTCAAATTCCATGGATGCCGCATCCCTACGTGTCCAAGGGCAGCAGGGGGACCTCGGGGGAGGTTGCCTCCTTAGTAAGCTTGACTGGCGGCTTTCATTAAATCATCAGACAATTAAATCACGCCGTTGTATGAAGCAGTGTGCTGGTTTTCCTGCCCACATGGCAAATCGTCGCAGTGAGAATGTTGAAAATGGCAATGTGACTTTGAAGCTTTTGTAAACAAGGGGTATAGGCCTAGTAATTCAGGCACCATGCTTACATAACCAAGATGTGAGCCCCTGGGAGCTGGGAGCCTGGGAGTCTCGAAGCCTTGGGAATCTTAGGAAACTCGTAGGAACACGCCCTTAACTCAAAGCCTGGACGTTATTTGGACTTTGAACTCCCTCTCAGTTTCTTGACATCTATTTTTAACCTCTGGATCATCATGGATCAGGTTCTGCCAATACTATCGATCACTCCGAATCAACGCTTCTCGGTTCATCTCGCCGGCGAAACCCCATATGTCCCGAGATTCCCGTGTTGACTAGTCCTGGATGAGCAGGTAGTTAGAGTGATCTTGTAGACCAGATATCTTCCGTACTACGGTTGCATTCACCCTCAAATTGTGTGACACAATGCTGATTGACCATGGGCGATTGTCTTCCTATAAAGCACCGTGTTACCCAGAGATAGAGGTGCAATAATGTCCCAGATCCTGGCGACACAAAGCCTTTGGAGTAGGGTGAACCTTGCGAGCACTATGCTCATACAACCTGAGATCAGTGGCACTGCAAGTGTAGCGAATGTTGCCTGCAAGCCCCTCGTTGCTTCTGCTGGCGACGTGGCTGTTATACCCGGATGGCACTTGCAATCAGCACTCAAGGTGTCGAGCGACTTGCCCGCGTTATCTTCTCCAGCAGCAGACAGCTCCTCATGGTATCGCGTTAGCTCTCATGCTACTGTAATGGCTGGTCTTCTGGAAAATGGGGTTTATAATGAAACAACATTGTTTTATTCTGAAAATATGAAATCTGTTCGTGACATTTTATTTGAATCCCCGTGGATCTATCGCGAGGTTTTCAAATTGAACCCCTCAAATGGCCAATACTTTGAAGACACATGGAATTACGTCCAAAGCAGACATTTATTTGAACGGGATTCTCATTGCAACAAGTGACCAGCAACAAGGATCATATAGTGGCCTCCAGTACAATCTAACCGACCATATCAAAGAGGGCGATAATTGCATCCTCATCCGTGTATTTCCAACTAACTACCTTCATGACTTCGCCATGGGATTTGTAGACTGGAACCGTTTTCCAGCGGACAACGGCACAGGAGTTTGGCGAAATGTGGAGCTGTCTCAGACCGGATCGGTTTCCATGTTTCCATTTCGCATACTGAGTGATGTCGCAAAATCCTCGACTGAGACTGTCAATATTACCTTTCGAACTGAATTGTTCAATCATGAACCGAAAGCCCATCGTGTCAAAGTGAACGGAACTGTCACACGGGATGGCTCCACTCGAGCGTTGATCAACAATACATTTGACTTGGGGTCAAATGAGAGAAAGACAATTTCAGTCGAAACCTCGATCCAGAGCCCTGACATATGGTTGGCTGCCCGCCCCAGCGGGCAGCCATTGTATACAATCCAGGCAGATATCATCGTCGAGGAGGGTCAGGGATTGGTATCAGATCGCTCCAAGAGTCAAAGTTTTGGGATCCGGCATGTATCGTCAAATTTGAATGATTACAATGATACTGAATTCACCATCAATGGCGAACCGTTTCAAGTCATCGGGGCCGGATATGGGCCGGTTATCTTCATGCAGTTTAATGCGGACAGAGTCGGAAAACTCCTCGCCTACATGCTTGACATGGGAATGAATACCCTTCGATTGGAAGCAAGGCAAGAGCAGCCGGAACTATATGAACTAGCAGACCGCATGGGAGTCATGATCTTGGCAGGATGGGAATGTTGTGATAAATGGGAAGGCTGGGAAGTATGTCGACACACTATCGTTTCGAACCCTCAATTCACTAATTGTACGGTTTTAGTACAACGAGGATGCGGACGGAGTCAAATGGAATGATTCGGATTATTCCATTGCAAGAAATTCAATGTTGCATGAGGCCGAGATGATGCAAGCCCATCCTTCGATGCTAGGTTTCTTGGTGGGCTCAGACTTTTGGCCCGATGATCGAGCTACAGATGTATACTTGGATGCTCTTCAAGATATGGATTGGCCCAATCCAATCCTTGCATCAGCCAGCATGCGCGATTATCCGGAAGCCTTAGGGCCTTCAGGAATGAAAATGAACGACTGGGTGCCACCGAATTATTGGTATGGCGACAAAGAAGGAGCAGCTTTTGGATTTTGGTCGGAATTAGGCGCTGGAGTTGGGACCCCTGAGATGTGCAGCTTGAAGAAATTCATGTCCGATGATGACCTGGAAACGCTGTGGACACAGCCTGATGCAAATTTGTATCACATGTCTCGTTATGACTCTGAATTCTACAACCGGTCTATCTACAACAAGGCTATTTCCTCTCGTTACGGCAAGCCAGTGAGTTTGGACGACTACGTGCTCAAATGCCAGATGGCGGACTATGAAGCTACGCGGGCCCAATACGAAGCGTACTCGACAAGGACGAATGCCACCCGCCCTGCTACCGGTTTGATCTACTGGATGCTAAATAGTGCTTGGCCAAATCTACACTGGCAGTTGTTCGACTACTATCTCAGTCCCATGGCAGCCTACTTCGGCACCAAAGTCGGCGCACGCATGGAGCACGTTGCTTACGACTACCAAAGTCAGATTGTTTGGCTGATCAACCATTCGACCAAGAATGAAGGAGAGCGACAGGTCGTGATAGATGTCATTGACACCCTTGGAAGCAAACTATTAGGCACCAAAGTCAACATCAATACGGCCCCTCATTCTGCAATGCAAGTGAGCTCAATTGATGTCATCAATCTAATCCAGGATATTGCATTCCTGCGCTTAGTACTTCGTGATCCAAGATCTGACCTGGACCTCAGTCGCCATGTCTACTGGATCTCTCAAACCACAGATGTTTCAGACTGGTCACAATCTAACTTCTTCACAACCCCAGTTATCATGTTCGCAAATTATACAAAGCTTCAGTCTCTATCAGCAGTGAAAGTCAAGGCCTCGCTGTACCCAGCAAGGTCGAGGTTTGTAGATGACTTGACTCATGCAGAAGTTAATTGGAAAATGAATCCGAGGTGCCAGCATTCTTCCTCCGGTTAAATGCTATACATGCATCTGAACAAGCAGAAATAGTCTACTGGTCGGATAACTACATCACCCTTTGGCCAAAGGAAAAACTCTGCGTGACAGTTGATTTCAAGGGAAAATTGCAACACACTAGGGTTGAGATATCTGGTCAAAGTCTCGAAAAGGTGACACTGAACGGTGCGGATTTGCAACAATAGTTTAAGTTTGACGAGTATCCCCGAGGTGAGGTATGATAATGATTTTTTTGAGCGGAAAGAAATTATCAACTGCTTAGAAAAAGAAAATATTTGTTATAACGTTACAGGAGTGAATGCAAAGTTGCCTCGCAACGCCGTCGCGAATGCTATGTGAGCCTTCAACTAGAGCGTGAATTTAAGATTAAAATATACCAGTTGAAATATCTCACCAAGAAAAAAACAATTAATGTGCACAATTGGAATGCGTGTTGCCCTGATGAAATATGATCAAGAAGTCTCAGTGGTTGTCTGTAACAGACTCAACACGTGTGGCATCTTGGAACCAGAATACTCAATTCCAAGAACAGTGGGACTCTTCAAATCCTCAGAATAAAACATATTGAGGCTTTGACCATTCATGGTGCAAAGTGAATATGTCTTTCGAAGATCTGGAAATGTCAAGAGCCCTTTAGCTGGTGTACTGGCCCATAGATAGTAAAGTGAAATACTTCGCAAAGCCAAAAAGTTTTCACCAAGCCCTTTGAGAAAGGATGTCCAGGTGTTGCCTGAAGCCAATGAAATATGATAAAGTGTCAGTGCACTCAAATTTTCACGAGCAGTGCCGAGTAACTTGTCAAGATCTGGAGCCCGTACGCATGTTCGAAATAATGCGAGCTCGCGCAACTGGGAAAAATTGGCACTCTCTGCGAGTTCGTGCATAAACTCAGAGGCCAAGTCATGCGAGCCAAGATTCAAAAGAAGGGTTTGGAGATTTGGAGCGCTGAGAACCAGTTCCAGCAAAAACCCAAAGTTATCTAAGGTTAGGTACTGTTCTAAAGACAGCTTTTGCAAGTTGCCCCAGACAAGTTTGAACTCTGGTTGACGGTAGAGAAGCTTCGGCAAGCGACGCATATCCATGATCAAGGTGCGCGAGTATTTGTTCGCGTATATGAGATGGAAGGATGAAACAGGCAGACGAGCATCGACAACCAGGGCAAAGAAAACAGCGACGGCATCAGTGATGGTGACATGGCTCATGTCTGGATGACCCTCTGGATATCGACAAAAGATGAAAAACGATCGACAGTTGGTCAAATTTCGAATCAGGTTGTCCCGCAGAGACCGAATCGCCTCCACTTCCAAGGGAGCTGATAATGGACCCCATGGATGCCGTTCCCACACTAGGCCGTGACCAACCCCATTGTGAAGCATGAAAGCTAAGCCTTGCACATACGGACGGAGCTCAGAATTCCGGGCGAGGGCATTTATACGACGTAGACTGTCATCCGACAAGTCCGTCTTGATAGATGAAAAGAAGCGCTGCGCAAAGTGATGAAAGGTCTTTTCCTGTATTTCGCGACAGACCAAACGGAGATCCAGCAAGGCATCTCCTTCCAGAAAACCCGCGATAAACTCGACCAGCTCGACTGCGAGAGTCGGAAAAAGACAGCTCCTCATGCTGGGGGATGTGTGAAAAGTGAAGTGGAGAACGGAGCTACCCCAGATTCCCGAAGCAGCCTGTGAGTGACGAGGGATTACCCCTCACGGTGGCGGAATCAGCCGGAATCAATATGATCTGGATACCCTCGTTATATATTGGCGTTTGGGAGGCTGCGTATTGTGAGGGGGATCTTCCGAAGGGGGTTTAGTAACTAAGAGGATGACGGTATAGCACAGTGGAGTGGTCCTAATCGGGTACATCGTGCTATGATGGTGGTTTTCTACACAAAATCGTCGAAGCAGCTGTTCTTTTCGATCGGTTGCTCTAGCATTACCTGGGCTGTTATTTCTCGAGCTTTTGCCAATTCTCCGTCTTGCAGTGCCTCGGGTTGATCATCTAAATCAGAGAAAGGCGGGGGTTGAGAAGAACTTATAGCCCCTATGATATGACGTGCAACACTGGCAGTGAGAGTGGCAATGTGCTAATGCTATTTAATGTTCCATATCCTTCGCAAGCCGTTGCCACATAGAGCATCGATCCACCTGCGCCTGAGGAACATCTTCCATTTGCGTTGCGTTTGTCTGGAGTCTCAAGCGTTGCCCGGTACCTGAGCCCCACGAAAGCCATTCCGGTGCTTGTTGGTTTCGATAAAGATTCGGATCCAGAGTCTTGATGAAGCTTATATAGTAATCCATGGTGACAGGCACAATATTTGCATTAGAGTCCGCATATGAGTACGTGGGCTGATTCGTCTCTCCAAGTCCGAAGATCGCGGGTAAATCAAATACGTGAGGAACTCCCATTCCATTGGCAATTTCCGTACGGTCCCGAACATTGAATCGATAGTTCCAAACATGAGACAGTTTTTTTGCCATTGATGCGGCCATCAAGTTTCCTGGGCAAGTGAAGGTCGCCTCACCATAAGCAGCCGCAGCCGAAGGAAAATATGCAGCATGTTTAGGAAGAGCCTCCATCAAAGGATAAACATGGTTGATAGTATCTAGCTGATCTTGAGAGAGTCCTGGATAGTTGTTTTTCATGAACTGCGCCACCTCAGAAGGGGTACTTGCATTGTATGCAAACCCAGTTCCCTCGTTGGTATCGTCACTGACAACCAAAGGGACTTCGACAAATTTGCCTTGGCTGAAAAGAGTGTGAAGGTGGTCGGGAATCAAGTCTCCATCCACGACGGGGAGGAAATACCACAATGGAGATGGCAAGGTGCTGCCCCCAGGAAAGGGCTTATCAATGTTAAAAGTTTGGAGTACTTCAATATCCACCGCACGCAAGCATGCCAAAGAGTCATTTGATTTGTCACAGTCAAGATCACTCACGAATCGGTCGTACTGGAATTCCATTTGTTCAACCGTTCGTACGGTCGGCCAGAATGTTGATTCGGCCACTGCCCCGACAAAAAGACCAGCATCGTGCCCACCATATGCAGTCAGATGGTGAGCAACAGATCCAGCACCGGCCGAGTCACCATGTATGACCACATGATCTGGATCACCCCCAAACTGGCGAATGTGTTGCTGAACCCAATGAAGCGCCTTCCGCTGATCAAGCAGACCGACATTGAGGTCACCATTCCTGCGAACATTGTCACTGGCAAGAAATCCAAGAGCGCCCACGCGATAGTTGAAGTTGACGAAGACAATATCATGACCAGATTGCTGAACCACCTCACTGCCGTTATAGTTGCCATTTGCATTGTTGGCATATCCGCCTCCCTGAATGAACAGCCAAACAGGCAATTTAGAGTCCACTGTCGCATTTGTGGGACGCCAGATATTGATGAAGAGACAATCCTCGCCTACCACACCACTGACCGATTGACTGACCCCCACGCAAAGAGGTCCGAACTGATGAAGTTAGCTCCAGTGCCATCTAGATAGAAAGACTTATGTCACCGATGATGCATTTAAAGCTGTATCTGAATGTTCTGGATCCTCCGGTGCTCGAAATCGCAGGTTTCCCAAGGGCGGCTTTGCATATCTCATGCCAAGGTATTGGTCAACATCATTCAGAAGTGACAGACCCCAGTACTGGGAATAATCCAAATCAACAGTAGGAGACCGAGATAGCAGGGCGGATGGCAAGCCACTCAGGAGCCCAATGAGGAGAACAATTGTGATCATTTCGTGCACCTTGGGGCAGTTGCACTTGCAGATGCGATGTGCCCCTTCGAAGGTTCCCATTTGGGCGATTTAATATGATGACTCAGCATGAGGTCCGGGGAAGCTGACTAAGCCATGACTAAGAAATCCACGGGTGCAAGTTATCTTAACTCAAATTAACTAACTTATAGGTTGGTTAACTTAAGTCAAGTTACTTCTAACCTTCTTATATTCGTTACGGGTGACTTTCAATCGGATTGAAACGGTAGCAGCTTTACCACCACCGGGCTTGGAGTTCTTCTGTTTTTCCCACTTCGATGCGACGATGACGTGGGGTCCAAGGAGTGGACACCTGAGAATCCCGGTCCCGGAATGGACGGGGTTTCGCCTATAAAGGTCTATGGACCATTGTGTCTTTGGGAGCTTGAGTTCATAAGCATATCGATCATGTCGTGTGAAGCCTGTCGTTCTATTCCGCCAGTTACTTCCCAGGGGTATTCCCCCAAAGGGTATTATGAGACCATTGCTGGCCTCAAAACATGTGAGTCGTTAGCCTCCCCGATGCAGACAATGCCTGACTGTTGCTCGCAAGACGTGACTGGAAATGTGGGTGGAAAAATGGGTCTGGTAGACCTATATGATGTCTTTGGGCTCGCCAGCCAAACCCTTCAGGGCGCTGATCTTCTCGCCGTGCGCCTCAACGCCGTGGTGTTGGTTCCTGATTTTTTCAACGGCGACCCACTCAAGCCGGAGTATGTCCCGGCTGATACCGAGGAAAAGAAGCAGAAAATAGCGGAGTTCTTGGACCAGAAAGCATCATTTACACGAAATACGACAGTTCTTTTGGAGGCAATCCAGAAATATAAGTCTCGATTCCCCTCCGTAGGGAAGTGGGGTGCCTTTGGTCTCTGCTGGGGCGGCAAGGTAGGGTTTGCCATTGGTTAATACTCACGCTTTGGATTGATCTTTTGTTAATCAAGCGTCAGTACAGGTCACAGTGTTAGCTTCAGGTGCCAATAGTCCTTTTGCTGCCTCGGGACAGGTGCATCCAGGGTGTGTATTCAGCCTCTCATTTTTATATATGGCAGCACACTGATAGGTAACAGGCGTATGGATATGGCTGATGCGGCACAAATTACCATTCCCCACATTGTCCTGGCATCCAAAGATGAGCCCGTTGATGCAGTCACTGGCTACGCCCGAGTGATCAATAGCAATGAATCAGGTGGACATGTTGAGACATATCCTACAATGTGGCACGGATGGATGGGTGCTCGTGCTGACTTGGATGTAGAGGAAAGCCGATCTGAATATACGCGAGGGTGAGAGCCTTTTCCATTTAATATTCTTTTCCACCTGATTGCTAACTTTCTTCTAGATATTCACAACTAGCTGCGTTTTTTGAGAAGAATCTCCAATAGACGTGATTAGTTATTCCATAGAGGATAGCGCCAGCATCTCTTGATATTCATCAATAATCCTGTAATCTTAGAAAAGGACCAACGTTACAATGCAAAATCGCGAGTAGCAATCAAGGCACGACTTGTGTTTTCTTTTTCTTTTTCTTTTTTTTTTTTTTTTTTTTTTTTTCAATTCTACATGGACTTGGGCAAACCAGATCCCATGCATCCTACGTGAAATCTATCAAAATCGTAGATAGAAATCGATACTTGGTAGCCCGAGGCAGAATCGGTGCATCTCTAAGCCCGACGCAAGCTTTACTCTGTAGGGCTTTGGCCCCCCACTTCTATCCCGGTACCGCTCCGTCCCCGGAAAGAAAAAAAAAATAAACCATTGCGATTGATATAAAAATGAGTATTCTGGATTGTTGAAGATATGTGATTTATCGTTGATCATGCAAGAAGGTGGTATAGCAGAAAAGCGACCACCCCTAGGGGGTGATGGAGCCATTGTCGAGAACAACTCTCAAACCGTTGCCTTAGATTCAGGAGTCGATTTAGAAGTTCAAACCGAAAGTGAACCATTGCCTCCTTACACTGTCCTTCCAAATGGTGAAAAAGCCTTCGTTATTGTGGCGGGCTCGTTTGCGGCCCTCATTTCACCACTTTCGAGCAGCATATACTTGCCGGCCCTGGACTCTCTCTCCAGGGATATGAATGTCTCGGTGTCCCTGATCAACTTGACGATCACAACATATTTGGTAATTGGATTTCACCAGTGCAACTTTATTATGGCTGACCGATCCAAGATCTTTCAAGGACTTGCACCCTCATTCGTCGGCAGCTTTTCAGACATCCATGGTCGACGTCCAGCATACATCATCTCCTTTGCAATCTACCTGGGAGCAAATATTGGCCTTGCACTGCAGAACAACTATGTCGCCCTGATGATTCTGCGTTGCATTCAGTCATCGGGCAGTAGTGGGACTGTTGCACTCGGCAGCGCTGTCATGGCCGATCTTTCCACTCGTGCCGAGCGAGGTAAATACATTGGATACGCTAGCATTGGGATCGCACTAGGACCAACCCTGGGACCTGTCATAGGCGGACTTTTGGATCATTATCTAGGATGGCGGGCGATCTTTTGGTTTCTCGTCATTCTGTCTGGTGTTTGCTTCGTTGTGATTCTTATTGTTTTGCCCGAAACATGTCGAGCTGTCGTGGGAAATGGTTCTGTCCCACCGGCATCATGGAATCGTCCGTTCTGGGGGTTCTGTGTCCGACACTCTCGATTTGTCGATGAACAGGGAATTGCCGACTATACCACCATCCAGCAACTGAAGCGACGCCCTAACCCAATCTCAGCTCTTCTTTTAGCCACGCAAAAAGAAACCGGATTGGTTCTCATATACGGTGCACTGCTATATGCAGGTTATATGGTTGTGATTAGCACCCTGTCAACTCAGTTGACCAGTCGTTTTGGATTCAACTCCATTCAGGTCGGATTATGCTATCTTCCCATGGGTGTAGGAAGCATGAGCTCTCGCTGGATAGTTGGTCGAATATTGGATTGGAATTTCCGCCGCGAAGCAAGGCTTCAAGGCATGACCATCCAGAAGAATCGTCAGCAAGATATTGAAAACTTCAACATTGAACGAGCTCGCTTGATGGTCACAATTCCGTTGATCTATCTGGCCAGTCTCTGTATTATAGCTTATGGCTGGGTGATGCAGTATCGAACTGCTCTAGCTGGCCCTCTCGTGATGTTATTCTTCACCGGTGTCACGACGACAAGTGCCTTCAACACACTGAACACGCTGGTTGTGGATATTCATTACCAAAGTGCTGCAACTGCAGCCGCAGCAAGTAATCTATTTCGTTGTTTGCTGGGTGCTGGGGCAACAGCAGTAGCATCACCTCTCATCCAAGCAATTGGAATTGGATGGACAGCAACATTCATTGCTGGTCTTTGGGTACTTGGAAGTCCTGCTTTATGGATTGTTTTTCACCAGGGATATCGCTGGAGGCAGGAACTTGCCGACAAAGAAAAGTCAAAGCAAGACCCATCTACTCCATAAACCACGTTCTGTTGGACAAAAAAATAAATGGTAGACTGCCTTGTCGACCTGTAGAGTCCAGTAGAAATGTGAAGATGTTCGATCAGGTTATGCATTTTTTGCTGTGAATCATATGAGACCAGGTCTAGAAATAAGCAGCAGATTGAATTGATATGCAAGATAGATCCGACAATCAAACGATCACCGATTTTCCACGATCAACAAGACACTAAAAGCTTGATTGAGCTTGGCAGACTCCACTACTTGTTCGCCGCGCGATTCCGAAATGCAGTCTTGAAACCCCACAATGAAAAGAGTTGACGACGCTAGCGCCTCGAGGATTACGCATGCCCCCTGATGCTATATTTAAATCCTGTTGAATAGTTGTTCAAATGGATCTGCCTGGCACTTTTTGGACTTTTTTGATTTTTTTTTACTCTCCTTTTTGCACCAGACTTCATCCCCAATCGTCTCTGATTTTACTCTCATGGGCCTCTTCTGATTGGTCGACTGCCTTGTATATGGGTCAATCCTTACAAAATGCATTGGATGGGAAATTTTTCGGTTCGGCGTCTTCTCGCCACGCTATTACTGTCTCATGTGGTATATGCTATTGATTTTGATGTCAGCGATGAGCGTATGTCAAGAAGAACATTCCGCGGCGAAGATATCGGCGAGGAACAGGCTAACGTTTTGGTTTAATAGAATCCATCAAAGATGCGGCGAGTACTTCGACTTACTCGATGATGACCTGGTACTACGGCAACGAAACCGGTCAGATTCCTGGAGCATTTCCCGACAAATGGTGGGAGGGATCTGCTCTCTTTCTTGCACTCCTGCAATACTGGCACTTCACCGGCGATACTACCTACAACTCCGAGCTTAGCATCGGGTTACAATGGCAATCAGGCGATGACGGAGACTACATGCCAAGTAATTACAGTTCTTACTTGGTGAGTAATTCTAGCCTTTTGAGGCCTTACAAGTGTCTGATATCGGGTTTTAGGGCAATGACGACCAAATGTTTTGGGGTCTTGCGGCGATGACCGCTACCGAATACGCGTTCCCAGACCGTTCAACTGGATTCAGTTGGCTTTCGCTCGCACAGGGTGTGTTTAACACCCAGATAAAAAGATGGGATACAACCTCGTGTGGGGGTGGCTTGCGCTGGCAAATTTGGCCATACCAGAGTGGCTATGGAATGAAGAATTCTATCTCCAATGGTGGCTTATTCCAACTATCTGCACGCCTAGCCCGGTATACGGGAGATGCGATCTATCTTCAGTGGGCTAACAAAATTTGGGACTGGTCGGTCTCATCCCCTCTACTGAGTAACACGACGTGGAATGTCGCCGACTCTACGAACGTCGACAATGATTGTGCAACCCAGGGAAATGCCCAATGGACCTACAATTACGGCACATTTCTCATGGGAGCGGCTTATATGTATAATCAGGTGAGAAATCCCACCCTTGGAGCTTCCATTTTCGACAGTATCGCCCTCCAGAGTTTCGATACTGAGATCAAACTCCTCGATTAATATCGGCTTTTATTACAGACAAACGGAACCACACAAGACCAGTGGCTTACTGCGGTCAATGGACTTTTGAACAAAACCTTCGACACATTCTTCCTGACGGGGAATGTTATCGAGGATTTCAACTGCGAGCCTTCGGAGACCTGCAACGACAATGAGATTTTGTTCAAAGGACTCACTTCCTCATGGCTAGCCTTGACTGCTGTATTAGTCCCATCGACATTTGACACGGTTCTAGCAAAGCTGCAAACCTCCGGTGCAGCCGCTGCTGCATCCTGCACTGGCCATAATAACGGCACCTGCGGTGTCAGGTGGTATAAATCAGAATATGATGGTTGGCTTGGAATGGAAGAAGAGATCAGCGCCACAAACGTATTTCTAGCCAACATGATTAATTTCAACACTCAAGCACCAGTCACTTCGACAACTGGTGGAAACAGCACCAGTAATCCTACGGCAGGCGAAGATGATAGCGATGCGACAAGTGGAAAGCAAACAGTCATTACAACGGGTGATCGAGCAGGTGCTGGTATACTTACTGCTGTATTTATAGCTGGCTGGATTGGCCTGATGGGCTTCATGTTAATCGGTGGCTGACACTGCGGGACAAAGTGTTTCTATAATTGTAGGAGTTCAGGCTTCTCGGCGTTCAGCGGATATACACCATGGTTTTCATTCAAGATATGGTTGATCTATCAATCTGGCCTAGATCTCATCTATTATGATTGCGATCTAATGTTAAGCAGCAAGTAAAGACTCAACTTTTGTAGATTTGAACTCAATAGACTGATATCGAAGCCCAACTGATATGTACAAGAGAATGAGAGTGACATCATACACATCGGGACTAAGTTAACGCCATAGAGCCCCGCGATGACAGATAGGACCCTGATGAGCATTGAATAATGGATCGATCGAAATCTAGGCGAGGATATCATAAATAGTAACATAGATTGTTCTTATGTTGAATTGTCATTGGCATAATCTCTTACCAAAGCAGAGGATACGTGGGAGTGCAGAGGTCGCGATCTTCCGAATCAATTCATCGCGGGAATAGTTTCCACTATTTGGAAATCAAAACCAAAAACCAATGAAATTAGGAAACAACTACGTATAATAAAGTGCGTGTTACAAAAGGCGTGAAACAAGAAGCTTTGCAGTTGGTGGAATACATTGTAAAAGATGCTCCGTTTAGTTCACTTATGCGTTGGCCGTGGCCCACACCAAGCTCTGCTGTACAGACAAGCGACACTTAAATGTACAGCAATCCTTTCAGGGACCCTTAGTAGCCAGCCTGATCGGCGGAAACATTCTCAATGTGCTGTCTAGCCTGGTACTTGGCCTTCTCTGTGTCAATGAAGTCCAAGCCGCGGGTCTCCACCTCGCGATCGATGAAGGCACCAGCAAATCCAGCCATAATCTCCTTGGCCTTCTCGTGGCTCTGGGGCTGACCTAAAAAAAACATCAGAGTTTCGTACTATGCACGACATGATGCATGTGCGTACCGTTTCTGTCGCAATGCTCCTCGTAGGCCTTGGCCGCCTCGTAGCTAGCGGCACCGGCGATCAACTCGTGGACGAAGGAAGGGTCATGCTCGCGGGGCTCGGAGTTGTTCCATTGCTGGTAGTTGTCCTGCTGCTGCGAATCGTCTAAATAAAGTAGCCAAGCATTTAGTGACAGTCTTGGCAAAAGATGATCAGATAGCAAAGCAAGAGAAGAATAGACCACTTACCACTGAACCAACCCATGATGAAGATGTGAAAAGGGAGATAAATGGAAATGGAAAAGGAGAAAGACAGGAGCAGAAGAGGGGTAAACAAGGTATATATAGCGTATCAATAGACCAGCTTGTCGCTAAGCGGGGGGCAACTCACAGTGGGTCAGACAGCAAAGAAGCACAAGTGAAACTTCTTGAAAATAGGGGAAATACTCAGTCTAGGGAAGGGAAGAGAGAAACAAAAAACCACCATTAGAGTCTATCGTGAAGCTTCTTGACTTTTCTTTTCTGTGTTTCTATCACGCTTGACTCTTGGTATGCATTGATGCATCTACACTCGGTTCTGAGGTGCAAGCCAAAGGAGTGGACCCGACTGAAAGTGGCGGTGTCCGGAACGCAAAAATGAGGAGTGAATCATACGAAGATTTCCAGAGGATTCTACTTCTAACATGGCGAAATATATCCACCTGATGTCACAGGGCCGTGATCGTTGAAAGCCCATGTGTACAGTACACGGATGCAGTCTGGTACGGAGAACAACCCCAGATACAGGATTTCACTATCATGACGCGGCAAACATGCTACTGACGATCGCCGAGGGATACAATTGGCCCAAAGACTGTGCTTACTGCCAGGGTTTTGAACTTTAATTATCGCAACATCCACGAGGACAGGCCCCCGTGAGATTGCTCTCCTCAATGGCTGATGCCCTCAGTGCTTTCAGCTGAGATTATGGCGGAGCTTGTGCGTTATGTATCCAAAACAGACTACTGCCACCCAACTCAGGTGTGATCTGGCAAGGCCAATTGAGGATCAACACATCTTTCATCCCGTAAAACTTCAAAACAATGCGCAGCAACATGAGAACCAGGGCTGCCCTCCTTTAGTCTTCTCGGAAGACTCCGGTTTTGCAAGAATATACTCCATGGACTCTTTTGAGAGATTGGGATCATCAAGATAGCTATCCCGAAATAGGCCGATTGTACGAATCTGCAAGCCAAATTCACCATGTTGTCCCCCAAAGAAACTGAATAGTCAGTACCAAGGTCCTCCCACAAGTGATACAAGTCTTACCTTCTGGCCATGATCCGGAATCTCCTGATGCGTGACAAGTCCAAAGGTCTCGCATCGTCTACCTGCCTTCCTCGATATGTTGCTCTCAGATCCTTCCATGGTATGCACACCTTTGTCCTTGCACCACTTGCACAAAAGTCATATTCCCAAACCAGGGCGCTTTGTTCACGACCATCTCGTCTTCGCTCGGGGATTTCGTCTGTCAAGGAGAATGTATAGCGTTTTCCGTCCGAGGGAATGACATTGAGTTCAATGCCATCGTTTCCGGTGAGGTCCCAGGTTTGATCTTGTGCAATGGTCCGTTGAGAGGCAAATCCAGCACCACCGAGAGTTTCAATGTCGAGTTTGCCGCGGAAGAAAACCCCGTCTGTGGAAGGGACCAGTTCTGATACCGATGATCCGCCGCGCACGCGATCGTCCGAGTCAGTCCATAAATTAAGATCCCATTCCGGACCAAAGAGAAAAGTGGTATTCATATTGCAGGGTTGAAGGGACCAAGAAACTGACGGATTGATTGACGGAGAGAAACGGCGATGGCAATTCAAAAGCGGTATGACGTCGACAAACATAATCAAACATCCAACTTCAACATCCTCATGTGTGAGTGGACTGAACGTAAGGGGGATTCTTATGTTGAATGGCCTTTAGCATTATAGGATTACAAGCTTCCCTGACAGGTTTACACGCAAGTCTGAACAAGTGATCTTTCACACTTGTTGAGTCGCAAAAGTGAACATGGTCGAGCAGTAAATCAGTGAGGGTATCCTGATTGCTTGTAGTTTTTGTATATTGGTCATTATTAAACTTCGTAAGATTTATTTTCAATGTCATAGACTGGCGAACATGCCAATCTACTTCGTTCCCGCAGCCAAGGTCCGTAAACCCTGAAGAGTACAGGGATAGGAATCATGACAACAGCAATGCACCCGAGCATAGTTCCAGCCCACTGCACCCCCAAATTCTCCATCATTTGTCTTGAGAATAGCGGAAACGCGCACCCGATTGCCGACCGTAGAATAGTATTGGCGGCGATAGTCGATGCGGCTCTACCCATTCAATTAGTAAATTTCCCAGTTGGAGGATCGGGGCAAGAACACCAGAACGTACAGGGAAGGATAGCAGTCAACAATATAGTTGAAGCATTGCAGGAAAATGAGGAAAATCCCTGCTCCGGTGAGAATTCCCGAAGTCACAGGGACGATCCAGTGAATGGATGATGTGAATCCGGTCCAGCCGAACCTGTTGTGTGCGTTGAGTTAGCGATCGATATATCCCATGCAATTCACATATTTAGGGCATAACATACCAAAACATTCCACCAGCAAAGGCAACAGCTCCCAAGATAGCAGAAGGGAGACGCCATTCAGGAATAGGCCTGTCACCATTGGCTGCCAGCTTTCTGGCATAAGGTCCCTGTATGAAAAGAACAAAAATGCCACCAAGAAGCTCTCCAATGATAAGACCAACAAAAGCCAATCCACCAATACCCATATTCATTCCATACACTCCTTGAAAGACAACGGGGTATGCACCCAGGAGAGCATAGATGAGACCGTAGATGAACGAGATGTAAAGGGATATCAGAAGCAGAATGGGCTCCGTGATCAGCATCACAATTGGTCTTGCGAAATTGTTTCTAACAAGCTCTTTGAAATCAACCTCCACTTCATCTTGCTTTGCGTGAATACCCCAGTTGTGGGTCTGGCGGCGTAGGGTAGCAGCCTTACGCACGAGGATGACAGGCGCATAAGTTTCATCGAGGAAAATAACAACCAAGCCAAAGCCCAGGAAGACCATGATGGCTGAGATATACATTGTCCACCGCCATCCTAGAGAGCTCATTGCGATAAAGCCGCCCACGAAGGGTGCTGCAAAAGGCCCGATAAACACTGCCATACAGAAGATCGACATAACGACACCCCGTTGAGCATTGTTAAACAGATCTGCGAAAACTGCGGGAACAATCGATATAGGACTCGCCGCAAAGAGACCAGCAAAGAATCGACAGATCATTATGGTCTGGATATCTTTGGCGACGGCACATGCTATCGTGAAGATCCCACATCCCAAAAGTCCGACTGACAGTGGCCAGCGCCTGCCAATCAGTTCAGATGCTGGGGCCCAGATTGTTGGACCTGCAGCGAACCCGAGAACATAAAGGGTCACACCCAAGGAGCCGACTTCAGTGCTAGTGTGAAATTCTTGACTGACGCCAGAGATAGCCGCTGAGAATACCGCGCTTGCGAATGAACCGGCAAATGTACCGTAGCATAAAATGCAAACTAAAGATATACTATTCAGTGAATTAGACATGACTGCTTCATCAACACCCATGAATATTGTTGGAAGTACGTACCGCCTCAGCATAGACCAATTATATGGATGCAATGGATCCTTCGCGCCATCAAATTCCACCACGTAGGCCTCCGAGTCTGGGAGTATTGGCGGGTATTCTTTGCTAGCACCCATCGGTAGCCATTTTTCACGGGGAGTTGGCCCTTTTGTGGATCCAACTGTCGTCTTTTGTTGAAGTCGATAGGTGTTTATCCGAGTGAGTTCGAGAGAATTGATCTGATCGATTGTGTCATCAGAATCGCTGCGGGAGTCATGAGGGAAATCAAGGCTTGGCTCATATCTCTGATGAGATATATCATTGTCGTTCATTGTGATGTTTCACTGGCATATTATAGTTCATCTGTAAAATGGCAAAAAAGGGCTCTGATGGAGCATATATTGTCTCGGAGGGAGGGGAGATGAAATATCTATATGTCTCCATACTAGTCAGCCCCTCTCCTTCTTTCTAGTGTTTTTCTTCTCTCTTCTTCCTCCGAGCATGTCAAATCGATCCACTCTTTTGATCATAAACGGGCCCGAAATCCTTGAAACCGGCCACAACCTCGCAAGAAACTGTTACAAGAAGATCCATACCTTTCCGCTGTGGCTGCGAGCCATGCCGAGATCCACTGTCCAGCCACAGTGCCCTGAGATTCAACCAAGCTGACCAATGATATCTCGTACTCGTTTCGGCTAAGCTCGGGACTGTGGCTAATGACTATTTCCGCGGACAACCGAGCATATCCGTTATCAGACCTTGATTCAGTTCCGATCCCATTACTATGAAAATTTTCGAGAATTTCGCCTACGGAGTACGTGCCGACATCTAGAGCTCGGGATTCCCCCTGCTCGGTATTGAAGGTGGGCCCAATTGCATGATTTGACGTGTCTGTGCCGAATGTAAGCCGATCGGGCCTGAAGGAGCTACTGGCAGTAACAAATAACCGTGCACATCTCTTGAACAAATCCTTTTCAAGGGGCGCATTCAATTAATTAATCTTAGGGTTGATGTTTGTTGATTCAATGCAATTCTGTTGAAAAAGAGACCTTCGTTATTGGTGCCTATGTCGTTAAGTCTTTGCTATTGACTTATAACTTATTGAGAAGCATTTCACATAGCTCCTTCAGCGTCCAACCCGCCCATTCAAAGTCGCTCTCCTCGAGATAGATTTGTCCACTCAGTCGAACCCACCAAGATCCCTGAAAAGGAAAGACCGGCATGAATGTGTTGAATCTTTCGATCATGGTTTGCTGCATCCAATCTGTGACTGTGACACTGGGGGCTCCAGTCACTCTGACAAGACTTTGATCTCCCGAAGTAGGCTTTGTCAAAGGCAGGAGAATGTTGACCATACAACACTCTGTCAAACTGTGGGAAACATTGTCCAGGACCTTGGTCTCCAGGATTTCAGCAACCCTCTGCCCACCTTTGCGAGTAAGTTGAATACAATACTGCCGAATCTTATCCTCCCCACCGCAGGTTGTGTGCCTCCACTGAATCGCTTCAGGCACCGTCAGGAAAGAGACACTGTCAGTGGTCCCCACGAAATCAAAATTAGAAACGAAGCCTGTTTCTTTGGCGCATGGAATTCCGTGGAGCTGTGGAACGAACCCATGGCTCGTGGGTAGTGTGCTTCGGATCATGGCTTGATTGCGCTCTGGGACATAGAGCACAGCACAGCTCCGGGGAGTGAAAAGCCATTTGTGACAATTACTGACCAGGAAGTCTGGATCTAGTGTTGCCAAGTTGAGATCGACCTGCCCAATCCCATGTGCCCCGTCGATCAGACTTAGGACCCCCTCTGCGCGACAGACTGCAGTGAGCTCGTCAAAGGGAAGTCGCAGTCCGGGATTGGAGGCAATAGTGTCGAATATGGCAATGCGCGGGCGCTTACCCTTTGAGCGCGAAGATTCAATTGCTCTTTGCAAGGCTGCAACGATCTCAGAGTCCTCGACCGGGTATGTAAACCCGAATTGACGGGTATAAACCTTGTCGCCGCTGGCCTCACAGACGTATTGCGCTGTTTTTGCACAAGCTCCATATATAATATCTAGGTGAATAATTTCATCGTTTCTATCCTCATTCCATATCATGTTTCGCAGGACTGTGTTGACACCTGTAGTCGCATTCGGGACGAAGACGATAGTGGACTCAGGTACACCAAGAAAGCTGCTCATAGCAGCCCGAGAGAGTTGCAAAAGTTGAGGGAAGCGGTATTTGATGAAAGGACATGGAGTTGCCTCGCATTCCTCGCGTAGCTCATTGGCTCGGTTGCGAATGAGGGTTGGCGATGCCCCAAAAGACCCTGGTATCATGAGCAGGTATATAAAAGTACAGACTGGAAGCCTTACCATGATTCAAGTTTCGATAGCCGGGAGCAAAAGAGAAATGCTGACGCATTTCGTGTCCAAATGTCGGCTCATCTTGACCAAGGGGCATCTTGAACAGTGCAAGTTAGAATTCAGCATAAAGTGAGTCCAATGGGAACACAAAATGTAACAGGTATCTGTTCACCTCCCACCCCCACTCGATATTGCCTCCAATACGACCAAACAATACAACTCTACTACATTTTGGTAGAGTCAGACCCTGCAGTGGACCTCGGACATCCCTGCGACACAGTCATTCTGACAATCAGCCCCTGGAATGGGAGCTGGAGAGATGAGACCAACCAGATGGACCGACTTCCGACATAAAAATTTCCTCTTTAAGCAAAAGATCCCCCCCATATTTACCCCACGCCTGTGGCAGGGCCCGTGCATGTCTATACAAAGGGGTCTGCAGCTCAAGGTAAAATTTGGCAAATACAAAGGTGACGATGGCAGTGCAAGAGAACATAAACAACGAGGATGTCGAGTTGGGGGACAACAGACATGGCTCTCAACATTCCGGGGGACTCGACAAGGGTGCGACGGCGCGGACGGAGGTTGGCACATTGAAACGACGACTGAAGTCTCGACATGTTCAATTTCTTGCTCTATCCGGAGCCATTGGAACAGGTCTATTTGTGGGCACAGGTCAGGTTCTTTCATTAGCGGGACCACTGTCTGCGGTGCTTGCCTATCTCATTACGGGCTTCAACCTTTACGCGGTCATCAACAGCATGGGCGAAATGGCGACCTGGCTACCGCTTCCCGGTGCAGTTCCCGTATATGCATCTCGTTTTGTTGACGAGGCCTTGGGATTTACCTTGGGATGGAACTATTGGTACCAGTTTGCTATTGGCGTCCCAATCGAGATCAGCGCGGCTGCCCTTGTCATCGACTACTGGCCCAGCAGCATTCCTTCGGCAGTGTGGATCACGGTCCTGTATGTGGCAATCATAACTGTGAATATGCTCCCTGTTCGGGTCTATGGCGAAGTGGAGTTTTTCCTCGGATCAATCAAACTCACCACAATTGTGGGATTGATGTTGCTCATGCTTATTATCACACTCGGTGGTGCACCAACCAATGATCGTATAGGGTTTCGCTACTGGGACAATCCAGGGCCAATGAACGAGTATCTGGAGACAGGTTCATTAGGTCGCTTTCTAGCCTTTTGGAAAGTCTTCATCCAAGCCACATTCAGCTACGGCGGCAGCGAAATGGTTGTTGTCGCAGCAGGAGAGACCGAAAATCCGCGGCGCAACATCCCAAAGGCGGTTCGCCGTGTTTTCTGGCGCATTGCTATCTTCTATGTCGGAAGCGTCTTCTTGGTTGGACTATGCGTCTCATCTAAAGATAATAGACTACTCAATGCCATTGACGCGGGCGCTGCAGGAGTTGGGGCAAGCCCTTTTGTCATTTCCATTGAAAACGGAGGCATTCAGGTGCTTCCTTCGATCATCAATGCTGTCGTTCTCACTTCTGCCTTGTCTGCGGGCAATTCGTTCTTTTATGCATCCACTCGAATTCTCTACTCCACGGCCCTAGATGGAAAAGCGCCTCGCATCCTTCAATTTGAAAGATTCGGTGTTCCATACGCATGCGTTGCGGTCACTGCCGCATTGAGTTTGCTTGTCTATCTCAATGTTTCATCCAGCTCAGCCGAGGTATTCTTTTGGATTAGCAATTTGAGCTCTGTCAGCACGCTGATAGTATGGACCTCTATTGCGGTGACTTATATTCGCTTCCATCGAGGGATGAAACATCACGGCATACCACGCTCCTCACTCCCCTTTCAGTCACCTCTTCAACCCTTCATGGCCTACTTTGCCATGATCTTCTCCTCTACTGTGGCGTTCTTCAATGGGTTCGATGCATTTTTCCCTGGCCACTTCAGTGCGAAGAGCTTCATCCCCCCGTATATCGATATTCCTATATTTGCCATGCTGTTTTTGGGATACAAGTTTATCAAGGGAACCAAGTTTGTCCGGATAGAAGACATGGACTTCCTGTCTGGCAAGGAAGAGACTGACGAGCTTGAATCGACATGGGAAGAACCGAAGCCTCGTAATATTATTGGTAAGTTGACACTAAATCTCCCTTCGTCTGACTCAAATTTCCTTCCTTCTGACTAAAGTCTCACCAAATCTGACTAAATCCTGACTTCAAACTTTAAACAGAGCGAATCTGGATCTGGATTGCATAAGCTGGACAGATTGTACCTTGAAACAGTATGCCAAGTATGATTTCCTAGAGAAACAAGGAGAAGGGACAGGTTTGTATTAGTACCAAGTTGCACGCCTTGCCCTTTTAACTTGAACATTAAACTGCTTACCGAGAATTTTTGAATGTGGATGCAATCATTGAATCATTTACCTGAGCCCGTCTACTTAATAGATCCCATTTCACGCCGATGTCAGCCCTTACACTTCGCTCACCACTAGTAGAACTTTAATATTCCCGACAAATTTTCGCAAACAACTCATCGGGAAATTCACAAGATGATCTACTTCTGTCGTGGGGGCACAATCACGTCTGACGCAATATGGAGAGGGGGCAATTTCGTGGCTATGGAGAAGCGGCATCAATGTGTCGACTACGGACGCGGCCGTATTCACCTTTTGGTTTACAGTTCCGGTAGGTCTATTGGAAAATCAAGAGATCGGACCGCATCGGAAGCTGGAATCTGGTCTGGCTCAAATTTCGGAATCCATATCGGTCGGGTCCAAATTACGCGAGGCTTACGAACAATACCGTTTTTGGTGATTCTATGGATGATCTGATTTAACCATCAACTTTGTGCGCCAACCCCAGCAATCAGAAGTGTGGAGAGATCAATAAATCTGGAGAGTATGGGGCACTCCCCGGTTCTCACCTACCCCGGAATATTGAGATTTTGAGGATCTTCATAGCTGTGCCGACCAAGCTTCCGATGCATGGCATTACTTTTTACTTTCTACTATAAAGCTAGCAGCTACCCCCGAGTCGTCAATTGTCGTGTCGCAGTTGTATTCTCATTCGTACATTTCTTATTCGAGAATCTTCCCCTGCAAAGAGAATACAACAACCATGACAAACAAGACGATGAACATCGATATGTTTCAGAACAATTCTAAGACTTCGCACCAAGATGTTGGAGGGATGCCGAACTTGACACAAGTTCCTACCTCTATCATTCTGTCTGCTGAACCATTCGAGAGACTTTACCTGAGCCCCATGATGCACCGCCAGTCGTCCTTGACGAAGAACCTTGGTAATCCCACTCCGCTGTACGTATTCATTGTCAATATACATGCCGAAACGAGAATATTGGGACTTATGATATGATTCAAGTGGACTTGGAGCATTCGTTCTCACTGCCTCGCCATTATCGTGTTGTTTGATGACCTGGAGAGGTGCTGGTGGAGGAGGTGCTGCATTTAAGTAAGATTTTGACTGAAATACATACCTGGAAGTTCCATGCTGACCTGATACAGTGCGGTTTTGATCCTGTTCGGAGGTCTACTTTTAATACTCTCCAGCATCCTCGAATTCATCCTTGGAAACACATTCTCTTCTGTTGTTTTCGGTCACCTTGGTAGGCTCAGCCTCGAACCAATAACAAAATAAACACATACACTAATTCAACGAAGGTGCATTTTGCTTGGCATTTGGTGCTAGCATGACTCCGGCATTCAACGCGGCAGGTAAGTGACGACTGCTTCGAGTTCTTGTTCGTGAATTTATGTTGATGTATATGCCAATAGCCCCATACTCTCCCTCGACGACTGATCTCGTAGCAGGGCTTCATAGTCCTGGATATACAAATACCTTTGGTATGTGATCTCTTGTCACTTGTATCACCCTTACCAAATGCTTATTGCCTCTATTTGCAGCGTTCTTCCTTGTATTTATGGCGGTATTGATGTTAATCTACACTCTCTGTGCGACACGCACGAACCTAGTATACGTGATTCTGTTCGCGGACCTTGTCGTTGTTTTCTCCCTCCTGGCTGCAGCCTATTGGAAATTGGGTAGGGGTGATGCGAGTGCTGGTGAACGTTTGACAGTGGTAAGTCTGGTCTTTTCCTACGTTTCATCTGCTTCCATAATGCACGATATTAACAGTTCTACCTATAGGGTGGCGGAGCTGCTCTATTCCTAGCGAGCATGCTCGGATTCTATCTGTTGACGGCACAATTACTTGACTCTGTTGGGTTCCCGCTCTATCTGCCAGTTGGCGACCTGAGCGGAGCATGGAACCGTCAAAAGAGCAAGTATGTTATAACCGACCATCACCAGTACTCAATGCCATGCTGACATGCCGTAGGAATGGTTCACAGTTTGTTGACGAGAGAAACGACGAGGTGTAGATTTGTCTTACATGAGCTATGCCGTATGCTAAAAGCAATACCCGGATCACCATGGTATATTAGGGTAAGAACAACGGGCAGAATCGTTGGGCGAGCAGGTTGTGGCCTCTGCTTTGGTATACTGCTGCTTATAGGAAAGACTGGGCGTCAAGGAGTGATGATCTTGGACTAACACGGTTGGCAGGGGCGATTGAATGTTTAGGTGGTATATGCATCACGAACAATACAGCAAATAACTGTCATTATTCTCGTGATAAGTTAGTCTTCACTCCAATGTAAGCTTACGAAGGTACATTGAAATTCTCGGCACCTAATGTTATGGAATTTTGAATGCGACAAGAGATAAACATTCGTGAGAAAATAGTTACCTGTATCGATAATCATGAAAGCGTAAAAAATTGTTTTGCGAACTCAGATTATGAATTTGGCTGGCCAAACGTGTGCCAAAGCAAAAGGTGATAGCATAGCTGTTTATAGACACTCCTCCGAAGGCTTTACATCATACTCTACGTCTGTTCTAATAATATACTTAGCGCCATTCCTTACTCCTGTTCCTTCATGTAATAAGGCACCGTTCGCCTCGCCGTGCGGGAATATGGCAACGGACCCCATCACAGGCCGGACAGGGTATGCATTCAGTATTCCCTCACGAGCAGCTGGCATGAAGAAGGTGGTCTCTCCACCTTCAAACTCGTCGTTAAGGTATAGCAAAAATGTATACATAGAGCTTTGCCTCCGATCTTCAGGAGAAGAGTCGTACACGTATGTGTCATCCGGGAGAATACCGGACGGTGGCCAAGCTCCATCAATGTGGCAGCGGTACTCGGCTCCCGGGACATATCTGTACACTCGGAAGCGTCGATTAATACCTCGAACCAGACGACCATTGATTGAGGGTGGTACGTAGGGAGAAATTCGATCCCAAAGTAGATTATGGAAAGTAGTGTCGATAATCCAGTAGAAGTTGTGAGCCAAGATGCTCACGTCGCCGTCTTCGCGCAAAGGTGCGTCGGGAAGGAAGCCGACAGATTCTCCGGCTGCAATGATCGCTTTGCACTCTGCGGGGGAGAGCACATCCATGGCAAGGCCAAGACCTGGAACGGCGGGATGTGGGTGGTATGTTATAGTAGGACCGACGGGGGCCAGAGGAACGGAATTCGGTTCTGTTGTGTAGAGTATCGCAGGATGGTGGTTCGGAGGTTTGCGAAGTGTACCGGGGGTATGCTCGATGACGCGGAGGGCAGTCGGGGACTTCGGGGCCTCGGAGAGAATAGTTTTGTCGAGGACCGAGGCATAAATCTCTAGTGGCGCTGTTGACGGTCGAAGATCCCAAATAGAATGAAAGGCAATCGGGGAGGCAGAACTGAGTGCGTTTGAAGTGGTGTCGATTGATGTGCTGACACGCAGTATAGCATCAAGGACTCCCAGAAGTTCGATGTCTCTTGTGCTACGACTGGGAGAACTATTACCGTGTGTATTAGGCTGTGTGGAGAGGCCGCTCACAACGTCAAGGTCTCGTACCCAGCGACACAAGGCTCCGATTTTAGGTTGTTCCCCTCTAATTCTCATTTCGGCGAGCAGAATTTTGGCCTCCAAGTATTTCTCGTCAGCCAAGGCACCGGTGATACGTGCTGTGAGGTTTGCACCCTCTATCAAATGATCAGTTGTAGCCACTAATTGGAAATATCAGGGTGGCGCACCAGCTGTATTAAGACCGGTTGTGCAAGCCTGGCGAAAGTCATACACAGCAACTCGGAGGTCTTTGCAAGCCTTGGATTTTGTCAGACTAGGGTATTCTGCAAGCGCCGTGAGTGTCTCAATGGTGATATCGAGTTCCTCGTCCGAGACGACCGTTTTGATGTGTTTAGGTTCGAGGGTGCCATCGGGAGGGGGTGTTAGGGCCGAGGCAGGTTTGGCCAGTTTTTGAGGAAGGTCAATCTGCGCATTGCCATTGCGCTTACGCTTCGCAGCTTTGGATTTGGCCATTGTGTCTGATGGTTGATGTTTGATAGTTGAGAGGAATGAGGCTTTTCGACTCGAACCGGGACGGAAAATTAAAATTGCGGACCATTTAGTCGCCACTCGAATGATCAGTTTGGTACGATTTTTTACCGACACCTTCAGGACTTGACCATATTTCAACCACTTGGTTCAAAAGACCAAGCCCAGGTTCAAAGGAGATAGACTATTGGAATATGGAAAGAAAGACCCATGAATGAGACTATTGGACTAGATATTCACTCTTTGGCATACATGAACGATAGAGTCAAGATGCGTCATGACTCGATTTCCTTGGCCTGCTACCTATTCATAATGATTTGCGACCTTCAGACCCTTGAACTCAAACGAGGTGTTTTCCCTCTTGTCAATCACCTTCTTATGATGCACATCCCGAACACGGGCGCGTACATATTCCGTGCCTGTGGCAACACTCTTGCTCGTGTCTTTATCATTTTCAGTTAGCAGGCCGAGACGATCCAGCACAGGTGATGGTACTGTCCTCATAATAGTATGATCTCCGGGTCGACAGAAATAGAGCAACCCAAGACGAGGAATATCGATCTGATCTCTAGGAGGTGTGACAACGCGATGAATCGTGGATTTCAGAAATCCTGTTGCTCTGAGTTAACCGAAAGAGTATTTTGTCCAATTCGAATGTACACCTACCATTGGTCAGGAAGGATAAAGTATCGGCAATATTGCATGTAATCCCACCCTCAACTGGCTTCACGTATTTCCACGCCCCTTCTGTTGTCCGGATCTGCAACCCAGCAACATGCTGCGAAAACAATAGGGTCAAACTGCCAAAGTCGGTATGACCTCCTTTGGTATAGGCCTGGGCTTTGTCCCAATCTTCTTGGGTCCGAGTGTTATAAATCATGTATCGTAGGTGATCATCGGATCGCTTGTCATAGCCATGGGCATTCACCAGGTAGTCTTCTGGTAGCTCCAAAATAATTGCCATCAAGATAAATAACTTTCGAATGACATTATGAAAAAGATCTCGATGGAAGCTCGCTATCTCATCAAAATTTTGACGCACGATCTTATGTCTAGGAAGGTCCTCCCATTCAGGGATCGGTTTAGGGATATTAAGCTGAGTGTATTAGCTACTCTCAGAGCGTTCTTTGGAGATATATCACCATACCATTTCAATGTTGTCTTTTACCCCGGTGTCCCCAATCCATCTCTCATTTTCACGGTAGCCGAAATACTCGCCCTCGGCAAAGTTGCAGGCAAAGCTTCGCTTTTCCTCCAGCGGCTCTTGAAAAAAGGCATTGCCGATACTGAATTGGCGCATAACACGCTCATCTTCAATTCCATGTCCAACAACCACCCAGAAGCCAACTTGTGTAACAGCGTAATATAGTTGCTTTGCGAGCTCTTGCTTTCTGCCGGGTGCGTCGAAGCGAGATAAGTCAATCTCAACCAATGGCGCCCAGTCAATGTCCTCTTTCGTGTGCGAAGGACGACTCCAGGGTTTAACCGTCACTATTTCAGATGAAACTTGGTCATTGATAGCAGATGGAGCCATTCTGTTTGAATATCGACAGTAGTTTTTTCACTCAAAGGATAAGGAAAAATGCAGCCCGTTTCAGATGTTGCTCTTATTTGTATCATCTGCGTGCTGTCGATTCCCGATGTATACATATGCTGTTCCACATGTCTGATTCATTTTCTAGCATCAGAAGCGTCTCGGGTCATATCATCTTTCCCCCCGATTGCGTTATGCGCTAAGAAAACGTACCGGTCAAGTAAAAATCGACTAAGGATTAAGTGGCGTTGAAGGATAAACTCAAATAGGACTAATTGGTGATCTAATCCCCGAAAAAAGACGGAGATTAAATTTCTGCTATCTTGCTACAATCCTTTATGGATACAGATATAGAACTCTGACTCTCTTCAACTGCCTTGAAGTTTAAGCTAGGCAAAGCAATGGGAGATATGATAAAATACTCAAAAATTAAGTACGAAATTAATTATCCGCTGCGTTCCTCATTTCGTCGCAATAAAATGATCAAATAAGTGAGAAGTGATTCGTAATTGAATAAGCTGGGAGCGTTCTCGATATAGGCACTAGAGGAAGAGAGTGTGCATGCCGTGATCAGCACTACCATGACACAAGCTGATACCCACCCTGTTGTCACCAGGACTTCAGATACTTAAGGGACACATGGTTCATTTAAAGAGACAAATTAAGGGATTAGTTTTTTTTTTAGTTTATTCTTACATCCCAAGGAAGAAGAAATGGCATCTGGAGAAAGCGGCAAACAGGGAGAGCTCATCAGAAACAATTCACTTCGACCCAATGACCTCGACTTTAACAATACCGAGATCAAAGACCATGTCGAGATTGAAAAAAGACTGATGCGAAAAATAGATCTCTGGCTGGTTGGATTTTACTCATTTGTATACATTTTCCGGGTCATCGACTCGAGCAACTACTCAAACGCCGCCATTATCAACTTGGAAGCGGGAACGGGAATTAAAAAAGAGCTTGGGTTTAGCTCATCGCAATGGGCCTGGACCCAATCCATATTTTCCTACAGCTACCTCATATTCGAGCCCACCAATACGATTCTGCTCAAAAAGTTCAAACCCTCACGATGGATGTTTGTTCTCATTCTTTCCTGGGGAATATGTGCCTGCTCAGCTGGTGCCGCGCAGAACTTTTCCGGCATGATGTGCGTTCGGTTTGCAATTGGGATTGCAGAGGCAGGCTTTTACCCGGCTGTACTGTACCATATGGCGTTTTGGTATAAGCCATCCGAGATGCCATGGAGAATTGCCCTTTTTTACTCTTTAGGTCAACTGGCTGGAGCACTGAGTGGACTTCTTGCATACGCCATTAGCTTTATGGATGGAGCGGGTGGAATTTCAGGCTGGCGGTGGCTGTTCATTCTAGAAGGACTCCCTGCTATCCTACTATCTGTTGTCGCATTGTTAGGCCTCCCTGACTATCCTGAGACGGCTCGTATGTTAACAGAAGAGGAGCGTGACTTTCTCAAAGACCGTCTGTCCTCTTCGGCGCCGTCCGGTAAAGATGAAAGCTGGGACTGGGAAGCTATTAAGACGCTTTTTTTGAGTCCTACAGTGTACACATTTACGCTTTACTGGGTTGGACATGGTATCGGCGGATTTGGCGTGAACTATGCGTTACCGACCGTCATATACGAACTCGGCTTTACCTCGACGGCTTTATCGCAGTTGATGAACATTGTGAGTCGAGTTACCATTTTATACCACTCACAAGTCAATGTTCGCTCAAAATGGCTAATTATTGTTCAACGAACAGCCTCCTTATGTCGCCTGTTTCGTATTTTTGAACAGTATCGGGTATCTGATACACAAGGGGTGGATCAGGCCCTGGACTACCGCTGTTGCAAGTAGGTATTATTCTGGGTATCGAGCAAAGATATGTGTTCACTATTCACCTGAACTAATCACCAAAACAGTTGAAAGCACGACAATAATCTGCTATATCATTCTAATCACTACTCAAAACGCGGTAGTGAAATATCTTGCCTTGATAGTAGCCACTGCTTGCGCTGGATCTGCATATCCGGTCATTTGGCCAGAACGGATTCGCGCGCTCGAGGGTACGGTGGCTGCAGGTATTGGCATTGGACTAACAAATGCGATGGCACAGTTCAGCGGAATAGCTGGGCCGCATATATACGATACAGTATTTGGACCGACTTATCGAGTGTCCTATATTATCTGCCTATGTTTCCTCTGTGCAGCCATCTTGGGGATCTTGTCTTCATGGTGGCTTGTTTGGCGCACGGATCGCAAGATTGATCCGGTGGAAAGCTTTGAACGTCAGAATACAGTATAAAAATGTGCCAACGATCACGTCTTTCATCCTTACTTCAGAGCTCAATACTTCAGAACATAATTGGCTGTGTCATTTAGATTATCGTATACCTTTCCCAGGTGTCTATCTTTCTACAATTCTTATTCTTTTTGAATGTAATCTCTATCCTTAATTGGGTTTTCCGTCTCAATCCAGGGAAAGCTACATACACTATTCAAGTTTTGCTAGAAAATCTGTGCTATGAAATTTTATAATGTCATGGCAATGGAATGCTCAGATCGATAAGAGGCAATGAGTTATAGGAAATGAAAGTCAATGAACAATTTTTCATTTTTCATATCTGGATGACAAAATGTGGAATAGACGTTCTAGCTCTAGCTGTTCAATCGCCAATTTCAGAGCGGTACCTGTCCAAGACCACTTTCACCGGTCCAAATGGGCAACGATAGAACAGGAAAAACTTAAGAAGCAAGCGACTTTCCGAATGGCCATTTTAGTTACGAGGTTTCAACATAAAAATCTAGGATAGTTTCATAAGATCTGTATCTGGCTGTATTGTTTGTCTCACCTCGGGAAATGCAGGTAAATTTGCGAGATCTCCGCGGTCTAGCCTATTTGTTGATCCAAATTATTACTTAACTGTACACTATACATATTAGGAAATGAATTAGATAAATAAGAAACAATAACCATTATTATCTGTTTAAATGGGAGATGCTCGATGGCAGTCTGGTCAAAACAGACGGGTCGATAAATGGTGGCAAGAAAACCCAACAACAAGTCAGGTCTATGAGCTCTAGACATGTGACGCCTGTCAGGAATAATCAGATGCTATATCAAGGAGCATAATAGTCATAAATCATGAATCAGGAAATGAGTGGCATTGTTGTCACTGTCTATCATTCTCTACAGTCGTAGATTGCCTATATCCTTTCCTCGAGGACATCACTGCCTGAGGCAGTAATCATACAAATCTCGTGATTTCCTCACTACACTGTTAAATTTGAAGGTAATGCTTGTGCTATAATAGAATAAAATAGTGTAATAGTTAATACAGTACGGAGTATGCGATCCAAGTTTCAGAACGCTGATTAAATCACATATCCAACGTTAAAGGGGTGTGAAGAAGCTATTGAGAAGTTCCAGGCGATGTGAGAGCTCGTTATTGTAGACTGCGACATCTCCTCTGGACGGGCCAATGGGGTTTAGTACCCGAATGCCATGATTATATGACCCTTTTTACTCCTTTATAGCCCCCGGCTCTGTCAAGCTCTACTTGCAAAATTTCGTTTCTTCATGAAAGTATCACTATTGGATTTCTTGTCTGGGCTGTATTACTTTATTTTGCAGGTGTGGTATAATCCCGAAGGAGGGTCTAGCCAGCAAATCGATGACCAACTCACGCCCGCTGGATCATAAAGATCAGCGGTTCGCTGCAGCCGTGGCTCCTTTCCGCTGGATTGAATTGGCTTCATCCAGATCCGCTAGTCGAATACCAAAGCCGACTGTCGGCTGCCTATGGGCTCAGACCTATTTGATGCATGGCCTCGCAGGCTTTGCGAACCATTGTGACACCACAAAGGCTCCCACGAACATCTGTTAACATACATGTGGAGATGTCTGTGTCTCCGCCTCAGCCCCTTGCTACACCGACTATTGAACGTTGCCAACCTTGTGTTCAAGAATCCCGACAAGAAAGCTCGCACATACATTTTCTTCATCGATTAACTATAACCTATATCATGAAGCCACAGAAATTGCTTTTCAAAATTCTCCTAATATCGCGCTTCACCTACGCAAAAGAAAAGATCAGCCTCCAGTGGGCAATATGCGACCCAAGTCCACAAGATACGCTTGAAAAGCTTGGACACGATGCAATTCCCCCCTACAAAGAGAATCCAATCACCTACTACGATGAAAGTCCCCCTATCCATATCAGCTCCGGTTTGATGTTCCGCACAAAAACAAACAAAGGCCAGCCACTCTCTACAGTCAAAGTCCGCTTTCCCCGGGCGGTTTCTGATGTTCCGGACTTTGTCGACTGCTCCTGGAACCAATATGGTACCAATCTACCGTCATTCACCTGCGAAAAGCGCTGCCCTTTAGATAGTGCAGTATGGCAAGAGGAGCAGGTGCAGTTCGCAGAAAGATATCAGACTGTCGAATGGAATGCGTTGCGTCCGTATGGACCTTATCAGAATGGGAAATGGAAGCTTTGCATCGAGGAATACAAGGTTAAGTTTGACGATGTAGTTGCTGGGGACTTGCATCTCATGGAGATCGAAGTGAAGGTCGTCAGAGAGGACGCTTATGATGCGCTCCAAGCAATCACACGGCATTTAAAGAAAAAGGACGTTTTGCTTTGTGAGACACAGGATGGGAAAACTATGCGGCTATTTCGTGCCATGGGGTACTTCGCTGATGGGAATGAGGAATTGTGACCAAAATTAAGATATTTACCATTCTCCATGTTCTAGCTGTCTTTATTAAGAGAGTCAATGGGATTCATATTTTGGAAATGAAATTCCGATTGTTTACCTAGTAACTCTTGAATCGGCAAGTAGTGTATTATGATTGCGAAAAACAAAGATATACTCTTATCCGGTGTGTTTGACAATGTACGAACATAGCAACCGGCTTGCCTTATCTTCTAGATACCTCGAGCTCACATCAGGACCGGCAACTGCCTCGTGGGTCATTGTTGGCGAGACTTCGGCTATCCGGCTTTGACCTCTGACCACTAGATTTAGGCGTGCTACGTACCTGATCGTTGAAAACCCTTACATTTTCCTGGTAAATTACATGCTCAACTGGACTGTATGAATATTTTGCCTCCTTGCTTTAGCGGCAAAATCGCCAAAAGGATTTTAAGGCGGAAATCTTGGTGTAAAATGCCGGTAAGTCTGGCGTTACACTTGCTTATTCTGCTTGGTCGTGGCATACTTCTTCTTGCCCGAGATGAAGGGTCGTTCATACCGTGAAATTGACATTCTTCAAGCGTAACGTGCCGGCTCGGCAGTGGAAAAAAAAATCGTTATCGATGTGTAGGATGAGGAGTAAAGAGGGCTGTGCTTTGATTACCTTGCGTAGACCGAGAGGCCTCTATGTAAGTCAAGGCTACGATAGTCTACTACCACCATCAGCTCAACAGACCCAAGGCCTATGACTTGCTATCAATTCAGTTCTTATTGATACTGCTATCTACCTTTAAATTTTACACTTTCCATTATTATAATTATCATTATATCTCATTTTATAATTTGCTTCTATTAAATACTATACATACACAGCTTGCTTAGAAGTCTGACTGCCTGGTCAGAACTCGCTTTTCAGCCTGTTAGCCACTCAACCTCTAGAGTGTCACCATATAGAATGTAAGTAGCCCACGGAAGCAAATGATCGCCACTTTGATATCTTCATATATTTCATCCACGCGGCTGTGTAGAGATCGGGCTTTGTCGGTCCCAAAAAAGTGCTATAACTTTAATCCAAATCCTTAGATCTAGCTTCAACTCTCCGTTAGTTCGCACCTCAGACCCTCAAATATTCCCTTAGCGACCCTCAACGATCCGCATTTGCATAAAATTGATGATTCATCTGTTGTTTTGCAGCTCTTCCATCAACCTATAGATAGTTCACTAAATATTTTACCAATATAATCAAGTATACACAAATAGTCATAAAAATTAAATAGAAGGTATGGTTAACTATAAATTACAAGTGATGTTAGTGTCACGGACCCGCTTCTGCGCCGAGTTTTAGCTAGCCACAGGCCTTCACTGAAGTTACGCTGCTCAGTTGACGTGTTTAGAATAGAGTTAGAAATATAGGGATTTCAATAGCAAAAAAAAAAAAGAAATGGTATCTCAATCAGAGACCAATTCTTGAAGATGAGGATAATATCTGTCATGAAGATGCTTTTTTATATACTGAGAAGGGAGCGGCGCGATGGCAGTCTGGTCGAGCAGACAGGTCGATACTAGCTATGGGAGAGAGCATAGGCAAACACCAACAAGAGGTAGAGCTATAGGAAAGGAGAGCACATAGGAGTGGCTTAGAAGAGAAAGAGTGCGTCTGTATTGCTCTACTATGTGCAGAGAGGTCTTAAATACATCATAAGTGCTGAATCATCGGTAGACCGCTAGTTCATGCAGTGAGCAGTTCCCCTACTGCAATACACGGTATATGAGAGAGGTCAAACATGAGATAAATAGATGTAGCACCAGGATGCGACGTGAGGGACACAGTCAGGATAATGAGATGTGACCATGAATCAATGTCAATAACTCGCAACCGAATCGTGTTCTAGTACTGCATGTGACGGACTTATACTCGCACGTAATATATGTAAATTTTACTATTCATCTCCAGAAATCCGGGGCATAGCATCGGAATTCAGACTGGCCTAACCATTCATGCGCCGAAAAGCCTTGAAAACTTCATTTTCCCAGTCAGAGAAAGCCACGATAACCCATTCAAATATACCCGCACAGTAGAGTGCAACACACTGACCCAACCAAAGTCCCCTTATACTCCAGCCATGGAAAGCAAGATAAGCACCTAGTGGTAAAGCGAAGCAGTAATAGCTTACGATATTGACAGTAGCACCTAAGTGCTGTCGACCCATACCTCGAAGGCTTCCACCGCAACTACCATTCAGGCCATCCGCAATCTGAAACAACGCGACTATAACTATTCTACGTTGAACTACAGTGTAATTCTGAACCCCTCCATAGTTAAGAGAGCGGGAGCTAGGCTGAAAACCGACTAGCGTACACTGTTATTCAGGAAAACGGACACTGTTATTCAGAACTCTCCTCCTATCACTCACATACTATTTTTACTTTCTGAAGGCTGCATGGAAATCACAACAATCTTAATTCTAACTCTGCAAGTTTTGCAATCGCCGTATTCAAATTTGAGTGGTTTTATTTAAGACTGCTATTTCCGACTGTAGAATGTCTAGCCTTCCGACTATACTTACAACCACCTAACTCAAATATATTTCTAACCACAATCCAAGTAGAATACTAAGGAATTATATTAGTACCAAGTTAATACAGATTTAGGTCCTATCCTTTCTAAGTATATAATACCCTATATTAAGCAGTTGTATACTATCACTACAGTACCTTAATATCTTACAATATCGGATTGCTCACATTTCTAACCAGTGTTATCATATTAATCCATAAACAGACTAGCGTACGGTGACATTTAGGGGAACCTATAATTATACTAATATCCACTATTCTACTTCTAATTAAATTTATATATCTATACCATCTACTATTTTTACTAGATTCTATAATGTCACAATCTAATCACGATCATATAAATTCTGCCACGGAGCCTAAAATTAAGACTAATAACCCCTTGCCGTCGTATCTATAAGTGCTACCGGAACTTAGGGTAGTCCTATATATAACCTATAGTTCCTACTATATTCGAACCAGTCTCTCTCGCTATCTTCGTAACAAATATTATATTAAGAGTCAATAGCGGCAAACCATCGAGTCCGCACGAGAATTAGCTTGCGTGGCACAATACAGCACTGGAGTCATCCAGCCTCAAGATGGGATTTGTGAGATTCGCGGGTTGCCGACCGTGCTCGGGTTCATCTGCCACTTCCCCGATTGCGACGTTCGCTCTACTAGTAAGGACCGGATCCGCCAATATTATAAAAAGTATTATTAGTGGTAGGTCGCGTAGTAGGGGGCGATTCTATGGTATAAGGCCTTTATATAGACGCTCTTTCTCTAGAAACAAAGCTAATAGTACTTTGCTATAGTTCTTACCGACTAGATTCCGACCTCCAACCCTTAATATATATATCGGCATACTAACGCTCCTACTTATATACCACCATCTAGTTCCGAGATACCCCCTTCGTCAGCTCTTACCGGCGATATATAGAAATAGATCATAGGCCGATACTAGAAGAGTCTCTCTCAATTATCGCGGAAGTCTATCGCCGCAGCGCGCTATATATCCGAGGTCACTCCCTTTATAAAGCGGGCCGGTATCTATATCTACCTTAAAGGGCTCGAGGTCAAAGATCTTAGTCCTAGCTATCGAATACCACGATAGGACTAGGAGGCTTTACTTTTTATTATTTGCGAAAGCGTCTAACGTATTCTCGAGGGAGCAATATGTTACGGACATACCAGGCACCAATCAGTATGGGACCGCAACTTGTTGATGGGCGGTCATGGACCAGTCGATCAACCAACCCACCAGGATCACGTGACGAACAGTCAGGAAGGTTACACCACAACGCTAGGTGCCGATAGGGCCACTTACGGCCCCCTCAGCACAAACACATATTCTCCCCCATAAGAATATTGGAATTACGTCAGCCTAACCACGTGATCATGCAAGTAGTAGATGGGTATGGTGGTTTACGAGTAGATCCTGCCAAGGCGCATCTACCAGTCTACCATCTACCATTCTACCAAGGAAGAACTAGGGATATATAGGACCTCATGTATCTAGTTTAGTTCTTCGTGTTCAATCATCCATTGTTACTTGTGTCTACCTTTGGAAACCTTCGTGACTCGTACAACTTAGTTATCACTTGACAACACTACGATCTAAGCCAATACTTCGGTATAGACTTGATCGGCGCTCTACTGGCATCGCTCCTCGATACCCTCAAAAGGACTTAGCCCGTATAAGGCCTGTTAGGCAACGGTACGGTTGAGAGACAGATCGTTGAGGTTGGAAGTCAGCAACCAGGCAAGTATAATCCAGCAAGTCTTCTAACATAGCGACGACCCGGAAGCAAGTGCGTAACACAATAGCGGTCTTAGTATATGACTAAGATATAGAGGTACGCTAGCTTAGTCGCTGTAACGCACGGCTTCTCAACACTTTTGCCTAGGGAGAAATATCCTAGGACCCCCTCTCCGATCTCTAGAATAAACGTACTGTTACGCACTTGCTTCTAGGTCGTCGCTATGTTAGAAGATTCCCTAGGTTATACTTGCCTTGTCTTGCTGACTTCCAATCTCAACGATCTGTCTCTCAACCGTACCGTTGCCTAACAGGCCTTATACGGGCTAAGTCCTTTTGAGGGTATCGAGGAGCGATGCTAAGTAGGGCGCCGAGTTAGTCTATACCGAGATATAGGCCTTCCCGTGGTGTTGTCAAGTTATAATCAAGTTATACGAGTCACAAAGGTTTCTGAATAGTAGACACAAGTAACAATGTTGGATTGAACACGAAGAACTAAACTAGATATATGAGGTCCTATATATATCCTTAGTTCTTCCCTAGTAGAATGGTAGATGGTAGACTGGTAGATGTGCCTTGGTAGGATCTACCCGTATACCATCATACCCATCTACTACCTGCATGATCACGTGGTCAGGCTAACGTAATTCTAATATTCTTATGGGGGAGAATATGTGTTTGTGCTGAGGGGGCCGTAAGTGGCTCTACCGGTACCTAGCGTTGTGGTGTAATCTGACTGCGTGTTATATGATCCTGATGGGTCGGTTGATCGACTGGTCTACGACCGCCTATCAACAAGTTGCGGCCCTATACTGATTGGTGCCTGGTATGTCCGTAACATAGCGGTAGCGAGGGGGATACGAATTCCCTGATTTAGTATTACCGCTATGTTAGGCAGTGTTTTAGAAGAATGGATAGGCTGTAGAATTCCTGGATAGACTTGGGGGGAGTGAAGTGAAGGGAGATAAGGTGGAATATATGCTATGGCTCGGGGGTGAGCGGCGGATGTTTAGGGAACGGAGTTCGAATGCAATTGCGGTGGTAGAGTGTATACTACGGTAGATAAGCGGCGAAATGCCAAGGTAAAGGGGACTTATACTCCTCTATAAGTGAGTTTCGGTTATACTATTGTCGGGGATGATATTAGCGAATATAGTAGAGGAGTAATTCAATCTACCGTAGAGGCTTATATAACCCTTGTATAAGGGTGGGGTTCGAGGAAATGCAAGATAGGTAGTATACGAGGACACGGTGAGCGGGCGGCCAGAAACGGCTCTCATTGCACCGCCGTCCTGCCGCTCTCGACCGCCTGCCCGTCTCCACCATCCCCTTGCCCCTTCGGGTTTGGTGCCTCGTCCGCGCCCCCGTTCGGGTTTAGTGCCACCTCTGGCCGCTTTTACCGTTCCCCAACCGGCACCTCCATCTATAAAACTCCGCTCGTCCTCCTCGCAGCTTTGTCGACGCACTTTCTCTTCTTTTTCCTGTCTGACTCCCTTTCTCTCGGCCCCCGTCAACCTCTACGCACTGACTTGCCACCTGATGCGTCGCCCCTTTCATTTCCACCGGAGATGCTGCTCGATCCACCGTTGAGCCCGTTCTGGCCGGCGTTGCCTGCAACGCGGGCTAATCCCTGGCGAGTTGATGCATTGAGATCATGAAGTCTTTGGACATATCGTGCAATATGATGCTAGCATCTCTGCCGACGGTTGATTATACTATGAAGCTCTCGAGAAAACCTCCTGTTGCGAGCCCTTCTTGCTGAGCGCTTCGGTCATTTCGCTGGCATTATTTTTGCGCGGCCGGAGAACAGTGTCTCAGAAATCCTCAATACACACGCTCCTGATTTGCTGTGGACCGTCCGAGGTTGCATTGTACAGCCCCCAGTCGTCCACGCAGGTCCGCTTGTTCGTGACTGCCTAGGGGTAAGACTTTCGTCATAGTCTATTTCTCCTGACCATTGTTACCCAGTCGACGAGACTTCGGACGACCATGCCGGCATACGGACCAATGGCGAAATTGCCGCATTCTAGCCTGGTCTCAATCGATGCCAAGTACTGCATCAGAAGGCTGACGATAGTCCATTCTACAGACGGCTGCCGACCACTGTGGAGCCGGGTCACAATAGGCCGCCACCGAGGTGTGCGGAAGCTTTTGCCGATGGCCTTCGGCCCCTTGATGTGCAACCGGTGTGGCTCTGCGCCTTGATATGACGATGAAACGGATCGAGTTGAATGCCGCGGTGAATTCTCTGCTCTATCTCACGGGAAATCCTTGTCTATAAAGGAGATGACAATATCCTTCCGATGGCTCAATCAATCCATCAGTTCCCCTTTCCCTCCCCCCTAACCCTGCTACACACTCAACCTCCAACCCCCCTTTCCCTCCCCAAAGCAACACCTTCAGGATTCTTCTAGCCATCTAGCTTTTTAAACATGTCAAACACCAACTTTCGCCTGGAATCGTTTCGTCCGTGGAATCCTTTCCAAGACAAAGCTCAGCCATTGCGCAATCCCCCTGGTACTTGTCGCTACCCAAGTCCAGTCTCGATCACTACCAGTCCGCCAAGCTCCAAATCTAGCGACTATGACTCGAAGAACCAAAAGATTCATTCCCACAAACCCGAGCGACACCCCCTTCCTGCCCGCCCGCCGACGGAGGTCTGCTTAGATGGGTTGCATTCGGAAGCTCAAACCACTCGACGGGAATCGAAGGGCTTAGATCAGACAAGTCCCGTTCTTATTGACCCGGAGCCTGTCAACTTCGAGAACATTTCGCAACCACAAAACATATTTGGTGCAGATGACCTCGCTTCTACACGATTTGCCGATGATATCCATTGGGAAAAAGAGCATCACCTCCTCGATATGGAATCGGGCAACTGGGATTCTGTGAATTTTGTCGGTCAAAATCCTCCTACTGTTGATCTTGGAATCCCTACTCAGCATGGAGAGACTCCAAATATTCAAACTATCGATCCTGCAATCCTAAATGACCATGCCTCTCCGGTTGTCGAACCGACTCAAACGACTACGAGGATCACCGGCATCGCAACGAACCCGGACGAATGTCCCGCGAAATCCATTCGCTCTCAGAGCAAAGTCTCATTTTTCGAACGCAGACAACGAAATTCAGAGGGGATGGTGGACACGGATTGCCAGCCCTCAATATCAAAGAAAAGCTCGGGTACGAGAAAAAGACATACAAGGATTGGCTCTTCTCGGCCCAAGAAAAGTTCCGTTCATCGTCCAAGCCTTTCTTTCCCCACAGTTCGTGCCCAATTCACGGCCCTTTCCGTCGAAGACCGACTACAGTTCCTGTCCTGGCTTTTTGAGGGTGCGTTAACCCATTGCGCTTCTACGCCTTCGAACACCGCTACCGCTTCTTCATCAAGCCAATGTGACGACATAAGCGACGACTATAGTCACACGAGCTTGAACATTGAAGCGGTTGATGCGCCGCACACCTCTTCGAGAAAGGGACTACGGTGGTCTCCGGAGGAAGATCGCCTTTTGATGAAGCTTAGAGACGAGCAAAACCTTGCTTGGTCGGAGGTGGTCAAGCGATTTTCACGAGAATTCCCCGGGCGGAGCGAGGGGTCAATAAAAGTGTACTGGAGCACAACAATGAAGAAAAGACGGCCATCTTTCCCCATTGTTCTTATTGCTTGACATAATCAACATTGAGACGCTACCGATAGAATCATCAGAATATGTAGAATTTTATGTGACGGGTCGATCAATTGCATAAGATGCATAGTTGAAACATGCTGGAACGATTCTAACCACGTATAGGAGGTGGAAATCGTGAGGACTAGGGCTCTGTAATTCGATCGGTCATCGCGACTTTTATTTGTTGAGATGTTTCAAGAAATTCACTTCCTGCTGGAATGGTACAATCAGAGCGGATGATAGCATTGGTCAATATCGAAATTTGTTGGCTTCATATTGTACAGAGGCACACAGGCTCCCAAATTGGAAAAACCTCGCTAGCCGGTATTGAGGATGGCCCACCAATGACAATATGGTTGATTCGGAGGATCTGTTGGAACGCTCCATGTGCTATGTATGACCTGTTACGACAGAGTTGTTCCGGTATGCTCAGATTTACCATACATAACATGTGAGTTTGGGATGGTCCGGAATGACCATGTATGACAATACAACGCGGGGAACTCGCGGTATTTTACCCCTCGTCTGAGATGACATAAGCTCGGCCGGCTCAGGGTGGGCTCAGGGTAAGCTCAGGGTAGGCTCAGGGTGGGCTCAGGGTAAGCTCAGGGTAGGCTCAGGGTAGGCTCAGGGTAGGCTCAGGGTAGGCTCAGGGTAGGCTCAGGGTAAGCTCAGGGTAAGCTCAGGGTAGGCTCAGGATTGGCTCAGGATTGGCTCAGGATTGGCTCAGGGTTGGCTCAGGGTAGGCCAGTCCGGTTGTACTTCAATGACCCAACGCCTCGGCTGGTCGACCAATGACCACCACACTATGAACTGCAAGAAAGCTGGCATTGTCATCGTTTCTCCGTCGCTTAAGAGACCTGCAGCATCAAGAAAGAGAAGATATACGAGATTCCTACCTCAGTTGCTTTCATGGGGACATATTTTAGAGATTCTTCTATTACATAGATAATGGACAAGTCGATATCTATCGCCGAGTTTATAAAGTGATATTTCTAATTTAGGTGCAAAGTAACACAATGAATCGATATCTGGAGAGCTTTGAGACTGAGTACCAAGCAAGAGCATCAATGGTATGCCGCGTATCCAAAGACTTCATCCCCTAATCAGTTATACAACCATCAAATCAAACCAGTGGAATTACACTATAGATGAATTTCTCCGGTGTGATGCCTGTACCCAGATTCCTTCCCCTGATAAACGCGTAGAGAGCGTTTTTAATACCTTTTGGAAAAGGCTTTTATCAATGGGAAGTCACAATACACTCTAACCGAAAAAAAGAAAACAGCCGTAGCAAAGTTATCTTCCTTGTCCACAGATACCACTCTGCCAAAAAGACGAGCAGTCCGTTCCAAAGATAAAGAAATACCTATAATAAAATCAAAGGCGATGTATGCAAGTTGATCTATCGAAAACGTGTATGACATTCTTGAGGTTATCATGTAATACTGACGTATGGTGAAAGGGGGTCTCTTTCCTTTAGCGAATGGCTTCCAGGAATTTGGTCTAGGTGGTATAGCGAGTATGATGAGGGAAACAGCGGGGAACTAGTAAGTGCAAGACGCGTGCAGAAATGGCTTGAAGTTTGCTCCATGATTTTCAATCCAAGGCTTTTGGACCTCTAACTTTGCTTCCAGCAGAAAGCCGAGCCCAAGGTAGCTGAAGCAATGCCGGATAGGCAATGCGGCTCCCAGCGCACTGTTCATAATTTCTACTAATTCAGGAACTCCTCCTGTCAGAGCTCAAGCATATAGATAATGCCGGTGTTTGGTCGCTGGCATATGCGACAGCCCAGGCATCCGCGTTCTGTTGCAGCTCAAAGAAAAAACCTTTATGTGTCACCCCGGGCCTTTGAATGCATGATTGGTGTCCAGAGAAACATACCGGTTGCTCCTAGGACGAAAGAAACCCTTCCTAGGAGCTTATCCGGAATCAGCGGACTGTAATCATCAAATCTGGCTACATATCTTGAGTTACTGTATACAATCTTTGAAACCAACAGACACTATAAGTTCTGGTTTTCCTCTTCTATGGACTCTCTAACTTCTACCCGTATAGCTTCAGATTATCTTGAACGTGTTGTGCTACAACAATCGCCCCTACATGCTGGATTTTTCTGCGTCGCAGTACCACTCGCCCTGAACTGAAACCGCCTTTTAGCAATACGCCTTCCGCTTCTGCGCCCGTTGAGAAGAGCGTTTGACATATCCTACTGCAGTGCATCGGGAGTGACAGTTTAGCACCAATTTTTATGTCCACACGCGTCCTATGGCTACCACACGTCTCGCTTAAACAGTTGGAATACAACGGTGGTAGCTTGCAATATTGACCAGTCCAACCACAATGCCTCTTCATTCTTGCCAATCATGCCGCAGTTTGAAAATTCGATGCAATCGTGAAGTTCCCCATTGTCAAGCTTGTGTCAGGCGTGGTAAATTGTGTGTTTATGCAATGAAAGGGTCAGACCGGAGACCTGCTCTCTCAGAGCTACGGCCAAATCAGCAAAAACAAGTGCAAGAAGGTGAATTTGGTGAATACCAAACTACATGGAAAGTACAAGAACCGCCAACCGAACAGGCTTTGCAACATGGAACGAGTACAGCTGAGGCGATGCACCACGTCGTAGGGTGTGCAGATGATGAATATATTCAGCACTTGGAGAAGAAGGGTTTCAAGCAAGATCAAAATCCGTCCTATGAGATACTACCAAATATTGTTGCGGCTACGGTGGCGGAGGAAGTTTCGTTTTCCCAATCAAATGGCCCTACCGCTGCTGAAGATATTATGGAGCGGGGTCGAAGCTTGTCAACCTCTCAAAAAACAAAGCCGTTTGCGCACATGACCCCTCCGGTAATGATCACAATCTATGAGGCTTTGAGACCCACGACTGACTGTCAACCAGACCTCTTTGCCTCCACCCCCGAATTTTAATTTTACCATAGCTGGGAAAAACATTTACGGCCCACCCACAATCCACCAACTCTTGTTGGTTCTAAGTTACCTTTTCATTTCTTCAATTCTTCCTACAGATACAGGCGCTCTGTGGAAGGTCATATGTCGCCGCGGCTGTGACTGGGAAGAGAGCTTTGTCTTGCTGAATGGTCATCTTCGAGGATGGCTAATCAGTGCCCGCGAAGCTTTGACTGAGTCTGACTGGCTGCACACAGTAACATTGGAAGATATAGAGCTCCAAACAAGGTATATATTGTTCATTATTGGGCAAAATGCATCCCCTCAGTCGAGCTTTTTAGCTGGAAGCTTGCAAGCCGAACACCCTCCGTACCGGCCGTTTGGATTGAGGGCAAGCGTCGCATTGATTTGTCATGTTTTTCAAGGCATACAGGCTGGTGAACTTGAGGGATATGAATCCAAGGAAATCTGGACTCGTGACCAAACCTTTCTGTCAACGATGGCATGTCGGCTCAAAGAATCGCCACTGTTTGGTGCCGAGGTCTCAATTTATCATTTACAGTCTATGAAACTAAGCCTACAGAGAGCTTTTCAGTGTGAAGAAATCCGTGTTTCCAGCATGGAACCCCGGATCCTGAGAATTGAAAGCCAATTAGAAGTGGCGGCATATTACCGACAGGCTTTTCTCGCCGTTGAACCCGATGTTGTTGCCAAAGATATTGGATTGGTTGAGTGAAGCTACTAATATCCCGACTATTTCTGGTACACTTCAGATTCGCAATATTGAAATGCGACGCGAAAGAAGTAGGTCAATTGATTCTAGACTCATTCGGTATCTGATATGGACTAAGGCAATCTAGCCTTGCGTCTTGCAGACATTTTCACATCACTTACGTCACAGCGCCTGGACGATGCTTTCCAATCAGTACGTGAGATCCTGAAGTCCAAAGCGGATAGAGTCGTTATCATTGAGATGTTTCATGTCAAGTCATTTGAAGAAACAAACAAATCAAACTAGTCCTGTAAGTCGCGGTACAACAAACTGAGCCGAAAGACTCCTAACTGTTGCAGATCCCACCAATGTTCGAGTTTTCCATGTTTGAAGCGGAATGAACCGAAACCTAACATGAATCTTTTGAGCCCTATATTCCAAGATAGTGAGAAGGTTGAGATTGTCAAACGGAAACAAGAAGCGTGAAGATTGGCCCGAAATGAGATGAAATGTTCATAATCTAAATTTGTAAACCCATGGGTCTGGAGGATTTCCATCGGTAGTATTGTTGATCGACCGCACTAAACGAGGATAAGTGCGGTGAATGAATGTGGTGATGAATACTTGATTACAGTTGTCGCCGTAAATTTGCTCTCAACAGTCACTTAACCCATTGTGGCTAAAGAAGTCCTCAAATTGTTCTCTACATATAAATGTAGCTTGCTTCCTGCCTTACTGTACACCAACCTTGAACTTTTTGAAATTCCCCTTTACGGCGCTGTTGCCTACTCCTTTTCCAACTCCAACTTAGGGATCACAACTTACTCCCTGCAACCTCCTGAATGAGACCACTCACATGCATGATTCTGTTGGCTGCCTCTGCTACCGCCGCACCTATCGCTATTCCTTTCTCCAAACATTTCCAACTCAAGTTCACAGGCGCCATCATCCAAGAGCATAACAACCTCTATGTTTACGCATACCACACGGGCGCAGGCACTTATGATGCAGCTCTGACCAAGGATCTAATTACTACTAGCTCTGTTTCTGAAAATGGTACCAAAGCTCCGTTCAATTTCCATGATGAATTACCTTCGTGTGTCTATGAGCTTAAAAAGGCATCGCGCGAAATGGGATATGAGGGCAACTGGAAAGCGGCCCTTGAAGAAGTCAAGCACGACTTCGTGGAACCGGGGAAACAAACAGATCTAGTACGAGAACTTACTTGCGAGGCAATCTCCTTTGTCAAAGAATACCAGCTTGTCACCGTGCCGCCAATTGCAAAGGAAACACCGGCGGCACCAAATATACTTGTCCGTACTCGCCCCTGGAACGTCACATACTTATTTGAATACGTACTAACAAACATTATCTAGCTTCGGGTTCGATCTCGATTAATGAAGGACAAGGAATTAATTGATCTTCAATCAAGCGCAACAGCTTACAGTGGTCAGAAGCAAGTGGCTTGGGTGGATGACTCGGTAAGACTCTAATATTATGGCTGTTCTCCAGAAGGCGGTCTATTTCTGGCATTTGACAGTTTGTGACTGGTATCATAATGTGCCTCGGCTTTTCTCCTTGAATCGCGATCATGGTGCCAGTATTCCCTCCAGGTGCAGGAAATCAAATTAATGGTGGAGTATATCAGATAGACACAGTAGCATTGGATTTCACTGCAAGGCACTACATATGAGGACTCTTTGATGAGTTATATTCTCCTTGGCTGTAGCGAGCTTGGTTAGAACTGAGATCGAAATGAAGAATCAAGTTCTGCTTGAAATTAACGAGGTATCGAAATCAAAAAATCTTACATCAATGGGCAAAAGCTTGATGCAGGAGGCACAAGCCGACAAGGTAGTTCCAGTGGCGGCTAAAGTGCTTCGAAATCAAGGGTTTGAAGAACGAGATAGAGATAATCTGGAACACAGCCACAAAACAGAATCACTGATTCCATGATTATTTCTCAATGGATAAGCGAAGGAGAGGTAGCATTGAAAGACCAGTATGGCGAGGTTCAAATTCATTTGAAAAAATTGACTTACTTTGACAAATTGATGAAAGCGCGTTCATCTCTTGATCTCACTAGCGTCCCCATCGTGGCCAGTCAAGGACGAGTGCGCGGAGCAGCTTAATTCCAAGAAGAATAGTAGTGGCTGACCATTTTGGAATTATCAACTACTATTGTTCTCTTGTCAGAACATTTGATGGAAATATGTATAGCCCGTGCAATAAAGATTCCCAGAAGGTCAATCCAACAGTAGCCCGTAGGTCCGTCAATTTCACTATCATCAGTCAGCCTCCTGCTAACAGCTCTATCAATGCTAGGAAAACATCTTGATCCTAGGGGCTCTCTTGCTCTCGGGAGCTTTTAAAAGGGTTCTAGGGGCAAAAAGGCAGCCTCTAGGAGTCGCGTGGCCCTAGGAAACCTGTCATGGCTCCTGGGGTCTAAAACCATCACCTCGAGGAACCAAAGTCACGTTCCTGTTGACGACCTGTTGATTCCTAAACGCGTAAGTGGCGCTCCTGGCGCTATAGCTCAGGCTTCTAGAAATGACTCGATTGCGCAGATTTATGCGCAGGATTGGTGAAGGTGTTGAGGGCTTTCCACGGATTCGAAAGGTACTATGGTATTCGAAGATCCCAAGGTATGCTCCCAGGGGCAATGCAGCTCCTGGATCTGGATGGTGTATTCCCAAAGCCATTTTTGTAATCAGTCAGGAGCATATTTCGTATTCCTGGAGACTAGAATAGCCCTAGAAACTAAAAAGCATTTCCTAGGGGTGCAAAACTCCTAGAAACGCTTTGCGGTCCTCAGAGCCAATATTTTGATTTCCAGACCCAAGCTTACAAGCACAAGATATATGGCTCACCACGAATCAGATCAGTTCCCCAAGAATTCTGGACCCATTGTGGCATTAGACAGACACCTTTGAGGGGATTAGATAAAGCATTCAATACTATCAACATAAAAGTCATTCAACGCAGTCAAACTTTGCCTAGAATCCGAGGACTTTTAGCGCTCTGTCAAAGACTGGTGATGATAGTGGTGTAAACCTCGTGGTGATTGTGGTGGGTGAATGCACCTCAGGTTTTAGTTCTCGCTGGGATGAACGCGCTAAAAGACATATATTGAATCACAAAACTCTACTCACACTCGTTAGACTCATGAACTCCAGCAGTAGAAAATATAAAGGTGAGGTTAAAAAAACATAGTGAAGAACGTATCTCAACATCGGTCATAAGTTCAAAAGTTGACACCGCCAACAACGACGGTCACGTTTCAACGGGACGGGTCAAGCACCCGCTCGCGTGTCGCCTGACGCTTCCGCAATCCAGAGTCTTGACGGACGGAATACTACACACAACTCAGACAACCAACATTCAAGCGACGCCCAAAAATCACACAAGCCATGATGCGGAGTGATGAAAATGTGGGCACTATTGGGAAAATTAAAAAATGAATCACTTTCATTTCCTCAATATAGAAGACCGAATATTCAACGCTTGGCCAACGTTTCTTAACCGACTCAACTTCACTGTTTTTCAACATGACCAGCATTTTCGCTCGGCGGCGGGCATCTCAAACAGCTCTGACGATGTCGCTGCAGATAGTTGCGGTATTAGAATCTGCCTCACTTAGGATAGGCATGGTGTCCTTCAACGTTTGCTTCTCAGCAGAGCACACGCGACTGGAGCTGAGGAGCCTATAAATACGTCCTCCTCCCCCCAGCAATTTGTTCTGCAATACTTTTCCTTGGCTTCCAGAGTCGAGCAGGCCTTCCTTTTGAGGCACCAGATAAGTTCTTCCGTCTGACCATACTGGAATTTCAATGCACTGACACCTATGGTTACATCGTGGACCGCCAAGGAAGTGCGAATGAGAATGTGATTCCCACCAAGTTCACTTTGCTACAGTACCCGTGCCAGCCGATCAAGAAGCAGGTTTGGGTCAGCTGGTCACAGCTACGCAAACATCTACCATGACAGCCGGCCACTGTCCGCTGAATACATCGATGTAAAAGAGCTGTTTTCATACAGGCAAGTCCCAGCACGATACGGCCCAAATCCAGCCGACCCCATAGATGATACCAAATAATACTACGTGCATTCTTCCAAATTACACCAGCCACGGAGCCCCTTCCCGTGTCTTTATGCAGACCATGTGAGTCATGTGGTGTCCCGCCGATCAAAAGCTAATGATGGACAGGAAACCGTGATAAAACCGCAACTTGCGTCCGAACTAGCACTATGTCAGTGCTCCGCGAAGGGTCATGACTTACGCACCATTTCTGGCTCTCACACCGAACCA